AGCCAACAAGCCCTACGACCAGCCTCGTGAAGACGCGGACAGCACAGCGCATGCTGATCTTGCATCACCCCCAATTTCCGACTGCCGTCTTTATTACAGTATTAATGGCAGGATTGGCATGCGTAGCACCAGGCGTTGATCGCATTATATGTGCATTATACTGGTATATACTCCCGCCTCGTAATGCTAATAAGATCCGCCTGGTCAATTGTGACGGGTCATTTTACGAACCACAACCGCGACTTATACGAACTGTTCAGTATAACAATTCGTCATCGTTTCCATCGTATATGCATGTCTCGATGCAGTGTCTCAATAGCTTACAGTGAAAAGAATAGAAGCATCAATGGAAGCATCAATACTGTCTGCATGCATGAGGTACCGGTAAACAGATCGCCATTACCCACGCATCCATTCCGCCCTTCTCGAACGATGCCGCATTTCCGCATTTCGTCATCCACGGCTGTCTCTCCTTTCTCTTTTCCTTTATGGGGGCATTGATTGGGTCGGCTATCTAAACGTCCAGCGACTCCCGTCGGTTGTAGCTGCCCAGTTCTTTACGCGTGCCAATCTCTCCCATATTGCGGCGCCTTAACACCGACATCTAAAAGCCGGGGTTTTGATTAATTGACCATCTCTTTCGCATCTTCCTTCCGACGCGACGCGATGGATCATGGCAGTCACCACTTTACCGTACAGCATGACATGACGACGAAATTATACCTACCTCATACCTCTGTGAATTCATCTAGACGATGAGGTCGCCGTCTACTTGCCGTGTGCCACATCGGGAAGGCAGAAAGTCCTCGTTCACGATTCTCCGCCTGGGCCCTGCATCGAGGATATAACCCTATCTTGGCATTCCCCAGGCTGGTGGAATCCTACCGTCAGCTCAGGGTTACAACCTCGTCGGTCACTGCTTCTGGCCATACACAGCACAACCAACACCTCCAAGAATCTGGAAAGGTTCCATCAGGTCCAGACGGATGGAATGCCCAAGCTTCCGACGACACAAAAATGCCTTGCATCAGTCGGGTCACATCTCACAGGCGCACGACCTTGGTCTCGCCCTATTCAATATACAAGTCCGCCAGCCGGATAAGAATTCATGATGGTGGTGCCGCCGCATGTGTTTGATGGCGCAAGCCATGAGCACTCCAAGTGGACTGTCTGCTACTTCAGGAGCAGCCTAAAGTCACCGAAACAAGCTGCACAGGAATTGTTTCAATATTCCAGTTACCGTCCCTATCGTCAAGATCCGGTTCAGATGGTTGGTGGCTGAGGCCCAAACGAGCACCCCTCAGAGAACCGTCATGGGACATCAGATGAAACAGGCCACAGCCCGGCCATGCCCGGTATCGCGAAAAGAGACCGGCGGTGTGGCATTTATTAGAGGTTACGCGTACACTCCACCTCGTATGCGACCTTTGAGCCTCAGATGATCGCGAACGGGTTACTATGTGCGCCGTGATCCCACGAGAATGGCCCGTGTGTCATGAAGGATTGCCCCGTATCCCTGCGACGCATCATTCCCCAAAGACTGCAGTAGTGCAGATCGTCCTGGCGCTTGGGGCTCGCCATGGTCTTGGCTCGCGAATTGCTCGTTCTTCATCCATTCGGAGACTTCCAATTCTGGCGTTGCAGTGTGGACGTCAGTCACATCACATGCCAGTAGCTAGTTACCAGACACTCTGACATGCTGCTGTTTCCTCCGCGGTGACGCCGTCGCGGGTGCCACGTAGTTGTGGTTGTTGTCTTGACTCCCTTTCCCAGCTTCACCGGCTGACATTTCCGAGATGGTGATTTCAAAATGAAGGATTGCGGAATCGCAAGATACGCCCAGAGCCAGCAGAATGGCTTGCTAGAACCGCCGGGAGCCAGACGCCCAATTATCGAAATCACGCGGTTATAGCATTAGCGAGCTGCGCTGGCTGTTCGGGACGACCAGCTGCCGTGTGCCCGTCCGGGGTCCCCTCATCAGCTGCCAGCCCTCTTTTGGCCTCGTTACGGCCTCTATCGATCTTGCATATACCGGTATAGGTATAGCTGGGCCTGGAGAACCTTACGATTACACGATACACGCAGAGCTAGCCTCGATATCTCGTCGCCAGTCGTCTGGTACGGAATCTAAAGCATGCAGATTGCCGTTAATGACTAGAGCGGATGCGGTTACTAACTCGCACCACCACCAGGACTGTTTCAACTACTTCGCTAGCCAGATCTAAGCCAGGGCAGCCACCGAGTACCATGGTCCACGGCCCACGGCCCACGATTCCTCCTAGTAACGTGCACATTGTCCTTTTTCTTCGGGAGGGGAGTCCCGACGATGCTGCAGTCAGAGTCGCTTCGCAGCATACCGCGGGCTGGTACGTGAAGTCAACAGGCGATGACAAGCGACCGCCGGCGATCAGTTCGATCACTAGACTCCCTCTACTGCCTGGCACTGCTGCCGAAGCCCGCGCGCATAGGACTGCCCCTTGAGAGATGATCTCCGGACGATACAGATCCACGGAAATGTTCTCATGGATGGAGCTTGGTCGATCACCGAACCGTCCCGAATGAAGCACAGTTGCCGATTGGAGGGTCAGATTGGCCGGTTCATGGTTACATCGGAAGCACGACGTCGTGCGGCACTACCTATGATGCCCTCAACTCAGCATCTCCCATCTGAACTTAGGAATGGTGCACGATGTCTCTTTTCCTAAACGGCAAGCCTCAATCCCACGCTGGGCGCGTCTGGCACCCTCAGCCAAGCGGCAGGGAGGCCCCCAAGGGGTCTGGCAACACATGTTTCGTCAAGTCACGGCTCGAGATTTACCCGAGCCAGGGGCTAGAACCCTCATCGACAACCCATGGGACGGATCGCCTAAGCGAGATCTTTACCTACCTTTAAGCTCGCCGATCCTGAGTACTACTAAGTAGATCACATACAGCGTCTCGGGGTAGTCAACTGATCAATAGTAGGTACTATCATGGCGACAACTGCGTGATCCTAAACCTCGTTGGTACTTATTCCATATGCTTTTGCTACACTTGGCTGGTGTATTCTGCCGGGAGATCCCGTTCAAGCATGAAACGGCATGATCCATCATGACGTTCCTCCAAAGCATCATGCTGTGCTCGCGAAGCATTTGTATCTGTCCCGCAATTTCGATCAGTGACCCCTCGTCGTGCGAGGTTTCTGAAGTCTTCGGTATCAAGGCTCGAGACCCATCTGACCAGACTCACTCCCCACAAGATACCGCTGGAATCGAGCTACTGCCCAACAAGGCGGTGAGTATTACTACCATCGTGGTTCAAGGACTCCTCACACTTATGCGGGACGGGACATCTCTGCAGTGTCCCCGTTTGTTTCACGCCTCTCGCACACTCTTCCGTGGCCGTGGGGCTGCCTTGATACCAGGGACATCGGATGGTGCCGTCGAAACCCCAGACGTTGTGATACCTCTCGCGAGGTTTCAGCCCTGTGAAACCGGGCTGGTAACGGTACCTCGCCATGCAAGCGAGGTACCTTCTCTCCCCCTTGAAGTACACCCCAAGTGCATGAAGGCACCGACTGATGAACACCTACCCAGTTGTTGCTCCCCCACACGTCTTTCAAGCACCCCAGCGGTCGTTCACCGACGTCTCGATTCATACCAGGAGGCCCCTGGGGAAGTGACACATACCGGCGCTGTGGACCGCGACCATGAGCAGATCATGGCCAAGACTATGATCACCGCCCCGCCGCAGCTGTCACAGACGTCACGGATCACAGCAACTCCGGGCCCAACAATAGTCGAGTCGATCTATTCAAGGCAGGGCTTCAGAGCCTCGGTGCTTCAGTTCGCCTGGGGGAATGCCTCACCCCTTGTTCGTCCGAGGATGCCGAGATCTCCGTCGCAGCCACAGTGCGTTCGGGACTGACTCAGAAACGAACGATGCAGCTTTCCCAGAAGAAGCTCCTCAGACATCCGCTGTCTTGGCATTGACGTACAGTATGGGCACTTGTCGCGCCCTTCTAGGTCTCTTGTAGGGGGGTTGGGGAACACGGCCTTTGGCGAGCAAGGAGAAGCAGTAGCACTCGCTCACTCGCGGCATGGCGTGAGACGTTTCGTCCTGGTGCCGTTCGACGACGTCGTCAGATGATGCTCGGTCGGCGGTGATAGGGTGATCTCACTGATCTGCCCTCGTCCGCTTGGCCGAAGCGCATCACGTACTTCAGGAGGGGTTTGGGGTTTGCCATTTGGGTTATGCGTAGCCCTGGAGTTGATGGGAAGACTGCCGAGGGTGAAACAATTCGAGGCAGCACTCGAGGTGGTCGAGAGAAAAGGGCACATCCTGCTTGGCATCAGCAGTCCATGTCGGGGGTCAAACAGACTGGAGAACCTGCCAAATTGCTGCTTGTACTATCACGAACCATCTTCTCAGCGGCCTGGCACTGTTTATATGTACACTCCGTGCGGTGGGAGGTTTGTTGGTCGGGTGATAGTATTGCGTCCGGGTCCGACGTTGCAGGCAATGTGATAGGATTGCATTTGCAGGTACGAAGTCCGTGTGGACGTGGCGCGCTTGGGCCCCTAACAATGACGCCGATGGGTGGGGGCCTGTCTGTCTTCGTGTGATATGGCTTTCGAATATTTGAACTATGTTGAGCTACTGAGATTCTAGCTATAGGGCTACATCACTGAGTCTCCCGGGTGACATGCTGCTTCATAATTTACCAACAAAACGGACAGTGTCACTAGCAACCCAGGCACGTGCCAGTGAGCACATGCTCCACGTACTAAAGATTCAACAAGAGCGGCGAGGATTCGGTTGGTTGGGAGCGTGTAAGCTTCATTGTAATCAGTATTTGAAGCGTGGTATCCAGGCCAGTTCTGGCAGAACTAATATTCTCCAAGAGGTTACTCAGACCACCTAGGCTACACGTCACGGAGTTGGTGTCACGCCAATGTCAGCCTCCAGGCGAGCCCCCCATCCCAAGCAGCAGCAGCCAGCCAGAGTCCCAACCGAATCGATCAGTAATCCTGCTCGTCGTTCCAGTACAGCGTCCCGTGTTGCACCTCCGGTCCAGTGGCCAGCAGCTCCCACCCGAACTTCAGGTGGATGAACTGGGTCAAGTGGCTCGCAACCTTGACGGCACCAACGTCCGTGGGATGGTACTGCGGGCCGATGTCGTTGTGCTGCAGGATGCCCTTGGTGCTGAAGTAGTGCACTGCGACCATCCGTGTCAGTCAGTTATTGATTGCGCTTTTGTAAAAGGGGGGCGGAAAGGCTTTGGGGGTGAAATATACTATATGAGATCACGCGTCGGCTACAATGTGCAATTCTCCTCGATCTGAGGGTGTCGAAGGGGATTATGAAACAACTCAAGAAAGTTGCTTACCGAACGGCGCGCTGGTCACGTTCAGCGTAGTCGTCGTGTTCGCCGTGCCGTCCCAGATCTTTGGCGCCGACAGGTACGAGTGCGAGTTGAAGTACGTCACGATGTCCTTCAGCTCCTGCTCGTAGCCCAGGCTCTGGTTGTAGCTGTTGCCGTAGGCATTGAAGCCGATCCAGAGTTGCTAGTGCGAGATCCGGTGTCATTATACGTGTGTCTTGTTTGGGTCGGAGCGGTTAGGAGTTCGGAGACCTGGGATGGATAGGGGAAAGCTGAAAGGGGTAAGAAATCCCGGACTATTCACGCACCATCACGATGACCTGCGCCTTAGGGTATTTCCCATGCACGCCCTCGATGAGCTTCGTGTAGGCATCGACGAAGGTCTCCGTCGTGACGTTGTTGGCCGCGTTGTTGTCGTTGGTGCCGAGGTTGATGACCACGATGTCCGGTGTAGTCTCTTGCTTGCTGAAATCCCACGGCTCGGGGTCGTCTGCCAACGCGTCAGCCGTCGTCGCGTCTTTCACCCAGACCAATGCTAGCCCAGTCAAACTAGACTCTGTGCCATAGCATCACGGTAATTCACGCGAATGAATACGTACCGCCCCAGATCGAAATCGCCCGCCCGCTCGTATCAGAAGTATAGAACCACTGGTGGACCTGCCCCCGCGGATTGCCCCAGCAGTTCTGGTCCGCGACGCAGATGCCCGGGTACGCGGTGACGGACCACTCGGTGTCGCCGAGACCCTCGCCGACGCCGTACGCATACGACGACATGCCCTCGAAGCTCGTGTACTGGCCCGCCGACAGACTGTCGCCGATGACCTCGATGGTGCGATTGTAACTCGGGACCTTGACCAGCGCCTCCCCGGCCGCGACGTGGACGCTGGCGATCTGCACGCCGTAACCCCAGTTCGAGACGTACATCTCGAACGTCAGGGGGCTCACTGGGTACGTTTCGTTCACGCCCGGCGTCGCGGACGTGACGAGCAGGTGCGTGGCGCCCGCGGTGACGTTGGTGAAGTTCCAGTCCATGCCGCCGATCCGATATCCGATGAGCGTGGCGTCTGAGGTCAGGTCACCAAAGGTGATGGCGACGGTTTCTCCGGTGAAGCCGAAGACAAGCCCAGGGGCGCTGTTCGAGCGTCAGAATCGCTTCGCAATATTACTCGACATCTGATAAATGGAGCACTCACGACCACCACCCAACTTTCTTCGAGTCCCATCTCCCCTTGTAGGATATCTCGGTGGCGTTCGCGTCGTACGTCTGGAAATCATACGCCGAGGCGTCGACTTTCGTCTCAGGGTAATCTGTGACCCTCACTTGACCGTTCTGGAGTATTGTCCCTCTGGCCAGGCCGCAGAGGGCAAGGATTGATACAAATCTCCCTATCCACATCTTGATCTTCAGCTCACAGATCTTTTCCTCCAGCGAGAAGAGGTAGGAGTACTTGCATCTTCACGCCCAGGGGCCCATCTCGGGCCTGACCTTTATACGTCACGCAACGCGACATAGGGCGCGGTTCTTTAAACTTCTCCGCATCTTGGGGTCTCCCGAAGGTAGATGCGGAGATACGAGACCTTTCCATTATACCGGCGCATGCACGGCCTCCACCTTGGAGATACTGTACGAATTTCTCCAACAGCTGCCCCAACGGACAGCCTCATTGGCGGCTTGAGGCTGACTGGGGCGAGAACTTCGCACGAGGGGAACAAGACCCCGTCCAGAAACCTGGTACCGAGATAGCACTGCATGCAGCAGGCCAGACTGCCGACTCGTCCGATTCGATTCGTTGCTTCCACTGACTTGGACGAACTGCTGCAGTGTTTATTTCCGTTGCCGGCCGGCCGGAGACGCTGCACTTAAAGAAGCATCGCGGCGGCTCGACTTCCGTGCTCAATCGAGCAATGTCTGCGGAATCGCATCATCAAATACGTTTGCCATCAAGCCACGAGCACAAGCTACGATGAGCTCACTCCTCGCGAGGAGTGTCGGGGCAAGCATATATAAAATGGACATACGTAACAAGATGATATACTTCGACACGTGGCCGAGGCTGCCGGTGAGAAAGACGAGTTCGTTTTCCCTTACCAGATTGCAAGATATCGACACCACGTGCTTCGGCGAGCTGCGGCAGTACCGAGTTCGTCAACAATACGTATACATATGTAGCAAGACGGGCTTGCCCTGCATCGCTTAGAGCGACATGGATACCTGGCGGCGCGCAACCTGACAAATGGCCTACATCCTCAAAAGAACGATGTCTTGACTTGTTAGCAGCAACACGGATTATAGTGAGCAACACTAATTCCAGATCTGATATCACCGAGACACACAGATGCTGACAATCTGCGAGAGGATGAGTGATGGCGGATGTACCAGTCGAAGAAGCATTCAAGTCCCCGACACGATAACAGCTTTCCCAGTCTCATCTCTATAGACTCAGTCATTCTTCACCAGCCTAACAGGCGGCACGTACACATGCCTTCCCCTAACCCAGTAGTAAAGCCCAGAGAGTATGCACGTAGCCCCAAACAGCACAATAGCCCAGTTCATGTCCGCCGCGGCTGTCGGATCACCCCTCAGCGGCGCCGAAGGGAAGAACGAGAACACAAAGCTGAGAGCCAAGAACGCCAGGCTCAGGTCATTCAGCGGCCCGCTCCATTTCCCCAGGCTCCAGCGGCAGCCTACGAGCGGCTCGCCGCGGAGACGCTTGAGGCGGATGCAGCCCACGCTGGTGAAGTAGGAGAAGATGAGGGCTGCGTTCGAGACGGACAGGATGGCATCCAGCGCCACGTCGGTACCGAAATTGATGCATGCAAAGACGAAGCTGGCGCCAGCGCAGACGTAGAGGGAGTTGAGTGGGAGCTGGCGTTTTGGGTCGACGTGCTTGATCCAATCGCTGTAACCTGTACCATGCATGGTAGCATGGGTCGGTCAGGTCGCTTCTCGCGTGGTGAACGAACCAGAGCCGTAAGGGAAGGAGCTTGCTTACGAAAGCCGCGATCTCTAGCGAAGGACCAGCATTGACGTAATGCAGTGGCAATATTGCTGATCATGCCGAAGAGTTGCAGGAAGGTGAGCAGGGAGCCGAGGACGCAGGCTGCGGCATAAGAGCCCGAGATGTTGTAGATGACGGCTAGGTCCGGCTGCCATGTGGGTGTGTCGAGGACTGAGTCAAGGTCGTTGATGCAGAAGCTGTTCAAGACGTGGGTCAGCCTCGAGCAAGTCGTCCGTCTATGGGGTAGCGTGTTAGCTATGCTTTACCAAAAAGTGACGAGCGTGATCAAGCCGAGGATGCCATTCGCTATCAGCGACCATATCATAGCGCGAGGAAGTGTGAACGAAGCATCTGTCATCAATGGAGTCAATGTCTTGTTCTTCCATCAACGAACAAATGATCGTACCTTTCGGCTCTTCACTCATGTGTGCACCGGCATCCGGGCCGATGAAAAACCACAACGGGCTACCCAAGCCGATGAGTGCGCTTAGCCCAATGCTACCCCATCCACCGCCGTCGTTGAACTCGAGGAAGACCTCGCTGGCCGGTGCATGGTCGCCAAGTGCCCACATTGTGATCAGGAAAGCGAAGAAGCCGACCTAGAGGGCCACATCAGCCACTCCATCCCACACTAGCCAATGTGCTATGCTTTTGTAAGACTGACCACATGCAAGATCAAGATGCCCCCCTCAGCAAGCGGTAGAAAGTCGGCGGCGTAGAGTTTGAACAAGAATGCCACCAGCAAAAACGCAAACAAGAGGAGCGTGGTCTGCCAATTCGAAGCCACGCTTGCGTCCGGGTAAACCAGTAGCACCATGCCTTGTACGAGACCCGTACAGATCTGAGCGCAGGCAGGAATGCCAGCGATCCAGCCTAGGCAGCACATCCAACCCACGATGTATGAGAGGTTTCTCCCATGTTGGCGGTGCGAACTCGCTGACCCAATGGTATTGGCCTCCAGCGGTAGGAGCCATGGAAGCCATCTCCGCCATACCTAAAAGCGATGGGTGTGAGGGTCAGTCTATGGGATACCTCTGGGAGGTCTGAGACGGCCTCCAAGGAAGAGGTCTCCCCATCATTATACGTACTAGCAATCATAGCGATGAAGCATAGCCACGTCAAAACACTCATCCAGATTACACCAGCCGTACCACCGTTCTCCAAGCCGATGTAGCTTGCCAGCAGCGTAGACTCCCACGTTGCTTGGAGGATGCTAATGAAGCCAATGATGGAGAAGAGTTCAAAGTTGCGTTTCAGCTCTGCTGCGTATCAGTCGCTATAGGGTACTGGAGGACTATACGACGTGACGTATCCTGCTTCTTGCCCATGCGCTGCATCTCCCGCGCGTCGAACGTGGTACCTCCATGTGCTTGTACATCGGCGAGCGTGTCGCTACGGAGCTCAATGTCGCCTTTGCCGACACGGAAACCGTCTTTGCCTTCCATCTCGCTGTCTGTTTCAGTAAGTGTAGGCTAGCAACAAGAGTCGAGCGTAGAGCTGCAGAAGTTGGGGATTAAACACGACTTGGGGGACAGGAAGGCAAATGACATGAGTTGACTGGCCTGCTGGCTCGGTCGTTCGTGCTCCCTATCGCACCCCCGCAGCCCGAGATAGCAGGCCGCCATGGCACAGGAGGAAGAAGAGGTGAGTTACGAGCAAATGGCAAACACTGGCAGTCTCGTCAAATGAGCAGCGAGAGCCGTAGCGTTATCGTGGGACCTTTGCCTGCTGGAGGACCGGACAAGGGGCGGCGGAACGGGACAGCAACCTAATATGGATGCCGACTACTTGCTCACCACCCAGCGGCGCGCTCGTCCAAGCGACGTCCGGATCTTCTCAAGACGAAACCCACCACTCGGATGACTGCGACGTTAGCGCTCACACCATGGACATGACGCGTCGGCTCTGAATGCTTCTTCGGCTAGAAGCAACCAAACACCATGGTGTCCCTCCCCTGTTACCAAAAGCGCAGGAGGTAGGTTATTCGGAATATATAAGATACACGTCCCAGGACAAGCATCAAAGATGGCTTAGTGTTATGTAAATGCTTATTCTAGGGTGCTCATTCCACTGTAGTAGCATGTTTAAACAGAAGATTCGAAGTGCGCGGAAACGACACTTGTGATAAGTAAGTGTATCAAAACATCAAACTCCCTATTGACCCACGAGCGCTACAACACCAATTCCATTCCCAAGTCCACAACCAGCCACCCGATTCCACACCCCCTACTCGTAAAACACCAGACACCGCACCTCGATGCTCTGCCTGCCGGGCGCATCCTTCGGCGTCGCCGGGTCCTCAAACGCCGTGTGCGGCGTCCGGACCGCCACGCCGAGCCTGCCCATCGGCTCGCCCTCGCCCCACGAGTCGTAGCACTTAAGAAGCATCACCTCACTGGGCGACATGTCGCGCTGGTAGTAGAACTTGTGCGCCGGGCTCGCGGCCACGGCCAGCGTCTCGCCGCGCACCTCGTAGCCCTCGGTCGAGAACCACTTGCTCTCCTCAGGCCGGACCTCCTTGCCGCGGTCGTCGTCTTGTTGGCCCTGCTGTTGCTGCTGTTCCTGCTGTTGTTGCTGGCCCTCCTGTCCCTCCATCACCGAGTCAGCCCGCTTCGGGTACAGCAGATCCACAGGCACGAAGTCCTCGGGCGCCGTGGACCGCCAATCGATGACCGCGAGCGGGAAGTCAGACGCCGGGTTCGCGATCGGCCGCCACACATTGACGATCTGGTACCGGCCTCTCAGCAGGGCCTCCGCCTCCTCCGCATCCGGCACGTGTCTGCGCACGCGCACCTCGGCCGCCCCGGGCGTCTGGTCGACATGGACCTGCTGGACGGGCGCGCGGGGCGCATCAGGTGTCCTGCGACGGATGGTGTGGTCGAAGATGACGATCTTCTTGATTGCGTCGCCGCCGGGCAGCTGCGCCCGCAGAAGGGCCTCGATCTCTGGGTAATAGGACTGGCGCACATTGGCGTCCGAGTCGAAGGTCTGTGGTGTGGTGGCCGACGGCGAGACGCGCACAGCGAAGCCCGCGTTGTCGGTCGTGAAGGCGGATTCCTGGCCCCGAAGGTCCTGCACCGAGCGCTTGTGCGGCGCCATGCGGAAGGAGGAGGCGTCGGCGTCGACTTTGGACCAGGGCTTGGTGTTGGGCGGCTGTGCCGAGGTGTCGATATGTCTGAAGGTTGCGGTAGTCATGTTGGGCGTTTGGTGTGGATGAGGCTGCGTGTGGGCAGTGCTGGTGATGATTTGGGTATGTGATGATGATGATGATGTGTGAAGGCTTGGGTGAGTGTTCGTCGCGTGAGGGTTGAGAATGAATTCATAGGCCAAGAGGTTTCGAAGTCTGATCCTAAGTCTATATTGAGTCTATGGAATATGTGAATTGAAGCTCGTGGTGAGAACAACGGTCTTTATATTCCTGCACCCGTACTTATGATGTTCATATGTCGTGGGTAAGGCGCGCCGGTGGCATGTCCAGTCGCGATGGCATCATCGCCGCATTACAAATGGGGCACTCCTTAGTAATCATGATTGCGTGCTTGGGCGAAACAAACACCCTCCGTCTTACCAAGAAACTCCGAATCTCCTCCGGCAATTGCTATGCGGGGGTTAGAAGCAATTAGCTGCCGAACTCCGGAAAATCGAATAGAGACTGCTCCGGTGCTCCGGTTTGGAAATATGTGCTACACCAAAACGCCCGGCATTCCACTCTTCAACGGACATCATCACTATGACTTCTCAATACGGGCGCGGTATGATCCATTCTAGTTCAAGGCTGTCCTGGCTTGCACTAGAATAGAAATTTATTCACTTCTTTGGAATTCTCCATCAACGGCCACCATCACCACCATCGCCACTCTCGTCGCTGCCACCATCAAGCCTCCTCCTCAAGCTGCTCACCAGCACTCTCAATCACCCACCCCTTCTCATCCACACCCTAATAACCCCATTCCCTCTCCCATTCCTCCACCGTCCTACTCTCATCCTTTTCCAACCACAACTCTTATCGCATAGAACCCTCCGTCCGCCTCATACTGCCTCCACATGCGGGCGGCCTGCGGCGCATTGACCAGATTGTCCGTCAGCCTCCTCGCGAACACTCCAACCCTGTGCCTCCTTGTAAATAGCCTCCCGCCGCAACGGTCGATCCTGCGCCGCTTGTTCACGAACCAGACCTTAACCTGCGCTGGCTTGAGTCCCATCTGGTGCGTCAGGATAATGAGCTCGGCCGTGGTGGGGTAGGCGTCGGCGTTGAAGCTGTCCTCGAGCAGACGCAGCTGGCGGGGGGACTTGGCTTGGGCGCGCGGACGCCCTACAATGTCGGCTGCGCGCTCGGCGAAGAATCTGGCGTTCGTTGTGTTAGTCATGTATCTTTGTGCACCATGAAACTACCCAGGGCAAGGAGGGAGTAGAGGAGATATGTTTTGAGAGTGAGGGCACGACACTCACCGGCCCACCTGCTGCGACGTGACCTCGGACCCGACGTCGCTGCAATGCATGGCGACAATTGCGCTGTGCTGTTTCATCGGTCGCGGCTGGTTGAATATCAAGACGAAGTACGTCCAAGTCCTTTCCAGGATTTCCATCTGGGCGTCGGTAAACGGAGACGCCATCGTGTGCGTTGAGTAAAGCAAGACCGAGGTCTACTGATGGGATGACTGCGCCGGTGCTCGATGAAAGGCCAGGAGGAGTACGTTGTGCAGTGGACAGTCCCACGAGACTCATACAATTACCATCAACTGACAGAATGTAGACTCCTCTCTATGGAGGAAATTCACTCCTTGAGCGAGCAGGGCGGGAATCCGTAGAAGTGTGCGAGCCAGTGCGGTACGCAAGCCGCAAATGCGCGGTACAAACGGGCTGTAAAAACAAGTTCCGAGATCTCCGTAACTATCCATGCGCATCAGGCAAAGCGGTTGAATGGGAAAAACCTGTAGTGGAATAAGCAACCTTGGGAGGAGACGCTGAAAGAAGCAAAAAGCAGCAACACTCAATGTCCGTGATCGGACTCAACGGACTGTGTACGACCAGCAGGAATCGTCAACGAATCGCGATATGGAAGCGAGAAAAGATGCGGCCTGTCGCTCGCGATGCTGGTCATCTTCGGAGATGGTTGAATGTTCCATAACTACGACGACCTGAACAGTGAACGCCCTTTCTTCCTGAACGAACAGCTTCCCCTCGGCCAAGGCTCCGACGTGCCGGAATTGCCCACCACGGGCTGGATTCTGGAGGTCTCCGATGAGTTTGACGGCTCTGCACTACCGCTGGATTTCGTTGCAGGTAATGGTGCACGTCAGGTATTCGGGGAGGATGTGCTTTGGGAAGCATGGCCAGGCGGGTAACCAAAACAGCATCGTAACGGACGGCCTGGCTGGGTCGAGCAGCAGTGCTACTGGCGAGCATGCGATCCCCTCGTCTCACTTATCTGCCGTGGTTGGGCCAAGGTTTCCAAACACCATACTGCCAACACTAACACATACAGTTGAACAGCTTTGAATGTATTTGATCTCACTCTCCAAATGAGGACGCACTATTCAAGTCGAACAAAAGACCGATGAGAGGATCGAGTCGTGGCATGAGTGGGCGCGAAGCAGCGACGGAGGCATCTGATGGGCGATGAACCCGAGCTCGCGAACGAATGCGCGCGTGCCTCTCTACCCAGCAAGCACAATAACTACGCAAAGGATTGTCACACTTTTACGAGTGGCAGCAGTCATTTGCTTTGACGAAATGGTACCTCAGGCAGTCGTCGTAGAGCACGAGGAGCAGTCGTTGGTCAATTGATCTACCTTCACGTAGCCCTACGCTTCAAGAGGTGGACAGGGGCGGAGTCGCACTGCGATCAAAGCCGCTCGATCAGTTCGAGGGAATCGAGGCACAGCAGGAGCGGTCTGTGCCGCTCACCTGCAGTATCGACGATTGTTGCTGGAGATCTGGTGCTCCCAAGACAAATGATGGAGTGACCCGGTTCTTTGGGTATTTTGAAGCAATGCAGTTTGTACCAAATATCCCCACTCGAAGGCTGGTGTCTATTTTGGGATACCATAGTCAACTTCTTGGTGATTGTGACACCACCTACATACCATACATTAGGTGTGCCCCCTCCGTCTTCAGCCAAGCCAGCTCTATCATAGGTAGTTTTGTGACCCCGACTGGCAATGATGATGACGTATTCTGAGTTCTGCTCATGCTTGAGTAAAGACTGGCAGAGCATGCAGGGCAACACCCTCATCAAGCCGGAGGGCCAGCAAGATAGATAGTCTAATAATAACCCTGACTTAGCATGAACCCGTATCTCCCCACCACGCCTTTGGGGGAGAAGATCTGCTCGAGCATTTCTCAAACCAGCCTCGCTTCCGTTCATACGACTGCATACGGAAATGATCACCAAGCGGGTCGCCACGAGGTAAATGAATCGGGACGCCAAATGCAACGTGGGGGCCAGGACGCGACTCATTTCCAGGGGTCCATAGTCACCAAGCTCAGCCCTGTAATTACTAATCACCAGTCGCGTACCTTGTGTCTACAGTAGTACCGGTATCTACCGGTAATTGGGTTCTAAGTATAGAATAACATCTGTGTGCACCTATCAGAGCTATTTACTGATGGGCCCAGGCTGCCAGGAACAAGAGGGTCTAGAGGGTGTCATCGAGGATGGGGGCCATATCTGCCGCGAAGAGGATTCACTAGGTATCCTCGTGAATCCTCTACAAAACAAGCTTTGTTGGTTACCTTATCAAAGGCCCCCAAAGGTCCCTCTCTGGGACGATGATCGTACACAGTAACGCATTTCCCACATCCCTGCACGCGACTGGTTAGGAGGCATAAGATAGCTTTCTTCGCCAGTTGCTAGCACCGGCTTGATGGTGAAATCTTCACCATCCAGGATATGACTCGCAGTCCACGATGGCGTTCGAAAAACAAGCAACATTCATCCGAGGAGGACCGATTTGCGGCATCGGTCCTGGGTTGGGTCCTCCGGGAATCCAGCAGCCAACACAATGGGACATTCCGTCTTCATCGCCAACGGAAACCGGCTTTTCAGAATCGCAACGCCAGCGGAACCTCAAAAGCTCGCTCACCTTGTTCGGGTTATTCATCATCTTCGTCGGAATCGTTATTGAGCTCGTGGTCCTGGGATTCTTCCTCTTCTTATGGATTGGCCATGGCTCTTCCTCGGATGGCCGACATGGGAGTCCTTTCTGGCGAACTATTATGCTTAGGGGCTGGTTCGAGCAGACCATTACTATCCTATGCGTCGTATTACAAGTCCTGGTTGCTGCCCAGTCAACCATTTGCACTAGCTTGGTAGCAGCGCTGCTCCTCGAGGGTTTCAAAGTCCCCTTCAAGGATGTTGCTCACTTCTCTATCATGCGAGCCGTCAATGGAGGACCACTGAGTGTAGTGACACACCTCTTCGCGTGGACGAGGTATTCTTTTCGAAGCTGGCCGAGCTTTCTGATCATGATACTCCTCCTGGAGACCCTTGTTGTCCAGTTCTCATCGACTATTCTCCTCGTGGACGAAGGTACAGGCTCAGTCCTTTCCTGGCAGACGCATCCACAAGTCCCTGTCGTGGAAACACAGAGTTCCCTCATCGCCTACGCCGAGTACTGGCACACTCCTTTTACCGATGGTTATCCATCTTTCGCCGAATCGCGGATAGGAGACCAGCGTTCCGATGAGGGTCTTGACGACACTGGAACCATTCAACGAGCGATACTCCCATTCAATGGAGATGACAGGAAAAGGCTTCGACAGTATCAGGGGCCGATGGCCGTGCAGACGTCTCGTACAACGTGCGTGCGCCCGACATTCATCAATGCAACGTTCCTCGGCGACAATGGTATGATGACAAAGGGCGAGCAGTGGCGACCATGGATTTCCGCCAACCTCACTATCCCACCAGAACTTTACGACAACGGCATTATCACTGGTTCTCCTTGTAAGGATTCCAATTCCTCATGTTCCTCCTTTCCGATTGGATGCGAGCTTCCAGGATGGGGATCATCATCGGGGCTTGAGACCACGGGCCCGTCGATGAACGGACCGCAAGTCTCAACCGCAATATGTATGATCAATGGGACCAACCAAGTCGACAACGGCAATGTCTATAAACCGGAGACCGTCATCATGTCCCTCGTTCTAAACGCTACCGGATACACTCGCGATATCCGGCATTATATCGGCGAAGGACTCCCCGAACCAACCTCGACTGACGAATGGACAAGTTACCAGCTCGGCAATAGTTCTTTCGACGTCACCATGTGCTTGACCACGCTGAACGTGACGATTCAGCATGCCTACGCCGAAAGCTCGGTGGATCTGAAAGAGCCTTCCATGAGCCTCAACACGAAGACAGCCCAATGGCAATACGGTGACGTGCTTGCACAGATGGGTGTCACCAATGCATCGAACGAGGACCGCGGCATCATGACTCTGGTGAACTCGACTCAGTACACCAAGACCGAACTGCAGGATATCTACAACAACAGCGCCTACTTCAGCGCAGACGTAGACATAAACTACTACGTCAACGACTTCACCTACCTCCTTGTGGCGGGTCTGACAAACCTTCCCGCATTCCAAGGAAGTGAGACGGAGAAATACCCAACAAACTACACGATCGCCACCTGCCTGGATTGCACCATCCTGTTGAACGCACTCCTACCCAACGAGTACTACAAAGTCCTATTTAACGGTATCGTCAACACCACCGGCCACGCCGCTGCCGCCATTGACTCGACGCTGACCTGGATCGTGCAAAACCAATATTACAAAGCCCTCCCGTCGTTCGACTTCGGCGACGGCGCCACCGCCACCTTCTCGAAGCAAGCTTCGGTGCCCGTCCGCTTCGCCGGCTTCGCCACCATCGTCGCGCTGATGCTGATCCACATCGCGTCGGTCCTCGCCATCGTGGCGCTGTTCTGGCGGAGGGCGCGGTTCAGCATCGTCGGCAACGCGTGGCACACCATCGCGCAGCTCCTGTCGCCCGAGACGCAGGACATGCTTCACGGGGCCACGGAGCTGACGGACGACGAGTTCATGCAGCAGCTGAAGACGCGGGGGTTAGGGCGCGTGGACTCGGGGCTGGAGAGGTGGGAAAGTCACGGTACCAACCGCGTCACGGTGGCGCGGAAACCGTCGGTGGCTCAGGGGCTGGGCGCCACGGTGGAGGAGGACATGGGCGGAGACCACCCAGAGTTGAGATGGTAACTCAGTTGACATGACCCTAGGATAAGAAACATATACCCGACAAGTAGTCGATTCTACGGCTCGGAAGCTGATGCCCCGGGAAAGGCTAGCAATCTATTAAGCCTACTGACGAACCTGGTCTCACGAGCACAACTTCCTGCTTTTTGATAAGCCGAACCCAAATGTATGCGATATATGCAGGCAAGACGCCAGGTATCGCAGGGTATTGGACGGCAGGCTAGAGGCCGCCTGGCTTGCATACGTGATACATGCAGGTGCTCAGCCACCACAACCACAGCCTTCTGCATTGTGCATCCTCCTGCCGTTCTTTCTCTCCTCTTACTCCTTCACTCTACCCAGGAATGGAAACCTGACTGACATGCGCATCAACAGACTGCGGCTGTAGCTAGGCGCCATGCCGGTACCATTCGGCGTCTCGGTAGGCGACTTCATCTCAGGCCTCGAGCTCATCCACGACATCATCAAATGCCTAAAGGATAGTACCGGAGCAAAAGCGCAGTATCGCGGTATTATTGCCGCGCTCAAAAGCTTAGAGACTGCGCTAACACAGGCTCGCAACGTCAGTGCGCAGCTTGAGGATGAGCGGTCGATTGAGGAGATCGTGAGGCGGAGCGAGGAAAGCATACGCCTGTTTGTAGGCAAGGTGAACAAGTACCACCATGCTCTGGGCCACGAACATGTCAAGCAGTGGAAGGCATGCCTCCGCAAGATCCAGTGGCAGTTATACAGCAAGGAAGATGTCGCAGGCTTCCAGCATGAGATACGAAGCCACGTGGCCGCGTTGAGCGTGGTCATGATCAGCTTGTCCCAGTAAGTACCATACCATCATGGCTACACATGCTGCGAGCTGACGGCAGAGCAGCAACACCACTGTCCAGGCTAGTCAGCACAATCTACAAGTACACGCGCAGACGGCCAACGAACTTCAACAACAGAGACGGCAGCTGAACCAGCTTTCAGAATCGCAGTCAAGAATGTCGACCTCATTGGCAGTGCTTGGAAGGACTTTCGAGCAGCTGATGTATGGCATTGCCATGATGTCCATCATACTGTGCAGCCAGTTGCGGCTGCTTATGGAGAGGCTGCCGAGCCGGATCGATCTTCGTCTAGCATATTTCACTGATGCCCACGGCAATCCATTCATCATCGACCCCAACTTGACTTTGACATGGCGGGTAAGCTTGTCTTCACTGCCCAGCTTCCTGAGACGCACGCTAATGAGAACGACAGACTTTCCACTCGCTGCTTTACGACAACTTCGCCAATCGACCGGGTCTTCATCGTGTTCGGCGTGGCTTGTTTCGACTTCACGATCGATTCGCTCGCAGCGAACTTGATGCGTCACAGCCCTTCATCTCGGCATTCCGGCCTGGTCGATACATTGACATGAGCATCCTCTTTCAAGCTAGCGAGGTTGAGACGGAAGCGTGCCCGAGATGCGGCAACTCTAAGGCCCCAGGTAACACGCGTGAGCATACATGGTAAGTCGCATCCACTGGACTTTGTTGTGTCGGTTGGCATGCTGATTCCTGTTACAGTTCGCAGTGTGGCCTCTGGTACAAGAGGTTTCTGGACTATGATCACACGCCCATGGTTCCACTAGATGAACAATCGCAAGGCGCGCCGATAACCGTACACGGAGGACATACCTTAGCGACAAAGGCAAGCGAACCGAGAACCACAGAACCTTGGCATTCCGAAGACTTGTGCAGGCCGTGCGACTTCGCGCGTGTTTCGATCAACCCTGAGCCTCCGAAGTCTTTCCCGGACATGTATCGAGCTTAGAATACAGCCAAGAAAGAATTCCGTGTGCTTGACATCACACCTGGCCCAGATTCGCCCACCACTATCAATGGCGTTTTGCGGATCGTATCACTACACGACGAGCCGGATTACATCACCCTCTCTTATATACGGGATGACTCTGCCAAGGCAAGCGTGGTGGAGATCAATGGCAAGAACGTGCAAGTAACAGATAAGTTATACGCCGCCCTGAGAGCTCTCCGATCCCAAAATCAGTCTACAATGTGGATCGGTGCTCTCTGTATCAATCAACAGGATCTCGAGGAGATGTGCGAGCAGATGAACATGATGGAGACGATATATGAAACTGCGACGCATATGATGGAGCGGTAGGCGAGTCCCAGCAACACCATTCGACACTGAAAGATCGCGATGACTCGTGCGATAGAATGAAAGCGCACCTCGAAGAGTTCTTGTAGCCAGGACCGCGACCTTACCTCGACGTATATCGCAGAGATAGGCTTATACCGTAATACATGAGGTCTGCTTCTCAGGCTCGCCGAACCTGGCAAGCATGACAATACAGCGATGCAAGCCGTTTTCCAGAGTTTAGAGAAGAAGCATGACTGGATGTGCAACCTCAGCGGAGGCTTTGCCGGTTTCTACAACCCTACTGGAGGACTGATAATCTAGGCGTACTCCGTACCGTTTCGAAGTCAACGCCTATTCCCTTGATACACGTAATCCACGGTAACTACGTCTCAGTCCCCTCCACAGCGTGACATCAATCACATCGACGCACCCCAAGCCGCCACGACGGCATCCATAGCCGAGCTATGCGGACTAGCATTGGCAGGGCCGTAGAAAGGCCCATTCCAATCGGGGCCCAGCGCCCCCTCGTCATTCTTGTCGTTCGCCAGGATGCTATCGGCTGACTTTTGGGCGAAGGCCTTGTACTCGGGGCGGGGACTCTGCTGGTGGAGGTGTAGCAGCCCGCGCATGAAGATCCCCTTCCACTGTGGTGCCGCTTGTCCTGGGTGCGCTTGGCTTATGTGCTGTTCCTGCAGTTCGCCGTCTTCGGACACTGCGAATGATAACTCGAGTTAGCAGTCAGTCACTCTTTCATGGGCTGTTTGACTAGCGAGGATTCGAGATACCACGTACTTGTATCCATCACAGCCGCCGCAATCAGATGCGCCTCGTCCCTATATTCCTCCTTCCCAGTCGCAACCGTCAACCCACACAGCGCCGAGATGAGCGTGCCGTCGTAATACGTGTACCCCCAAGTAGTCTCCCTCGTATGGCAAGTCTCGATATCAATGCCGCCCCCCACGAGGTGTTTCTCCGGCCAATACATCTCGCTCCCCCTAAAAATCCCCCAGGCCTTCACGGCCCAGTCGGCATAATACTGCTTGCGATCCTCCGGCACTCTGTTGGCCAGCCACGCCGCCACCTGGATGAAGAGCGTGTTCGAGATGGGCGAGATGTCCGTGTGGTCCTTGTCCCACCACAGGCCGCCGTCGGCGGAGCAGTTCGTGCCCCAGCCGCCCGTCATGTCCTTGAACAGGCCCTCCGCCGTCTCGAGGTAGTCCTTGTTGTGCGTGACTTCGTAGGCCCGCATCCAGGCCACTGCCCACCAGCCCTCGTCGTCGTAGTAGGCGTTTTTGAAGGCGTGGTCACCGTTGCGGTGGAATGTATTCGGGACCACGGTGTCTGCGATCTTGGCGGCCTCCGAGCTTCCGAGCCGGACCATGTCGAGCAATGTCGTGAGCTGGTTGGCCGATTGCCACCAGGAGGGAGTGTAGCTCTTCCATTGGCCCGTGTCTTCGTTGTACCAGGTTTGAAGCTTTGTGAGGGCGGCTTCGGCGGATGATTGGTAGTGGTCGGCGCTGCTCGTACTGGATGCAGATAGCGCGCCAGTCGCAAGGCATGACGCCGTGAGCATGATTTCGACGAGCCGCATGGCGATGTGATGCAAGGCCTAGAAACAGTGCTTCGCGGTCACTATTGGAATTGCTCGTGATTGTAGGCGCTTTGTGGTACCAATAAGTATCGCAGCATCGCATGAACGTGGCTGCCAGGGGACCACTTAGCTAATGCAGCTAGCCAGATGATGATATAAAAATAGTTTAGGCAACTATCTAGAGTCTGAGGCGGCCCGATGCGATGATCTCATACTTAAACATAGGTCGCCATCCTTTGTGGGAGTATTTATAAATAAATGAGCACGGAGCTAGTTATAATAATAGGGACTTGGCCTACATATGAGGAGCTGGATTCGGTGGAACTAGCTTGTAGCCTTTCGATCCTTTGTGAAGCTTGGCAGCTTGGGGTTAATAGGTAGAAGATAGTATAGAAGGATGATCCTATGACATTTGGTTGATACGCAGCATTCAGTTTCTCTAGCCGTCTACCGCTCATCGCAACCCTCTAACTCCCCTCCCAGCAGCCCCCACGCCTCCGCCGCAGTACTGGCATCCCCCCTATCCCTATGCCTATCTCTACCACCAACATGATCCCCCATCCTGCTCAAACGAACCAGCATCTTCCCCTGTCTAACGCGCCACCAACCCCAATACACGGCACCGCTGCCCAGCACCGCCAGCGCCGTGACCGGGTAGGCATAGTACGGAAACCCACCCTCGCCCTCGCCCCCACTACCATCTGCACCATCCGCAGGTGGGATCCAAGGCAGGACAAGAAGCAGACTGTTGAAGAACAGAAACACGCAGACGGCGACGCGGCTGGCCGGGAACGGCGACCGCCAGCGCTGGGCAGGGTTCAGCTGCAGATGCAGCAGCCCGCCACTGATGGCGACCGAGACGACGCTGACCGGGTAGCCGCCGATGTTGACGAGGAAGTTGTATATGCTGTCGGAGGGTGGGAAGACGATCACAGCCGCAGTGACGAACCAGTGCAGCAGGAGGCCGCGGACGGGCGTTGTCTTCGTCCCTGCCTTGGCAGACGGGAAGGGGGACGCAGCACCCTTGGAGGAGGGCCTGCAGTCGGATTTCTCCTCTGTCGTGGTCCAGAAGGTACTAAGCGGCAACAGCCCGTCCTTGGCAAGCTCCTCGTTGACGCGGGCTTGGGCAAAGGACGTGGCGGCGATGTTGCCAGCAGCTGAGATGATGATGAAGAAGGGCAGGACGTGCGCCCCCAAGGTCTCGCCGAAGACATTGCGGAAGAAGATGCCCGCTACGATGACGCCCGAGGCCTTGAAGTCGTCTTTGTCCACTACCAGAAAGAAGGCGACGTTCACGGCCAGGTACGCTACTGAGACGATGCCCAGTGCGACAGGGGCGGCGATCCTGAGGGTGCGGACGGGATTCTTCACCTCGGAGAGCACCTGGTTCGCAGTACTATAGCCGCGGAAGCAATAGATGACTTTGAGGAGGGCTGTTGCATAGTTATAAGGCTGCATCGACGACCCCTCCCAGATGTTGCTGAAGTTTCGCTGGGCCGTGCTCGTGAACATCTGATCCGAGAAGAATGGGTCGAGTCTTCGGGCGCTCAAATTGCTTGCAGACTGCGCTCCGAGACCCATCAGGCCGCCGGCGACCCCGGAAATGATAACGATGGCTAGGATGACGAGCTTGCCCATGCCCAGAACGTTGATGAGCTTTAGGCCGGTCCGAGGGTGTCGTGCGTGTGTGTAGCACAGGACTGACACTGCCAACACTGCGACGACACGGACGTTCCATTTGTTGCCCGTGATATTGAACGCATACAGAGCATACTCGCCCAGTACAATAGCGTTCGGCGCTGAGAAGCCTAGAAGGACGACGTATGTCATGAACATACACGTCGCCAACATGTATGGGTGGCGGAAGATGCGCTCGAGGTAAACTCGTTCCCCGCCGCTTTTGGGCAGTGCCGTGCCGAGCTCGAGATAGACTGCCAGGCCACAGAAGGATATGATGGCCCCTATAATCCATAGTGCCAAAGTCATTCCAACGGAACCGACACCAGCGAAAATGGCAGAGGGAATGGTGTAAGCACCGACCCCTAACGTCTTGCCGACGATGATGTTGATGGCCGACATGACGCCCAGCTTTCCTTCATCATCCCGGGGCTCTCCAAACAGGAGAGCAGGCGTTGTGGGCGGCAGGGTCCATGGTTGATCTGACCGCGAGAAGACCGTAGAACTTGATGTATCTGGCCCGCTGACAGAGAACTTCCCATCATATGTGCTGGCCGAGCCCAGGGCGACGTTTGGTGGAGGAAAGCTACTTGGCAGCGACAAGTATTTAACGGCAGTCGAGTGCTTCTGGGCAGCTCCGGCCCGGTGGTGTTGTTGTTGCGCATCGATTGAGGGTCTGCGTGGTGTAAGAGGAGACCGACAGCTGAGCTCGAAGTTGTTCCGCAACGGCGATAGGGCGGCGCTGAGGGCTCCGCTGTTATATGAGCATGATGCTCTTGGTGGTGAAGCTAATCTGTCGATGTCGAGGGGCGATGGCACCATGGTGGTGTGGTGGAGTGTTGAAGTTTTGAGGAGAGTGGGCTGATGCCAAGTATGAGGGAGAATGAGCAAGTTTCCGGTGAGGCTTGTCCAAGGCCCTGCGTGGCGGAGAGTCGTTGGTGAAGACAAGTTCAAGATATGTGGTACTCTCGAAGGCAACGCTCCACGATGCAATAGTAACCACCTTCGACAGTGATATGTACGATGCACACCAGGCAATCAAATAGTCCAAGTAAGTTGAGAGAAGCATACCATATGAAGAGCGGAGACTGGGAGTCGCAAATGTTGAGAATCTCGAGGTTGCTGGACCACTGGGTCTTTGAGAGCTCGAAGTTGCCGCGTCTGGGGTTGAACAGGCCCCTTGCCATTCATACCTTGCTTGACTGACGCGTGAGCCTCTTCTTCATCGGTTATTATTAGGAGAAACTCGCAACGCACCAACTGACGTTACCACTGCCAACAATGCCTGATTCTGACTGGCGAACTGGCCGGCAGTTGCAAGACATGTCGTCAATGGCAGCTGGAGGCAGCATGGTACCTTATGTGACTCTTGGCCTGATCGCCGTCAGAACAGGGACCCGAAACGACTGGAGTCGGTGTGCAGCTGGGAAAGTGAGAAGTGGTTCGTTGGATATTATCTATTCCCAGCTCCAAAGAAACTCCAGTTCTGTGTTCCGTAACAATAATCAACGTGAGTCTCCCTCAGCCTGTTCGTATAATCGATGCTGTTCTTGCTTGTCGACCACGATAGGACTCAGGGGGGATGTCGACCGTTGAGTCTTGGCGCAACAGACGGGTCGCAAAAGTCGATCTGAAACCCGCAAAACGACGTCGCAACCATGGTCCCTGCACCAGACCCACAACGCGCACTGACGGCCCCCTGAGAGATATCCCTGGCCAGTGAATCAATCCATCAAATCCGCGAGATCGCAGCGGTGAATTCGCTGTGTTTCGACCTCTTCCGCTGTTCACCACTCTCATCAACATGGACCTTCAACTTCACTTGTCATTTCGTCCTGTCTCTGATTCATTACCATTCAGTCATGGATATACCAATGTGTCTAGAAACTCTAGCGCTCATCTCATGATTGATGATGGCTGATGCTGATGCTGATGGGGTATCGAAAAGATGAGATGATGACATGAAGCGTCCGTGAAGCCTGATACATCGGCTCGACACGAATCGCTGCTTGATACTTTCTGATTGGCGCGCGTCTGGTCGACGACCACGACACTCACTTGGACTCAGGAGCAACTGTCCAGACTCAATTCCTGGTCAATATGACGGCTCGGAAGGGTAGGTACGTCTCCTCAGCTTGAGACACTTGTCATCTGGACATACCTATCCAGGTCATTCAATATGCCGCACAGTATGTTCGAACCCTCCCATCACCAATACCAACCATCGCATCGGGGACAACCTCCGCGTCTCAGCCCGCTCGCCGCACCGCGAACCCCTGAGTTCCGCCATGTACCGACGAGCTCCCGTCCCGGCCCCGTCACGCCGGAACGGAACTAGCAGCATATGCCATTGTTGCAGCGTGGCACGTTGCCGAGTTTCCACAGGTCATGTTTGCCGCATGAAGCTCCCTTCAAGCTTCGATTTGACGGTGGGAGAAATCCATCATCTATGCACTCAACTGACACCGGGAAAAAGTCGTTGAAGACGCTTCTCCACTGACCACGATCCCTTTAAGTCGATAGCTTTGCAAAAGCGTTGTCTGCTTCAATTGTATGTAGTACAAGCGTAGAGCCATCCAATGTTGGTGGTGATGCGGGAAGAAGCTCAATTGGAGCGCCGATCTGCTCCGACCCAGCAAAGTTTTCAGTTCAGTAGGGGTCCGAGCTAGAACGGAACACCAAAAAACGTGACTATCAGACCACGCAGCTCACGAGGCCATCACCCAAGCAATAATCAACTCATCAAGTGCAGTCTGCAGTTCACGACCAAAAAACCACAATAACAACCGAGAGCACCAAGATGGCCTCCTCCCAAGCCGTCCTCACAGAGGTGCCCCTCACCTCCCTGCCCAAGCTCTCGACGGGCAAGGTGCGCGACCTGTACGACATCGACGCCGCGTCGCTGCTCTTCGTCACCACCGACCGCGTCTCGGCCTACGACGTCGTCATGGCCAACGGCGTCCCGCACAAGGGCGCACTGCTGACCCAGCTGTCGGCGCACTGGTTCCGCCTGCTGCCGCGCCTGGTCCCGGGGCTCCGCACCCACTTCCTGGCCACGCGGGCGCCCGACGCCCTGTCGGCCACGGACCGGCAGACGGTGGCGGGGCGCAGTATGACGGTGCGGAAGCTGAAGGTGTTTCCGCTGGAGGCTATTGTGCGCGGCTACATCACCGGCTCATCATGGAAGGAGTACTCGGCCAAGGGCACAGTCCACGGCATGGCGATGCCGGCCGGGATCCCCGAGTGCGGCACCGTGCCCGGTGGTCCCATTTACACGCCTTGTAAGCTTATCTTCCATCTTCCTATCTTCTTCGTATTACCTCTCACTCCTGCTCCATCCTTCCTCCACCTTCTAGCCGCTATGGTCAAAGTTCTAACCCCCCTTCTAGCTACCAAAGCGCCGCTTGGCCAATCTGACGAGAACATCTCCCGAGAGCGTGCCGCGGCCATCGTCGGCGAGAAATACGCTGCGCGTATTGAGGAACTTGCGCTTGCCGTTTTCAAGGCCGGCCAGGCGTATGCTGACGAGGTTAGTACTATGGACATGCCATGCCTTCCCCTGCCGAGCTTGGGGGCCCGAGGGCCGCAGCACGTCTGCCACTTCTAGTTCAGGACAGGACTAACTTGTGCGGTGGGTGCAGCGTGGGATCATAATAGCCGATACGAAATTCGAGTTCGGGTTAGTATCTCCAGGTCTTTGCATCGCCCCTTATTGCGGTTCTGCTGCCTCTATGGGGTGGATTGATGTCACTCCTCAGATGATGCCTTCTAGAATTTAACTACCCCTGGTGATTTTCAAGGCCTTCCCAACCCGCCCGAAAGCACTGGACAAGACATGCACTGACTGGTGAACATCCGACAGCCTTGATGAAGAGACCGACGAAATAGTTCTCGTAGACGAGGTTCTCACCTCCGATTCGTCGCGCATGTGGCCCAAAGACAAGTACGAGGTGCGTATCGCAGAACATCCGCCATCTCGCCCTCCCTAGACTATGAGTACTGGAGGAACAGTCCACACAAATCCGAGCTCGCCAATGATTCAAGCAAGAAAATATTTTACTGGAACTGGCGTGAAACTAACTCCAATTGTGAATCATGCAGCCCGGCCGCGACCAAGAGTCCTTCGACAAGCAGTTCCTGCGGAACTGGCTGACAAAGGAGGGGCTGAAGGGCAAGGAGGGCGTCGTCGTGCCTGACGACGTCCTCCAGGCTACAAGCGATCGGTATCGCGAGGTCTTCCAGAGACTTACTGGCAAGACGCTGGAGGAGGCGTTGCAGGAGGAGAGCTAGGGTGAGATGAGATCGTGCGGATCATATAAGCGGAAAAAGGGGGGCAGGCAGGAAAAGTAAGGGGGCGAGCAGGTGCTGAGACCAATGGGAATGGAAGCCCCTGGTTCGATAACTTCAGAACAGAGTATTGAGAAGCACCAGATACCGCGAAACACATCATCCTGCAAAGACTACATGTGTTGTTGTTGCATATCCGAAGGAGTGAGGTCTGCTATCATCATAGCAGTGTCAAAGTCCCCTGCAGTTCAACCTGCTCCATCATCATTGAACGAATGCAAACATCAAACCCCAAGACCTGTTCACGGTCACCGAACAGGGTGTACATTTATCCTAGGAGGCGGTTTGTGTCGGCGCACAAGAACTTCCATGCTTCCGAGCAAGCACGTATCCGATGCCGTGTGTACCATGTCAGAATACGCTCGTGTACCCATCCAGTCCTCCACATACATTTGTCATCAACCGGAACCCTGATCTTTTTCAAATACTCGCATCGCGCGTCACGTGGCTCGATTGGGGTCTGCCATCTGGGATTCATGGGGGGTTTTTGGATTTGGCGCAGACTTAGGTAGGTAGGACGTAGGTAGCAAGTAAGTTTTGATTACCATAGGCACTCGTTGTGGTGGCAAACAATCGGTGGCACCCGTAATCAAATGATCTAGCACGTGTGATTTAAGTTATGGGTTACTTATTTGCTCAACAAGGCTGTGGTTTCGTGTCGACGCGCTCGCTCCTCGACGGCAGACGACACCGCGTCTCGGTGGCGTTTGAGGCTTGGCGCGATCAACAAGTGACAATCAACGTCGTCAGTACCGTTCATATCGGTAGTCATATCTTGGCTGCGAACTCAAAGTTGTATTGACATTGTTCCCGGACAAAGAGATTGATGTGGTTGGCAGCCAGCATGGCCATGAGCGATGGTGGTCGTGCTGGGTTCGGGATACTACAGCACCGTTCACCATGGCCAGGTAAAGTACCTCGCTTGAGGGGTGAACCAGATTGATTGTGAAGGCTCCCTAGACCACAGATTTAACGGCCTGGTGCGATGGTGGATGCTGTGCATATCCTTACGTTGTGTTGTGGCTCCTCAACCCATTTTCCAGCCACAATGACGGATGGGTCACGGACCAGGATACAAGGTACCTTGGAGCCCAACGGGTACCCGTTTGTACCTGATTTGTACCCAACTGGGATGATAGCTACTTCTGGGATGGGAGCACCACCCATCCTTCCTTTCAATCAAGCAACTTCCAGAATACAGACCAATAGCCACCATTCGTGACCCTGGTCCTTATTCTGGATAACGCTACCACAAGGCACAGTGTTACGGGGCCAGTGTAGTACCGTAATGGCAGAGGTTATCGGGGCCATGCCACGAGGCAGAATCTGGTACGGAACTCAAATATCCCCTTGACCTCCTCACCTGACCATTCAATGTTATCAAAACACCTGCTCCACCACTCCTGCGCTGACAATCTCGTCACCCGTTTGCAGCCTCCAGCCATGTACCGCGCCAAGTTTTGACGTGTGTTCATCGCGTTCTTCACACGCGTAGACACAAACGGCACGCGTCTTACGAGTTCCTTAGTCCAAGTCCTCGGCGACAAGGTATATCGGTGAAGTTTAATTGATTCTAGATGACTAATTGTATGTACATTACGGCTTAATATTTACGCCGGGATTAGCTGACGGGAAGAGAGGCATGGCCAGAATTCCGATTCGCTGAAAAGAAGGCCCTTTGACAATGGGCAGGTGAGGAGGTGCAAGGGGGTAGAAAGACGGCAAGTTTCTTGAGGCCATAAGCGTTAGAAGTACTGTACATGTAAAAATTCGCAGTTGGTCACAGGCGGTATATCGTGGGCTGAAAAGGGGGTACGAACCGAAAGCATCCCTACAACGACACGTGGATACTGACGTGTAAAAGTAGACATAAGAGCCGCGCGACAAGTATAAGTTCACGAGGAAGATAACAATCACTGAAATTGTCGGATGAACTAAGCTTTCAGGGAAGGAGCCCGTTCAGCCACATGCAAAGAATCGATATTACCTCAAGTGCTCTTGAGGCTCACAGGCGCTATCTGTTGAACTCTAACTTATGAAGTCTTCGTGTTCCCAACCCACAGGTTGAGAGATGGTATCGATGTTGTGAAATCAAGTCAGGCTCTGCCGTAACCTTGAGCAAATTGACAATTGTTATTGTTTTTGGTGGCTCATGGCTGAACTCTGTTGGTCTTCTCCCTCAACCTCAATGCCAATATGGCACCATCTAACTTATGAAGCACACCGACGTACAATTAGACTGGAAATACTTGACAGAAGAAAAATATCTTTCTCATCTCTATTCACCACTTTTCGCCAAACGCTCAACACCACAACCACCAAATCACTCTTGCAAACCGCCAACATGCCGTTCTACCAAGTCCCGCCGACCTGGCAGCACAATATGATCTGGGCCACCGTCTTCGACAATGCAGGTGGACCCCATTCTGCAAATCCAGTACCGGTACTCCCATGAGCCAGCGCTGACTTTTGCACCAGGTCCCCAACGAGATGCCGGTGGAGAGGCTGGAGCAATGGTTCCGCTCCAACTCATAGCCTTTGAGCTGCAGCCGGACTGCTTCTTCGTCTACCGCCAGCAGTACCCGCGCAACCTAGGCCGCTGCTACATCAGCATCAACCTGTCCAAGCTGCCTTGGGAGTGCAACGATCCCCGCTTCGTGGCGGAATGCGTGATACGTGAGTTGTTTCCCTCTCGAATATCCATCCCTGTGATACCCTGCTTCGGCTGACCAGCAAAATAACAGAGACGACAATCGAGAAGGAACTTCCGTTCAACAACGAGCGCGGAAACATGCAGCTGAACATGACCACCGATTGGCAGTCTGTTTTGTTGAGGGTGCCCTGCCACCATAAGAAGTGCTCGGCGGACTGGCACGACATGATGGACTGGCACAATCCGAAGGACCACAGGTTCGAACTGGATCCGGAGGCGCCTGTATTCATACCGAGGGGCTCGGATAGAAGTGGGAACGCGACCACATCAAGGGCTACCGAGTAGGTATTGCCGCAAAGGTACCCTTCGAAAAGGCTTTGCTGACCGATGCTCCCAGACTGCTGACTAGCTTCCCCCCGGCACCAGACGTTACCTACCGCACTCATTCAAGTCCTAACGATATGGACGGTGCACATGCTCTCTTGGGCGTTTTTGGATTTCGGTCTTGACGTTGACGCATTAGATATTCCCTTTGTCGGCTTCTGCGCTGCTTCCTGGGGTTACCACGGTCGGGGTTCTTACCCTGGCGCTGCTACTTTCTAGCCCCCTGACAGGTGTCGTCTTGCGGTCATATGCCTGCCAGGATGGGGAAAACAGCCTTAATCAACACCCACGGCCCATTGCGTTGGATGCATGAAGCAATGATGCTTGTTAGGCCAGGCCATCGACCAGATGAGGGGATGGCGGGAAATGAGCAGTCGCGCGGTTGGGATACAGATCAGGTGTCTAGTTTGTTGCTCTCACAGGTACCAGAATGATATCACTTGTTTGCTGCATCGCACGCTGTTCAATCCTGACGTTGGCATCTCCAGGGCCTACCTAGCCATGGGAAGAGCGGCGACCAGGGAATATCTGATCTGTGATGTGATCCAATGGTGACAGAACTAACTGTTTTCGTCGTGTCATTCCAGCTGGGGCGAACCACACTGCTGGGATGACAAGTCGAAACGGCCTTGGTGCTGGGAATTGACGCAATGATGAAAAGCTCTGCTTCCCCAGCCTTCTTCGACTCTGGGATATTGTCAGGACCGTTTAAGGTTGGCAGACAGGGGAGGGAATGGTTCCAACCTTGGAAGGCGACCTGGAGCAGGAGCTGGGGGCGGAGACGGTGTGTTGAATGGGAGCCGGAAATAGACACCGGAAGATCTCCAGTGGGGCAGAGACGCACAGGGCATCTGACCCACCAAGAAGACAGATGATCAATCTCTGTACGCAGAACAAGAACACAATCAATAGAATCCATCAACATCCGTGTATTCAACACGGTGGCCCAAGCTCCCCCCAGCTCCCCCACTTGCATGCAGTAGGTCCTAGCTCCGGGCCTTGCCGCACCTGCGCCTGCTCCTGCCCCTCGGCTTCGGGGATACCCCAATTGGAGACCCGACTTCAATTGCACATGCACACGTCGCGAGAATCATCGGGCATCAATCAGTCCAGACTCTCTCTCGAGTCAATCAAGTACAGCTATAATATAGGTAGGCCAGTCTAACTCTGCGTCGAGTGCATCTTTGGCCTTCTTCTGTGCCATTTTGCCCCGGTCCGTCTGGAATCGAGCCATCGTTTCGTCTCCTTGGTGTTTTGTTCGCCAGAGGTGGCTGGCGAGCACCCAACCACCTGTTCCCAGCATCACCAATTCTGCCCCCGTCGCACACCCGCCTCGCACATTATGCCGTTGTCCATCAAAACTGCTCGCCTGCTGCGCTGTTTCCATCATGCAGCTGCATCTGCAACATTCTTCACGTCGTGCAACCAGTTGGCCAGATAGTCGAGTGGAGGAAGGCCGCAGCAACAGTACTACCTTGCTACATGTCACGACATACAATGAATTTCAACTACCACCATGGCGAACACTCTTCCAAGCGTACGTCTTTCCTCTTTTACCCCTTTCTATGATCCAGTTGGCTAATCCTGCTCTTTCTATCCAGAATCATCATCATACCCAACCTATACATACAACATCTCAGCGAGCTCGCCGCCGACCACAGCTTCACAAGTCACCATTCTCCACGACCCGCGCCCGGAACCTGACCAGAGCGTGGTGTCAGACCTCCCAACTCCCTCCCCACAGCAGACCATCGTACCCTACGCGCCGACTCCCCCGCCAGCTCGAACTCTACTCTCAGTCCCGTCCGAAGAGGAGATCTACGGGCCCGACCGATACTCTGGCCACTACCCTGTCGCCCTTGACAATGATACACTCCCGATGAGGCCAGCTCCCGCCGTACACTTCAACGACCAACCACAGCATTTCATGGCTGCCCCTCTAAGCTACCTTGCCGGCAGGGACTTCAAAGATGAGTTGGCAAGAGCGGCGAGTATGGTCACACCCGGAGTAGACGAAGTTCCCTATATCCGATACGCGTTGGACGCGTTGACCAAACCTCGCGAGGATGACCGCATGACTGGAAACACGTCATCTGATAGCGACGAACCATTTCTTCCCCAGCCTCAGGCCAATGTCGCCCTACCTGCTCCGACACACCACCCAGAGACAAGTACGAGCATCATATCGGACAGCCTTGTGTTGTCTGCTCCGGCTCCCAAGTCTCCATCTGCAGAGGAACACCTGCAGGCCAGGCGACAGCGCCGGAAGGAGTTGAACGGATTTGATTTTGATATCGATGATCTTGGCGATCCCCTCGATTATATGGAGAGGAACATGGACCCGCCCGTCGAACGCAGCCCGCCGAGAACTGTCGATGTCTGGCAAGCTCAGCCCGACGTGTGTGAAGGGGGCGACATGGAGAAGGCTCAACATTTTGCGCCGCCTTTGACCTACAAACCCTGGATTCTACGACCGCAATCCCTATTGCTGTTGATTGCGTTATTTGTACTGATGATCACGGCTCTGATTTTCAGCGCGATATACTCTATTGGCCGCAATGGTTTCATGACTTACGACGGTACGATATATGGTGGACAGTACTTCCTTTTCCGCATCCTGCCGCAGCTACTCGGGGCTGTCCTGCTTCTATACGCCCAGAGTGTAGTCGCTGCGGCATTTCGGATACTGCCCTTCTCGGCCATGGCTTCGGAGGACCGTCGCGAACGACGAAACGCTGTTTTCATGCCATTATACCCCAAATCGTTCTTGTGGCCGCAACTTGCCGGCCCTTGGAACGTCTGGATACCCGCAATCAATGTGTGGCTAATGAACATTACGATACCCCTTTTGAGCGGCCTTTTCACCGTTGTCCTGGTGGATGGCACCTGGACCTGGTCGACGGTTCAAGGGGTGGCGTGGACGCTTGTGGCCTTGTACGTATCGATGCTTCTGTCGGTACTCGTCATGTTTGTCTACTGGCGTCAAAAGAGAACCGGCATGATGAAGGACTGGGACCTACGGACCATCGCAGATCTGATCTTTCTGGTCTCGCAGAGCAACTCATTGTCCCAATACCGGGGACTGGAGTCAGTGGCGACGCGCAAGGGGATAAGGAGAGCTCTCGATGGCACCACTGAAAGACTTGGGTACTGGTTTACACCCGAGGTGCCGAGCAACTACACATTCTATGGCATTGGAATGCCTACAACCGAGGAGGATCTCGAAGCCGAGAAGTTAGACAAGCAGAAATGGGCTGAGCACCGGAGGGAATCCCGACTGGTCTCCTCCGACGCTGGAGCGGTACTGACCAGGCGCTATCTCCCTTGGTGCTTTCGCGATAGCCAGGTCGTTCTCTTTGCCGTGGCATCGGCCATTCTGTTGATCGCGCTACTTGTGGTCTCGTTCGTGCGCTCCACGGATGTGAGACATGGCTTCCTCCCTGGTCTCAGTGCTGGGCCTCTGACGGGTGCATTCTCACCTGCCGACTTCCTCTACTCCTTTCTCCCTTCGCTCCTGGGCCTTATCCTCTTCCTCCTCTTTCAGTCGCTCGATATCACCTTGCGGATTCTGGCTCCGTGGGGTGAGCTAGCGCGTGATGAGGGTTCACGGGCCGAGACTTCGCTCTTGCTGGACTATGCGGCTTGTCTGCCCTGGGAGTCAACATACAAGGCCATCAGGAATAAGCATTGGCGTGTGGCATTCATCACGTTCCTATCGCCGCTCTTCATCTTGCTACCAGTGCTCGGCGGAGGGTTGTTTATGGCACTGACCCCCTCATCCGGGGTCGTCCGCATGTTCCCAAACGTGCCCGCCTTCGCCATCGTCCTCACGCTCCTCTTCCTGTACCTCTTCGCCCTCGCCTCCTTCGTGCCCTTCCGGTCCCAGTACCGCCTGCCGCACGCCGTTACCTGCCTGGCCGAGATCCTCAGCTTCTGCTGCAACGAGCAGCTGCGCACGGACCCGGCCTTCGACTTCGAGCGCGTCGAGAGCCACGGCCACCTGCGGGCCCAGCTCGACTGCGGAAAGGACTGGCACCGCCAGGGCCGCTGGACGTTCGGCGCCGGCCACAACAACGACGAGAGGCCCGGCATCAAGCGCTACTCCAAGTACACGGTCAACAAGCGGAAGTTGAGCCAGTACGACCGGAGGGCGGCCGGGCAGGTCATCTCGCTGCCGCTGCCGCGCGGGAGCGGCTCGCTGTTTGGGCGCTTCTAGGGGACATTGAGTCCCCTCGTAGTGTTTTGCTTTGGCTTCTGCTGTATGTGTTTTGCATTTAACGATGTGTTTGATGATCTTGGTGATGTTTATACGATGTGTATTATTTGATGGACTTAACGGATTCATGGGTTATGGCTTACGGCATTATGGATTATGGATTATGGATTATGGTCGTGGTTTTGCTTTTGATTAGGTGTCTGGGTTTTCGTTTTGGGCTATGGGAAAATGATTGCATGGGGCCTATGGAGTTACCACGAGAGAAAGAATGGGAGACTCCTCAGGGACGGCTTCTTATTATCCAACCTATTCGCGCTACGGCTCCCACGAGACTGCGATCGAGGTTGGCGGCGAGCGAGCAATGCTTGGAAAGTATGTTTATAGATCTTACGCAGGAGAAGGGGCAAATGGGACACTCGTCCTAATCGAATAGTTGGGTGTCTGTTGTCCATACCCTGTCCTCTCTCGTGATTCTCGGCTCTACACTTGAATGTCTGCACAACAAATATGCACCATGATAGACCGTGATGCTGTGAGTGACAATGAGATATGATGTGTAGGTTGTCCTCATCGCAGGGCTGACGAGGGAGAGGGCATCTAGACCCGTCTCCCATCCTCCCCAGAAGTCGAGGGCGAGCTCATCTAGACCCGTCTTCAGTCCACTCCAGGGGTCCAGAGCATACCTCAACATTTCATCAACGGTGGTCTGTTTAAGAATGGCGTGTTGATCTTGACCCAGGCCTCAACCTTGATCTAGACCTCGACCTTGACCTAGACCTCGACCCATACAGAGACACAGACACAGACACTACTTAGGCGTGAATCTATGTTGGAATGTACATGTAGGTATGTAGGACTAGGTTGAACTCACAGCCCATTGTCCACTCATGCTTAACCTACAGTAGGTACCTAAGGCAGGCACTCCACCCAGAGTAGAGTCTTCAACGCGTGGAACAAGCCGCATTCATTCTCACTTCACTGCTAGGTAGAGTACGTCCGTCCGGTCCGTCCGTCTGTCCAATGTGCTATCTGAACTCGACACCGGTCCGAACGTTGACAGGTAGAGATACCTACCATCAGAGGTAGGTAGGTACCAAGCAACCAACCAGATCAAAAGATTGAAGTCCTGTTCGGCTCATTCGTTCGACAACGTGCTGAGTTGCTTAATGTGCTCATTCGCCAATCTGCTTGCTCAATCTGCTCATTTTGCCATTCTGCTCAGGTTTGCTTACTCATTCGCTCGCTTCAATGTTGCTTGCCATTCCGGTTTTGTTTGCGGCCGTGAGCTACATACCCTAGGTACATGGGTAGATAGTGGTGATATCGTTACACATAAGAAGCCCAGCCCCCTCGCAAAAAGCACCGCTGAGACGGGTCATGGGAAACGGGGTACAAGTGAGATAGATGGACTGGAACTGGTGCCTGTGTTCTGTCCCTTCCAGCCACTCCGTGGCACTGAGGCTGGTTCCATAAGGTACTATTGGTACATGTATGCTGTACATCCAGTGTGTCTGGTGTAGATAGTCCCCCATGGTCTTGCAACCCGTCCAATGTTCCGAGCGCTCTTCTTCTTGCGCCCCTCTTCCCCGCTTCATTCTTCCTATCGTGATGTTTTCCCACCGGCATTCTCCTTCTCGCTATGATGACGTCGTCTGAGTAGTCTATTTACAATATGTGTGTAGGCCGTGTTCCGTGCCGTGCCGTGTCGTGTCGTGTGAGTGTCGTACCATATCGTACCGATGCTTTATGATGAATGAATGAGGGAAGGACGAAGGACTGGAGACATGGAAGGATGAAGCTGACGAGGACAGGTACAAATGAGAACAAGCAAAGTACAGCAGAAGAAAATCCAAGTCGTACAGTAACGTATTTTTTTTCCGTAATATAAAGCCAAATATGAACCCGCCAAACAGTAGAATAGACAAAAAAAGGAAACGTAAGCGGAAGTCAGGGGGCGTAGTAGCACATGCCAGCATCAACATCCACATCTTTCTTTTCGTGAATCATCAAACATCGACGTCGAAACACCAAACAGAGGGGAAAGCAAAGCCCTCACTCAGCGACCCTTAAGGCCGAAGATCCGAACCAAGCTCCCACCTCGCTTGCGGCCCAGACTTCTTTCGGGGCTCTTATCTCTCTCCTTCTCGCCCACCACCTTCTCTCTGTTGTCCTTATCCACGGCGGCGACGATGACGGGACCGGGACTCGAGTTGGCGCGCACGAGGCCCGGGCGGCTCCGATCCGTGCTGCTCTTCTTCTTGTGGTGGTGCAGACCGCGCGCGATGCGCTTGGCGAGGCCGCCTGTTGTGCCGTTCCCGTTCTCGCCCCCGCCGGCTTCGGACTCGCCTTCCGAGTCGAACTCGAAGACGGACACGAAGCGCTCGACTTGTGGGCGTGGGGCTCGCGATGGGGAAGAGTCTGCTTCCGGCTTCAGCAGTGTCGAGGGGATGAGTGGCGTCAGGGGTATTGCGGCCTGGTGGGCGATGTGGCTGTGTTGTTGTCCACTGGAGTTCTGCCGGGTATAGGTAGGCCTGTTGGCCCGTATATTGAAGGCCGACTTGCTAGGCCGAAGGCTCCGTGGAGCGGGTGGCGGCGGGTAGGCGGGAGAGACGGGGACTGACTTGGTGGCAGCAGCAGTGTTATTCTCCGGCAATCTACTCTTTGATTCTGCAAGATAGAAAGATGGAGAGGGCTTGGAGCTGGGCAATAAACGAGGTTGGGCGATGTAAAGTGGGCGGAGGTTGTGAGATGATTTGCTGGGTTTCAAAGCCATGCTGGACTTCAAGGCCACGCTAGACTTGCTGGTCCTGAGGAATGGGACTCGTCGTGGTGGCGAAGGCGGAGGCTGCTGCTGCTCCGTATTCAGGGATGAACTTCGTGGTGGGAGGGCAGCGCGGCGGATATCTGATAGTGATGGCTTGGGATAGACCGAGTATGAGACCGCCGGGGCTGGTGCTCTTCGGGAGGAGGCTGGTCGTGGAGGCGATGACGGCGATCCAGAGCGAGAATGCGGTCGTTCAGCGGGCTTGGTTACATACTGCTCCCATTGACCTATTCTGATGGTATCATCATCTGTATCCCGTGGTTGGTGCCTCGACGGTATGACGTTGAAGCAGTCCCTGCTCCGTGAGGCTCTCAGGACAGAGGCTCTTAGAACAGCCGGATACTGCTCCTGGGGAGCGAGTGTACTCTCAGGCCAGAAACTATCCCACAGCTCGCTGGCGGATGCATTATAGTGGCAGTCGTCGTCGAAGGACAGATCCGAGTCGGACGAATCTGTCATTCCAGGCACGGAGCCATTTGATGTTATTGAAGATCGACTCTCGCTCGACTCATGATGGACGAGTCTTGGGTAGGAGAAATTGGTCTCCAGGCTTGATTTCTTCGCATGCCATGTTCCTGCTTCGCTCACAACGCCCGGCACCGTTGTCCCAGCACCGATGGCCATATTGATTTGGTGTGAAGAAGCTTCGAGGGGGCTGGTAAAATCCATGATGACGATGAGCTTGTGAGATTAGATCGACCAAGATCGGATATTTCTGAGTCTCTATGACGGGGCATGGGAGTTTATAGAGTATCCTCTAGGCAAACTTGGTGCCCTACCAAGACAGTATAACGGGGAGACTGAGCACTACTCTGTCGCTCCGGGGATTGACAAGGGTAGGCTATGATGATATAGAGGAGGCCAGGCAGGGGGATGGGGGGGGGGGGGGGGGGGGGGGGGGGGGCGGGCTTAGAATGTGATAGGGATATGGTACCTACGATCGACTGGAGGCGTCGGCAGTTTGTGCAGCCCATATGCACAACAGCAAGGGAGATTCCAATGCACAGTCCCCACCACACCCATCCCTCCAATGGGTGTCTTAGTTGAAATCGTGCATCTCGTATTTTCGAAGAAATCCGTTCTTTACCGGTAGGATGGCGTACGGAATGCCACCCAAACACTCGTGGATACCGACCAACGTGCAGCGGGAGGAACAAACGAGGCTCCCGCGGCGGGAGTGTATCGAACCCACGATAATTCTCACCTGCACTCGTCCGTACGGAAAACCGATAGCTGACACGGGGGCCAGAAGCAAGAATGAGGACTGCGCCACGGTAGGGCCCAGGCCGCGGATAATTCAGCCCTGTGTGCCTGTCCTCTGAGCCTCTCTTCCAGGCCCAAGCCAAAGGAAGCCTCCGAACGCCGTCAAGCAGTCAGTCAGTCGACGAAACGTAATGAGAATCACTCTTACTTGGGTCTGCAGAAACAGCGAGCGGTTGTCCTCGGAAGGGACAGCCGTAGAACAGGTAGGGTCCAGCGGAAAGAATGGGAGACACACGTTTTCTGTGTTCCATTCCAGCCACAACGAGACAGCCCGGGCCTGCCACTGGAGCTAGCAGAATCCGCATCTTTGAAGGAAATGTTGAAGGAACGGCGGATGATGGATCAGAAAGTGACAGAGGGAGACGCGATGGGACGAGACTCGTCAAACTCTGGGCACACCTTTTTCAGTCGTCACTATCACTGGATGTGCGACCAACAATTCAACCAGTGAGTGTATGCAGTCAGAGCCTAGAGCCGCGGTGGAATGCTGTATTCCTTCGTATGCAAACTCCAGCACTCTCTTGGGCACCTCGATTGGTGAGCGGGCGGGCATCGTTGGCTGTTGGTCGTGAGATAGAAGAATAGCTGACAATGCCCCGATACACGCCCAATGACGTCGACTCGATAGCCGGATACCCGGAATCCTACTTCATAATCCTGGGTACGATCGCAGACTCGTGGCTCGGTAAGGATCGCCGGGTCGCAGGTGGCAGACCTGCAGTTTGTGTTGGGCCCGAAGGGTGGGCTTGGCGGCTCCGACGCACTGGTTGATCGGCACAATCGAAGGCTGGTGCGGTATGTGACATGTCGAATTGGGAAACCCGTGATCTGGGATGAGCTCTCTTCTCGTTGTTCTATTTCAGGTTTGGAGTGGCCTCGACCCTGATAGTCTGATAGTCAGTGTACCTAGATCTAGTCAAGCATGTCAGGTGGTGGGTGACAGCTTCATCGAAAACACCGCCAGCTACAAGGAACTCGGGCGGTATTGAGCCTGTCCGTCACCAGCGTAGACACCAGCGATTCCGAGGGCGAAGTCAAGTATGGGCATCGATCACCGCGCCACAGCGAATGAGTTGACCTGTCTGCAGTTTATGCAGGGCGCGCGTGAGCAATCACTGATCAGTTCCGAGTTCTGATTGCGATGGTGTCTCGGACTCTGTGCAAACGAACAAGCTGCGTTGACGCGAGGACGCCATCAGATATGGCAGGCAACCATGAGACATGACAGATGACAGATGCATCTCCCGCCGTATTCGGGCTAGGGGAAAGAAGCCGTAGAGTGCCGTCCCGCCTCTGATGTCCAGGTGCAGGTGTCGACAAACGGCCGAGCGGCGAGGTCCGAGAGGCTGCGGAAAACGACGTCAGCTGGTTCTGGCAGTTGGGCCCCTGCTGGCGATCATCGTGGTGTGGCTGAAACCCCGTTTGGCGAACCCCCTTTCAGAACAAACACCCCTGAAGCCTCATGGACCCCTGGACCCCTGAACCCAGTCGAAGGAGGAGAAACACGTGCGGTAGTGACACCGGCGAGCTCCGCCATGGCGACCTCCTTGGCGCGGCCCAGGCGACGGGAGGGATGGTCTGAGGTGTGCCAACTGCCTAGTATGCTGTCGAGATGCACCCGTGGACAATACCCTAGGTAGGTCTTACGGCCGCAGTGACGACCGGTCGACTGCCGGTCACGGTGAGGCCCTGTAATCGTTGTCACCGGTCGAACCGGCACAAGGGCGTCCTTATGAGGGGGTCACCTGGTCGCACCGCAACATCGGACATCTTCATGGGCGTCTTCAGGTGCAAGAACCTAATGATTCAACATCAGACGAGGTCGTGCGTGAGGTGTACAGCTGAAAGCTGCTTCAAGCCATAACGTCATGCTGATCGTCACTGCCTCATTCGTGCACTCGCCAGAGCCCTGGTGCCTTCCAGTCATCTGGTCCTCGGGAGACAGCTTCTTCTCTTCGTCAAGGTCAGTCGATTTATTTTATTATTACTTAGGCTCTTCAACTGCAAGGGAAGAGACCCAAATGCCCTAAAATGCAACAAAAAGCAGAGCCCCTGTGCGGTACGCAAAGTCTAACAGAATAGAACGCCACAGATCGTCAAGGTCAGGCAGATAGGACACATTAGAAGTCTGCGTAGCAAGCTATTCAGCACCGAACCTGTATATCCTCCTCGGCGACTGGTAGTGCTATATCGCTGCCCAAGCGACCACCAGGACAAGGACGGCGTGGCTTATGAAACTCTGTCGGCGCTGTCCGGGGTTGTTTCTCCGTGGCTTGCAGGCGTCATGTGCGGCCGGGAGACTGTAATAGCTGGGGCGTTGCTGGTCAGATGAGGATGGATGGGAGAGGTGCTCATGACCTTATCTACCGAGGAGGGTGTTACGTGAGTTTCTCCTCAGAGTATAACTACTATTTTCGAAGAATAATGACATATGGTTATATCTTACTGCAAAACCCAGGCGTCGATATGGTAAGATCCAGCTACTGATGTCGTTCTATAACATTAACGATTTATTCTTCAAGCAGCCTGGTACTACAGTCAGCCCCTTGAGCTGTGTCCGAACACTTGCAAATGCACGCTTCTGCTCAAGCACATGACTGCTGAATATGAAGGCTCCTAATGGAGCGACTTAGATATATCCACTATTCGCACACAGCTTGCTCATTCCGCAGTCCGTAGTACCGCCTTAGCTAGGACCCGGGTACCATATCGTAATCGTCAAGACTTCTACTTCCAGCCTCAGGGAAACCACATGGCAAAACACCGTCAGCTGCACCGTCCGTCGGCCGGCGACGCACCAACCTGGCGTCCTGTTCAGCGGACCGAACTACGCTTCCGAGCCTGTTAGATAGAACCCGAACCCTTCGTTCTAACTCTCCATCCGATTCTCGCCAAGCCCGGCCATCCATTCTTTCGCGTTCCTACCCCTAGAGCATGTGGTGGTCCCATGCAACTCAAACCTCGCATGCGAATGCCATTGTGGGATACACCAGCACGAGTTCTCGTGGCGCCGCCCTTGCTTCGTGTACGATGTTCGATGTTTGATGAGGTGCGACGGCCGAAAAGTGACTCGGCCGCAACCTGCACATTGTCCACGATCTGACCTACCTTCCTCCGAAGCGTCGCAGTGGGCGATACGAAGGGGTAGGTAACCACCGGCGGGCGGTGCTACGGAAGATCGGCACAACGGCACAACGGCATATGCACATCCCGGCAAGAGATGCCCTTATGGGCCATTTCAATTCCTTCAAGAACGAACGAGAATAATGGGGGCCACGGCATAAGAGCGCGGTTATATGAACGTATACCCTTTTGGACCTCATCCAGATGCTTTGGAATGTGATAGGACGCAGCAGTCGGAAGACATGAGGCTCACGGGGTACACCGAGATCGAGCTGCTGCCGGAACTGTTTTGTCCATCGTCGAGCGGATCTTTCCTGTTGGTAACAGGCCAAGATGAGCTGGGCTGACGGCTCCTGGCTCTAAACCAACCGTCCAACAAGGAAACAGGTATAAGCCGTGGTCAGCTGACGATGGTCGGAGACTTGTCGTCCATTCGTGTTTCGGACACGCCTTGAGTCATGTCTGCTTGATTTATCATGTGAGTGGAAGGTCAGTCAACTATGGTCTGGTTGATATAACCTAGATGTTTAGTAGGCGGCCAAGAACCATATGATAGTTGCGATGCTCGCGAAACTTCTCTTCGTCTGGATATAGCATGCTTGTATCATATTGAACGTACCCCTCCCCTGTTCGCCCCCTATCTGTATAGAGCATATGGTGATGCCCATACAAGCTGCTGTAATGACCTGCAGGAAAAGTAAGGTCGTATCATCGCCAACCCGGATTCACTCTGATTGTTAACTCACCCAAAGAGCCGTCTATAAGCTACACTGCCCAGTCCAGAGTCCTCAAACCATGCATACCATTAACACAAGTAAGGATATCAGTGCTGCTTCTAATATCCTCGGCCTGGCACTACTCTGAGTCGGTCAGATCGGGCCAGAGAGCAGTTCTGAGCTGTATCTTAAGGGACCTACGATAGAGAACTCATGTCCAACCGAGTGAGTGTCTCAAGTCGCGAACCGCTGCAATGGGACGTCTCTTACTGGCAAATGAAAAGCAAGGATCTGGCGATAGCAAAGCTGCGTGTCGGGGGTAGAGAGATATCTAGCCCATCCCTCTCCTATAGGTAGCAGCACTGGAATCGTTAAGGATGAAAAGGCGGATTCCGTATAAATAAGCTGATCATCTTATTCCCACGGTGTTCTTGAATGTGGCGGTTTGGACGAGACACGTCACACTCGGCTGATCAATATCAAGATCACATCTATGGAAGACCAATGCTACCGTGGGTGCGGGAAGGCGACAGTATACTGACCACATCAAGCAATTGTGTTAGATGTTAAGGCAGGACAAGTTCATACATAGGCCCTTGGCTGTCACTCACCCTCTCCTGAACTTGGTTCTGACGGGGAATCTGCGTGATACAGATGTAGGCCTCTCCATACTCGGCCTTCTGGACTGCTGTATGAAGCTTGGGGTGCTCGTGCAGAACAGATAGTGGACAGAACAGAGCTTCGAAGCTCACCCACCCCGCAACGAGCATTGGCCGAGTCTCAATGATCGAAGCCGGCCAAGGTAGCGATGTGAAGATTCCCATTGGCCAATTGCTTTCTCTGTTCAAGCTCGAGCTACGAAGCACGCATCGTCCATTGGTGTTCAACGTTTCCGTATGAAGATCGTAAAGCTTTACCTTCTGATAAAATAGGCGTATGCAAGGTACCGTGCTGCGACGATCCGGGGCATGTTGCCGGTGGCAGCTTGCGAGACATGCAGGATGCTGTTGAGATGGCCCTTGCGTTTGGCCTAGACTTGCATATCCCTTAGCATCTCAGAGGCAGGAGGTGAGACTCCTACATGAACGATGTAAGAGCGTTGCCTGTTGGTGCTAGACAGCATCGCATATGTTTGCAAGTGAACAGGAGTTTCGGAAGATATCCGCGTGTGCGTCTCATCTGTCTGGATGTCAGATGACGCAGACGCACTGATGAGAAGAGGATCGTGGAGAGAATTCAGAGGAGCCCGTGCTGGCAGGATGAAGCCAGTAGAGCCAGGCACTGCCCCAGCAAGAGAATCAGGGTTGCCAGGCTTCCCAGAGCGCTGGTTCGGGTTGTGGGGAAGGGCTGCAGGGTTCGCAGGTGCGCTAACTCCACTGAGATGGGGGACCGTTTTGTCACCGGCCACCGTCTCGCCAACGCACTCTTGAGATTTGGTGCCAAGTTCCAGGTTCCAGCCCCCGATAGTCTGTCTGAACGGCGCCGCTCCCTCTTTCAACCATCGGGGTATGCGCTGTTCCTTTGCACTGTGTCACGCCTCTATGCTGTACGATGTAGCCGACGGGTAGGCACCTTCTAGATCAAAGAAGAGATGCAGGTAGCAACGGGTGATCAGGTAGGTAGCTACAAAGGTAGGACAATGTCGACATGTTTCAATCATGGCGAAACAACTCAATGCACTGCCCTATGATAACGACCCTTGCAATAAAAGATCAGTCCATCGCAAAACGGCGAGCTTCGAAAGTGAGGCGTACCTGCCAACTAAGTAGGTAGTCTACGGGACTTTCATCTTAGAGACCAGCTTCGCCATGGGATGATCCATGAGAAACACCCGCCTCTTTCAAATACCTACCTAGGAAGAGAAAATAAATAGGCAGCGAATGCGCCTGGTGCTCGCGGAGGGCCGTGCGAGATGCGAGCTGATGCAAGTCTTCTCGCGCTGTCTTGGTGTCTTGGTAGCTCCTTCCGCCATGTTGCCGTTCTTTCTACCCATCTCTACTACCTATATTAACCTCACTTTGACTGGCCGTTGGGTGTAGGCAGCCCTATGATTGATCACATATGACCGGAGACTTCGAATCGATTGCGTGTGCTGCCACATCCGCCCAATACCGGCTGGCAGCTGGGCTGCAGTCGGTCAGCAGTGGAGAGGCGGTGGGCGGTGGGCAGTGAGCGAGCACCTGGGGCATCAGACCGATAGCGCTGCGAGGAAAAAGTGCACGGCAACAACAAGAATCCCCACGACGACGAGAGCAGACAATGCCACGGCAACATCACAGCATTGACGCAAGCCAATTCTTCTCTGCGCTCTCTTTTCCGAGCAGTGACGCGTCTTAACCGCTGAGCTGCACCCTATTCGAACATTGAACCCACGCGCCGCGTCAATTGATTGGTATCGTTCGACCACCAGCCACCCATCTTCCGTCGCAATACCAACCTCGCGCATTTCCAAGGTTCAACACCACATGCAATTTCTTGGGCCTGCCAAAAGAACCACTGCACTCCCTTCGCCTGCACACACCCAAGATACTTGCACATTCCTCTTGACTGTTCTTCTGCAACTACTGCATTGAACACAAACCTCCAATTGCCCCCACCACCACTTTTGTGGTGAACACTCACATTGTCTTCTCCAGCCTCAGATCGAGCTAGACGGCGATCATCCGCCAAGTTGACGATACCTAATCCCACCACTCCCGTTTACGACTGTCACGAAGTGTACGACTCCCCTTTACCAACACCCGACCAGCGCCGGCAGCAGCGCAGACCTACCCCCAGGTCCCCTTCTTCCCAACAAGCTCACCAACCTCCCATTTCCACATCCGAGCCGGGATCGACGCCAGCTTCTCATCGTCGCCTCCGCCGCACTCCCAACTTCTCCGCTACTCCCAGCCCTCGCCCAGAGCAGCAGCAGACTCACCAGACGCGCCAACCCCTTGGTCGTGTCACCGTCGCTCTCGGGCCCGGAGGTCGCTATATTCTTGCTGATGCTAAGCCGAAGGTTCGCCAACGACCCGCACGCCAACTCTCACAGGACAATCTCAGCGGGGATTCCCTAGCAACCTCATCTCACCTACCCTCACTGCACAGTCGACCGAGCCACGCTTCCCTAGACCCGGACAGAATCGAACCGCACCCCGTCGTCCGCATCTCCAAGCATACCCACAGTGCCATTCTGTATGCGCTTGAGGAATCACTGCGCGGACCCAAAGACATCTCGGACGATCCGGTCGAGTTATACTCTCAGATGGCAGACTTGATGGGTGGACGCGGCCCGCCCACCACCAATGGGAATGGAAGCGCATCGGCGCGAGCCACAACCGCCCGCGCTGCTGTTGGCTCTCCTTCCGGGATTAGAGGACCTCGAATGATTATGCAGGAACGAGCAGCCCGCGAGGCAAGACAACGAGAGGAGCGAGAACGACTAGAGCGGCAACACGCCGAAGAGGAGGCGCAATTGCGAGACGAGGCGGTGCAAAGAGAAGCAGAGCGTAGAGCTGCCGCTGCTGGCGCTGGTACATCATCAGCCGGTGCCATCCACACTGGTGCAGATCCTTCTGCTTCACGAAGATCGGCACAACCTGCACAACCTACATCAGGTCGTGCCACAACTGACAATGGCGCTCGCACTGCGGGGCCTTCCCGGGTGCCCTCCAGTGCCCAGGCGCAAGCTTCACAAACCACGCGCCACGGACGAACTACTTCCGGTCCTGCCCAAGGCGGTCCTGGTGTCTCGTCCGGCCCGGCGGCTGCTGGTCCTTCCGGAACACAACCTCAACCTGGAGAGTTCTCAACGGCTATCGGACGAGGTAGAAACTCGTTCCCCCATGCATTCGAGCGCTGGGAGACTCTGTCTGCTCACTGGGAGGGATTAACTAGCTTCTGGATTCGCCGGCTCGAACAGAGTTCGCAGGAAATCAGTAATGATCCGGTTTCGCAACAGCTCTCCCGACAAGTTACCGACCTGTCATCTGCGGGTGCGAATCTGTTCCATGCCGTGGTCGAGCTGCAGCGCTTGCGGGCCTCCTCGGAGCGCAAGTTTCAACGGTGGTTCTTCGAGACCCGAAGTGAGCTAGAACGCAACCAAGAAGTCACTGCCATGCTGGAATCCGCGCTGGAAGAGGAACGACGGAACAGAGCCGAAGCAATTCAAGAAGCTGTCGAACATGAGCAAGGATCCTCAAAGATTCAGAAGCAGCTGGCCGAGATGCGCAAGGAACTGACCATCTCCAAGGAGGAGGCTCGACGTGCGTGGGAGGAACTTGGTCGACGCGAACAAGAAGAGCGTGACCGAACGACATCTCTGCAGCTCGGTCAGCCCACCATCGTCGGTGGCGTCCAGGTTGTCCCCATGACTCAGAGTGTCAGCCGCGGTAACAGCCAGCCGGATCCTCGCTATGCCCAACCCGAATCTTCAGATTATGCGCAGTCGCCCACCTCGCGTATGTCTCGTCCCGAACAGACTCCGGCTCCGGCTGTTCAGCCAGTCGCAACCTCGGCCGGCAGTAACCCTGCCTTCCAGACTCCTTCCGCCGTGCATCATCAGCCAAGCTACGGTTCGGAAGGAACCTATAGTGAAGGTGAGTACACCATTGACGCCCGTGGGGATCTCGTGCGGGACTCTCTTCGGGATAAAATGCCCTCTCGTGGTACTCCATGAGAAGGTTCTGACGTTGGTGTAGAAGAATTCGAGACCCCTGCGACGCAGCCCGGCGTGTACCAACCGACCGGCTCCGCACCACAGCAGCCCCGGTACTCGTCGGCACCGGACTACAGCGGCACCGGATACTCGGCGCCCGGATGGGAAGAGATGCAGCCGCGTCATCATCACCCGACGCGTCTAAGCGATGTGCTCGAGGAGGAAGAGGAGCGAAGCCGCACCAGTGCGAGCCACAGTCAAGTCAGTCGGCGCCACTAACCCGAGTGGTTCCCAACTTCACCATCACGTTTGTGAGGGAACATACGCCAGCGAGCTCGTTTCGGAGAATGACTGGACATTCTCCATGATTGCATAGAAGTTGCAAGTAGAGGACCTTTCTTCTAATAATTTGGCGCGGATACCTCAGCATATTGGAGTTTTGTGTAGAAGATTGTTTCTCTTCGCCCCCTTGCATCGGAAAGGGACTTTTGTCAGAGGCGTACCGTGGGCATAGCGCGAAAAGTAGACAGACCGGCATGGACTGCTTTGATTCTTTTTGTTATGGCGAGGCGTCGCTATCCATCGGAGATTCGGCAGGCGAGCATTTCGGGAGCATTTGCAAGGCACGGCATTGCGCATTCTTCTCCTTTACACCAAAAACCTTTCTGCACCGCTCTTGAAGGTGGATGACCGAACAGCCTGGCACCCCTTCGAGTAAGCATTGTTGACGGGCACCTTGGCTTGGAAGAGAGAACAACATTTGTGGGAATAGAGCACGCGGGGCGGAGGACGAGCATGTCTGGCTCGCTCTCATCTTCGTGGAGATGTCGGAATACACTTTGTAGTTATAGTAATACAGGGCAATGGAAACCAAGCTCATTCCGTCGGACTTCCTCATTCCAGAGCATGGCAGGCAGTGTGACTGACAGCGGAATGGAACAGTAGACCTCGTGATAGCGTGTGGCTGCATGCTCCGAACTGCACTGCATTGCTGTGTGAGGCCAGACCCGACATTCCTACTCATCACTTTGCTGATCTCCTCCTGCATGTGATGCGCTGCATGTGTGGTTCAGTCAATGAGCTGGACTGTGGCTGAAGCTGCCACAAGAGGCGCGAGCAGAGCTACCAGACGCTAGCCCTGGAAGTCCCGCTATCGGATTCTGTCCTCAATTAACACCGATGGAGAAGATTTGGAGTTGGTATTGGAAACATTCGATGACCAGGCCATAGTAGAATTCAGCAACGCAACCTCGAAAGTCTCCTACTATACCTACGCCATCCCGACGGACACATAGAACTGGGCAACGATGTCGCGCCCACTGGTACCCTCGAATCCACTCCTGCGCTCTCTCCTGCAGCAAGCTCGGCCACGCCAACAGCCGCAGCCGCAGCCGCAGCCGCAGCCGCAGCAGCAGCAATGCCGTCGTCGCCTCCTCTCCTCCACCACGCGCGCACAAGCTCCCACGACAGCAACAGCGACCCTCCTCTTCTCCCCAGCGACCAGAAGCCCCCGCCAGACACCGAAGACCTCTGGTGCCGAGCAGCGCCGCTACAAGTCCAAGACGGTCGAGGAGCAGCGCAGCCGGTACCGCACGGGGCCGTTCAGTTGGAAGGCGGGCTTGCTGTTCGTGGCGGCGGGCTGCGGACTCGCGTGGTACTTTGAACATGAGAAGCAGCGCATGCAGCGAAGAAGAGTAGCTGAGGCTACGAAGGGCGTGGGCAGGCCGAAGGTCGGGGGTGAGTTTGAGCTGGTGGATCAGGATGGGAAGGTGTTTTCTAGTGCCGATCTTAGGGGGCGGTATAGTTTGGTGAGTTGCCTTTCATCTTCCCGTCAGCGAACGGCACAAAATCACTAACAGCGTTGCCCTCAACCCAGGTCTACTTCGGCTTCACGCACTGCCCGGACATCTGCCCGGAGGAGCTCGACAAGATGGCGCGGATGTTCGACCTGGTCGAGGCGGAGAAGCCGGGCGCGGTGACGCCCGTGTTCATCACGTGCGACCCGGCGCGCGACGACCCCAAGATCCTCAAGACGTACCTGGCCGAGTTCCACCCGGCGTTCATTGGGCTTACTGGCACCTACGAGCAGGTGCGCGACGTCTGCAAGGCGTACCGCGTCTACTTTAGCACGCCGAAGGACGTCAAGCCCGGCCAGGACTATCTGGTTGATCATAGTATTTACTTTTATCTGATGGACCCTGAGGGCGACTTTGTGGAGGCGCTAGGGAGGCAGCATAGCCCGGATCAGGCGGCTAAGGTTATCTTGGACCATGTGAAGGACTGGAAGAAATAGGGGAAGCTGCGAGATAAGGCGGGGGGCATCTATAGGGAATGGGAGCCAGAAGACACAGGAAAGCTCAGGGGTCGATGGCGAATAGGGGAGGTTGTACTATATGACTCTGATGGCGAGGCAGAGATACTCCCCTCGGTATGATATGTGATACTACTGTACATGAATACATAACAAGCTGCGTTTATAGCAATCAGAGAAGTCACCTGTCACCGACTTGATAGAGTACTTTCCCGTAGAAACCTAACGTTGAGATTGTGTGTACTCTCGTTTCAAAGGAGCCTAAATCATACGTAGTTCTTGCATTATGGTCTTTAAAGTCTTTGCAACTGCCCAATCTCATGGAATTGAAGTCGAGCTCTGCACGGAGTTGGGGATCTTCCGATAAGAGCCAAGAGGCAATTGTTGACACATTGAATTGCAACGTTCGAGTTCCCCACTCTCCAGTCTCAACCCACCCACTTACTTATCTCAAGACAGACAGCAGGCCCGGGTTCTAGAGGGCATATTGTGTGTACGGTCTCGACCTAATGCCATGATTCCACGGTGATTTAACAGTGTTCTTTAATTTCTCTCGCTCTCTTCCTCTTGCAATCATGAAGGCTTGCACGACTTCCTTGCTGGCCCGGGGCTTGCTTCGGCCCCACTCGTCATCCTCTCTGCTTGCGGCTGCGAGTCCGCAGTCACCACGAGTGAGCGGCCTCATATCGACACGGTCAAGTCTCGCGCGACAGCATGGAAGGATTGGGTTCAGTCGGTCATTCATCACTGACGAGAAGGCGAGCGGTGCTTCGAAGAAGAAGGCGCTCCCGTTTGCTTTTGCGTTTGAGTGAGTACAACCTATCCATTTCCAATCTTTGCCATACACCCACGACACGTATACATGAGATGATATCACATACGAGTCACAAGAACGCGAATGAATCTTGGAAGTATTAACATGCTAACGCGCCCCAGCATCGATGGCGTCCTCCTGCACGTCGCCAAGCCCATCCCGGGCGCCTCGGAGACTCTCACCTACCTGCAGCAGCACAACATCCCCTTCATCCTGCTCACCAACGGCGGCGGCAAGCACGAGGCCGAGCGCGTCGCTGACCTGAGTGCACGCCTGGGCGTGTCTCTGTCCACGGACAATTTCGTCCAGAGCCACACGCCGTTCCAGGAACTGGCGCGGCTGGGCGGTGGCAGCTTCGGGAGTGTAGACGCGGCGGATGCGCAGAGTCAGGAGGAGAATCATAACGGTTCGCTGCGCCACAAGAACATTCTCGTCACGGGCTCGGACCCCGCCAAGTCGCGCCTCATAGCCGAGCAGTACGGCTTCAGGTCCGTCATAACCCCCGCCGACATCCTCGCGGCACACCCGTCCATCTTCCCCTTCGAGCCGCTCCTTACAGAACGGTACGCCGCCACCGCGCGGCCCCTGCCCACCCCCAACCCCAAGATTGACGCCATCTTCGTGTTTAACGACCCGCGCGACTGGGCGCTGGACTCGCAGCTCATCCTCGACCTGTTGCTTTCGGAAGGTGGCGTGCTGGGCACGTACTCGGCCAAGAACGGGCGTAAGGATTTGGAGGGACACGGCTGGCAGAGCGACGGGCAGCCGAGGCTGTTCTTCAGTAATCCAGATTTGTTCTGGAGCGCTTCTTATGATTTGCCGCGGTTCGGACAGGGCGCGTTCCAGGGCGCGCTGGCGGGCGTGTGGGCGGAGATCACGGGGGGGAAGGCGAGCCTGAAGAGTACTACGATCGGGAAGCCTTATGCGCTTACTTATGCGTACGCGGAGCGCGTGCTGGGTGCGCATCGGGCTGCTCTTCTTAAATCTGGTGGGGGCGATAATACCAAAAAGGAGACTGTGGAGGCCGAACTTCAACACGAGATGCAGGAAGCGGAAGGCGGCGAAAAAGCGGCGACGGGAGGGCTTGATGGGAACCCCCTGGAGAGGGTCTACATGGTCGGCGACAACCCCGAGAGCGACATCCGCGGCGCCAACGAGTACCGTAGTCCTGCTGGCACGGACTGGACGTCGGTGCTGGTGCGGACGGGGGTGTGGAGCGCGGAGCGCGGCGAGCCGAAGCATACGCCGCGCGTGGTGGTTGATGATGTTAAGGCGGCGGTGGGGTGGGCGCTGGAGCGGGAGGGGTGGCGGTGATGGGGTCGGTGATGTTGATGTTGAATTGTGGTGAGGTGAGGGTGAGTGAGACGATCATGGCGTCGGATCGCACACACGGCATCGAGGCGTATTTGATATCCGGTGTTTGAGGGGTTGAGTGTTGGTGGTTGAAGGGGTATAGATGCAGAGGCGCTGGAGAGTGTGTATGATTGAGGAGATGAAGAAGAGATACATGTTACGACGTACAGCACGGCGCTGCTTGTTCGTGGTGAGAGGTGTCATGAGGTGATACCTCGATGAAGACAAGCAAACCTATAGGGTCCAATTACGGACGAGGTACTTGGAACAACTTTTATTATACCTCTATGGAGACTATGCCCTTCGATCTCAAAGATGTGGTTCTGCAGTCGCCTTGCCCTTGGCCGCGTTGGCTTCCTTGGCCCGGCACTGGAGATTTGGTCTGCCAATCTCTCAATAGTCTTAGAAGCGTGGGGTCATACTACTGTTCCTATCATGGTGTTAGGAAGACTGACATGGCAATCATGAGATCCGTGCAGGTATACTGACGGATGGCGTTTTTGCTTCACCTTTTCACCCTGTATCATGACTGGACCACCCCATCAGTCATCGTGTTGGGCTAATAACCCATTCTTAGGTAGCAGCCCTCTCTAATCAGGTGCATGAGACATCGGCCGTAAATATAGATCTGTAGGTACGTATGCTGAGCCGCGTTGGATGAATAATAGTCATATATATATGTAGCCTTTTGCTTCTCTGAGAACACGGCCTGATGGAACAGCCGGGATCGAGGATGAGGCAATTACTCAAAACAATGAGCCAATCTGCATGTTTTCAATGAACCCCAACGGGCAATGTTTTTAACAAAATTGTTGACCAAGGCATGAGAGATGGATGTTGGTGTTCGGTGCATTGGATTCAGGGGCCGGGCCGGAGCATCGGAGGTTACTGATGCCGATCTGAACTTCTAGGTTGGGGCCGGGGAGCTGCATACGTCATTGGTGCACTTTGTCACTGCCAGTGCACATCTTGTGCAGCAGCAGCACGTGTGACCTTGGCTGCTTCTGAAAGGCCAACTTGAAAGGGGACAAATTCGATAATTGTGCATGTGCATCGCATTTCCCTACGCAATCCTGCCTGGCCACCTGGCTGCCTTGCATCCATCAAGGAAGTCAGGAAGCCGCGTCACTCGCCAAGTTCTTGGAAGATAACCTTAATGTTTACCGTGTTCCTGGGCTCTTTGTTGCCACATGACAACGAGTGCCTGCTTCCATACATTCCATCCAGCCGAGTCAACCTCGACTGTTAACGGTCTCTCCCATCTCATCAGGCTCAATCACCACGGAAAGGGTGCGACGCAGCGTACCGAAACACTCGCAAGTTGCAATGAGTCACGACCCAAACTGGAAAGCTTTATTTAAGGTTATCTCCCCTGCCCAACTACCCTGCTGGCCCCTTGTCGTCGCTTCGAATTTGGAGACCATCGCGCCGTCCCTTATTACTATTCCCAATACAGAGGACCCCTGACAGCCCTGCGCTCGTTCGATATCACACTTTTCCCCTCCAACCCTCTCAGCGCTCTGCCTTATCGGCCACTAGTACGGAGTAGGCACAGGAGAGACCTCACGCTAGAGGAGGGGGAGCGGACATTGGACACTTTTGACCAGCCAGCCTGGAGGAAGGAAAGGGATTCATCCTATCCCATCTCCTCCTTCCCACTCATCACGCACAATCTACACACCACCACACAGGACACATCTGTGTGTTACACAGCCAGCCATCCGATACACAGGGTTGCAGGTGCTTCAGCTGCCAGATAGCAGGTCCTTACCTGCACCACTCTCCCACCGCGAGTTCCCCCGTCTCTCCTTCGCCATGTCATCTGCTTCCACACCGAACCTCACCGGCGACGTAACGCCGCTTCGATCCGCCATGAAGCAGGACGACGATAGCGAGCGAGCTCCCGACTCGAGTGCTGCGCCAAGCATAAAAGGTTGGTTTGTCTGTTTTATTATACTCGGTTATCCCACAAGCGACTGTCCACGCTGTTGCCTTTCTTGCTCCTCGTGTGTCCTGCCAAGACTGATGTGCTCCTGTATCATCGGATGAGTACCTGGGTGCATATCGTATGAGTCTACCTACCTTGCGGGTTCACGAGTCAAATAATCCCATTTCTTCAGACCATGTACCGTGATGTGTTGCTCATGCTCATGGGCTCGCGCGGGGATGACTTCGCAGGCACTACACCCTCATTTTTCACGGGGTAGCTACGAGTAGTCAGATTCAGTCCGAACGCAGTTAGGACTATGCAACTCCGGAAGTCCATGAGTTAGCTTTCGAGTGTCTCCAGTGAGATGCAACATTTCTGTCCCATGTATGGTTCTTGATATTGATACTCACATAATCTTAGCTGTACAAATCGCCGAACCTGAGCCTGAGCCTGAGCCTGAGTCGCCACACAAGAAGCGCTTCTCTGCAGGTCTTGCAAAGCGACTGAGCGGTCGCCCACCCATGCAAAGCGTCAGTTCTTCCAAGGCGTCCCTCGCCAGTCAAACCAGCTTGGAGGCTTCAGGTGGTCATGCCGGCAGCCAGTCTGCCCACCAAGGCCCACAGGATGACAGTCAGCCTCCTCACCACCGACATCGACTGGACCGCGTAGGTGAAAGGCTGGTTTCCCAAGTCGCGGAGTGGCTTGAATATGAACGGACCAAGAAACAGAACAGGAAGTCAAGAAGAGTACATTCGACCAGACGGAAGTCGCACAAGGACGAGGCCGAAGGAAGTGAATCTCAAGAAGGAGGCAGACAGAGGACTTATTCCCTGGACTCGCAGTCCAGTGACGTCTCTCTGGACAGACTTCAGAAGATCATCGATGATAGCATGGGTTCCCTGGGTCTAAGCGGAATTCCTCACCATCCAAGGTTTGGCAGGAAGTCGCAACGAAAGCGTTCTGTTCATCTCCCACGGCCGGCTTCATCCGATACGGAGTACCATGAGGGCGATGTCTTGGTTCCAGGTTGCGATGGTATGCTGGACAACTCGAAAGCCATGAGCTATGCCGGTGGCAAGGCCACTCCTACAGATGAGAGCGGCGCAAACTCAAGCCGAAAGGAAGCAAAGGAACGTAAAGCATGGATCACATTCAAGAATGAGGTTATCCGATTGGCGCACACCTTGAGGCTGAAGGGATGGCGACAGGTGCCTCTGGATAGCGGGGAGAAAATAGCCATTGAACGCCTCAGCGGGGCTCTAACGAATGCTGTCTACGTTGTATCCCCGCCCGAGGATATGACAGGGAACACGGAGGGTAGTAGAAAGAACCCACCAAAACTGCTTCTCAGGGTGTACGGTCCCCAGGTTGAGCACATCATCGACAGAGACAACGAACTGAGTGTACTACGGCGGCTTGCACGTAAGAAAATCGGGCCTCGCTTGTTGGGGACCTTTCAAAACGGCCGTTTCGAGCAGTTTCTCAACGCGGAAACGCTCACCGCAGAAGATCTTAGGGACCACGATACCTCGAGACAGATTGCTAAGAGGATGAGGGAACTCCATGACGGTATCGAGCTACTCCAGGATGAAAAGGAAGGCGGGCCTGCAGTGTGGAAGAACTGGGATCACTGGCTTGATAGAGTCTCTCGAGCAATCACATTCTTAGACGGCAAGATTCTTTCGGGGAAGGTTGGCCCGGTTAAGAGCGCGGCTGATGCTTGGAAAGAGCGAGGCCTCATATGCGGAACAGAATGGGCTGCTTTCAAGGCAATGGTGGACAAGTATCGGCAATTCGTGATCGACCGATATGGCGGCGTCAACGTCATACGCGACCAACTCGTGTTTGCACACAACGATGTGAGTGTGAAGAATTCCACCTTGAGATGATGTGCTAACCCAGGTCAAGACCCAATACGGAAACATACTGCGAGTCCGGCCTGATGACAAAAAGTCACCCTTGATGCAGCCCAACTACGAGCACAAGCAACTTGTTGTTATAGACTTCGAGTATGCTGCTGCAAATGTGAGGGGCTTGGAGTTTGCAAACCACTTCACCGAGTGGTGCTATGACTACACCGATGAAGAGGCCTCCTATGTGTGCAACTCATCCGTGTACCCCACGCCAGAGGAACAGTACCGCTTCATCAAAGCGTACGTGAACCACCAACCGGAATATCCACACCCAGGCGCGTCGACACCAAACCTAACACCTCTTGCGACACCCACTCTCGAACCTGGCACACCAGGTTTCAGCCCCAACAGTGCCGGCTCAGCAAGTTCTATAGTAGATTTCATGCTCGACGCTCGCGTCCCACCGGGCGGATGGAAGGAAGAGGAGAGGCGTCAGGAGGAGCAGGTCAAGAACCAGGTCCATGCGTTGATGGAACAGACGCGCCTGTGGCGTGTTGCCAACAGTGCGCAGTGGGTTGCTTGGGGCATTATGCAAGCGAAGATCCCTGGATTTGGTGATAATGATGGGAAGAAAGAGGCGGTCGAGTCAGCTCATACTACCTCCCTCGCAGCGCCGCCGGAGGAGGAGGAAGGAGACCCGCATGCCTTTGACTATCTGGGTTACGCACAGGAGAGGGCCATGTTCTTCTGGGGAGATTGTGTCTCTCTGGGACTGGTCAAGGTGGAGGACTTGCCTGAGTCCATGAAGGGCAAGCTCAAGGTGGTAGATTATTGATTTCATCTCATCAACGTGGTCAAGGGTGCGGACTACATCCGTGGTTGAGGACTGGTAGTGCAGTAGCACTACGAGAACAATAGTCAACAATAAATAACTCTTCTTTGGCAGCATTCTTGTTGAGATATGGCGTCTCTGGTGGTTGTGAGTAATATAGTGAGTTCTTCTAGGCTGGCCAGCTTGACCCTCTATCGGATACGTTGTTGGTCAGATCTGGTCCGGCGTAGCTCATCAGTTCATCATAGACCCTCAGATGACCAGCCGAGCTGCCTAGCTAGATGGCGTTTGCAAGAACGATATGTGTCATCGCCACCGATATAATGCTCTTCGCTAAGCCGAATCTGGACATATTATGGTGGTGGATTTCCTACCATCCAGGTTGACGCGACGGTTGACGCCGTCGTGAACCTTGATATGGGACAGCCACACATTCATTGTGAGAACAGATTTCGATTTCAACCGGCAACAATGTTATGGCGGTAGGATTTTAGTTGTTCATAGCGCGCACTTGCGAAAATAACAATAGATCGTACGTCACGTCGTGATTACCAAGTCACATGTTGGCCACCCCCCTCCCTATCTACATTTCCCCCCCCCCGAACAGTTTGCCCTCTGGTCACCCATACTATCGTCCCAAAGCCTCCTGGTCAATGCGCCCAAGCACCGATGGGTTTTTACCCGTTCATGAGAATATATCTTGAGGACGAAAAACTCTGAACCAAAGCCTCCAGATCAGGCACTCAATTCCCCGACAGACCTCTACGACAGCTTGCCTTTATCGCTGACCCTATAGACGACCTTACCTTTCACGATGGCGCCTCCGTTTAATGAAGCCCAGATGGAATATCTGGAGAAGGGCTGGCAATTCCGCTTCGACAACGAGCCGTGACCGAGCAAGAACATCACCGGCTCGACCGCCCTGCTGTGCAGCAAGGTCGGTCCACCAGTCACGTCGCAGGATGTCGGCCGGCGAGCCTTCCTTACACTTACTTACTTGCATCCATTCCTTGCTTCCGACCTACTGACGCAACAAAACAGCTACTTCTCCAACCGCGCAGCGCACGAGTCCGGCCGTCCCCGCGCGCAGGCCAAGACGCCCCGGCAGCTCGGGCTGCTCGAGGCCAGCTTCGCCGCGGACCACTACCCCACCACGACCCAGATGATCATCCTAACACACCAGACTGGGGGCCTCCGGCCCAAGCCGGTCAAGGACTGGTTCGAGAGCCAGCGGCGCAAGCTCGAGCGCAACGGGGGGCTGCTGTTCACCAAGCGGGATCGGGTGGGCATGGATGAGGCGGGTGGTGCGGCGCGGGCTGCGCGCATGTGGAGACGGTATGGGAAGGAGGGTGGGCGGTATGCTATGGACTTATGGTTGGGGAGGATGGGGGGAGGACGGAGGAGGAGTGGGAGCGGAAATGGGGTGAGGGTGAGGGTGAGGGTGAGGGTGAAGAGGGGTGAAGAGGTGAGAGTAAGTATCACCTCTAGGAAGAGGAGCAAACCGAAGGTGCAGGGTATTCCACGCTGGCTCCTAGAGGGTCCCGAGGGCAGGGCAGGGTAGGACATTGACAGCTTGGTTGACGGATCTTGATGTACTTCAGAAATATAAAAAGAACTGCTTCCTAATCGTCCTCCATGACGGGTCGTACAACAGTCCGGTTCATGGCAACATTTTCTGGCGGTTCGGAGACGGAGGGCGCGGGCCCGTACATACGGCATTCCGCAAGCGGTGACCCACGAGTTTTGAGCGCATGTTGGAAATCGTCTTTGTGGGCAGACTATCAGATCCCGATGGTTATCTTCCAATTCTGACGGGAGACAGCGTCTAGCAGACGCTTTATAGACACCATTTGCTGTGGCCATGCATCTTTTGGATGAGGCCGTTTGGGACTCAGTCTGACCTCACTCACCGCCTGGATTTTGGCCTCACGTCGGATTGAGGTGGAATGAGGACAAGACGGCCAGCAGGTGACTAGCTTGATGAGCGGTGAGGCTGGCCTTGGAGCACAGTACGACTGCGACTTGAAGCATGATCTACACTGAGTCCCCATAACTCTCCCTACGCCACCTGTCTAGCAAATAATGCTAAATTTATCGATTCGGAATGAGCACTATAGAATAAGCATTGGGGGTAACGTATCACACCAGAGCTGCTTATTCCTGTATGCTTATTCCAGGATTTCTAACTATCTCACTGGTAATCTGGAGTCGTGCCAACATGCGCGCACGGAGACTTATAAGGGCTGAGTGTACCTTAATCGTCTGTCTTCATTCCCAGATGTATAAAGGGTTGAAACCCGCAGCCGTCTATGCGTCTAGCTTGAGGTTCTCTAACATGACGTCGATCTTATGGAGTAACACCTGGTAGTTGATGGCGTCCGCGGCGAACTCGTCACCGACGAGTTCGCCATCTAGCGTCCTGACGGCACCGTCTAACTGACCAGGTCCCTCTACCTCCGTCTTGGCCTTCCCCGTGACCTCTGCTGGCTTCATGTCTGTAGGAGCTGTCTCCTGTCTGTGCCCCAGGCCGTCTTTGGTAGACTGGGTCATGCTATTGAGATTGAGGGCGTCTGCTTGCAAGCTCAATGCCTCAACCGCTGCTTCGTCGATCTCTCCGGTCTCATCCAGCATCTCGTCTAGCCCCGCGTCCTCGAAGCGAAGTCTAAAGCGCTCCCCTAGGTAGTATCGAATGTCGTCGAGCAGTTCAATTGTGTCCGTCTCTTCTCTGTTCTTGATCCTCGCTGCACTCTCCTGGACGAGCTCGGCGAACTCCTCTTCGTCGATGTAGTCCTCTAGCCTGTATGCGATATACCGTTCTGCAAACTCTTCGAGACGCTGTACTCGAAGGTCCCAAGCGGCGTGGACAACATCGTAGACATTGATGAGCTCGACTTCGATCTCGACTTTTTCACCGTCGGAGCCATGCGTCCTGTCCATCAAAACATTGTTGTTACCGCTCCCAAGCGAGCTGATTGCCACAGCGGCTTTGGTTTTCAACTTGTCGAGAAACAGCATGTCGGATGCGTAGAGCAGGTCAAGACCGAGCTCCAGGGGGCAATCAACCTTTTCAGTGTACAGGAAGGTGAGGACGATCTCAAGAACCTCGGGTATGCAGTCCACCTTGATAACATGTAAGTGCTCGGACTCCTGAGCCTCGAGAAACTGACTGGAGAACATAGTCTCGAAATAGGGGCTCCGGATCAGCATTGCCTTGTGAACAGGATATATGATGGATTTCTTGGGCTTTTGGGTGCCAGTCTGCTGTGATGACTGAGCACCGGGGCCAATAGGAATGCTGTTTTGCTCTTGATGTTCCTGTTCCTGCTCCTCTTCGTTGCCTTCCTCCTCATCGGCACGCAATAGGCAGTCGGCGAAGATGGAGTTGTCGTGTTGCCACTTTACCTCGCTCACCTTCCGGGTATCCACGGTCATTTTGTGCCCGATGACCTTCTCTCGGAAGAAGCCTTCGATCTGTTCCTGAGCTCGGCTGACTTCATCCTGGTGTCTCTGCCGGGCTAGCCGTCGATCGTTGCCAGAGAGAATGGCCTCCCACAGTTTGGGAATCTCCAACTGCTTGCTGACCTTGTCGATTCCTGTCAAAACCTCCTCCTCCGTGTTGCTGCTCCGTGCATCGACTATCTCCTTGGGGACCTGGCCTAGATACAGATACCGCAGCACAACTCGAAAGGAGTCAATCGGTTTTGAATGAGGTAGCTTCCAGGTGGCTGTTTCCGGAGCCTCTGTGAGCTTCTTCTGGAAGTACGGCGACCTGGCTGACAAGATGAACTTGTGGAGCTCAAACGACTCGGACTCTTCTATGAGCGTAATATCGGAGGTTTTGGGTACTGATCTGGTGAGCAGAGAGCTAATATGAGCCGCCCAAGGTTGCAGGGGATCCGTAGACTTAGAGTAGTCGTATTTCAGGAGCAAGTTCCGGATCTTGTCATTGAGGGCATTGTAGATGCATCTCTCTCCCTGGAAGGTATCCCGCTCTGCTGCCGCTCCAGCCTCAAGTAACAACTCGACCAACTCATAGTGGCCACACAGACTGGCCTTACGACGCCTGTGTCAGCCGTGTTGCCACTCACAACGTCGACGTAATGGAAGACCTCTTACTCACAATGATCAGAGGGGTATAGTCGAACCGGTCCTTGCCGTTCAGATTTACGCCAGCTGATATGAGCTCCTGAGTCCGCCTCAAGTCTCCTCGGCGGCACGCTTGCAACAGCTCGTTGAAGCCGTCGCTCAGGTCGAGGGGGTTCTCATCGCGCAGCAGCCCGCTCTGGACTAGCTCGAGGTCATCTTTAAGCTTTGCCTCCAACTCGTGCTTGCGCAGGACCATGTTGTACGAGAAAAGAGATGCAAATGCTGGTCAATGATGATGAGCGGGAACCCTCCATGCAAACAAAGAAATAAATAGTTTGCCTGGAGCAGAGGAGAATCCGCTAACTCCGAAATAAGGAATGATACTGGTTGGTTGGTAGGGTTGCTTAGGTATGTCATCGACGCCTCCCCGGATCTTGTAGCCAGCTGCCAGTCAACCTGTGGTGGCGACATCGGGATAGTGGTCATGGTGGGGGTATTCTGGTATCGATAAGAGGACGCATGGGCCAGGTCTGATTCAAGACCGTCAAGACAGCCCGGCAGTTCAAAGTTCGACCGTCTTCAATGAGGTAAGCAAACCTTCGATAGCTGACAAGATGTACCCTTAACGATCCCCTCTTAGGGGCCTTATCATGGACAAGCTTTCGACTCGAAGCTCGGGATGAGGTGTCCCTAGAATTTGCCACGTGACTTGGCTGAACTCAGCGAGAAAAGGGGTCTGAACAAGCTTCGGTACCATTTTTCGCACCTTGCGCCTAGCGGTTACCACGACTGAGCAAGAGTCGTAGCGTGTCTTCCGAAAGGAAAGTATATATCAGGCTCAAATGGCCTCAACGTGCTGATAGGTCAAAACAGCTCAAAGTTCAAGCCCAGAAAATGGTTCTTCTACCTGTCTTCACATGTCCGCTGGCATGCTATATATTGCTGTCCCCTTGCCTGATTTTCTTGTTTCACAGTAACTCTTCCTCCGCACTCTCAACACACATCGACGAACTCCAATACAGCCCCGAAGCCTCTCATAACTCACTGCTTGCAGTCAGGACGATATCCAAAGGCCCAACGACAGCAGCACCCTGAGCGCCCTTAACCTCCACCAAACCTCCATAGCTATCACACGATCACGGCCTAGTGTCGCAGGTTCTGCAATAGCAACGCTCCTGGCATTTGGACTTTAGGAGACCAACAACTTCTCACCATGGGTCGCAAGAATCGACCAGCAGCCCCGGCTGATACCCGCCCGTCCGATCATGGACATTTTCCAGCCGCCCCGAACCGGCAGCACAATCAGCGCGCCTCGACTGGTACCGGTCAGGACGTCCGCGAGCAACTGTGGTGGGATCCTTCGACCAAGACCTTCCACGTCGACAGCACCCTGACTCACTACGCCCGAGAGCTCGGGGACATCAACGTGGTTGCTTACCGCGCCCGGGACATGCCCTTGCCTCAGCAGGTCCCGGGCGGGCTCTGGAATCGGGCGGGTAGCCGTATTGTTCGCCCTTTTCGAGATCTTCATCTCATCTTCATCTCATCTGCAAAGACATCGGAGCAGTGGTCATGGCTCGGAGAGAGATGACAGACTCCAGAGACAGTACCTGAAGCACTGGGCTCCCTATAAGGTCGAATACGGCCATATACAGCCAGGACCTCCGCCTTTCGCTCCTAGAGTCGCAGTGTTCGAGACACGATAGATCAGGTTGCTGCACACTTCTGGGCGGGAAGAGGTTGAGCTTGTCATATATAGTATAGGCTAATTATAGCTTGTAGCGGAAGAACCAATTCGATATAGTATAGACCTTACGGCACCACAACAGATTGCAGTTGTTGGCAGCCTCGGGTAAGGAGTTGTCAATGGCGGCCTCAACTTCACGCATGCACAGCCACGGCGGGATAGGACATGATGCAGCCTGGCGACGCGGACGTCTGTTCTTTTCTCCCTGTTCCACGATTCTCACGACCGACCGCACTCGTGAGTGTCTCTCTTCAGCCTTTCGCGGTGCTTTCCTTCTCCCTTTGCGAACCTACATTTCTGCTGATTATGCAAAATGCCCGTTCCTTTTGGCGTCTCCGTCGGAGACTTCATCGGCGGCATCGAGTTCATCTGTTCGATCAAGGATGCAGTGGAAGCTAGCGCCGGCTCGCGTGCCCAATACCATGGCGTACTTGCGACGATACAAAGCTCACAGGAGACCCTTACTCACCTCAACGAACTCGACGTCACCCCCCGAGCAGAAGAGCCGCGTAAATGCCATCGTAGGCGCTATAGACACTCCATCGTGACACTAGCGAGCAAGATACAAAAGTACGACAAAGGACTCAGCAAGAGCCGAGCGGATGATTGGTGGCGAGCGCTTCCGCGGAAAATACAGTGGCAGCGTTCTTCGAGGGAGCATGTACTCTGGTTTCAGAGCGAGCTTCAGCAACATGCTACATCTCTGCAATTGGTCTTAGCGCAAACCCCACAGTAGGTACCTTACCTTAGGTTCTGTGTTCAAGGCATCTATAGCTCAAGTTAATGTTGCGCAGGGCGACTGCTATCGCCCAGTACACCAAAACCTCGGAATCTCTACAAGCACTCAAAGACCAAGTAGACCAGCAAGTTTCGTCTGCTATTAAGCGCCGATTGGACCAGCAGGACGCATCTGCCGCGGATGCCTCTATCGCCTTGCACCGACGCATGATCCGCAATGAGGATGCCCAGGCCACGTTCGCTTCCACAGTAGAGCGTCGCTTTGATGAACAGGAAGTCATTCAGTCGCGGACCGCAACGGATGTGTCAACTAACGGCCAGAGACTTGCGCGGGTGTCTACGGCTGTGGGCTTCATTTTGGTGTGCCTCTTCCATGTTGGACGGGTCGTCGGACAACTGGCTAGGTCTATACCCCAGCGAGTCATGCTGACCGCTGGCGCCGTGAGCTTCGAAGACGCACATGCCCATGTATTCCCAATATACACGGACTTCGTGCAGACGTGGGACGTAGGTAGTTGCCTGCTTAGAAGTCGCATTTCGACGCTAACATTAGACGCAGGCATTCCTATACGTCCTGACTGACAATTTCAAGGACAAACCCGGCCTTCTCCGGGTACAACGACGTCTCTTTGAACTCAAGGATCGCTACAGTGAAACGGGAATTGCGCTCTCACAGCCTTACAAGTCGATCTTTCGACCTGAGCGCCATATCCAGATGAGGATACTCTTTGAGTACGCGGAAGTGCCGCTTGAAACGTGTCCAAAATGTGGCACTGCCGAGAAAGGTGATGCTAAAGTAGGTGTCGAATGGTAAGACGCAAGTAGAGTACCATTGGGGCCTGATACTAACGAGCAAAAGTTCAAATTGTGGTCTCTGGTACACTAGGCGGCAGACCGTTACACTCCCATTATTACCACTTAATGCAGATATGGTGCAAAGTTCAGGAGTGGGTGCTCATGCCGGCAACGGTACCCACTCCAGGATAAAACTACTGTCATCCATAGACTTTGTCGCAGACAAGCCTGCCGACTTTGCACGCATATCTATCAATGGGAAGCCTTCACGGCCCCTTGCCCCCTCCCCTTCCGTCGAGGAGGACGGTGAGAAAGATTCGGAATCTGACGATGCCGACAATCTGGAGAGCGATGAGCTTGGAAGAAATGAGGAGGACGAAGAGTACGACGAGAATAGAGGGGACGGCTCGAAGCGCTTCGATCAGTCTGGAGGTTCCAACAGGTCCCGCGTGCCGGCATCGAATCTCTCTCCCGCCCTTGCTTCTATTCCAATGTCGATACCCCACATCCGCCATCTGGCCGAAGAGGATGCGCCTCCCCCTCTACCACCGCCGAGATATGTCCCTCCCTATTAAACTTCGATCCGGGATTTAAGCCGGGGCGTATAATCGAACCTCGCGTCAGGCGCACCCATGCACGATTCGACGCAACAGCAGGAGCACGACAAGGTACCGATCGCATGCAGGCGCACAAACGCTACCAGATGCAGCTCAGGATTCTCGATTTTGAGAATCAGCACCGGCGGCTCCTGACGCCCGAGGAAAAAGACGCCTTTACAGCTGGCTCAAACGGACTGGAAAGATACCATGATCGGTAGCATGGCTATGACTGAGCCTGCCTCGCAATGAAGCATATGGCACACTACAGGACGATGCCACTTCCTGTCTCTTCTATTTTCTGCTTCCATCTCACACCACGCGGACAAGCGACACTAACAATTAAAGAACGGCGCACTGCTCATACGCAGAACCTTCCCCAAAGGCTTTTTGAAGTAGGATAGTCCGACTCTCACCTCCAAGTGTCAAGCGAACTGGGCAGGGACGTCGAGACGGGACAAACCTCGATCAGAGAGGTAGTCGTCGCAGCTGGGTGACATCGCAGCTGGGCCAGGCTGGTAGATCCAGTGGGCAAGGTGTGCAGATTACGTCCAGCATCGGCAAGGAGAAGCAGTACCATTTGCGACAAGGTAGCAAATGCTCATGGGAAGTGTGTGAAGTCACCGGTACAGCAGCATAATGCCGGAACAGCAGCATAATGGGTATGAGTAGTGGTTGAATAGTGCTGCAAAGATTGCATATCATGCTTCATGTGCAAAGCCTTGGTCGCAATAGTATGATTGAGAGTCCAATGAAGCTTCTGCTTATCATGAGAGAACCTGAAGAGGTTTCAACTTGTACTCATGATACCTGTCGGTGGCTATAAAGAAAGTTGCATATCAATCACCTGGACTAGGCAGGTACCCCAGGTTCAAACACGTGGAATAACCACCCAATCATTGCTTATTTCAAAATTGATTTCACTTGCTTGCCCGCCTCACTCTGAGTTGGCACCAGCAACGGCCAGGCCGTTGATGATGCATTCCAGCGTCTAGCGCTTAACAGTGGTTCCCGCAAGTGCGCCGCTGGCGGTCCCACTTGGTAGGGTGGGACCAGCTGCTACTGGTTGCCGGGCCACCGCAAGGTTTGTTGACGCATGGGGTAATGGAGCTACCAGGCAGGTCCCAGTGCACCGGTTAACACCATATGCACGCCGGACAACCATTTTCTGTGAACATCTTCACCGTTCACGATCCTGCATTGCTACAATCTACATACCACTCTACAGTCCACAAACAACCTCCAACGCCTTCTTCCAACACGTCGCATGGCATAGTAATTGCTCCTTCCTTTCCTTCCAAGCAAAGTCACCGTGCACCCTCATACCCACCACGCCTGCACGTCTAGAGTACCTACATCATGGCGGAAGCTGAGTACGAGGTGATGGAGAAGATCGGTATGTTCCCGGCTGCAGAGCGCATAGACTGACATGTGAAGCTGACTCTACTCTGCGACGTAGGCCATGGCTCCTTTGGAGTCATCCGAAAGGTCAGGCGAAAGGTCGACGGCATGGTTCTCTGTCGCAAAGAGATCAGCTACCTCAAGATGTCGCAAAAGGAGCGCGAACAGCTGCACGCCGAATTCCACATCCTGTCGTCGCTACACCATCCTAATATCGTCGGCTATTTCCACCGAGAACACCTCAAGCAGTCACAGGACCTCCACCTGTACATGGAGTACTGCGGCAACGGCGATCTTGGCCGAATGATCAGGAATCTGACTCGCGACAATAAATATGCAGAAGAGCATTTCGTCTGGGAGGTCTTTTCGCAGCTGGTCACGGCGCTGTACAGGTGTCATTACGGAAAAGCCCCTCCAGAGGTGGGACAGAACGTACTGGGAACAGGCGTTCCGCCCAAGTCGAAGCCCACCCCAGGCAGTATGACGATTCTGCATCGTGACTTGAAGCCCGAGAACGGTAGGCCAACCCATGATAATTCCTGTATGACCCAGCTGATCCAGTATAGTCTTTCTCGGGGAAAACAACTCCGTCAAGCTCGGCGACTTTGGCTTGTCCAAGATGATCCAATCCCACGACTTTGCCTCAACATACGTTGGCACTCCATTCTACATGTCGCCTGAGATATGCGCCGCAGAACGCTATACACTGAAGTCCGACATCTGGTCATTAGGCTGTGTCATGTATGAGTTGTGTGCGCGAGAACCTCCATTCAACGCCAAGTCGCATTTCCAGCTCGTACAGAAGATCAAGGAGGGAAGGGTTGCAACATTGCCCAGGGTATACTCGTCAGAACTGATGGTTGTCATTCGGGACTGCCTGAAGGTCAACCCAGACTCAAGACCCGACACCGCAACATTACTGAATCTCCCAGTTGTGCGACTGATGCGCATGCAGCGCGAGGCTGTAGACCTGAAGTCCCAGCTAGATGCCAAACTGGGTGCTCTTGACAGGAAGCTGAGAGAGGCGGACAAGAAGCTGGCTAGCATCGACGCCGACAAAGCATACGCGCGACAAGAGATTGAATCCTCGTTGCGGAGAGAGTGGGAAGTCAAAGCACGGCTCGAGATCGATCGCCTCGTAAATGACGAGATAGAATCTCTGCAAAAGCGGTTCGAGGGAGAAGTACAAGCGCGGGTACAGGAGGAACTGCAGAAGAAGTCAGTCACTTTCGGCGATGTCGAGACTCAGGAGTTCACATCCTCAGCCAAGTCGGAATACCCACAGTCTGTTGCTGGCGCAGACACAGACGGCGAATTCCCATCTACTACGGATATCACCGAGTTCTCGGTTGATTCGCCTGAGGAGGCCCCCCTCAAGAAGAGCTCACGCGCGCCCTTTGGCCGGGCGCAGACCATGTTCGAGCGCAATTTCGGAACGCCAATGGACGTTGACATGGCTTCACCATTACCAATAGCACCAATAGCCATTGCTTCTCTGTCCCTATCGCCCAGACGCAACAATGCTACGAAGGCGCCTTTAGCCAACGCGCCCACTATCTTCGATGAGGTGGAAGAGGACGCGCGATGGAAAACGACTCGAGACATGGACCCGGTGCTGTCAGAATCTGACGAAGACGACGATGACACGCCCGTCATACCGTCCCCGACCCGGCCGCCACGGTCGAACAAGAACCCCTTTGGTCCTCAGCGACCTGTCCTCACATCTATGAAGACGGCCCCAGTCAACCGGCTCAAGACGCAAGCATCCTCCACGGGCACCAACAAGCCGATGCCGCCCCTGCCTTCGGCAACGCACTCAGTCCCGGACCTATCCCTGCGTCCCCAGCCCAGCAACGGCGCCCTCCGCGAGCGCAGCAACTCGCCCAACCGGCGGATGAGCAAGATCCCCTCGGCCGCCAACTTGCTCCCCCTGCCGAGCAGCGGCGAGAACAACGGCCTGCAGCGCAAGCCCTCGCTGACCAAGAAGGACCCGGAGTCGACGCTCGCCAAGGTGGCGGTCAAGAACAACGTGCGCGGCCGCACGCTCGTCGAGCTGCAGCAGGCGCGCGCCGGCGGCCGGCCCGTGTCGGTGGTCGAGAACGGCAACGGCGCGAATTTTAGTCCCAGGCGCGGCGCCTCGTTCAAGGACCGCTGCTTCGTGGGGGAGCCCGCCGTGTGGGACCCCGAGAGGGACGAGATGCCCAGCCCGTTTCTTGTGAGGCGGAAGCCGGTGCTTGTTTCTCGCACTATGTAGTTGGCTACCTTGGGTACCTAACTAAAGTTGTTGACGGTAGATGGATGGGGACCAGGGGAGAAGAAAGAAACCGCGTGGGAGAAACCTACTACAGGTCCTGACTGACTGGATTGATGGAGCATGGCATGGCGTGCATGATGCGTAATGAACATGGCGGCATGGCGGCGGGCGTATGCGTGGCATGGTCTTTTGTTGGAATTCATACCTACCTCATAGGTACATTGTTAGAGTCTGGAGTTCGTGTTCGTTGTTCGGGGTCAATTGGACCTCTTGTGTAAATATTGACTGAATTTATCTATGGCATTTGGCATGAGCAGTGCGATTGGGTGATTATTCTGGTTGGTTCTGGTGGCATACACGGTGTTGGGTGTGCTTATGCCATTTCCCCCGACAGATATACCACCAATGACCAATATAATCCCTATCCTGGGATCGACCACTGAGCATTCTGCGAGCAAGCGGACAGCAAGACATTCCTCACGATCAATCAATCGCATACATGAAACGAGTTTGACAATATGGTAGCATCTCCAATAGACGTCTCCTTAACGATGTGGTCTGCTCCTCCGAGAGACTTGTCAATATCTGGCTGAAGGTATCCGATGTTGAAGATTCTCCATACTCCCAGACTCTGTTTCTTGGTGACTATCACCAAACTGAAGATGCCCTCATACACTCTGTTAGCGTACACCCATCCTCGTAACGTACCTGCTCCTCGTCTACACGCCACATCGTCTACTACGATATAGCTATCGTTGAAGCAATAGTACCGTCGTCCTTGCATCTCACCCTCATTATGTTGGAGCCAGGCCTCGTCGTCCACCACATTGGCGCCTCCATCGTGGTGTCCCTTCATAGTGCGCACTTGCGCGAGGCTGGCTCGTTGAAGGGAGGAGTCTCGAAACGACCACCAAGGGTAGCAAAACCGCCGGCTTACAGGTAAGACACGATAAAGACAGTCTCAGCAACGTGGACAACGAATTCTTCGCTGTGGCTGTCTCAGTGGTTGGGAAGCAACTAGTGAACTCTAGTTGAAACGGGGAGTCGTATGCCAGTCAGTGCTACGCCCGACGTTGCCCCCGATCAAGCTGGATCAGTATCATGGATCAGAGGCCTTCGGGCCAACGGTCATATATCAGACGACAACTCCTTAACGACCGTCGGAAATGGGTAGGAAGGCTCAGCTGCCAAGCCTCAATGTGGTAATTAGAGTCTTTGTTCGTCTTGCTTAAAATCGATAGTCTTCCCGGGATTGCAGCTTTCCAGGCTGAGGATCTCAGGGTCGTTTATTCATGAGAATGACGGGCTGACAGGACCCTTTTGAAGATGTGTCCAGCTCTAAAGGATCGCAAAACCACGATCGCGAGGACCCTCCGTACATGTAGGTTTGTATCCTTGTCTGGATGACGATTTGGGAGAGGCCACATTGGCTCCTTCCTGTCACCCATCCCTACCTGGGACAAGAGACAGGTCGACATTGAACGGCCTCTCCCTTTGGAGGATGCGGGCACACAGTGTTCGTTGGCCACAAATTGATGGTGCAGGCGTTTCAGAGTGCATCATGTATCATAGGAGCTCAACGCATATTTGGGGTCTGTTGGCTCTTCTGAACCTTGAGACGTGCAGCATGTAGCCCTAGGCGTTCGCTGGCTTGCAACCTGACGAACCTACGCCTCCAGGAATCCCGCGTTGGGCTGGGTTGGCGTGGGTTGGCGTGGTTGAGTGCCGGCTCCCGCCAGTCATGAGGATGGGGAGACTCCGTACGAGATGCAACCTTACCTGGGCACAGGATTGACCAGATGTTACGAACCATTGCCCCCATCGATATTATGTCATCGCCATCAGCCCTAGCAGGTAGGCTTGGGAGAGGAAGGGGGAAGACTCGAACATCGACGACACTGCATCCAATTGACAACTCCATTGTACCGCTTCACAGGTTTGCCACCATGTGAATGAGGGGGAGAAAGACCAAGTCACGAGCCAGTCAGGTGGTCAGTCGATTGTGGTCGGAAGAGGAGGGCGACACAAAGCGCCTCTTTTCAATTTACTTGCGCTTTGGACGGTTCGTTAACTGTCTGCCCAACGCAAATGCCACCTGCACCACTACCAAAGCCCGCCTATTTTTAGTGTGTCATGCCCATACGAACTTTCACCACATTCCAGCATGTGTGACATGGTGCAGGTGGATAGAGTTGAGCGGCGGCGGCGGCGGGAAGTTTGCTGATAGGGTTTGTGCTAGCGCTAGGGCATCCAGGCTGCTGGACATGACCTGTCAGCCTGTCAAGGGCATTTGAGTTGCTGCTAGAGACGCAGGACATACATGTAACTTTGAGGCTGCCTTCTTGGCTTGGACTATTGATGGGAAACATGATTACTTATTACTTACATGATGAGCTGAGATATGCTTGATATGATTATTAGTAAATCTTTACATGTAACGTGGACACGGCAGTGCTCGGCTTCGTCAGTGAACGACGCATTGTGCCGAATCTCGGGCACTTGTCCATCTGTCCATTTATGCGGCAGGTACCCCCTAGTGACGGCCTCCGCCGTTGGCAGTTGCAGTTCTGGCAGTGGAGTTCAGCCCCCCAGGCAGACAGGGAGCAACGATCTAGGGGTCGTGTACACTGTGCACTGTAATGCACTTCACTGTAGTCAAGGCCACATGAGATAATGGGGATTCACCCAAGTGGCTCCACCCGACCACCCGGCGCCGGCCTCTGAGTGGCTGCGCCTGCGCTTTTTGTTGCTCTGTTGACTAAAATACGAGGCCCTCCTTCCCTCTTTCGACCGCCAATGCGACCACACACACTCTTCATATTGTCAATCTCCCCATCACCAGACTGCAGGTGCCCGTTCTTCCGCTCTCTTCTCATTCGATTCGTTCGATTCATCAATTCTTCTTTGACCATCTGAGACCCGACCTCCCCCTCTTGGATTTCTTTTTTTCGACACTCTCGCTACTCTTCGCGACAGGGACAACTACCAGGACCCCTTTACTGCTGCGTGGGACCCCCAGGACGACTTTACGTCGACACGTGGACACCAACTGTTTGATCTTCTACATCCCATCCTTCCCTTCGCCCGCTTGAAACATCAACACATCCTCTCAGAGCAACCGATTGCTGTAGTACTGTACGCACTCGCGATCCGTCATCATGTATTCGAAGTGGTCCGTCCAGCTTCTGATGGTGGTTCTTTCCATCATCGTAGCCAGCCGGGCAACGTGGTTCAACCCAGCGCCCTCGGATCTTGTCGTCAGACAAGACGTCTCGGTCACCGCTGCTATTCAGGATGACAGCACAACGTCACCAGCCGATACTACCGCGGACGCGACTCCCACGAGTGATGATGCAACTTCAACGCCCGAGGAGACAACACCAGCAACAACGGCTAATCCCACAACTGCCGACGACTCTCCAACAACAGAAACATCAGCAGCCGATGCCACTCCTACCACTCCTACCACCGACGCAACGACCACGACCCCGGAGAACACCACCCCCACAGACGCCAACACCACGCCGACGACTGGTGCGACTACCACCTTGCCTCCCACGACTGGTGGTGGTACTACCGGTACGACGTCTTCGGCCTCGTCTAAAGAAACCAGCTCGGGCAACGACGATAGTTCAAGCAGTAAGAGTAGTAAGACGACTGCATCGCCGGTTACTTTCACCAGCATAGCCGTGATCACTACCACCAACGATGCTGGACAGACGGTCACTTCGTCATCTGCAACCGCCATTGTTTCTACGCCGGCGCTGTCTGGCAGCGACAGCAGCAAAGACAACCAAGGCATAAGCCAGGGCACCAAGAATACCATCATTGGTGTCTGCGTCGGTGTTGGACTTGCCATCGTCATCGCGGTGGGTGGTCTACTGTTCTGGAGACTTCGCAGTAAGAGACGAAGCCAGGAAGAGAATGAGGAGCTGGTTAGCTACGGCAATGGATTCGGTGGACCTGGCACGGCTGAGAAGAGCGAGACCAGTGCTCCTCCTAACCGAAGCCCCTTCCAAAGCACCCTGGAAAGTTACCATGCGCCTACGCAGACGAATGCCGCGTCCAACTTCTAAACGATCAAAACCACATGTCACTACAAACCGCCCCATTTCTTTACTACTCTATTCCCCATGGCGATGCTTTGACTTTCGGCGTCGGCGTTGGGCAGGAATTTACATAGCATCGTGTCGATTTCATATGGCGGATGGGTTGATGGATAGAATATTCCCACCACCCACAGGCTGAGGAGGCCATAAGCATGCGGTCCCAAGTACGAGGCCTCTTCATGGAGTGGCACTCAACCGGGATCGTTGGAGTTGATGAGGAGTGGATTATACCACTACAAGAATTCGAAACCGCTCAGTGGCACCAGCAAGGAACTGGCCCAGCGAATAAACTTTGTATAAAGCTTCATAATACCCGAGCCTTCGATTCTGTCAATAACCATAGATACCTCAAATCACCGCTTTCCAAGTCGTATCTGAGTGAAATGTCTGAGTGATTGGAGTCGCCATGCTTCAGTATTGCCGAGACACATCAATCTGTAATTCTCGAATGTGGAAAGAAAACATCTCTTCCCCCTGAAACTTGAGGGTTGAGCTTATTTAACAATTCCTTGTCAACATCATTCCGGGATCCGAGATCTAGAAAGGATGACCTGACTCACCCAGCTGCCACATTTCTCATGATGGGCAGGTGAAAGGATCTGTGCCTGCGTCGTGGTGGTTGGTGGTGTTAGTGGTGGTGAAGTTGAGGTACTGCCGTCTCAGAACTGTTTCAGCATCACGACGACCTCCGCGTTTCAGCGGGACCGCCACCACTTCTCCTGACCCGGGGAACTTCTGTGCCTCCAATCGCTGGATGCCGTAGCTGATGACTCGGACTCTCTCTTCTTTGCAGTCTTGAAGTTTAAAGTCCAAAGTTCGGGAACTTGGATTGTTGACTCCTCTTCTCTTGTTTTTTTTTGTTGCGCTTGCCGCTCGATCATATCTTGTGTCACTCACTCACTACTTGAGAGCTATCTGATTTCTGTGACGACCCTCCTGTTCGCGAAGCGCACCGAGTTTTATACACTGACTCACCTACCACAAGCCTATCGTCGAAGTCGACTTCGAAGTTCAGATCGAAGGAACCGAAAGCCAGAGTGGAAAGCGAACTGAGGTCGTCATCATGCACTGCACAGGCGTCCCGACGACTCTCGCCGTGCTGGCGGCACTGGTGGTTGGTGTCTTGGCCGGTGACCTGGTCGAGGATATACAGCACGAGTTCAGAGGGGTCATTTTTGCGCGGCAGGATCTGTCGGCGTTGCAGCAGGGGAATGATGCCAACTTGAATGTGTGTATTCCCTTCGTTGTCCTCGGAGTTGAGTATGGTAGGGTAGGACGCGGCAAGGTAGATAGATGGCTGATACTGGTCTAGACTTTCACAGGCAGCGTGGGCGTTGCGCCGTTCCCAGTGAGTCTTTGCCCTCTGATGGGTTGTTGTAGGCGGTGGTTAGGTGTGTTGCTGATGTTTGTTTCGATATTAGATACTCAAAGGGCCGGATGACCAGCACCCGTATTCGGTAGTGGGCGAAGATGGTGGACCCAAAGAAGTGGTGAGTGCCTACTCGTCTACCTACCTGCCCGTGGCTAATAAGGACGTTGCTGTGACGGGTAGTCCGATTTCGGTACTGCGATAAATGCGGCCTGCGACGGCCAGGCGAACAAGTGCTCCGACGTGGCGAATAATGCGCCAAAGTTCCCAGTCAGCAGTTGCAATGACCAGAAGGGTGAGTGGTGTCCACTTTATTGTCCCTTCTCCTGCCCAACCGCCCAACATAGGACTCAAACATCGTATCTGGAGGAATTAAGCTGATACACTTAAATAGCGTCATGCCATAGTGTTCTCTCAGGTTCCCAGGTACAGACGGCGTTCCTAACGCTGGAGACCCAGATTAACGGATTCCAAATTTTCTGTGAGAGCTGAGAGTAACTGCACTTGGATGCTTGGTGTTCTCGGCGGTCTCCTGGCTATCTCAGAGTCTGGTTTGGACTGCTGCTCAAGCAGGAGTCTTGCGCCTTGAGATCAGATCCGGACGCCTGAGTTTGTGGAGGGTGAGAGCCAGAAGATAGGCATAAGTGGACTCCTATCAGAATGTTTTTTATGATATCAGCCTGGGAAATGTGTATGAAGTAATATGAGGGAGTCGACATGTCCTTATAGTTTCTGGTTGTGAGGTGTTGCAATGCTGTCGTTGCATGCTCCTTCTCCGATATCCGCAAGCTGTCGAATGTAGTACATAGTTGTACCTCAGCTTTGGCTGCAGCTTGAGTTTCTTCCAATAACGCTGTCAAGCAGGGGTGGACTCACAATCCAGATTGAAATGTGAAGCTATCACGAGTTCTTGAGCGGTTTTGGTGATATTAACAAGTCCATCAAACATAAGTCGGGGGTGCATCTGATGTGGCGCTGAAGCCGCGCCACCACAGTCCCAGGCAGCTGAGCTCCTGGGGCCAGGCCTGTTCCTGCGTCACAGCACCGTCAGCACCTAGCTCACTAACCGTGCACGCGGCATCATGCAATGCGGCAATCACGGTCATACACGTGTCGTTTTCGACGGTCGTGAAGTTTACTCGAGTTTAGGTAAACACGAAAACTTTCAAGTGCCCAGATTATGCAGGGGCAACAAAGCTATCGTCGACTTGGGGTCAGCGATGAGTTAGCCCTATTACTAGCCTGCCAATTGGGAGATCTCGTGAACCCTTGGGAGAAACTCTCGAGAATGACAGACATGACAGGCTGCTTGATGAGTATCAACAGCAACTGCTGTGAGAGGATGAAGTGTCTGGCGACAGGAGTTGTGCCTGGCAGTCTGGGAAGGGGAAGGTGCAGATGCTGGGGTGCCCCACCGGCGAGAGTGGACGGAGTGGGGCAGTCGACTCGCTCGGGGGCGGGAGGGCAGTTACGGGGTGACTTGCACTGCCCGCTCATGGTGTCACTGAGAGATGTATTTCTTATCAGGAACTCCGTCAATCTCGCGCGCTCTACCCGCAAATAGCTGCACCAGACATTTTGGACCAGCCCATCCTGGCTTTTTCTACAGGTTGACCCTTTTTCCTCATTTCGAGCCGCTGCAGCATTTCCTTTCCTCCACGACCCGAATCCAACGACGCGCCTCCTTGTCGTCCGCCCGCTGTCCACCAGACTTGCTCCCCTTTCTCGATCTCGATCATCGTGCAGGACGACAGCGAACCCGATGCATGCCTCAAGTCCTCTCATTTTCATTTCTCTTCTTTCCTGTTTACCCACCATCCTGTGAGCCTGAGCCCCGAGAACGCGTCCCCGACGGACCGCGATCCAGCCAGCCAGTCCACCGAGTTCCTCCGCTATCGTTGCTGGGGACGAAGACACGACGTGAAAGCGAAGAAGCGACTGGAGATCAGCAGCAGACGATTCGCTCTTCGTCTGCTTTGATCTCGCTTGTGTATGAGAAGCATCCAACCCTCGTCTGCTTCACATGCCAACCAGAAGCTCCAGAGCTAACGCGCAAACTGCTCTCAAGATCGACCAAACACGTCTTCTTCAAAGACGACGTCGACTCCTCCTCGTGCGTCGGCACAGGACGGTATCGGATCCTCACGGGCTGATCCAGCTTCTCCGGTATCATCCCCATTCTCTACCACCTCGACGGCCGACGACGGTGAATCATCATCACCGATCCTGCCACCGCTACCAGCACCGAAACTACCAGAAAGAGCATTGGAATATCTCAGGACACCACCGCAGTCCAGACACAACAATATTGAGGAAGGTCAATACGCGACTACTAGCTGGGGATCGCCATATCCCCACGCCGACAGCAATCATCATCGGAGACTGAGCTTTAGCAGCGAGCCCTCGGAGGATTCTCCTCTGCATCAACTTGCGATCAATACGCCCTTCTTGCGCCCAGCCCCCTTGGTTCTGACCACCGACTCCGAGCGATCACACCCATCGTTGTCTGGTAGCGCTGCTGTACTTGCGAACCGTGCCAGGCGTCCACCTCGCGGCATCACAGAGGATTGGATCCGTCAGCATACCACTGGTGACCTGACCTCCGAACACCATCACTGGCTAAGTGACGGGACTGACGATAGTGAGCACTCTTCACTGAGCGGCTCCATCTCGGGCGACGACGCGGGTTGGTCTGAGGAAACGGACCCACGAACGCCGCGCCCCACCCTCCGTCTGGCTTCGGTGTCCGATCATACCCTTCGACGATATCCGAGAAACCAGTCAAGTAACGAGACTTTGAGGCAGGCGATTCAGAACCGACGCGTGGCTAGCCAATCCGCAAGCATGGACTCCTTGGACGTGGATAGGGGCATCCAAGATGCGGCTAGTATTCATACCATCGACACCGTGTCGGAGGTGGCCCCTAGGACAGACACTCCCATCAAAATGGATCTACCAAACTTGAATGGATCAGCATTTGGTCCATCTGCCGACCTTGAGCCTCCAATGACCCCCGTCAAGCCGAAGAAGGCGGTTGTCTCGCAAACACCTAGACTCAAGAAGAAAGTACCATGGAGAGGCAAGAATATTATGGTATTGTTGCCTCGGGACAAAGAGCAAGGTCAACCTGGCAATGCGCCAATGCCTCTCGACGCATCCCAAGTGGAAACTATGTTGAATTCTTGGGAAGAGTTGGGCTACAATACCCGAGGGTTTGACTTGGAAGGTGGCCGCAGTTTACTAGACCCCGATGAGACCAATTCTCAAAGTCGAAATGAGTGGCCCAACCAGGAGGATCTCACAAGAGAGCGTTCGCAGCAGCCATACCAGGTGACGCTTCCTGATCTGAATGCGTGGAGGGACTACGTCAATGAACTTCAGGAAGCCAAGCTTAGAGCACTTGGTGTTTCGTTTGGCGACGATGAACCTGCACCTCCACCTTCAATTTCGCCTGCGATGCCCAACTTAAGCTGCCAGCCTTCTAGCCAGTTTCAAACTATGCCGTTTTCGCCGCCGTTGCCCACTGCATCGGCTGCTAGTAACGGACCCCAGGGCTTCCCCTTCCCGAGCGCCTTCCTATCTAACGGCGCGTCGTCAGGCGCCCAGAGTCCCGGAATTCCTTCGACTGCGTCACCGGTTTCGTTTAACGGACCTCCGGGACATGGCAGATTCAATCCCAGGGCTGGATCAATGTCAATGTCAATCTCACCTCACGAGCTGCCGTTCAATTTCTCAGGGCAGCCTTCACCTCGTGGCTGGTCTCCACAGATGATGTTGCAACAGCAGCAGCTTGGTCGGAATCGCTCACCATCGATGCTTAACATGAACTCCTTGGTTTCCCCAACATCACCATTCCAGCGTGATGGCATGTCGCCCCCAGTTAACATGCACCAGAGACATCAGTCCCTGCAATACCCAATGTTGCCCCACCAGCATCTCCAGAGACGTGACTCCGCGCGGGCATCACCACGGCTACAGGAGTTGCGTGAGGACGAAGAGGAAATCAACAGCAATCCACCACTGAAGAGTCCGTCGAAGACTCCCAAGCCAGCTCAATTCATCCGTCACAACGCTAGTGACAGCCTGCAAAAAGAGATTGACGATGCTGAATACCATCTGGAGGAGCAATTCAGATCTCAGCTAGAGCACGAGGATTACAGTCCGCATAACGAGAACGAGAAGGCAGAAGCACACCAACCTCTGAACCAACCTGACAATCCCACCGAGCTGCACGCTAGGGGGCCGTCTGTACACTTTGGCGGCTTTGGCACGGACTCTGACGAAGGGCCCAGGTTGCATCACCCGCAACCCCACAGCCGTGGCCATTCCTTATCCCAAAAGGCGTTCTTCGATAACGACGAGGTGCGCGACAGTACCGACGAAGGAAGCGTCAGGAAGCCTCAGCCTCAGAGTCTTGACTCGCAGAAGCCTGATGACTCATACGAAATCGAGACGAACCCAAGCAATTTGGGCACACCCGTCCAATCGTTCGAACTGATGAATCAATTGCACCAGAGAACACTCTCGACAGCGAGCAATCCCTGGGCTGACGTTGAGTCTCTTTCTAACAGCAACATGCCGTCACGACGAGCTAGTCACGCAAGCAAACCCTCGTTCTCGAAGTTGAACGCCGGGGCTGCTGAGTTCAAGTTTAACCCGACGAGCAGCTTCACTCCTGGCCAATATGTGTTTGGCGGTAACAGCGCGCGGCCCAGTCCCTTCCAACCAGCTGGGTTCCAAGCTCCCTCATTCACGCCTAACCCGCTATCAACAACCTCAAGTCACTTCAGCGTGCCCTCGACTTCCTCCTCGGCAATGGCGAAGATCAACGCTGCGGCGCCTACATTCTCCCCTCGCAAGGGCGACTTTAGCTTTTCTGCTTCTGGCCCCAAGTTCAACCCAGATGCCAAGGCATTCCAACCTCTGAGCTCAGTCCCACCATCTATCGCCAGTGTAGGGCTTTCTGGTAATGAAAGTGCTGACAACCGGGCTACCTCGATCTTTAGCAATATTGATCTTAGCCTTTCTGACATTGTCAAGCCCGTGAAGAAGTCAAAGGCCATTCCAATTGTGCGTCCTTCTAGTCGACACTCCCCGGCTCCCGCACCTGCTCCAGTTGGCACTGCTACGTCAGTCGTCGATGGTGATCAGCACGGTCGTGTAGCGGATACAAGCCGACTCCGGAAGAAGTTCAGAGACAACAACGACAATGGTGATGATGTACCTCTATTCGCTGAACCCACTCCGGAACCCGAGCCTATGCCACAAGCACAACTCAGACCTGCTACATCTGAAGCGGGTTCTGAAAAGGCAGACAAGCTTGAAGACAGCGATGCGCCTGTTACCATGAACGCTGAAGATGAACTTGCCAACTTGGGTGATACTACCTTCGCATCCACTACTCACTCAGAATCGACAGATGGAAAGCTGCAGTCTGAGTCAAATGATACGAAGGCAACGACAAGTCCATCAGCAACGTCCCCTGATCAAGACCAGACAAATTGGCGGCCCTTCGAGTTTAGGAACGATGCTGAAATTATGGATTTCAACAACGCTCGCCCCTTCGGCGAGGATGTGCCCTCATTTACACGACAACACAAGAAGAACTCTTTGTCTGCTACTGCCCAACCCTTCGTTCCTGGCGGCTTCACGTTTGGGGCTGAGAGTTCTATTGATACTCCGTTCGAGCCTATCCTCAAGACGCAGCCAGCACAACTTACCGAGCCGTTGGACGAGTCTGAGGAAGACCGTGCTGGTTCGCCAACTCCCATGCCTGAGCTTCGACCGGCTGCTCTGTCTGAGTCTGAACCAGTAACCCAACAAGAGGCATCACCTTCCCCAAAACCCGCACCCGCGCCTCCTGTAAAGGGTCTCGGCTTTTCCCGATTCGCATCTCCTCCACCTGCGGCAAAGGGCTTGAAAGCATCCAGATTTGCTTCCAGTCCTTCGCCGCCACCGCAATCAGCGAACGAGGTTGCTTCTCCATTTGCTGCCTCGCCATCTCCAGTGTCAGAAGTCAAGGCTACGCACCCTGTTGCAGGCAATGACGTTCAGCGGATCAGTAAGACACCAGAACTGCACAGCTATGAACCATTGCCTGTCAGTCCACCATCAGATGCTGGTGCTCAACCTAAAGACGAAGCTACTCATGAACCAACGTTCGAAGAAATCGATGCAGTCATGGATCTCCTCAACCACAATGACCCTACGATGGGAGCTAAGAAGACTATCGACTCTCCACAGTGGCACCATCCGAGCCCTGTGCGCAGGATTTCTGTATCAGGCGTCACAACCTCTCCGCCTCTGGACTTGCCACCCCAAATGCCATTCCGAAACGATGCTCCAAGCCCGGTAACTCGCCAATACCGAACCTTGCCTCAAGAAGCTGCGCGTCCCATGCCCTCCACCGAGCTCGAAGACCCGTTCCTCGACCCTCCGCAAAGTGCTATATCACAGTCCTTTGACGCACCAATCCAGCGCCTTAACATTGGTGAGAGCCTTCCTGAGAGTGAGTGGGATGATGCATTCAGCGAAAGTGAGCAGGGCAAGCTTGAGCAGCGTGTCCAGTATTTCGATGGTCATGTCAGTGATTTGGTAGGCAACATTCTGTCTTCTCGACTTGATCCGCTTGAGCACACCCTGGACACGATTCAGCACGCGCTGAGCAGCCTGTCTCGAAGGGCGCCGTCCAGCCGTCGCGAGCGGCGCAGCGTCTCTGCCGAGATTCAAGAAAGCGATGCCGATGATGAAGACGACGATGCGCCTATTCGTCGTTCAACAAGTCCTCGACGAGATAAGAAGATGGATCAGATCCGTATTGCCGTTATGGATGCTTTCAATCTACAGCAGACCACGCGTGCTTTGCAAGCTGCGCAGCTTGAATCGGTTGAAGAGCAAGCCGTCAAAGAAGACACTGCTGTTCTTAAAGCACTAGAAGAAATGAGAGAGCAGTTTGCTCAAAACTTACATCTCGATTTCCGCGCCGAGGACCTACGGAACATTGTCGAAGAAGCGGTGGAACGTCGCATGCCCCCTACTCCCCAGCCAGTCATCAAGGATGACGAGGAAGCGAACAACAAGCTTTCCGAGATGCAATCGAGGATCCTCGAGCTCGAGCAGCGTCTTCGCACCGAGGAGAGAAGAACCGAGAGTGAACGCTCACGAGTTTTGGACAGCGAAGCAAAACTACGTGCTGCCGAGGACAGAAGCGAGAACGAGACGACCATTAGACGTGGTGCCGAAGATCGTACTTCCGAGCTTCGCCGACAATTGGAACAAGCCGAGACGAAGGTGGAAGTCGAGATCATGAATCGCAGCGTGTTCGATCAGAGAATCCACGATCTGGAGCAGCGGCTCGGAGCTCAAGAGCATAGAACTGAGTTTGAGCTCGCCGGCCGTAGGGAAGCTGAAGACAGGCTCTCCGAGACCCAACGACTGCTTCGAATCTCGTCAGAAGAGGAAGATCGTCTTCGGTCTGTGCTTGATGAGCGTGAGCAGAAGATTAAGGTCATCGAGCAGTCATCCGGAAAGAACAACATGCGCCTTGCTCTACTCGAAGCAGCTCAGACCAATGGCGAACAGACACAGGCCGAGCTGAAGAACCGCCTCAACATTGCAGAGGTTGAACTGCGTGACACAAGGCAAGAAGCCCGCCACTGGCGGTCCGAAGCCGAGCACGCAAGAGAGTCAGCGCATCGACAGGCAGATGATCTTGTTCAGGTCGTGAATGAGAACAAGCACTTCCACAAGCTGATCGACACCCTCAGCGTTCAACTCGAAGAGAACGAACGGATCAGAGATAACTGGCGAGCTAAGTTTGTCTCTTTGCAGGATGACATGGCCCACGCCGCTCGTGAAATCACTGAGGAGAACTCGCGTCGCTCCAAGAAGGAGCAGGCCCTTATTGCACGCCAAGAAGTGCTCGACGCTAAACTCCAGGCCGAAGCACGGACTCGCGAGCGACTCGAAGTCGAAGTCGAACGTCTGGAAGGCGGCGAGCGTGCTGGCATGAGAGCCGTCGGTGAACTGAAGCGTCTCGAAGGCATCATGTTAGACCTTCGCAACGAGAACCACAGCCTCCAACAGAATGCTCTACGTGCCCAGCGCGAGGTCCAAGAGGCCAGAGATGCAGCGGCATCCGAGGTGCAACGGACCCGCATATCGGTAGACGCTGAGTTGGAGGCCGCCAATAACCAGGTTAACAGCGTACGCAGCGAGCTGGAGGATGATGTCATCAAGATCAGGGCCCAGCTTGACCAGGTCAGGATGGACGCCGATACTGCCAACGCCCAGCATGAGATGATGCTCGAGGCGGCACAGATCTCCCAGCAGACGCAACTTGACGAAGCTCGAGCTGCTAAGGAAAGCGAGTTCGAGGCGATTGTTCGCAAGCACCAGAACGACATTGAAGATCTCCAGGCTCGATACGAGCGGCAGATCAGCAATGGTGCCGAAGACGCACAGCGCGCTGAGCAGAACCTCATCGAGCGACTCAGCCTGTCAACCTCAAAGACCGAACTTCTCCAAGACCGTGTCACGCACTTGGAAGACAAAGTGCAGATTGCTCAAGAAGCCGCCAAGGCCGCTGCTCAGGCGGCTGCACAGGCCTCCAAGGGGGTTGTCGTTCCCGAACATTCCGTTCACCACCCAACTCCTGTCGTTCAGACCACCAAGCAGCTTGCAGAAGCTATGCAGCTTCCTGAGAAGATCTCGCCGCAAGCTCTTCGCGAGTCTATCATGGTGTTGCAGGAGCAGCTGCAGGCCCGTGAACAGCGTATCGAAGAACTCGAGCAGACTGTTTCGAAGCTCGATCCTGACTCTGCAACCAAGATTTCCAAGCGAGATGACGAGATCACCTGGCTACGTGAACTCCTGGCTGTGAGACACGGCGATCTGCAGGACATCATCGGTGCCTTGTCAGTGGAGAACTTTGACAGTGAGTCGGTCAGGGATGCCGCTATACGTCTAAAGGCCGGTCTCCAGATGGAGGAGCAGGAGCGCGAGCGTGCTATGAATGGTGGCTCAGCTATCAACCTGCCCAACATCGCTGCCACGATCCAGAAAGCCGCAACACCCCGCGTTGCTCAAGCCGTGGGACCTCTGGCTGCTGCTTGGGGTAACTGGCGCAAGGCAAACCAGCCCGTATTCCGGTCATCGCCCGCCCCTGGCAGGAACGCAACTCCCTCGAAGGCCAGCCCAGCTCCTTCACAGAACAGCTTTCTTTCAGGACTCATGACACCGCCCGCCTCTAACGTCCGCAACACGCCTCAAGCAGAGCATAGCCAACCACAGCCTACAGCTTTTGGCAACACGGGTCGCCGCTTCACTGCCGAGCAATTCGCCAACAGATCTCGTGGCCCCCCAATGAGTTCAAGACAAGCCGAGAAAATGCCCATTGCGAGCACGCCGCCTCCCCGACAAGAGGAGAGGAACCCTCAGACGCCCCCGATGATGCGGTCCGGCTCCTACGACGCGGATGCTCAAGTCGAAGAGTTTGATGATGCATCCTTTTTCGACGACTGAGCACAGAAAGTCTTAACGCCTTAACGCCATCAAGAATATCAGGGAATTAACCTGATCCAGGACCGGGTCGAAGGGGCGGCATTCTTTCCTTTGTTATACAAGGTGGCAAGGCCTATTGGGGAGAAGCGATGCCATATAGCAGATCTGCTTTGATACCATTTGCCTTTTCCACGTCTAGATTGATACCCGTGCCCCATATACATTTTGCTTTCGGCACTATAACATAATGATCTCAACACATACGATCCTTTTACCATTCAGATTGGCGGAGATCTCTCAAGATTGATTCATGGAGATACAGCTTACTTCTTTCCTTTGTCATTGCATAGCCCGGTAGCCCGGGGATATGGGCGGGCACACTCGTTTATTTTGGCGGAGGTATCTAAAACGGGGCCAGAGGATCATGTACGAAGGCGAGGAGACACTCTTGGGGAGCTGGAGGAGCATCGATCATCTGGAGAGGCGTGGGGAGGCTATATATTAATAATTTTGCATCTTTACCGTACTGCTTTGTCCTTTTGCCCACGCGAGTGCTCCGGGATGTTTGGGGGTTGCTGGTGCCCCGATACCACGGGTTTCCCTTGAGATGACATCAGAGCTCCTGGTCCTAGAGACACGCCGTTGTGAATACCGGTAATGGTAATGTTGTGCTCAGATCTAGGATGACCCATGGGCGTGTCTGCCGAACACAGCCACCCGTGTTCACTGTTGGCTAGCTCAGATCGTTCGCTGGCGTCGTGCCCGTCGTGCCAAGCGGAAGACCCTAGTAAATACCACTACATCTTCACCTTTTGCTTCTCTTCTACAATAACGTAAGATATATGTACTGCAGAGGCGGGATGGGATGTAACGTGTTGATGTAACGTGAAGCTGACAGACATCGAGGCTGTTGTGTATGGTGGGAACTAGTCGATGTAAGCTGGATGAGCTTCAGCCTCCCTGGCGGCTTGCGGTAGCTTTGCCTCATTCTCCAGCTCCTTTGAATCTTAGCTCCGCCTGCGTAGGTCTGTAGCTGCATTATTCACTGCCTGTTTATTGCAGCAGCACATGGGAAACATGCGGAAAGAAGAAGAACAAGAAGAAGAAGCAATGACCCATGGGTCCATATGAATACGAAGGAGATCGGCACTTGGCAGAAGGTCGTAGCCCCACTGGCCCCGGCGTGTCTGATCAACACGAGATGCAGCCCGGCAGCACCTGCATTGGACGGATATCTGCTTCTGCATGGCCGTTGCCTGCACTGCACAGAAGGAAGAAGAGAAATCTCCGTGGCTACTCTGTGCAGGAAGCCGGAGGCTGTGACTGACGCGCTGTGCGCAGTTGATTGCTTGTCTCCGATGGGCTGAGCAGCATGCATGGATGTTCGCGCTGGCTGCTACTGTAAGGTAGGTAGGTAAGCGTTCGTTTTGCTGTCTTTCCCGCGGTATTCTGGTTATCGCTCCACAGACTGACTGCCCCGACCTGCCCGAACACGATGGGATCAACACCATGTCGCTTAGAAGAGGCCCGGGGTGGTTGCCAATTGGCTGGGTCATGGTATACCAGATACTACCGAGGGTAGCGGCGGTGCTCCCGTATGCACAATACCGGGACCTGTATGTAGCTAGTGCGGTGGACCCGGACGACCGACGACGGTCACGATACGATGTCGTCGGTCGATGTTGACGTCGGTGAGACTCGAGAGGACCTTAATTCATGTCATATAGTGCCATGCGGTGCAATGCCAAGCAGACGGGATGTAGGTAAGATGGGATATATAAAGGTTGCCGCGGACGCTGTTTCTGGAGAGTTTTTTTCTGCTATCATCATCAACCTTCTTCACTCAACAGTACAATAACGACCTAATACCAGCTCTCACTCACACTCGCTTCAACTGAACCTACTTAATAAATCGCCTCATTCAAACCTTCGTCGACATCCCACTTTGAGATATCCAACCCAGTCGCCAAGATGCAGTTCTCCAACCTCATCCAGCTCCTCTCTCTCGCTGCCGTCTCCCAGGCCATCACCGGTACGTCTCTTGCACATACCCATCCCATAACCAACCAGACTCCCACACATCCCAAACACCCAAGCTAACACCCCTCCCACAGTCGCCTACGACACAGGCTACGACGACGCGTCGCGAGCCATGACAGTCGTGTCCTGCTCCGACGGCGCCAACGGGCTCATCACGCGCTACGGCTGGACCACACAAGGCGCGATCCCGAAGTTCCCCTACATCGGCGCCGCGGAGGCCGTCGCGGGCTGGAACTCGGCCCAGTGCGGCACGTGCTGGAAGCTGACGTACCCGACGACTGGCATCTCTATCAACGTGTTGGCCATCGACCACGCCGCCGCGGGCTTCAACATCGCGCTCGACGCTATGAACGCGCTGACGAACGGCCAGGCGACGCAGTTGGGGCGCGTTGATATGACGGCTGTGCAGGTGGATGTTTCGAACTGTGGGTTGTGAGTGAGGGTTGAAGAGTGATAGGGGGGGTGTTGTGAAGGGAGGGATGGGTGGGAGGGGGGTTTAGGTGAGGAGATAGGGGAGGGGAGGGGATCATGGTTATGAATGAATGGAATGACTACCGTACCTGCTACGTATAAACTGGAAGGGTTGTTTAATGCATAATACTTTGGGACATCGCAAGCATTTTGCTGGTTCTGCCAGGCCACTGGCAGCTGTGATAACCTGTGTTTGTCACTGCTCCTATTTTGACATGTTGCCAGGTACCCGCCAGACCTCAGCCATCACTTTCGTGTGTAGAAGGCTACGAAGAAGAGCCTTGTTGTGCCAGATAATCAATACACCATCTGGCACCTTCAACTTCCACACCCACCTTCAACTTCAAGCTTCCCACGCCGATTTTCCTTCCCCATTACTCGACGCCTACCAAAACCCGGTCGCGCCAAGGTCTTGATTAACGAAACCACCATGGAAGCCAAAACGCCGTCCGACCAAGAAGTCATCGACGCGGTCCGCGAGATCCGCCAGGAACACCCCGAACTAGGCCGGGCGAAGATGCTCGGATTGCTAAAGGGGCCAGCAGCCCAGCTGGCGCATCTCAGAAGCCCGACTCAAGAAACTGGCCCCGAGCGTCAACAAGATGAACGAGTCGACGAAGCTGGGCATCCCGGACGACGCACGGGCAGCCCAGTCCCGCTACAAGAAGGACGGCACGCGCACCTTCCGCATCTACGGCCGCGGCGAGCACAACTACGGCGTCTCCCTCAACGCAGACATGGCAATTTTGTTCAACATCATGTACGCCAGGTTACTGAAGGTCGGCGTCCCCCAGACTACCGAAGATAAGAACCGACTCGCCTCGACGCGGGCGCTGCAGATCATCTGGGACTATTACGTCGCCGCGGCAGCCGCAGCGGGCGTGGCCAGGCAGGAAGTCGGGGCGCAGCTCGAGGCCGAGTTCGGCGTCCCCTGGCGATACATGCCCACGCCGCCGGGACCCGAGCGCACCTGGCCCGAGGCCGAGGCGGTAAAGGCCGCGTACAAGACAAAGAGCCTGAAGATGACGCGGACGATGAGGCAGCAGATTGCGGAGGCGAGGGCGCTTATCCCGGTCGATGGGAACGGGGACGTCGTGTGGGACGAGGCGAAGAACGACCAGTACGCCATGCTGGTCGTGAGGATCGACAAGGGAGACGGACTGAGGGAGTTCGGCGAGGTGTAGACGGCGCCGCCGCTGTGTGCTCACTCACTCGCATGGGTATGGAGACATGGCCAGATTAAGGGCTGCTATCAGTGCTGGTATGGGATGGAAACACAACCCGAAGTTACCAGCGATAGGGTAGTCAGCAGACCGACTAAGAACCGCGGAAGGATATCATGGGGAATCGTGACCATGGCGTCCAATGAATGCAGATCCCATAATGCCTACTCAGTACCTTATGTTATTCAACCCCCAGATCAGACCATACTACACCATCGATGGCGAGGAAGCCCGGTCAGTGCACGCCCCTGGTATTACCCCTTTCCCCTTTTGTATTCAGTTTATCTATTACCTTTCTCAAGCTTCCAAGTTTCAGCACACAAGGCACTCCTCTCGAGACCCGTCAGCCCGCTCCCCAAGGTCAGGTTGGCACAGTAGAGGAAAAAAAGAGAGGACACAGCACAGTCGTAAGGCATTCTTGTGCATATAATGTCTGCTACTCCCCCCTTTCGCCCGCCGAGCCCATCATACGTTAGTCATGAGACGACGAGGAAGCCGCCGAAAGCCACAAATCCCCTTTTTATATCCTGGCTGTGCGATTACGTGATTACGTGACGATTGACGGGCTTGCGATTTGATGACTACCTACCAACCAGACCGCCATCTGCTGGGACGTCTCACGGTACGGTATTGGTGCGTGCTCTCCCGCGAAGCTTGTCGGCCCCTTTCTTCTCCCTTCTACTTCATTTTCTTATTCCGTTGGTGTAGGTTGACAATACCTACCGAACCAGGCCGGGCACACCTCCTTCAGCGACGCTAAATGCGGCACGGGATCCTATCGGATTCAACGTGCCGCAATTGAAATTCGAATTCAACAGAAGGACAGCAACCCCTGTCTGGTCTCCTCTGGCCCCCCTTACTTGTAATTTCGGATTCATTCGCAGAGGCAGCTGGCTGCTGGCTGCAGCTGCCTAGTCCAGCTGATGAATGAGTTATTATTAGCAGCACCTAGCACGTCGATATCAACCAGAACGTCCGTCGCCTTTGATCAAAAAGCATGGCACCAACACGCATGCGGGTGAGCGTTAGGACGATGCCGGGGCGCCGTTGCGGTTCCGTGAGGTCATGCAAGGGGGATTTGGGGGGGGGGCAGGGGCGGCACAATTGCATGCATTCATTCCTGAGGAACTTATTGAATTGAAATGCCAGCCGGGAGTCGGTTAGAGGTTGGTTGGACACCATGGGGCCCGCGAGCCTGGAAAGGGGAGCGATTTCAAAATGAGCGTTGTCTGTCTGTCTCTTTACACAGTAGAGCAGGTGTTGCGGGCGGACTTGCGGACTTGATGACAGATAGACTCTGGGGTATCTACTTGGTAACAAGTTATCCGACCAGCGTTACCGAACCCGAAGTTGAGCAGGTAAAGGCACAATTGAGGTTTTTGTTCTCCTGTCTCTGGGCAGCGCTTCCCCCTTTGCTCTCGCTCCCGCTGAGATTCGAGATGGACGGACGGACGTGTTGTTGGTTGTTGGTTGTTGGTTGAAATAATCAACGCAAAGATCAATGGAATGGAATGGTACAGGGTAACTTATTAGTAGCAGTTGAAAGGATTCGCCCCATCTTCGCCGTGACCCAAGCTCGCCGTGCGCCTTCATCATTGGCCTCATACCCCAGCTGGCCTTCGTGAAGGATGGTGCGATGCCTAGGTATAGACTTGGCAAACGTGCTGAGCCGCATTGCTGGTATTGAGGTTGGCTTGGCAAGTAAGAAAGTCTGGCCAATGAATTAGACGACGACGACGTGAAGGTCTGGACCAATGGATTTTATAATGGCGACGTGATGGTATACAGCCTTATTCCCAACCTATAAAGGTCGCCACGAGCCCCCCTCTCATCACGAGAAGATGGCATCTGTTTCTACAGCAGCACTCGTTCGCTCTAATTGCCGTTGAAGCCTCAGCTTCTGACGTGCCGCTCGTTTTGACTGCTGACGCTCTTGTCGGCTGCCACTCCTTTTGAACTACTTGCTACAATACAATACACTAGTTATCGCAACTACGACACTCTTTTATAAATTTCCCCAATAATCCTGGGTATAGTGCTGTAATCATGGTCTACCTGGTCCGGGCCCTAGCCCTCCTTGCCCTTCCGGCAGGCCTTCTGGCCGAGGGCAAAGCTTACAGACGAGACACTACCAGTTCGGTCACGACTACGGTAACAGCCGGAGCGCTGCCAACCGGATTCGCGAAGATCGCGTCCACGATCGAGGAGCCCACCGTCGTCGAAGGCGCCTACGTCGTCGTGTTCCAGGACGACAAAAGTTATGTAAGTGGCCCTCCGCAATGACTCGATATGTGAGACCGCGGACCTAACCACGGATTCGTTGTCCCGCTATCAGACCGACAAGTTGAGAAGGCCACGGGGAGCAAGACAACACTTCGCAAGAAGTTCTCCGCCGACCTGCTCAACGGCGTCTCGATCCATCTGCAGAGCAACGGCAGCAGTGAGGATGCGCAGGCCGTCATAGCCCAGCTTCCCGAGGTGCGGGCCGCGGAGCCCGTCCGGATCTACGCGCTTCCCAAGATCAATGTGGTGGCGAGCGCCACTAACTCGTCCGAGATACTCTCGCTCCTTGACAAGAGACAGAGGCCGACCGAGAACAACTCGTCGTCCACCCACCTCTCGACCCAGGTTACCCAGCTGCGCGATCTCGGCTACACTGGAAAGGGAGTCAAGATTGCGATCATCGACGCACCGGTAGGCTCTCTCCCTCTTTCCCTCCTTGCCCTCCCCGCCCCCGTGAATCCAAGCCTGAAAGGCGGACTGACTGACCAGGCACCACCAGGTCGACTACAACCACCCAGCTCTCGGTGGCTGTTTCGGAGAGGGCTGTTTCGGAGAGGGCTGTTTCGGAGAGGGCTGTTTCGGAGAGGGCTGTTTCGGAGAGGGCTGTTTCGGAGAGGGCTGTTTCGGAGAGGGCTGTTTCGGAGAGGGCTGTTTCGGAGAGGGCTGTCTCGTTTCGTTCGGACGAGACTGCCTCGAGCCCGTCGACGTCGACAATACCGATCCGAGCTGCAAGAGCCACGCGACGGCGTTGGCCGGCGTGATAGCAGCCCAGGAGAACGCCGTCGGGTTCACGGGCGTGGCGCCCGGCGTGCAGCTAGGGAGCTACGGGATCTCGGGCTGCACCGTGGGCGGCGACGACGAGAAGCTCCTCGCGGCGCTGCAGCAGGCCGTCGACGACAACGTCCACATCGTCGTGTACTCGCTGGGCTTCGGCAACGGCTGGACCAACCTCGCCCTGAACCTGGCCTTCGACAACATGGCCGCCAAGGGCATCATGATCGTGGTCGCTGCCGGAAACGACGGCGGCAGCGGCATCTTCCACACCGCGAGCGGCGCCGACGCAACGGACGCCTTTGGTGTCGGCTCGGTCGACGGCGACCAGGACATTGCTTTTGCCAATATCACGACCTACACCGCCACCGCTGTCGGCGGGTCTGTTTCGTTCGACTGGCGAGACGGCGAGTCGCCGAACAATGCTGGCTGGGGCAACATAGTACTCCCGCTTGTGAGTAGCCGCCTCTATGGGTTCTACTTGAGCCATACATTCCTTCTGTGTACTACTGGAGGAGAAAACCGCTGACTGGTTTTACTACAGTGGACGAACCTGGACGCAGATGCGTGCCAGCCGCTCCCCGATGACACGCCTGATTTGAGCGAGCGTATTGTGCTCCTGCGTCGCGGGGGCTGCTCCGACGACGACATCGCCACCACAGCCGGGGAAAAGAACGCCAAGTACGTTATCTACAGCGACACCGACGCGGGCCTGCGGATCGAGGTGCCCCGTGTAACGGAAACCTCGCTCCTCGCACTCGCCATGGTGGACGTAGCCACGGGCGCCAGCTGGTTTCAGCTGCTACAGTCGGGCGCCGACGTGGTCGTGAACATGACTACCACGGCCAACGGACCGCAGCGGCAGCTAGTCAGCGACGCCTACCACGGCGGTCGCATGAGCTCCTTCAGCCAGTGGGGGCCGACATTCGACGGATACCTCGCCACGCAAGTGTCAGCGCCCGGGACCAGTATACTCACCACGGCGCCCGTCGAGGAAGGGAAGTCTCTATACGTCATTACGGCCGGCACCTCTGTCGCCGGCCCTTTCGCCGCCGGCGTTGCCGCCTTGGTGGCCGAGGCACGGCAGACCCAGGACCGCAAAGTCCTCTCGAGCCTCCTGGCCACCACGGCCAAGCCCCTCGTCCGGGCCACTCCGAGTGACGACTGGGACACACCTGGAAACGAACTTGCCTCGGTGGCACAGCAGGGAGGCGGGCTCGTCCAGGCGTACAATGCCGCCTTCGCGCCCAGCGTGATCAGCGTCAACACCCTGCAGTTCAACAACACCGAACACCGCACGACGCTCAGTTTCACCATCACGAACGAGTCCCCCGACGCCATCACGTACGACCTGTCAAACATTCCGGCGGGCACCGTGTACACCTTCACGGAGACCGACCTCAAAACCCCAGCAGACTACGACGACATCACGAACACCCTGTACACCAAAGATGCCGCCACCCTCCAGTTCATGCCCGGCGCGCAGGTGACGGTGCCAGGCAACAGGGGTTCGGTCGAGGTGGAGGTCGTCGCATCCGAACCCCCTAACGCCAACCTCACGCGGCTGCCCGTGTGGTCGGGGTACATTGCTCTCAACGGCACCGACGGATTCGACTACACCCTCCCTTACATGGGCATCGGCGGGAGTCTGGACGACACCCCTGCGCTCAACACCCTGACATGGCGGCTGACCGACCCGAACGCAGGTCCGGGCGAGGAGCCGCGCCCCGTCATCGAGCCGGGCAGGATCGTCAATATGCCGGCGGAACAGCCCATCTTGCAGGTTAGCATTGGCATGGGCCTCAGAACAGTGGCTTGGGACGTCGTCAGCGCAGACTCCGGCGCGGTACTTGGCCCAACCGGTATCCCTTCATTCGAGCGAGCCACACGGGCGAACTACCTGGTCACATGGGACGGAAAATTCCAGAACGGGACCCAAGTCCCCGCTGGGGCGGTGAAGGTTGTGGCCAAGTCTTTGAAGACGTTCGGGTCCGAGGAGAACGAGGATGACTGGTTGAGCCTTGAGTCTGCGGAGCTCGACATAGCTTGGTCGAGTTAAAGGATAGATAGCATTTACAGGTAGTTTCGAAACAAATGCCGAACCTCTACCAGGAGCTGCAGGGTTCACCTCACTCGCCACCAAGCCCAGCATACCGGAAGCCGAGCGGTCAGGGGAACGGTACCCAGGTACACCCAGCTCTCATAAGTCTCCGTATGCGCGTGTTGGCAAGATTCCAGACAACCAGTGGGATAGTTGGAAATACTAGAATAAGCGCCCTAGACTAAGCGTCAAGTATGGTAAATAAAGATCAAACTGGTTATTCCGGTGTGCTTATTCCGATTTGATGAATATACCGTTGCTTGCTGGAAGGTTGTGTACGGAGACTTATGAGGGTTAAGTGTACCGACGCCTGCAAACGCAGCGCGGTCTTCTTCCTGATCAAGAATGAATGCGACCTGATGGAAGAAGTCTTGCTGCAGGCGGGGCCCAGTCCAGTATTACTGAGAGCTCATTGATGCCGGTCAAGAGTTGAACAACCATGTCTCGATCATGGCGCTCCTCCAGTCTACCCACTCCTCCTCTGCATCCCCTCCCACTCCACCGCCCTCTTCGTAAGATCGCGAAACCCAATCTTGAAGCCCGTCCCAAAACCGCCAATATTACTAGTCTGACACAGCGTATCGACCCATCGGCGGTAGCCATCTCCCAGGTTGCGCAAGAATAAGAAGCACAATGCCTCTTCGCTCACCACCTCAGCTCCTGTACCGGGCGTACGAGTGGACAGGGTTGCGTTCTTGTGCTGTGGAGTGGACTCAAATGCGTGATGACGGCCATGAGGATACTGTTGCGATTGCTTCAGCCTCGAAAAGTTGTGCCACGCTGTCTCGAGGCAGCCAATGTAGCTCTGCAGCTCACCACCACAACTCTGGAGTGTGATACTGTGCAGCTCCATATACAGCTTAAACGCCTGGTCGGAGCCGCGAGGACAGCACATTTCTTCCAACGCTCTCCACGCCTCTGACGCCCTGTTGAACCCCTGGATTCTGGTTCTGAAAGAAGGGGCAAGACTGCCCAACAGGGCCCCGAGTAAAGCGAAGTTTCGGCGGTGGAAGATAGCGAGTTGTTTCACGTACTCGTTCCAGTCCTCCACCTCCACTTCTTGCCCCTCTTCAGTGGATTGTGGGCGGATAGGCTCGGTCTTCGCGCCTGTGAGTGTCTCGATAGTGTTCTCTTTCAGACTAGCTTCGATGAAAGAATCGCTGTAAGTCTGCCAGTCTCCCGCACCCTGGAGTGTAGGTATACTCTTATAGCTGTCCCCGTTTCCACAACTCGAGTGCGCAAGGACCTCCACGGACGAGCTATTGAGTTCCAGACGTTTGGGCTTGACGTATTCGGCCTGGAAGCTCTGGAGATCTTGCAGTATCTGGCGTCGACGGACGGCGCTGTTGGGTACGATAAGTGAGTCATCTTGGGCTTCGTCCGGTGAGCCTTGTGTGTTCGGGTGCTCCTGCCCGGGCTCGTGGTCGTAGTCGCATGTCGCGCTTGCTTCGATGCAATGTTGGCAGGTGGGTCTGGCGCTGTCGCATCTGACCCTTTTGTCTCTGCATCGCAGGCAAGCCGATGGCAAGCCCAGCGCCTTCTCCGGATCTCGAGAAAATTGGTTCACCAAGTGCGTGGACGTGCCATACTTCTTCCATTTGAGCTTCATGTTCGCCACATCCGTCATTGTGAACAGTCCATCCGGCTTGGTGCGCTGAAGGAACTGTAGGACCTGAGGGCCAGGCGTGCCGATTGCGAAGAGACCATCCACCGCTTTCTCCACGCCGCCCATCCTCGCTCTCCGGCGATGACCAGCAAGCGCCACAGCCTCCACAGGGCCGTGGTTGTGATGCGTTGTCCGATGCCTGATCTGCCACTCCCCTTCCGGATTGCTTGGATATACCGCCACAGCCGCCAAGCCCATGGGACAGCCAGTGCGCTTGCTCTTCCGCTTCCTCCTTACTCCGGTGGTGGCAGTGGGCTTTCCAGTGTTGGCGAGCTTACCATGCTTACTGCAATTGTAGTAATGCTTGTAAATTTTGCCAATAGCGTTCTTCTTGCTAGCTCGCCGGACCATGTCGTAGCCATGTTCGAGCGACCAGGCGTGTAAGCTCTTCTCCAGCTCCGCTTCGCCGGCGTAGTTGCCTTCGGGCGGAGCTGGGATAGCGAAGACTGGCTCGTTCGGGTCGTCGGCGTCATCGTTTTGTTCGTCTTCATCGTTATTGTCATGGTTCTGTCCGGGTTGCTGATGTTGCTGCAGCGCGTTCCTCAGCCGATCTTCCAGGTCCGGTGAGCTGCGATCAGGTGGTGGTGCGCCCGGGTCTGCGGGTGGGCTGCCATCTTGAACGGCCTGTTGCAAGTTCTGGCCATTCTGGCGGCTCGCTGTAACCGGCGTTGGCAGTGGTTGGCGGCGCGGTTGCTGTTGAGGTGTGGGAGCGTTCTGTGGAAAGGGTCGGAAGAACTGCTGTGCCTGCTGTGGTGCTGCGTATCCGGGATACGGAGTAGTCTGTTGGTTTGGGTAGGGGTTTAGGTAGTATTGCGAGTCTGCAGAAGTTAGATCGTCAGGAATTGCACTGATACAAAGCGTCAATGTAGCTTACAGCCAGAGCCTTGCTGATTCATCTTGGCGATGATGGATGGTGGAGTGTTGAGATGAGGTGGTCGCTCTTTACCATTCTGGTGGACGGTAAGTTAGGGAGAGGTAGGCCTTGGACCACATGTGCATGGTACCGACCACCCCACATCTAAACACCGCATAAATCCGATATCTACCTACCTAATCGTGTCACGATCGAATTGGAATGAGCATATCGAAATAAGCATCAACCGTATCGTATTAAATACAAGCTGCTTATAACTATATGCTTATTCCAATATTTCCAACTATCTTACCAGTGATGGAATCTTGCCAACATGCGCGTACGGAGACTTATGAGGGCTGAATGTGTCAGGGGTATGCCGTACTCCAAGCCCATTCTCGGGACGGCATCAGCCTCGGAAAGGGAATGTGCTAAGCCCTGGACAACCATACTCTCGGTCTTTCCTTCCTTGTCCTTAGTCACCCAGGAGGGTACCGGGTTCGCATCCCGCAACTTGCGAAGGGTGCCTAACCGCGCTGAAAACCCACGAGTCCGACCACCTCGGCGCAAAGTTCGGTCACAAACATGGTGATTCAAACAGTTCAAGACGGTCTCTTAACACAACATCGTTACATCGTCTAGTTGCCGTTATATAAGAGAGTCTAGGGCTACCATATGCAGTGGTATGCCGACCACATGGCACAGTTAACTACATCCGGAACACCCCAAATCTGGTATCACCAGGCTTGACCTCGTTCCGCCCCGACATGGCAGCTTTGAGTCCCAACCCGAGGTATCGCCGCGTGTGCTGCGGTGGGATCACACCGTCGTCCTACATACGAAGTCAGCAGAAAAACTCTGAGGTGTACAGGTATACAATGCGATAAGGGGGAAAGGGGGAACACAGAGGGACCATTGCGCATAGTACACTGCCTGTAAGTAAGGGAATGGATGGAATCAATACTCACCCATAGTCTCGCAGAGGAATACACAGCATCGCTCTCGCGCTCAATGCGATCCCTCAGCTCCGGGTCCGCCTTCTGTCCGACGGTCTCCATGACATTAGCAAGCTGCTCGCCTCCCATGACGCCCACGCGGGCATTGGGCCACATCCACAGGAAGCGCGGACTGTAGGCACGTCCGCACATGCCGTAGTTGCCGGCGCCATAGCTACCGCCCACGACGACGGTGAACTTGGGGACGTCGGCGCAGGCGACCGCCGTGACGAGCTTGGCGCCGTGCTTCGCGATACCCTCGCGTTCTGCCTGCGCGCCGACCATGAAACCGCTGATGTTCTGCAGGAAGACGAGAGGGATGCCGCGTTGCGCGCACAGCTCGATGAAGTGCGCGCCCTTCTGAGCGGATGTGCCAAAGAGGATGCCATTGTTAGCCACGATGCCAACCCGTTGTCCATATATGTGTGCAAACCCGGTCACGAGAGTTGCGCCGTAGTCGCGCTTGAACTCGGCGAAGTGTGAGCCGTCTACAATACGTGCGATCACCTCGTGGATTGGCAGGGGCTTGCGAAGGTTGGTCGAGGCAATGCCAAGGAGTTCTGAAGGGGGGTATAGGGGCTCTGCGAAGGTAGGAGGTGAGGCCTTGTCCGGCCAGTTCAGGTTGCTGATGCAGCGTCTCGCGAGTACGATTGCGTGTGCGTCGTCAACGGCCAGGTAGTCAGATACCCCTGAGACAGAGGTATGCATGGCGCCACCGCCCAGCTCTTCGGCAGATACTTCCTCTCCTGTGGCTGCTTTCACAAGTGGGGGTCCAGCGAGGAAGATGTGCCCCTGGCCCTCCACAATGATGTTCTCGTCACTCATGGCTGGTACGTAGGCGCCACCTGCTGTGCAAAGTCCCATAACCACGGAGACCTGAGGGATCCCTTCGGCGCTCATCCTCGCCTGGTTGTAGAATATGCGGCCGAAGTGGTCGCGGTCCGGGAAGACGTCCGACTGATGTGGTAGGTTGGCGCCTCCTGAATCCACGAGGTATATGCACCTATGACCATGTCAGAACACAGACTCGTAGACTACTTCTCGCTGAACTAGCCGTAACCCACGGGAGTTTGTTCTCTTGCGCCACCGCCTGCGCCCTCAAGTGCTTCTTGACAGTAATGGGATAGTACGTCCCGCCCTTGACCGTGCTATCATTCGCGACAATCACGCACGTAACACCCTCAACCACACCTACGCCCGTGATGATACCCCCAGCGGGCACGTCTGCATCCGGGTAGAGCTCGTGGCCCGCTAGGGGCGACAGCTCCATGAACGTGGTCCTAGGATCGACCAAGACCGTGACGCGGTCCCGCGGCAGCATCTTCTTCCGCGCAATGTGCTTGTCCCGCGCCTTCGCCGAGCCGCCCTGTTGCGCGGCCCGCGTCAGCTTCTCCAGGCGGGCCATGGCCTCGCCCATGAGCCGCTCATTCTCCTTGAACTCGTCCGACGACGCGTCCACGTTGCTCTGTATGACCGAGATGGCATTCGCTTGGTGCGGGGCCGTGTAGGTCGCGACGGTCCTTCGAGCAGCGGGCGACGACGGTGGTAGAGGATGAGGGTGCGGGACAGCTCGACGGGGATGCCGGGAAGAGCAGTGCTTCGCCAACTGGCGCGACAGACCCAGAAGGTCCCTCGAGGACTTTGGTATCGACATATTGGAAAGTGGAAAGTAATGACAGGCTTGCTACTGCTGTCGCAGCCGAGCTATCGCGAGTAGACTACATGAGACCAGGCGGTTAGACAGGGAAGGAACTGGGGGAAGCTGACGGTTGGCGGCTTCCCCAGCTTCCCCAGCTGAGGAATTGGGGATGCGTCAAGGGGATCGGCCCGTCTGTAGCCGCCTCCAGCCGGCTTCCTGTAAGACAGCGCCCGCGGCTCAGGAATGATTGTCAAACTTCCCTTCCAGTCAAGCGTCGTCTTTACCATGGGCGTCTCTTTCTTTGCATCTGCACATCACAGCTCACAATGGCGAGTATGAGGGCATTCCGAACACTAGCCCGCCCTGCGGGTCGTCTACTTCCAAGACCAGCTACAAGACCGGTAGCCGTAGCGCCAGCATGTCCCCAGATCCCCACGGCACCGCCGGTAATAGCGCTTCAGCGCCACCGGCATTACGCAACAACCTCAAATAAGCACCCACAGGGCTTCGAGCCGCCCTCGGCCGGCGACCTGGCCGAGCTGCGCGAGCGCGTGCAGGAGTTCGCGCGGCGCGAGATCCCCGAGGAGGTGGCCGCGCGCACGGACCGGAGCAACGCGTTCCCCAACGACATGTGGCCGAAGCTGGGCGAGGCCGGCTTCCTGGGCATGACGGCCGACGACGAGTTCGGCGGCGTCGCGCTGGGCTACCAGGCGCACTGCGTCGTCATGGAGGAGATCTCGCGCGCGAGCGGCAGCATCGGCCTCAGCTACGCCGCCCACTCGCAGCTGTGCGTCAACCAGCTGCAGCTCAACGGCAGCCCGGAGCAGAAGGCGAAGTACCTGCCGGGGCTGATCGCGGGGACTAAAATAGGGGCGCTGGCCATGTCCGAGTCGGGCGCTGGGAGTGACGTCGTGAGCATGCGCTCAACAGCGAAGAGGGTCGATGGTGGATACGTCCTTGATGGCACCAAGATGTGGATCACGAACGGGCCGGACGCCGATGTTGTGGTTGTGTATGCCAAGACGGAGCCTGAGAAGGGGTCCAAGGGCATCACGGCATTCATCGTACAGACAGAGTCTGAAGGCTTCAGCTGCGCGCGGAAGCTCGACAAGATGGGCATGAGAGGCAGCAACACAGGCGAATTGGTATTCGAGGGCGTCTTCGTCCCGGAGGAGAACGTGCTGGGTAACGTCAACGGAGGAGTCCGCGTCCTGATGGAAGGCCTCGACCTTGAGCGGCTGGTCCTCAGTGCTGGCCCCTTGGGTATCATGCAAGCGGCACTCGACGTTGCGTTACCCTTCTCGCACCAGAGGAAGCAGTTTGGCGCGCCCATCGCACACAACCAATTTGTACAAGGAAAGCTGGCCAATATGTACACCAAGCTGCAGGCGTCAAAGGCGTACACTTACGCCACGGCGAAGGCAGTAGATGAGGAGGGTGAGATCAGGACACAGGACTGCGCAGGCGCTATTCTTTATGCCGCAGAGCGAGCCACCGAGTGTTCGTTAGACTGTATACAGCTTCTGGGCGGCATGGGCTACGTGGAGGAGATGCCTGCTTCGAGGTTATTGAGAGAGTAAGCTCTCACCCACCCCCCCTTTTCACAAGGCATGTTTTAACATCTCACAGCGCCAAGTTGTACGAAATAGGTGCCGGGACATCGGAGATTCGTCGCATGGTAATTGGTAGGGCGTTCAACAAGGAGTATGCCCGTCTCGGTGCATGAGGTAGACATCTGGGATAAGGAGCTGGCGAAACATGGCATATAAGCAGGCGTTCCGGATTGTACGCTACGTCTCATAGCAGTCTGATTGAATTTTGAGACCAAAAGGGGGACCGAGACTGGCTTCTACGTCCTATCAACTACAACGTTCTAGGTACGTACTTCCTAGCCTGCGAGACACATCAGGCTACATGTGCATGTAGCCACCGGAACCACATCAGGGAGTCGTTCCTTCCCAGTCCGAAAACAAGGAGCTGAAGTCAGTTCACTTCGACGCTCTGAATATAGAAAGCTGGGTACACGAGGGAGTTGCGAGAAAAATGTCCAGCCTCGGTTTGCACTATGGATCATGTGACAGACACGCCTGCTCACTGTCACTTGCGTCTCACCAGCTGGTTGTAGGTGGGCGATCATGCTGTTCGTGTACATATCGAACATAGCTTCAGCCATTTACCGTACCGTATCCACTAGAAGCTCGATATCCCGGATTTGGAGACCCTAAATTATCGTAGTGTATCAGATAATATCTGATCTTCAGACTATTTTTTGGAAGCTGTAGCTCTAAACAGGATCTAGAATATGTAACATCCCTCTCAGTATCATCATTCGAGCACCAACACTAGAGACTGATGTCCTTGCCTTGTCGTTGAGACTTTTCCCACAGGACATTCATCCTGAAGCAAACTATACGCCCCCTCAAGACACTCGAAATGATGAAACCACGAAAGAGACCTCAATATGACGCACCACCTTCCCGTGTGACATCCTTCCTTGTCCTCCATGCCTTCATGTGTGCAAAGAACCTCGCCGTACTTTACCATTCCTGGTAGCAGGAGTAAAAAGGGCTACAAGATAGTGTTAGCCTCCAATATCGAAGAAGAAAAAAGGCTTTCGACGCGAGACTCGAGGTAGCAGCGAAAGGAACAAGTAAACAAATACTCACTCATCTTCCCCTCTCCAACCAACACACTTCCAGCAATCAAACAGATGCTCGGGATCGTACCTGTCCTTGACCCCCACCAACTTCCCATAATTATCCCCCCAGAACGTCTCCTCCCACTCTGGCTCCTCATACGATGCCTCGTTCAAATACGCGCCGCCCCCAGGACTCAATGCCTTCAACGGTGTCAACAGATCTAGAAATCCCAGTGTAACATTCTTCTGTTCTGCGGCCTCCAGCGGCGCCGTCCACTCGCCGACGTGAATCACATGCCACAGCGCCGTCCGCCACGCCGGGTTCACCGACGTCTTGCGCTCCGGGTCCGGATTCGAAACCGGGGTCTCGAAAACGACCTGTGTCGCAGTGATATCCGAAGCCGGGGACAGGGCCCTCGCCGTCGTGATGCCGTAGAGGATAGCGTCCACTAGCGCGGCGATCGAGGCGGTAGCTGCGAATAGAGACCGCGGCATGAGGCGGGAGGCGAGCAGCTGCGAAATACCTGGGGCCTCGGTGGCCTTGGCGTCGGCGGCGGAAAAGCCCGTGTAGTCCAAGTACGAGGCGTACGAGGTGAAGTTGTTGGTGAGGATCGTGATCTCGGCTGACTTGCTCACCGCCTCCACGAAGGGCGCTATAAGCGCGGCCAGCTTGGACCCGTCGTCTGCAAAGGGCAGGACCGCGCCAAATTCGACGTAGTCGACGAGGTAGTCCACGCTTCCTGTCACGAGCTCCTGCGACCAGGCGAGCTGGTTCTCGGCGTGCGCGGTAAGGATCGAGCGCAGACCGTTGCTTTCGGCGCTGAAGTTGGCCTTCAGCGTGTAGGTGTGAATAGGCAGCACAGGGTGCAGCTGGACGCGGTATTTGGTCAGGACGGCGAAAGTTCCCCCGCCGCCGCCGCGCATGGCCCAGAATAGATCTGGGTCGACGCACTCGTTGATGATGCGCACTTTCCCGTCCGCCGTCACAACCTCGAACTCGACGGCGTTGTCTACCATCAGTCCGTACAAGGTTGTGAAATCACCCACGCCGCCACCCTGCCCGAATCCACCCGCGAGACCGACCGTTTCCTCGTACCCACCGGTGATGTCCATATTGTGCTGGCCGTTGAAGAAGACATAGGCGTCCTTCGCGATGACGCCTGCTCCCATCGTGCCGATATTTTGTAGCGTGGGGGTATTGGCGGGACAGCCTGACAGCGTGAAGGTGTCGTTGAAAGAGAGCGAGTTCAGGTTGTGCGTCCACAGAGCCAGCGAGTTGGGCACCGCCGAGCGGCCAAAGTAATCGTGGCCTGTGTTCTTGATGCTGAGGCGGATGTTATGTGTTTTAGCGAAAGCCATGGCCGCGGCCACGTGTGACGGGGAGCGCACGTCGATGTAATATGCGCCTAATCGGCCCAGCGAACAGGTGCTGTAGAGTGGATATGTTTGGTCTTGAGGAGCAAGTGAACACGCCGAAGTGCCGCAGGCCTCCCAACTCTGCCAGTAGGTCTGCCCATAGTAGCCTACGCGATCGAGGTCGTTGGTGATATCCTTTTCGATGATGGAGCAGGTAACCTCATTGTAGTAGATTGAACTTGGGTAACATGGTGCGCCTAGGGGAACGGTGAGGTATAGGTGGCCACCGAGGGTGATATTCAGTTGTTGCCATTCATTAGGGGAAGGCCAGCACTTCTGCCGGGGTTGGCAATTGAAGCCTGGATCCTTGGATGCCAAGGCAAAGCTGAGAGTGGAGAGAAGTAGATGAAGGAGCATCATCATTGTGGTGAATTGAACTACATGTAGGTGCTCGAGAGTGCGAGACTGATGGAAGGTAAGCTGGGGGACCGCCAACTTGAATTGTTCCGCCGGCCGTCCTTATACTTGTCAGAAATAGGAAAAACGAGACATGGGAGCTGAAGCAAAAGCTACCTTAGCGCTGACAGGATTTGAACCTGTCCCCATATATGAATTGTCATGATGTGTCTCACGCCGTGCCTCTTGTCTTATTTACCTCTATAATTCAAGCTGACCTCGTACTCGGAGTCATAATAAACGCTTACTCACGGACGTACCTCCGTAGCTTAGTCAGGGGCTCCTGGACCAATCGGCGACATTAGGTAGTCCCAAAAGAGGGATATACAGTACCTGTGAGAGCACATATAGGGTCTACGAGATGCCCACATTGATAGAAGGCCCAGGTTTCAACTGTATTCTACTTCCCCCCTACTGCACGATATCTAATTGACGGCTTCTCTCACTCTGTGACCCCAAGCTTTGACAGTGTTATCGCGAATTGCATTCGAGCGTTTCGACTTGCCCTCTGATATCAGGTACTAGAAGGCCCATTTGCTGTGTCGACAGGATTGGGGCTCCCCTAGACGCGTAGTCGCCGGCCATTGACACACTACAAGTCCGCGGCAGCATCCTGAAGATAAGTCAAGTCCCCCTAGTCGAGTTGTGCGCGCTCTGCCGCCCCACGTCCTTCTTGTTCGAGTTCCAGGGGCCCTCGTCAAGCAACGGATCAAGCAACAGATCGTGGTTACTCGCAATCACGATCTTGTGCCGGTACGGTCGACTCTTTAGCCATTCAAGAGCGGCCTGTATCTCCTCAGAAGATCCCGATTGTAATAGATTCCGTACATGGACAAGCATGTCTATCGTAATAACCGAGGTTTCCAGTATAAGGCTGCCTTTTTATGAGTTCGTAGAATTTTGAGGTTTCTGATGCCCTGGGTATGGCTTAAAACTGCCTCATCATATGTTTATTCTGTGTTTTTAATGGGTGTATTACGGGGTTTATAACGGTTGTTAGTCGACTACTAATCAAACTAATCTAAGGATAAACATCTTCCTGTTCGGAGCGCCGGCGCCGACGCTGACGCCGATAATAATTGCTAGCCGATCCATCCAATATGCCGCTTCATACCAACAACGATCTTCCTTCCGACTCTAACGTTAAATCGTCGCTACAAATTCGAACTACCGGCCGATCTTTTTAATTTTGACGTTTATAAAATGGTTCATAAATTAGCTTTATTTGCCGCTATCACTTATAATAGCCGGTAATCTTTATAAATTATATAACGCAATAATTTATTTTTCAATATTATCGTATAATTTATTAGCTTAAATCTTTTTATATTTTTGTATTATATGTCGGATTCCCCTATTATATAGTTTAAGAAATTGATTTAAAGTGTGTAAATAGAGTCCGTACGCGTGCTATAGCTATACGACTACAGTATGTTGGACTAAAGGTACGCTTAGAAGGCACCTTGATAGGTAGACAACGGAACCTAGTTGTTCCGTCCCTATCCAGCCCCCTGTGGCACAAAACGGCCACGGTCGCACAAGGACACTCTAAACAGACAGAATACACACACACACACTTCACTCTGACGATTGGCTCAAATCTGACACAGTATAGCTGGCTGCCCAGGGCCGCTATCACGTAACCCCCTTCCGGGGCCAGCAAAGCCGCTTCCCTTCGGGAAGCGGCATCGCCTGGCTCGCTAAATAAATGGTACCTGTCCTTAAGTAGTATAGTAATGCCACCCGTTTCCAGGTACAATTAATACTACTGGACTGCTAAGCCCCGGAGCGTGTTATTTCCAGGTATGCGTCAGCCCCAACTCTCTGTGCAGTGCTGCGCACTGCACGGAGCGAGCTGATATTGAAGCTTGTAGATCATGTGACAGAGACGACTGTCACTGTCACCTCCATCTCGCCAGCTGGTTATAGGTGTTATAGGTGATCATGCACCCCTCCACCCCTCTCTGCAGGGCAGTTGCCATTTGGTCAGGAGAGGGGTAGCCGTCGTGACACCTCCCCAAAATGGCGATGACTGATTGCTGGCCTCCAGCTTGTCCGAGGCGGACTACAAGGCAGACTCCATGCCCCACCATCATGATGAGCATCGTCACCGCCATCGCTACAGTCACCCGCCATGAGTCTCTGTCTGCGCACCTTGTCAATTCAGATTTGGAACAAGCTTCCTGGAATAAGCAGCTATAGTCTATTGAGTCGCACTGGATGCTTATTCCTCAGTGCTTATTCCACAGATCACAAATGACGTTGAATATCCAGCTTGTCTCGGAGGTCGAGCATCGATCAAAATGGATCCTCTGAGTGCGCTGGCCATCGCCGCCGCCGTGGTTCAGTTCGTTGACATAGGAGGTCGGCTCTTGAAAAAAGCTTGGGAGTCGCACAACGGACATGCCAGGGAAAAGACTGAGCAACAACAACTCGAAGAGGTCGAGAAGCAACTGTCATTCTTGATCGACGGGGTTCGGGAGGCCTCCAAGACTTTGTCGGGCTCAATTGTGTCGAACCCAACAACCCCTATGCAAGCACAACTGCTACGACTCCACGCGGAATGCGTCGACATAAGCACCGAGTTCAACGCTGCTATCCAGCATATGAGAGCCCTGGCCCAGAGGCCGACTCGCAATCGCTTCTCCTTTCGCGGCCACCAGAGCGCCGATAAAGATGTCCGGGATAGAGATGTCCGTCATATCCTGGAACGCCTACCCGTCTTGAGACGTGAAGTCATCGACTGTGTTGTGCTAGGCCTCTGGTACGTGCTATTTCTGTCTACACTGAACCCTCATAAGTCTCCGTACACTACCCATCCAGCAAACAACGGTAAATTTATCGAATCGGAATAAGCACCATGGAATAAGCTTTAGGAATGGCGTATCATAGCAAAGCTGCTTTTTCCTGTATGCTTATTCCAGTATTTCGAAATTTCCACGGGTGATTCGGAATCTTATCATTATGCATATCTTAGGGATAATTCCAAGGAGACACAGCAGCGGGAGCTCTGTCTCAGTCGTCAAATGGACGCCGTCATCGGGATGCTTGCGCAGCTCGACGAGTCGACCAAGAGGGCAGTGCAGGGGTTCCGTGCCGAAGAAGTTGATGGTGATATATCAGGTCTCAGGCATGAGCTCGTCGAGACGATTTGGAGGAAGGATTGGACGTCGGATGCGGCCTTGACGAATACACCTGAAGACGATACTCCAACGAGAATGAACACCGATGTGGTTGCCCATGCCATATCTCGTGACGTGGGATTCGAAACAGCATGTTTACGCGAAGCCGCCATTGCTCAGAACTTCATCGGAACCTATTCGTGGATTTTCCAAGCCGAACCTAAATGGCAAAACAACAAGTCGGCGTGGGACAGCTTTCCGAAATGGCTAGAAGACGGCTCAGAACCATTTTACTGGATTACAGCAAAGCCGGGCTCCGGGAAGTCGACTCTGATGAAGTTTGTGCTGCAGCACAAGTTCCTACGTGAGGGTCTTTCACGTTGGGCTGGTTCATTGCCCTTCCTCGTTTGCAAATACTATGCCTGGCACCCCGGTCAAAGCCTGCAAAAATCAATTGAAGGCTTAAAAAGGACCGTATTAGCACAGGCTCTGCTTCTCTTCCCCGAGTTGGCTCGCATAGTCACCCCTAGACGCTGGGCCTTATTCCAGGTGTTGAGAAAAGACCCAGTCTTCCCGCCATGGGACACCTGGGAACTTCAGGAGTCATTTGATGCCCTCCTCTCCCAGTGCGGAAAACCCATCAAACTTCTGCTTGCATAGATGGACTGGACGAGTTCGACGTTCGACCCAGCGAAGTTGCCGGAGCGGTACGAGCTACGATGGCCAGCTGCTCTGATGGGTTGAAGATTTGCGTCGCTAGTCCTTGGACTGAGTTCGAGGACGAGTTCAGCGAGGGCCCAATGCTTCAAATGCATTCACTGACTTGGGAAGACATGGAAGCTTTTGTTACCCGCAAGTTCCAGGGGAACAAGGGTTTCGATGAACAGAAGCACCTCTACTCTCAAGCCGCCAGCCAATTACTGGCAGACATAACCCAGAAAGCCAACGGTGTCTTTTTGTGGGTCTCGGTGGTTGTTCAGCATCTATTGGGCTTGTTCACCGAGGGCCTGTCGATATATAAAGCACAAGAAGCCCTGCAAAATCTCCCATTAGATCTCTCATCACTCTACGACGCGATTTGGAACAGAATCAGTCCAGAGAACATGAGCGACGCGTTGTTCATGATGCAAGTGGTGGCAGCTGCTGAGGGACCCTTGCCATGGCTTATCATGTGGATCGCTGAAGAAGCTAGGCATGGCACTGTCCAACCGAGAGCACTGTCCAAGAAGGAGGGCTGGAGGGACTTTGCATGGCTGTCGTTGAAGAGGAAAATAGCCATACGAACGAGAAACATACTAGAACTTACGACAGGCAAGGATGGATTTGTGGATTTTACACACCGGACTGCCAGGGACTGGGCAATGCAGCCGGAGGTGTGGCACCGCATACGCTCGTCATACGAATAGAAGTTCGATCCTTATCTAGCCTTACTCGAGGCAGATACTCTGTCCCTCTCAACCACGTGCGAGGCGGGAAAGCACAAGAGCCACAGTACTGACAACGACTCGGAACCGTGGGAGACAGTGGTGATACGAGCACTTGGCTATGCCGGCAACGTAACAGACGACCCAGAAACCTTGTCGAGACTAGTTCGATATCTGGATTCCCTTGACGTTGTAGCCGCGGCTTTCACAAAGGGTGAATGGAGATCACTGGTCAATCCGCCTACTGCGCAAGGTCATGCGCACGGTTGAGAATCGCACCGATGGGGATTGGCACCAACACCACCACCTCAACCTCTACAAAACCAATAACCAAGCTGGCAAACTCAACCTCGACCCCAACCGCATCAGCAACCGCATCCGCATCCGCAACCGCAACTCCAATCCCAACCGCATCCGCATCCGCAACCGCAACTACGCTCGCAACTCGTTCTTGGTATTAGCTGCGCAATTTGGCATTCTGCCATATGTACGAGCCAAGTCGGCCATGGACCCGAGTCTCCTATGTCGACAACACCCCAAAGGCTACCCGGGTCTTCTCGCCAATGCCATCTTTGGAACCGAATATTGCATGAGTCGCGAGGACCGGTTGGATGGTATCCCCAAGACACCAGCTGGTCAAAGGCTAGCTACAGTCAAGTTCCTCCTGGAGCAAGGCGTTTGGGAGCCGAAGATGCGTTCATTTAGTTCAGGAAAAGTAGTGTCCCTAAGGAAGGAGGTGCAGAGCCACTGCACAGGAGAAGCCGGTGGCTACTACTCCAGAGTGGCTGAATGCCTGGACCAGAGGAGCTGGAAACTCAAGCTGAAGTCCGGATCGTTGTGCGTCCGGTCTGTGTTGAAGAAGTCAACGATGGTGTTCACGAAACAAGACTTTGCACCAGACAACGGTATATCTATAGAATCGGAATAAGCACACCGGAGTAAGCGTTTAAAGCGGCGCATCAAACCAGAGCTGCTTATTCCACTTATACGAATGTACTTAGCGTTGATGTCGAAAGGTCAAGCAAAACGCGGAGCATAATCTAGTGCAAAGTCTTAGACATATCCCACTGCCATTTAGAAGCGAAAACGGTGCGGTCCCTTGGAGCAAGACGTTTAGCAGCTGAAGATATAGTCAAGTTCCTCCTAGAGCAAGGCGTTTAGCAGCCGAAGATGCGTTCCAGAGAAGGAGCGAGTGATCGAGGTGGTGCCCCTAGAACCCCTTGTAATAGAGGATACAGTGCCTTGATGAATCTTACTGCTAGGTAGAACAACTATCAACCAACCACCTGAATCGTATGAACTCTCTTTCTCGTACGTGCCCATTGGATGGGGTTTCGGGATGAGAAATGGTTGCCTCCTTCGCGAGGATTTTAGAGCCTGATCTCTGATGCGTCTATCAAATGGGTGGACGGAGCCAACAGCAACGGCTTCAGTCCGCACTATATGGAGCTCTTCAATGTCCACTACACCGACTGTGAGAGCGTCTGGATCATGTGCTGACACCACGATAGCCCCATGAGCCAGGTTGACATGGTTGACGTTTTCCGTCGCCTGCCGATACAGATGCGCACCTATGTTCGTCATGTCGTCGGTTGGTATTGTCATAGCTGCCAGCCCCTTTCAAACCCTTTTCCAGCACCCCGAGTCCTAGAACGTTTCGGGTGCACAGAGTGGGAAGTCATGGAAGAGGAAAGGTCAAGCGACATCTGGTACACGAGTCTATCTAACAAACCTGGACCAATCCACACCTCAGGTACTCACAGCCCTTCCGGGAGACAGGCACGCCTACAAGAGCCAGGGACAGGCGACGTGGGAAACAAAAGAATAAAACTCAAAACATAAAAATAAATGAATATAGCAAAAGCTCAATATACCATCCGATCCGTTTTGGCGGACTTGACCTGAGTTTCCCCACCTACATGGAAACCGCCATCACAGCCCAGGATCGAACAGTAGACCTACGAAAACCCCCGTGAGGGGTTTGTCTCATTCCCCGCTACACCAGTTGGCCGGATGGGGTCGGCAAGTGGTGAGGGGGAGGATGGAAGATTTGGTTTGTATTGAGATACATATTGTCTGGGGGTTTGGTTGCTGGGGAACCTGTTCGGTGACGCGTAGGAGTACGCGACACTCTGGGTCTGCAGCTCTGGGTTCACGCGTCTGGCAACGCGCTTGACGCGAATGCCATTGCAGGGCACGCAAAGCCATTCAGGCCTTAGCAGTATACCCGTTCTTCCTTTTCTCCAACTTTCTTATCTCCTCCCGTCCCTCTTCCGCAACCCCTATTATCTCATGTCTGAACTCTCCCTGCTGACATACGGCTAGCAACCTAGCACCTAGCACCGAGAAGTCAGCTCCCGCGCCAAATCCCTCAACTTATACTTCTGTATTTTCCCGCTCGCAGTCTTGGGGTACTCATCGATCCAAAACACGTGCGTCGGCGCAAGATGACTCGAAAGCTTCGTCCGGACCCAGTCCCTAACATCGTCCTTCGAGAGCGAGAGCACCTTGTCGTCACCAACACCCTCGCCTGCCATACTCAAAACCCCCGCCTCCACCCCTCCACTTGAGATGGTCCCCCCTATCCCTTCACCACCGAGACCTGCAACATCGACAATCCTCACGCCCCGATGAGGCACAACAAACGCCCCAACCACCTCGCCATAGCGCCCGTCCGGCACGCCGACGACGCTCACCTCGCGGACGAGCGGGTGCTGAAACAGGCAGTTCTCGACCTCGAGCGGGTGGATGTTCTCGCCGCTACGAATGATCAGATCCTTGATGCGGCCCGTGATCTCCACGTAGCCGTCGTCGTCCATGGCTGCCTCGTCACCGGTATACATCCACGTCACCCTCCCATCTCCATCCCCATCGCAATCCACATCTTCCTCCACCACCCGGTCCACCGCCGTCCTCTCCGCATCCCCCCAATACCCATCCATGACCAAATACCCCGCAACCGCCAACTCGCCCCTGACACCCCTCGGCACCACCGTCCCGCGGTCCCCCGCCTCCACGACCTTGAGCTTCGTATGCGGCATCGCTTGCCCAACACTACACGTCCTCTTCTCGAACGGATCTCCTGGTGTCGTCATCGCCGAGACCGGGCTCGTCTCCGTCATGCCGTAACAAATCACCAGATCCCGCAACCCCAGCCTCTCGAACAGCCGCCGCATCAGCGCCTCCGGCACCGAGCTGCCGGCCGCGATGCCCTTGCGCAGATTCGAAAACGCGTCTTTTGGGAGTTGTTGTGTTGTGAGGTTTGGGCTCGCGAGTAAGTCTAGTGCCGCGACGAACATGGTGGCGACGCCGTAGAGGCCCGTGGCGCGGGTCTCCGCGATACTGTACAGAGTGGCGGCCGGGTCGAAGGCCGGTGAGGGCAGGACGAGGCACGCGCCGTGCGTGGCTGTGGTTTGCAGGCCTAAAACGCTGCCGAAGCAGTGGAACAGCGGCGGCGGGCACACGATGCGGTCACTGGGCTCTAGGCCCATGCGCGCGCCGATCAGGTTGCCGTTGTTAAGGATGCCGGTGTGCGAGAGCATGGCGGCTTTGGGCGCGGATGTCGTGCCGGACGTGAACTGGATATTGATTGTTTCGCCGGGCTGGAGGGGCGTGTCCGGGAGGAGGGGACGTGGGGATGAGGAGGTCAGGAGGGTAGCGTAGGGCGTCAGGGCGCGCATGTCTGCCGCCAGGGGAAAGGGGCCTGCGAGGGGGTGCGAGGGAGTGTTGTCCAAGAGCACGATGGATTTGAGCGTTGTCACGGTTGGGGACTCGACTTTACTGCCAGCCAGGTTCGGGACCAGCGAAGTGAGCAGCTCGAGGTTGCTGCGGCCCCGGCATGGCTTGTATGCCAGGTCCGTCACGGCGCCGACGACCAGGATCTCGACGCCGAGGTGCGAGAGCGCCGCGCTGACTTGGTGGGCGTTGAAACTTGGGTTCAGGGGAACTAGGATGGCGCCTAGTTTGAAGATGGCGTATGTCAGTACCACGTTCTCAGCCACGTTGCCCAGGCTGACGGCGACGCGGTCTCCCTTTTTGACGCCGAGGGACCGCAGGGAGCGCGCGAGGGTGTTGGATAGACGGTCAAGGGACTCGTATGTCAACGTTGTGGTGTTGGGCGTAGCATCCGTCATCGCTGGTGCCCGAGACATGACAGCCGGGCGGTCGCCATAGCGTGAGACTATGGACGCGAAGTGTTCCGGTATCGTGTGTTGGAGCAGCGGAGGCTATCCCATATTAGCCATACATACTCGATCAAGTGTGTCTCATGGTCTGGTTTCGTATGGAAAATGAACAAGAGTCTTGAGTCGTGATGAGCCCATGGGCATAGACGATGACAATAACTCAAAAGACGTTGATGCAAGAGAACGCATCGAGTGTCACATGGTCTTGAAGACTCACCTCACGCGGTCCTTCGGAGTAGCTCAAATCAGCACTAGATATATCTCGTCGTTGCGCACCCCTATTCTCCACTCGACTCCCATTCGCTCGTGATAGACCAAGTCGCAGATCTCGACCGAGTCGTGAATACCGTCTCACAGACTTGACCCAACACCGAGCACCCTTCGAACCCAGATGGAGTCGGATAGAGAACGCCATGTTTTAAGGAGGCTTCACCGGCTTCAAGCTAGGAACATTAGTAGGCACAACCATTGGAAGACTCCAGCATATATCTTCCCGGAAACACCGTCCGAGCTGCAAGCAACATTGAGAATACGAACAGTCCTGAATGTCAAGAATGAAGATGTTGGGACAGAGTTACGGTCATGCGGGGTCAGGTCCGCCCCAGCCTGAGACTGCGGACTGCGGAGAAGTGGGGGATGCATCTTTGGTGACAGGCAAGTCCATCCTTTATTCACCCCTTATTCACCCCTTATTCAGACAATTGCAAGTCAAGCCGTCAATTTCCCACCAAACGCCGCTCTCTATGCATGTGGGTATATACAAAGGTCCGCTGTCGAGACCCCTTTCCTACTCCTTGCTCCCCACGTTGTCAGGTGCGCCTGACTGCGTTTCGACGTTGCCGTAGGTACACTCCCCGACCAGAAGTCTCCGAGCCCACTTTTCGAGCAGCCCTACACGCCTACACCTTTCAACTTTCAGCATTCACCACGCACCCATCTCTCACTGTAATAATATGAAAAAAACTGCATTGTATAAGCCATTCAATAGTGTGTGTACCAACCACCTGCCCTTTTCACTGCGGCGATTCGGTTGCCGAGAGATTCGACGAGAACGCGTACATCCTCAGGATCGATCTCTGACCACGCCCTTTCGATTAACTGTCTGGCATATGCCTCGTGGGCAATATTAGCCTTCAAATCAGCGAAACCAGGCTCGATTCTCTGTATCTGCTTCTTTAGAAGTGCCCAAATGTGCTCGATCGGGTTCAAATCAGGGCTGTGAGCAGGCCAGTCGATCGTCCAGATGCCGTGCTCCTCTAGCCACTCTGGAGTGCCTCCAAATCGATGGATACGAGCGTTATCTTGCATAAAAGGATCCCCAGCCTCGTAGAACGGAAGGAGCCCTTCCTCAAGGACGTCTTGACATGAAGCTGAAGATACTCCTCCGCGAGGAGCATCCTCATCGGGCTTGCAGAAGATGATTTTGCCTAGGCCACCTTCTCCGCCGCCTAACCAGATCAAGGCCCAACACATAATGGAGATACGGGGTCTCCCATGACTCCGAGGGTTCACGAGATCCTGCCTGTAACATTCAGAAGAGAGGCGGATGACCCAATTGCCCGGATTATCGGGTGAATTCTGGACCGTGACTTCGTCTGAGAAGAGCGTTCGCATCAGCTCCTCCAGAGCCTCCAGGGAGTCGTATTCATTACAAAAAGCGAGCCTCTCTCGTGCGTCATCTTCCGTAAGCTCGATCCGCTTCACCACCTTCCACTTGCGAAGCCCGTGAGTGCGAAGAACGCGCTTGATAGTGGTATGGGAGCTGAGGACCCTGCTCTCCTTCTTGAGCTCTCTGTAGGTAGCTCTGGGGTACTTTTGTGCCCTTTCAACTAGCTGAGTTTCTTCGCGCTTGTTTAGAGTCCTTGTGGCTCCCTCTCGAGGTCGAGAGACCGTGGTGTTATGCTCTCTAGCAGTGTTGATAATGTCGGTCACGGTTTGAGGCCGATCCAGCTGGAACGCGCTCATGACATCGTCGCGCCTTGCGCCTGCCGCCCTGGCAGCCACAATAGCTGCACGAGCTTCGGAAGTAGATTCCTGATTTGGCTCGCGATTTGCGGTCAGAATTGTACCAATCTTTTGTAAATCAATCGTTTTGGTGTTGAGTAAATAAAAGGTGAAGAAGGAAGGGGGTCGCGCGCGCATAGACGCGTTTTGAAACTAGCGTGGTGGATGCTCGGAGACTTTTGGAGGGTCAGTGTAGCTCGTACAACACACGCACAATGTCTCTGAATTCGATGAATTGATCGGTCTCAAATCTTCGAATGAGCAGCAGGAGCTATAGCACATGTAGGTGCCCCCGGATTCCAAAAGAGCGTGTCTAGCCCAATTTGACCGCTCCTGAGAAGCAATTCCGACCATTGTTTCCGTGCCCAGTGGTGTCCCTGAACAGGATCCAGCCCCCGCACATCAAGAGCACGGTTGCTCTTCGTCAATAGCCAGGCAGAATCCTTCTCACCACTCCAGGTTCTCGGTTCTCGGTTCGTGCGGAACCGCAATCATCATATTCAAGGGTGGCTTGTGTACCCCCATGAATGCACAAAGGGTGCATCTCGAAGATCAAGTGAGTCCAGCCATTTTGAGACAGAAAAGTTGCCGAGAGCGCCGAACAGAAGCTTGAGTGGGAGGCATTGGCCATATGGCCAAGCTATGGTTTATCTGGTGCCCAGAAAAGCTGCTAGCCGTTGGCACCAATATGTCGTTCGTGCTCGGGTTTCCAAGTGCCTACGCAAGTCAGCAAAGTCAAGTGCCGCTGGCCGCTGGGAACCTACCTTCAAAATCGTGCTTGACAAATGCCATCGGATCGTCATAGTCCTTCGCACCCATCTGTCCGACACCAGGAGAGAAGCTGGTGATGGGGAGAACAACGACATCGCCCACTTTCTTGGGGATCTCAATGCCCGTAAAATTCAAGTACGTGATGTTACCTAGGCTATGCCTCATATCGAAATAACGTGCATCGTTGAAATAGTCGAAGACGGTGTCAGTCCAGACAGCAGGCCCCGTGAACTCGACGACACTCTTGTCCCTGGAGACGAACACCCCATCGCGCTTCCTCCTCAGAGTCTCGGCAGTGATACGCGAGACGATGTCGCGCAAGACGGGGTGGCCAGGTTTCGCTTGGATTGTCCATTGGCAAAACTGAATCCGGCGACTGTACCAGTCCTTCCAGTCAGGTCGATCGGGGTCAGCCTCGATACCAACCACCAGCCCGATACTCTCCTTGGGCAGAGCATCCGGAAGCCAGTCCAAGGCGCTTTTGAGGGCGACGGTGTCGATATCCGAGTAGATGCCGCCGCGTGCCAGCAAGATCAGGTAGCGGAAGAAGTCTGCCTTCAAGACAGGTTCGGGCAAAGCGTCATATGCATCGAGCACTTCTGGGACCGCGGCATATAGGAGCCTGAGCAGGTGAACCGCGACCTGGTCCGTGATGACCTCGTGAACAAAGCCAGGGTGTTGTTCGGTCCAAGAAGCTTCCTGATCCCGGAACTGGAACTCTGCGCTCGCAGGAGTGTACTTCCATGTCTGCCAGACATAGGCTGGAAACTTGGTCTCGACATCGTACGGATACTGGTAGGCCAGCTTGTCGTATAGCGACATCTTGGACGTATCGTGGATGGCCTTCTGGGCAGGTACAGGCTGGTCTCGCAGAGGAACATCGGCGCCCGAGGGATTCGAGGTCGATGGCGCATTGTGCGACGCTCCAGATCTAGCGTTGTCGGAATCTGCGTGCTTGGGGGGTGGTCGGCGCACGGGATTGGGCTCGTTAAGGGATGTATGTGCCCGCCGAATAATGACGAAGGCGGTTATGAAGAATATGGCGAAGACCAAGGCCCTCTTGAACGACATCATCTTGGCGACCGACCTCTTGGCGACCGACCTCTTGGCCCACTCCCTCCCTTTCGCTTTGCCGGTCGCTCGCGGATTGGCAGAGGCTGCCTATGGGAGTGGTCCCCGTATCGGGGATTGCTCGAGGGTGGTCAAGGTCGGTTCGTAATCTCCAGACACATGTAGTAGGTGAATACGTATTACTAGTGGTTCAATAGGAGCTGAAGAAGAGTAAGGAGGAGGAGACAAGTAGGTAACGAGGTGGCAGGTGGACTGTAGAACGAGAGGTAGACACCTGGGTGGTATGATTACCTAGGTAGGAGGAAGCACTCGAAGCATTCACGACGGGTCTGAAGATTTCCGGGCTGGGCTGTCGCACCCCAATTTGATGGACAGGGCGGGCTAGTCGACGGGGCTTGGCACTCCTTGGCAGGGACTTGTCCCTATCGGGATGTCGCGTATCCACTGTGGCACAGCGCCCTCGTTTCAGATAACGCTAAGGTAATAATCTGCTCAGCCTGTCCGCCTGTCAGCTTCCTTGACTGTCATCAATATCGAGACAAATAAGTCCAAAAGCAAGTAACTATTCGTACAAGTATGACTTGCACTTGTCTTGATACGAGCAAACTGTGTAGTTGACCGCACCTCAACGTCCACCGTGCTAGTTTACTGGTAGGCAGTCGTCGTTTGTCAAACCGTGTGGCCGGATGACTGACCGAGCATGCGGACTCCTGCGGGTTCAAACTTCAAACCACATCATCGGTTACATCGGTCATTTTTTCACCGTTGATTGTGTGCCCCCACGAACCACGAACAGTACCTACCTACCTACCTAGGTAGGTAATCAGTAACACGTCAACTTCATCGAACATCCTCTCCGCATGCTATCTACACTACATATGATACACCTCACCATTCCAGGAAACACAGCAAGTAAAGACAACAGCGAGATACGTGAAGCCTCACAAGCTGAGGTGCTATTTAGTCGATCTCTATCAAGCTGGCAGCTGGTCGAGCATCTGGCAGCTCAGCTCCCGCGCCAAGCTGACGTACACCAAGGATCCAGCCTGTAAGACTGGACAAATCAGGTGGCATCGCGATGCTGCATGCAGGTGAGCCCCGATTCCTGGGTTCGACTTACGTGTCGGCCACGCAAGCCACACCGTCACGATTCACAGCCCACCTGCCACCAACGGTTCGATCATCGATGTACCACGTTCAAGCTACATTGATGCGCCCGAATCAGCTGCTTACTCTAGCGCCTATCATATGACACCATTCAAGCGGCTCAAGTGAGGTGAGGCAACAAATAAGTTACATCACGCCCAGAAAACAACTTAACAGAGGGTAGCATGATCTACTTGATACCCAGTCGTTTCAGATCAAGCATCAGATGCCAAGCCGGGAGGGGCACCGAGGTGCTTAGCTTTAAAAGTTGGGCTGGGCTGACTGGAGCTTTTATTACACTTGCCGCTATCAACTTTCTGAAGTTCAGCAAACTTCTGGACTAGGTATCCTAACCTCAAGGCTGTTTCCCCGGATCGGGAGCACTCTTTAGGACGATACTAGCTTGCAGGTACTCGCTTTTGACAGGTAGACTCGCTACCAGGTGAGGAGTGGCCGGAAGAAGCCCGATTCGGCGACAGATCATGCTGGGATCAATTCACCGTTGCCACGAGAGGAAGCTCGGTTTTCGGACCATGTTTCAACAAGACTTGCTTTGCAATAATACGCAACCCTACTCGCCTAGGTACATACCTCACATCCTAGTCGCTGGCTGCTCGTTTACGGTACACGCCACGGCGCAATGGTCGGAGGGACATTATTGCACATAACGCAGACTCAGTCTCTCACGATGTCGTGGCTACGGAATTACTTCTGAACCGCTTATCTCGTGAAGTATGATATAAGTAAGTATATCTCTCAAAACAAACGCTACGCTAGTATAACACTGAATACAAGATGGTATAATTGGTATCGTCTCCATGTTGTCTTTTCATGCTGGTCGTCTCTTCATAATCGACGTCATCAATGCCGCCCTCGCTCAGTTAATAACATGGGATAAAATGCAAAATAATTCCAGATGAAAGTCATTGCTTCAGCGAAGAAGCACACACACATGGCCCTCTGGTAGGGACATGCACATCAAGAAGCCTGGACCATGATACGCGTACCCTTACAGGTCGTGACCTGCACCAACCACAAATCAGCCTCATCATCATCAAGTCAAGGGAGTCAAAGAGGCAAAGGGCAAAGGGAAAAGGGAAAAGGGAAAAGCTTACGGCCCAGCTGCTTCCCCCGCTTCGACACCTCGCGCGCGTGGTACTGCTTGATCTTGGCACGGCGGGCTTCCTCGGCGGCCTCGAGCTCGAGGCGCTTGACCTCGGCGCGGGCCTCGCGGACCTGCACGCGCGCCGCCTCGAGCGCGCGGTCGGCCTCGCGCTCCGCCGTCTCGGCGCCCATGACGCGCTCGCGCGCCTGCACGATCGACGGGTCCATGTCCCCGCTACCGCCGCCGCCGAAGCGGCTGAGCACGCTGCGGTGGCGCGAGGGGTTGGAGGATGCATCTGCGGACGGGGGCAGGGAGTGTTAGTCGGGTGTTGCATAGTTCAGTTTGTGGTGGGTGGGTGGGAGTGTGGAGAGTGATGGCAAACTGGGCTTGTGTACCATGGTAGGAAGAAGTACCTGAGACCCGTGAGTTGGTGGTCGTGCTACTGCGGACGGTCGACGAGGGCGAGGGTGAGCGGTGGCGCGAGCCGAACAGTCCGTGCTTCTTCTCGGGGACCGGCGCGGGCTCTGGGATGACTTCCTCTTCGGGTTTGCGGCTGGAGAAGAGAGGCATGGTGATGAATATTGGTTTGATGTATAGGAAGAGGTATAAGTGATTGGTGACTAGATGCTGCCCCTAAGGTATGCGTTGTTCAGTCGAGAGATTGATATAAAGGATGGAGATATTGATCATCGGCAACGTGGGATCCTGTCCCTATTTGAGCACCTCGATATACTCGATATACGTGTAGTTGGTGCATCGCATCACAAGGCACGCCGACGATATCTGGCACAAACCGGTTTCTGGCCTCCAGGGCTGTCCCCTTTCGATAACAAGATGGTGGTGCAGCATCACCTGCGATGGTGCATCATCCAATCCAAATGACGTAGGGTTGGCGGTGAGCAGACCAATCAGCGTAGCTGATATAAAGTGTGTAGCCAATGACGGCGTGGCTGGTGACGAAAGAGGGTTGGGGTTGGGCGAGGACCCCTAACATGAACGAAGACGGCTGATTTTCCGTGTTTTTCCAGGGTCCTCAATCGTTCCAGTCAGACTTGCCAAGAGTCCAAGACCGCACACAACCTGCAGCCAGCATCTGTCATTGTCATCCCATGCCCTTCCCTTCGTTATCTTTCTCCCCTATTCACGAACTACCTAGGTTATTCCACGTAGCCAGGCTTGTTTCGTTCTACCTGTCAAGTCCGGCCGTCTGGGACCCGGACCTGCAATGCACGATGAGGTAAGGCGATGCGCAGATGCAGTGTTACCGTTTAAACCATCGTTCATCAGCCTCGATAGTTGAACCAGGGGCGCAGCTATCACGGCCCGGCATGAGATAGCCTCAAGTCGGGGGCGGCCGGATCTCATTTGACGTGTGCGACGGCGCACCAACAACCCCCCTCTGCTAAGATACGGATAGTTTCACACTCTGCTAAGACGAAGTAAACACCACGACTGTATATTGCGACTTGCCTTCAGCACGGAAACAAGGCTCACTAATGGACATCATCAAATCCTGATGATGTCTATCATAACGTCACTCTGTAGGTAGAAGCAAGACTCATTGTCCAAGCAAGTCACTATCGATCCCCATCTGAATCACCAAAGTCAACGGCCGCAATGGGTAGCGCACGTACGACGCATCATCAACCGTCGACCGTCAAGCAAGCAAGCAAGCAAGCAAGCAAACAACGTACTATCGCGGATAACGGATAACCTCACAAATCAAGTTACTCTATATGCACTACTCACGACCGTCAGTTCAGTCGCACAGGGAGCCACACAGTCTAGCACACGCAGATCAACATGAGTCAGAGTCACTCACTAATAAACAACCTCCAACCCCTTACACAGACAGCTGCCCACCCACATACCGACATTGACCCTATCCGCATACCGCTCATCCGTAGTCTTCATCGTGATGAATATGCGATACTGGCAGAAGCGGGGGTCAACCTGCTCCGCCTTCTCCGGGTCCTGGAGTGCCTCCATTATCTCCCGGGTTCCGGTCCGGAACCCGCGACTCTTGACTTCGATGCTGTATCAGGGTGAAATGTGAGCCATGACTGATACCGATTGTATATGAAGGTAGGCACAAATCATGGGAGGGCGAGGATTATGATCACTCACTACGCCGGCGGCTCGTCCCCCGTCTTCAGCTTATGTGTAGCCTCGACCTGCGTCGCCATCGTCTTGCCGTAGACCAGGTCCTGGCTATCTTGTCCGCCGCTCTACTCACGTCCTCTCATTAGCCCATTAGCTTCATCCCCATTCCCCTATTCTATTTACCGCCAACCGCCAACCGCCACCATGACCATACCCCTCATCACGACCATCAAGCAAGCAAGTGAAGAAAAAACTCACAACCACAACACCAGAACCCAGCTGCCCAGACCAGACACCCCCAGCAAACATAGTCCACTTCTTAAACCCGCCGCCCCCAACCGCCACCGATGCCGACTGCGCGCTCAGCGTCACCTTCATGCGGAAGTCGGACGAGAGGTTCGGCGGCGGGATCGGGCACGGCAAATTCACCACAGCCTCGTCCCGGTCCTCCGACGGTTCGCTGTTCCAAGGTCAGATTTGTTTCTGTAGAGCACCTAACAAAGAACAAAGCACTTCGTGGTCTGCGTGAAATCTAAACCCAACCTGGCCAACACAGCTGCAGGATAAAACTTGGGGGTAAATTGCTTTGCTTTCCTCACCTCGGCTTCCTCTTCTTCCTCGGGGGTCCACCACCCCGCCCCGTCACAGTTCCCTTCGGCGTCTGCGCCTGCGCCGTCCGCCTCCTCTCAACCTCGTCCTCCTCCTCCTCCCAGCCACTACCGGTATGCCGGCGCTCCAGCAGATCACCGGGTCGACGGGGATCAGCGGCGGCAGCGAGACCATGAACGCATTGCGGCCGTCTGTTAGCAAGTTAGAGTCAGTAATTACTCCTTTTCGACGAGCAGCAAGGAGTCGGAATGCGTGTCTCGGGAGCAAGGGCTCTTGACACAGGCTGGAAGAGGGAATTCGCCCCTGAGACACCGCCAGAAAGGGCAATAAGAGACTCGAAAAGGTACACACAGAAGTTGCCCGGCACGACCGCGCCGTCGTTGGTGGGCGTGCGGTCGTCAGAGTTGCTCCCCATCTCGCCTTGGACTAAACTTTCAGCGAGTGACACACAAGGTACGAGATGAGATAGGTACGCGATTCAGGACTGGAGCCCGGCCCGAGATGGGGCTGGGCTGTACTGTGTAGTCTGTGCTGGGAAAGAGTCCCAGACGGTAAGATGTAAGCAGGTGGTACCTCGCCAATATCTGCGCATATATCAAGTTCGCACGGCTTCTCACTCGGGAACGGTAATCCGTAGAGCGAGACTCGCTCACTCCAGCTCCTCATTGGCCCAGTCCGACGATAGCCTGTCCCTCGGATCCCCGTCCGCGGGTCGGGCCGATATCAGGCCGCTACAGGAATGAGGATTACGCCGATCCGATTGCCAACCGCGCTCACTCGGGTCCGGGGCCATGCGTATGTGGATCATCTTCGGGTAGCTGGGAGCAGAGCAATTACCGGGGAGCACTGGGTTGTCTCGCGAGTCGCAGGGAAGCAGTGGGCAGAATGCAGCATCATATCATCACCAAAGTGCCATATTTGCTGTCAATAGGTACTGTAAGGATACAAATGAAACCTAGATACGACAGCCTGGAGGCTGTCTAAGTACCTATCTACATAATGATAACGGTCATTCTTTCCGCTCGTCCCCGTCTATGAAACGCCCGAATAGATCATCTATGCATCTATGAAAGCCAAGCCCAAGCATCTGCAGTTCTATGATTCATCTACCCCAGGAAAAGCCGAACCGAACAAACGAAATCACAAGCAACACAGCCCGAAACCCGTCGTCATCGTCAAATGCTTCATGATCCAGAGCCCAAAATCAACAACGCTGCTTCTAGTCTTCATCATCCGTGTCCGGTGGGTGAGGTGTACCCTTCTCACTGTTGAGCCATTCAATGTGGCGCAGTCTTCGGCGGACTTCAGCCTCCTTGAGCTCCTTCTTCGTCTTCTTCCTCTTCTTCTTGGCCTTGAATGCCAAGGGCGAATTGTCTTCAACTCCGCTGTTGACTGCACTGGTCATGGCACTGCTCAACGCCGGACTGGCCATACCACTTGTGACACCGCTGTTCAGGCCACTATTTGGCCCCCTGCTGTCCTCAAAACTAGACAGGTTGATGGCCGCATTGCCCTTCATCGTCATGCGTCCATCGTTGATGTGCCACTGCTCACTAGCAAGTGCTCCGACGAACTCCTCGTTGTGGGATATCATGACAACACCACCCTTGAAATCCCGAATAGCAACAGAAAGACCACCAAGGGAGTCACGGTCCAAGAAGTTAGTGGGTTCGTCGAGAACGAGCAAATGTGGGTTGTTCCACATGGCACCTGCAATAACGACCTTGACCTTCTGTCCTCCAGACAAACTGCCGATCTCGTTGTGGTTGGCAATCTCGGGATCAAGACCGAGATCGTCGAAGTGCTTGGAGATGACAGTAGGTTGCAGTGTGCGGTAGCCGAGACCTTCGCGGGATGCCTCGTGGTCGTCAAATTCCTGCACCAGCTTGTCGAAACCCCACTCTATCAGGGTCTCGCGAGACACTTGCGAGTTGTACTTGGGAAGGTATCCCTTCCATTGCCTAGGAGGCTGTCAGTAACGGTGTATCCAGAACGGTGGGGCTCGTCGACTTACACTTCATATTGGAAAGTCTTCTTCCACTTCTGTCGACCGACAAGGGCTTCGAGTTGTCGCCCACTCTTACCGTCCTTAAGATCGATCATCTTTTCCATCTGCTCACGGTCCTGGTCGGAAAGGACACGGGTCTGCTTCAGATGAACTTCGCGGTCGTCACCGTTGGCATATCGCCATTGGAGGTACTGGTTTGGCGTCTTTTCCAGATGCATCTCCACGTGTTCCAGGGCGTGCTGCTTGATATAGCCAATTCGCAAGTTGGGGTGCTTCTCTACGCTTCCGGACGTCGGGATAACCTCACCGGTCAAGAGCTTGATCAGGGTCGACTTGCCAGCACCGTTGGGACCGATGACGGCGACACGAGAAGAAAGAGTCAACTGACAGGAGACATCGGCGAGCGACGGCTTTGGGGCCTTGGGGTATTGGTATGACACTCCAGACATTCGGATGATGGCGCGAGTCATGGACTTGACACCTGACAGAATTCCAGGAGGCGGGAACTTGAATTGGACGAGAGACGCGGAGAGGGTGTAGTAGGACTTGGCTTCAGGGCGAACTTGGACAAAATCTGACAAGTTACCCTTGAAGTGACCAAGCTTCTTTCCGGGCTCGTAGTGGTAGATATCAGTGCAGACATTATCCAGGAAGCCAGAGTCGTGAGAAACGATTAAGCTGGTGATGTCGGGATGGGTCTTCAGGTAAGTTTCCAGCCACGCGATGTTGGCGACGTCCAAGTGATTGGTAGGTTCGTCAAGGAGGAGAACATCGGCTTTTTGCAGCATAGCTCGAGCCAAGGCCAGCTTCATCTTCCACCCTCCTGACAAAGACCCAACCTTTTGAGCCTGTCTTCCTTCAGGACCAGCATCAAAACCGAACTCCGCAAGAACTTCCGAAATCCTCTCCCTGCCTTCAGAGGCGATCGTGGGATCCTTGGCCATGAAGTCGAGGATGGTAATATCAGCGTCCTCGCCCTGGTTGTGCTCAACGTAGCAAGTACGGAGAACATCTTGTGAGGGAAAGCCTTCTAGCTTGCCACTGGCGATACTCTTCATGAGAGTTGACTTGCCAGCTCCGTTGCGTCCGCAGAGACCATAGCGATGTCCCTTCAACAGCCGTAGGTTTGTATGGGATAGGAGAAGCATACCGCCGTAGGCAAGCGAGAAGTCTGCGTTGACGATCTCGGTCTCGCCATCGTCCTCCTTCTCGGGCACTCCAAACTTGCGCTCGTCTTCGGCAACAAAGTGCTGGTGAACACCTGCAGCAACAGCATCGCTGGCACCAGGTTTCTGCATCAGATCCTTCAGATAAGGAGCGATCTTGGAGGGTATTCTACTGATATGCCTGTGGTAGGCATCTTCAGCAACCATCTCGCAGATGTAGGGGCGAGCCAGCTTGAAGAAATCTTTATCGCCGGACAGACCTCCATTCTTCTTGATCTCGGAGTCGATGACTTTAGCAACATCATCGGCCGAAACCTTCTCCACCGTTGTCTTGTTGTTGTCGTCGCTCATGGCTTTGTCCATGACGTCCAAGGCTCTGGTAGCCAGTTGACGGACCTCTGGCAGGGGCGCACGCTCGCCAACGCTCTTGATACCAGGCTGGAGTTTTGGCAAGAATGTGCGTGCCTCGACAGGATCGTGTACCAACTTTGTCAGGTTCTCGGTGATGACAACGGTCTGTCGCAAGACCTCTTGGGTAGTATTGGGGTTGTTGAGCGTTCGTTCGAGGAAGGGAGTGAGGAGGGCGAGAACAGGTGAGGTGACGATGGCTACGAAGGTCGTCTGGGAGAGGGCATGGATGGCCTTCTGGAGGGTCTGTGTCGAAGGATGGTGCAGAGTTTCGACGAGGAGCGGGATGCGGGGGGCGACGTCGTCGTTGGACAAGAGCGTAGTGAGAGACTGCATGGTGACGACAGCTTGCTTCTCCACATCGGCCTTGAGGTCGTGCATGTTATTCTCGACGATGGGGATCAGGGTGGCCAGTTTAGAGCCCATAGCCTCCCTGAGGAGATCCTTCTCTTGGGCCTGTTCTTTGGTGCAGCCAACCTCCATCTTGGCCTTGTCGGCCATCTTCTGCATGATCTTCAGGGCGCCAACAGTGCCCTGCCACTTCCCGGTCTTCTTGGAAAGGTAGGTAGTCAGAGCGGGCAGCAAGCCAGCGACCATGGCCTCGGCGCTCAAATGACCGACGAGCGCATCGAGGCCGAACTGCGCAGCGTCGCGGACGACATTGCCCTTGTCGGCCAGAGCATCTAGGGCGCAGCCGAGCACGCCGCCATCCTGCAGCAAGAAGACGACTTCGCTCATGGGTTGCCGGGAGGGGAACTTCTCGAAAAGAGCGCCCAGAAGGTTCTGTGCGCTCTCTCGTCGCAGGCCGCTCTTCTTGTCGGCGGCGGCCTTCTTAACCTCGGCGAGGACGCCATACTCGTGAAGACCACGGAAACCGACGGTTTTCAAGAGGAGCTCGCAGAGGGCGTAGCAGGCGTCGATGGATGCGGCAGAGGACTTGGCAGTGAAGATGGTATCGAGGATGGAAGAGACGTCCTGTTGCGACGGCGGGGGAGGGGCATCGCCGGATTTGGCGACCATTATCGGCGGCGATACGGGGTGAGGCATCGTGGGCGATCTGGTGGTGTTAAACGATGGGGAAAAAGGGAGACGAAAAGGTCGGCCTTCGCGAGGTAGATCGCAGTAATAAGGGCGGGGGCTGGCTGGTATCGGAGAAAGGTTGATATCAGCAGTCGCCCAGAATGCCCTCGTTTGGGGCGCGCAGAGGGGAAGTTGAAGATGGACCAGGCGTGCCAGGGCAGTGCAGGTGAGGGAAAGAAAAGACAGATAACTGAAATTTCCCGCTTATCCATTAACCGAAATCTGACCCCTCGAAAGTTTTTCTTATCGGAAATTTCAGTTGAGACTTTGAGTGCCAAAACACGCACTATGCCACATGCAGCGTAGTGGCCCCCACATGTACTATGCAACCAATTACGAGCCTCCTAATATTGCATGCGTCTAACGTTGAAAGTTCTCCCAGGTTGACTCGGCAGAAACTTCAAAGACCTTGGAACTTGAAGCTGATACACTGAAGCCGTATAAGTCTCCGTACACCACCCGTCTAGCAGACAACAGTATATTCATCGAATCGGAATAAGCACCATGGAATAAGCATTAGGGATGATATGTTAAACTATAGCTGCTTATTCCTGTATGCTTATTCCAGTCTTTCGAAATTTCAACTGGTGATCTGGAAAATGTCATTAGCATGGCGCGCGCAGAGACTTATGAGGGCTGAGTGTAAATTCAGTCACTTAACTTTGTAACGAGTAGCCGCATTGTAAGTCACCATCTTCACTGCCAAGTCCTCTGCCCCATCCATCGACGCCTGCTACGTCCTCTGCGAGCTCCTCTTGAACACGATCACAAGATTCAGCAACTCTGTATCCGCAACATACAGCCACAGTGGAAGAATATCCTGTTAAGGCTTAGCGAAGGTTATTAGCCGTACCGACACTCTTGTAAACCACAACCGAAAGGCAGCGCTTGCTTGTCTTCCGAAGTTATGATGGCTCTAGCCTCTTGGTCGTATCGTCAGATCCGGTGTCAATAGCGACGTCGACAGCGGTATCGACAAGTAGAGGCTGCGTTGAAGTCACTTGCCTTGCCACCAGCCCAGAGTCAGCACATACACCTAGGCTGTGCAGGTGACAGTCAATAAGCAGAAAAGCCTATTAAACTTTGCACTGATCTGCGATCGACGGGCAGCCGTTACCCGCCACACGGGATCGAACTTGGTTAACTGCACGTACGAACGGGTGTGGCTTACCTGTTAGACGGAACTTGACGAAGCTGGCTTCGGCTCCCCTGAGCTGGCGGTGGTATTTATATAGGGTCGTTGCAGATATGTATATGAGGGCAGAGGTTGGCACCAAGTCAATGATCAAAAATACATGCCATGACAACATGTCAACTCTTTCTTTCTTTTGACTCATGTGTGACCACTGACAGCCTCTCAGTCTTCGTGACCAACAGGTACCTGGTCACATATCTAAAGCGCCTACACACGGGTATGATAAAAAGCAAGTTGCATCACCTATGTACGATTCATATGATGTGCATTGCGAATCGCCTGTGAAGCCTTGAAGCAGTTCCAGATTGAATCAATCCAGCAGCCCAACCCCTGAATGCAAACGCCTCCTATTCCCCTTTTTGACCTGCCGGGACGCACTGATCCGCAGCTGACGGGGCTGACGGGCTGCCAAGCCTACTATAGTAAGGGCTACAGTGGGGTGACAAAAAAACCAAACACCCCGCCCCAACCCCGCGATTTTTCGCGTTTCCTCTTTTCTGCCACGACTAACACCACAACTTCCACGATACCTCGTGTACACAAAAAAACTCGGAAAAAAACAGGAATTCATACAACACCTCGTCAGCGCAATCGCATTTGGGGAAGGCTATCCGCAGGCGAATCGAGCAGGAAGGTGGAGCTTGCTGAGGGAGTGTCAGCAAGCACCTGTCGCGGGATCAAAAAGCGCTTCACCTCTCAGAACTGGGGCGTCTCTCCCAAAGGCTGTGGTCGACCACAATCCCTAACTAGAATCGAAAAGAGGGCCATACTAAGGGTGGTTAACGGTAATCCATTCATTTTCTACTTAGTTTGAAGCGAGCGCTTAATCTGAAAGAGTCAACGCGTACTATCGGTCGCCATCTGCTCTGGGAGGGCATCGGGCATCACGAAGCCGCAACATGCCCGTATTAGACCCAGGAACACGCAGACAAGCGACTAAAATGGGCTAAAGAGCATCAGGATAAGCCGCTTTCGTTTTGGCGACGTGTTTTATTCACAGACAAGTCGATGATAGAGCATGGTCAAGGTCAGAGGAAGGGGTGGGTGTTTCGGCCCAAAGGTGCAGAGATCTTCTAGGGCCTATTTTGGACCCCTTTACTTCACCACGCGATTAATAGAGCAATATCTAACCAAATCTCTTCGAACCAGGCTCATCTGCGATAGCAAGGATGTACGTTCAAACACGTCACAAGAGATCGCGTCATTCCAAGATGTTTTGGGGTAGTATTCGCTACGGCACAAAGAGCGAGTTGGCCATCTGCAACGGGGACCCCGAGGCCAAGAGGGGGGGTGTAACGGCTCGGATTCATAAGGAAATCCTCGAGGAAGAGCTCCCTAAGGTGATGGAGCCAGGGAACATCTTCATGCAAGATAATGCTCCTATTCACACCTCAAAGTTAATGAAGGAGTGGCTAGCAAACTTCGGGTTCCCGGTTCTGGGGTGGCCTCCTTACTCCCCCGACCTCAACCCCATGGAGAATCTCTGGTCATGGCTTAAACAGAGAATCTGCAGAGACTATCCCGACCTTGCAGACCTGCCGGCTAACGAGGACGTCATGGATCAGCTAATAGATGCCGCAGAGAGGTGTTGGGAGGCGGTTGAAGTTGATATGGTTAATAGGCTGATAGATTCGATGCCAGACCGGATCGCGGCCATCATCGAAGCGAAAGGATGGTACACAAAGTATTAAAGGATCTTAAAAAATAAACTACATGTTTATGTACCTACATACCAATTTGCTAAGGATGCGACGCATAATTGAGAAAGTTGTGACCTCTGGAAGTAGGGTGGTCAATCGGGACCTATATATCGGGCGGGTGGGGTGTTCGGTATTTTTGTCACCCCACTGTAAAGGCTAGCGCGACGCCACACATCATTAGCGCTGCAGACCCCTGGACCGTGGACTAGCATCCTGGGCATCTGGGCCAGACTCTCGGCTTTATCTCAGCGTGAAGCTTGAGCTTATCTGGCTCCAGGCGACAACAGGATCACCGCGAGAGCCAACCATCAAATGACCCGACAACTTGTCTGTTCCTGGTACGAACAACAATGAACGTATCGAGACGTTCATAAGACTCGCAAGCGTCCCGCCCAGCATGTCTCTCCAACCGTTAAACACGGCCGTCGAGAGGGAAGGATCGCTGCTCTCCCCCATCTCCTACGACGACGATGCCGCCTCCCTATATAGCCGAAGCGACCAAGACACCGACAGCGAGGACGACGAGCTGTTAGCCGCAGCACGAAACAGTCAAGAGCTCCGCGCCCGCGATCGTCTGGTGCTGATGGAGGAAGAGGAGATGGATAGGCTCGTGGTCGAAGGGAGAGCGCAGCAGAAGCGGCGGGGGAGCAGTCTCCAGAGAAGAGGCAGTAACCTTGCGCTGCCGAACCCGATACAAGTCTTCCGGACCTACGCACGATCGAGAAGTCCGGCCGATGCCAATAGGGGGCCGGTGGAGGATCTGCACGACGAGAAACGGAAGAGCAGACGGAACAGGCGGAAGCAGAAGAGAGACCATCTCATGAAAGAAGCCCGAGACGGCGAGGATGGGGGACTGATGTACGAGATGGAAGGAGGGCGGATGAAAGAGGGAAGCTCCACCGGCGAAAGCAGTGATAGGGAAGATAGCGACGAACTCGACCGCCGGCACCTGATGGAGGCCTCGGATGCCAAAACGACTAAGAAGCGCAGATGGCGGAAATGGATCTTTATACATATCACCATCGCCGTGGGGTTCGCGTTCCTGGTGCTTCTCGCTTGGAAGCTGTCACTCGCCAAGAAGCGATCAACTGCGGAGCTGGTCAGCAATGGCACTGCGCTCTTCGCACCCACCACTCTCATCATTAGCCTCGATGGGTTTCGGGCCGACTTCCTCAATCGCGGTTTGACACCGCGGCTCAACTCTTTCATCAAAGAGGGTGTTTCACCGCTTTACATGACCCCATCGTTTCCTTCCGTCACATTTCCTGTAAGTCCTAACCGCTCATTGTTACGCAGTTGTTACTGACCACCTTTGCAGAATCATTATACCCTTGCGACAGGCCTATATCCCGAGAGCCATGGGGTCGTGGGCAACACTTTCTGGGACCCGGCCATGGAAGCCGAGTTCTACTATACCGATCCGGAGAGAAGCATGGCACCTAAGTGGTGGGGTGGAGAGCCATTCTGGGTTACAGCCGAAGAACAGGGCCTTCGAACAGCGGTCCATATGTGGCCTGGGAGTGAGGCGCACATCATGGGGGTAGAGCCAAGTTTTCTGGACGCGTACAATGGGAACGAGCAGCTACCCAACAAGGTGGCGAGAATCCTGGAGTTTCTTGACAAGCCGGGCATGGAAGATCCAGACGCCATTGTTGACGAGATGAGACCACAGATCATCGCTGCTTATGTTCCCAATGTGGACGCAGATGGCCACCGTTTCGGACCCAACAGCACCGAGATCCGGTCAACGATCAACGAGGTTGATACGATGCTGGATCAAATCTTCCTCGGCCTCGAGGAAAGAAATCTCACCGACATCGTGAATGTCATCGTGGTCTCGGATCACGGCATGGCGACAACAGATGTGAGCCGAATGATCCAGATAGAAAACGTGGTCGATATGGAGAAGGTAGAGCATCTTGATGGATGGCCTCTAGTTGGTATTCGGCCAAAGAACCCCGATGATTTGCAGGAGCTGTATGAGCAAGCCGCCGAGAAGTTGAAGTCGAACCCCAACTTTGACGTCTACCTTAAGGACAAAGATATGCCTGAGCGATATCACTTCAGCAACAACGACCGCATCGCGCCATTATGGATCGTTCCGACGACGGGCTGGGCAATTGTTGAGAAGCAAGAGTTCGACATCCAGGAGGCTAAGGCCAGTGGTTTGGCCTACCATCCTCGGGGACTGCACGGATACGACCACGAGCATCCTCTGATGAGGGCTATCTTTGTTGCCCGTGGTCCGGCTTTCCCACACCAAGCACACAGCAAGGTCGAGCCGTTCCGTAAGTCATTCGCACTACGATAATACAAGGAAGCTTTGCTAATGGGTCGATAGAGAACATCAACGTCTACAACATCCTCTGCGACTCGGTCGGTATGGATCCCGTACCAAACAACGGGACACTTCGGCTGCCATTGAAGACAGTTGGCGTCCATGACCCCGAGACAGTATATGAAGAGCCAGAGGACCCTGTCCCCACTTCAACCAGTGAAGATCTGGCGACCGGCATGATGTCAATTCTCCCCGTGGAACATACAGCAATCGAAGAACCTTCTCCGACCCCGGAGGCGAGCCCTGTTGACGATACGCCTGAGGAGTCAGAACCGCCAACTGGAGATGATGAGAAAAGCAGTGGCTCGTGGTGGGATCACGTCACGAACACGGTGGATTGGGTCAAGAACAAGCTCGATGGTTTCATCGGCAAGATCAAAGGTTCTGACCAATCTTCCTAGATATTGTATTATCACTTCGTGTCTTCATTATGGTTATTGGGAAGAAGTAAGGAGTTGGGCGACTGGCGCGGTTGGTTTCCCTTGTTAGCGAGTTGGCTCATGTTTGTTTTATACTACCTCTCTGTTTTGGTGTTGTACTTGATACTCTATGTGTTGACAAACATTGTGCGCTGCGGTATGTTGTGCATAGTGGGTGTCGTTGCTGCTTTAGAGACGAACGTCTAGTTGATACCTGATTGCTTCATCAGCACAGCCAACAACCACCATCATCAGGAAACTCGTCAGAGCAACTGCGCGAAAACACATGCAGGGTGGTGAGGTATTCAGGGGTCACCCCGCCTGCAGCATTGATCGACAGGGAACATGGAGCTGGGGTAGGTATAAGTGGCAAACATGCGCTCCGACGCTGATTGGTCGTTAAACGCGACGGGCAGTATACGAAGTGCGGCACACCTCGACTTGCCCGATTCGACGACAACCCGTCGGCCGTATGTGAACTTTCATTGGGGTAACTTTCCCAGATCAGTGAATCCACTGACCTGGTGGAGGATTGCGGCACAGTGAATAGAACCAGGTCCTGGTGGAGGATTGCGGCACAGGGATGAATGGAAGCAGGTCAGCACTTGTTTGCGTGGCACAAAAATAACCAACATGAAATATGGAAGCGGCCTCCCCGTATCGCTAACCCGAACTCTGGATTGCCGTTGGAATGGAACTTTTTACGCACGGAGACCTCGGATGAGCCCAGGAATTGGCAGCATATAAGGTCAGCCAAGCTGCTGCTCGGGGAAGCAGAAGTTCAACACCGGCACACAGAGCACACGGAGTACCTCCTCATTCACTCATTTGACTTCCTCACTCACTATCAACAATGGCATTCACCAGCAGGAGCCTCATCGCCGTCCTGGCAGCCGCGACCACATGGTCCCTACCAGCCGCCGCTCGTCCCAACCCAACCCCCTGCCCAGGCGCAGGCGCGAGCACACGGGCAGAACCATTAGACATCCGCGACACCACCGACATCGCCGTCAATATCCCCTCCGTCCTGACGGAAAGCACACTCTACGGCGCGCCGCCCAACGACTTCACCTGCAAATCCGCGCGGAACCCCGTGGTCCTCCTGCACGGCCTCTCCGCCGACCGCGAGGTCGACCTCAACTTGCTGCAGCGCGAGCTCAGCACGCCCGAGCGGGGCTACTGCACCTTCTCCGCGACGTACGGCGCATGGCCGCTGACGCCGTGGATCGGCGGGCTGACGGACATGACCGAGTCCGCGAGGGACATCGCCGCCTTCATCCGCGAGGTAAAGGAAAAGACGGGCGCGGACAAGGTCGACGTGGTGGGCCACTCCGAGGGCGGCGTGCAGGCGCTCTACGTGCCCCTGTCGCAGCCGGGCATCGCCGCCCTCGTCGACCACGTCGTCGCGCTCGGCCCGGCCGTCCACGGCGCCGACTACTTGTATGTACATTTCGAGTCTCTTATTGCCCCATACGTCCCAAGTCCAGGGCGCGAATTTATCCTCTTCTAGCCTGTGTTAAGAACCTTTGCTCGCGAGACATGCATTACGACTTCTTGTTTCTCGGCAAAACACCTAAAATGAGTATTCGCTAACTCTAACTTGCTAACAGCGGGTTCACGGACCTGTGGTACGTCGGCGGCGACGCGACGCGCGCGCTGGCGAAGCCGTTCTCGGAGCTGATATTCTGTCCGGCTTGCGAGCAGATGATGCCCGACGGGGCGATCACAGACGCGTTTGACGCCGCGACGGCGGCGGGGGGGATTAAGCAGGAGGGGAATAATGTTACGGTCATTATGTCAAGGTCGGATAAGCTGGTCACGCCGGATGTGAGCGAGATTGACGAGGCGGGGGTAAGGAATGTGTTTGTGCAGGATACGTGCCCGGATGATAGGGTTGGACATGCGGGCCTTGCGTGGGATAAGAGTGTTTGGCGGTTGGTTATTAATGCGCTGGAGAAGAATGATGATGTGGTGTTTGAGTGTGAGGAGGGGTTGGAGATATAAGTTACTTAGTAATGAGTTATGAGATACAACTAGACGAATGACGTGGAGTTTGGTAGCTCTCCCTTAGCGCCCTGTGTATATTGATACGTACTCCTAATGTCTAATAGTTGGAGATCTGAATTCAGCTATAAAGCAGCAAGCAAGTTGTCCCGCCAGCAACCCTACCCCTCAACAACCCCTTATCACTCATTCGCTCTCCTCTCAGTCTTGCTCCCGTCCGCCGCGTCGCTTCATCTTCTTGATGGGCCTCGTGGATGACGACTCGGCCATATCTTCGAGACGTTGTTTGAACGTCCCAGGTGTCAACGTCAACGCAGACGGATCTGGTTCTTCTTCGTCGTACTCCCTGGGCAGCTTGCGTTTGGTGCCACCAACCTTCCTCTCCTGGATAAGCTCGTGCTCGGCCAATATATTCTTCTTACTGATGCCGCGCATGCGGATCAGGTCCTCCTCGTACGAGGGGTCGAGGTAGTGGGCTGGTCGGAAGGTTGTGTTCTCGTCTAGACGATCCGGGGGCTCGTAACCGGGCCCTAGCTGCAACATAATGTGTAGAAATTCTGGAGGATCGTCTGGGGTCAGGCCCGGGTTGCCTCGACGATCTTGTTTGGAGTATTCGTGCCACCACATCCTTCCGGGAACTTCGCCCCATGACTTGATCCAGATGCCTCTCATCTCCCACCTGCTCTTGACGGCTTCGTATGCCTTCTGGTTCGTGTCCTGCGTACCCAGACGAAGCGGCCGCAACCTGTCGACCTCTCGTTCGACTTGATGATAGAACTGGTTGATCGGCTGGGAGGCCTCGTAGGAGATATCCTCTGCGAGAGTTGGCTCGATGCCGGACGGTTGGCAGGTTCTTCGTGTGCCCAACCTCCACAGATCTTTGGCCATTTGCTACGATGGCGCCCAAGGAATCGATCCGCCGGTAGAAGCCCCTGTTCAATCCACTGCGCCTTGACAGACTTGATGGCCTTGTTCCGAAGCTTCTTACTCAAGGCCCAGTTATTCTGCCACTTGTAAGGGTCGTCGCCGTCCGGTCCGGCTGATACCGATCGCCGCCGGTTCATATCGATGCCGGAACTGCTGCCAGAGATGACATTGCTCTTCGTTAACGAGGTCGACAAACTGGGCCTGGGGAAGTGAGCGCTTGCAGACGCGGGCCCATCTGCGTGCCTCATATTCCTCCTCTTCTTCTCGCGCTATTTGCTCGTCCGACTTTGGAGACGGGGAGAGAATTGAGAGGCATAACTAGCATCACTCAGTCCTGCCTCCTCTTCTTCGCTCGTAAAGACGTCGTCACTGCTGTCGTTCCACATGGTCTCGGCGTGCTTGACCGCCAAGGTGTAATAGGGTAGCCTTGAATCCCGGAACTACTTGGTCGTAAGTAAGTAAACTACCGAAAGCTGATGTATTTGGCTTACAGTACAAACAATATGAAAGGACATGGCTTTTATTTGCCACCCATATCCCCATATCTGATGTCTTCAGTTTGCCACCTTGCTGCGCCTTTGTCAGAACAGGGACGCTTTGATGAGCCCAGACAAAGCCCAATTAACTCCAGTGAGAATTAGTACCCTTGTTACGCCTGTCATCTTTTCAGCATGCCTGTGTTTCGCGAAGGCTCAGGCAACATGTACCCAGGGTCTCCTAGGCTGAGAAAAAAATCGCCCGGTGAAACATGTTGCCCGTGACGTACTAAAGGAGTTATATATCTAAGTCATAGCAATGGTTACTAATCCGGAGTATGGAAGTCTTGAAATATTTGTGCTCTTGACAAGTCACGGTTCGCTCCAAAAACTGCTAGGTGAGAAAAAGACGGTCTGTGATAAAAATTCCTCTTCCGAAATGAAATGAGTCCATGCAACGAGAGCACAACAAGACCTAAATGGCTCTCGAACACTTTCCAAACCCCAGCCCAAAATTTCGTCCAATAGAGGTGTCGTCTTACGCAGCGAACCGAACCTGCCTCTTCTCCGACGGAGCGTCGCAGGCACCGTCATTGGGATCGGCCCTAGAGCATATGTTATGTCAGTCATCAGACATGAGAGAGCACAGAGCACCAGCAAAACTTACGTGAATGTCCAGTCGCTTGTCGTAGTACTTCCGCCGCTGCCACAGCCATTGATCTCATTCTTGAATCGTAAAACGCAGTCGCTTTGAGCCAGGTCGTGGTCCCCCTGGCCACCCCAGACGACCGAAAAGTCGGCCTTTTTCGCGGCAGACAGGGTATAGCAGTAAGCCTTGGTCTGCCCGGCGTAAAAGCCCTCCTGGGTGAAGCTTGTGTGCTTGGAAGGGTCGCAGAAGTCGTCGACGGCCTGGTTTGCGTAGCTGCGCTCGGCGCCCCAGCTCAGACCGCCGTAGCATCCGGCGTAGGCGCCGTGAATTGCGGCGGAGCTGGCAATGAGGAAAATGGTGGAGGTCTTCATTTTGAATGACGAGTTTGTGGTATAGTTAAGTAGTGTAGTAGCTGTTTGAGCTGGTGAGATTGCCTGTGTTTCGTAGTTGTGATATGAACTGTGCTTGCATGGAGATGAATCTTGAAGCGAGAGGACGACTTGATGTGGTATTATATAGAAATTGCGTTCCGCAACCGGGATATTGGACAACGTCACTGGTGACCTCATTACCTTCCCATGAGGCCTTGAGGCCGGGAATAGGAGGTCATGAGAACCCGAGGAACTGCACATATCGTCTAGCTGAACGGGCTTCACTGCCTCACCGAGTCTCCGTGAGGCTGGAGGCTAGGAATTGGAATACACAAGGCTGACCTTGGCATGAAGCTGACAAGCGCCACACGGTTGTCGATCATAAGCAGCTTGGCTATGTCAGGATTAGACGGTGTTGTGTGTCGGCAACATCCTCATTAGATGGCAGTACAATTGGACAACATCCTATTTGTACGGCTTGCACACAAAGTATTCAGCTGTCAGCTGGGCTGCAGATCATCTCCTTGGTATAGTCACGTAAGCAATTGTTGACGGCTTTGGGGGCGTCTGGCTTACAAACGCCGTATATCTTCGGTAGCAGAGCCGTGTTCATGTTTCATCTACGCGGACAACGCTGGCGCAGCAACTTGGCAACTTGAGCAATCCAGTGAGATGACGTGGTGAACACGAGATAGCCAAGGTAGCGGAAGCGAGATGACGTTGGGAGCACCAATGGTCAAGAATAGCTATCGCTGCCATGAGGCAGCGAAGTCGATTCCGATACCTCTCAGGTACAAATACCCATGAGCGATCCCGTCTCTGGGATCGAGAAGACAGAAGACATCAACATAATCGTACGTCCAAACCCGCGCGCTTCCATATTACTTTACTCCCTTTTCAAAAATACACCTCCGTCTTACCCACCATAATCCTCGTATCCTCAGCAAAATGCGTTTCCCTACCATTCAGCTTGTCGGCCTTATGGGGTTCCAGGCAGTCTTTGGACATCCTGCGCCCGCAAACAAGGTAATAAGCTCTTCGATTTATCTAGCTAATATCATCGGTACTGACCACCGATTGCTGTAATCTTGTAGCTGCACAACGACCTCGGCAAACGGAGTGCAGCAGCATTCGCGTCCGGCAACGCCCTTGTCCAACGAGGCATCAAGGGCGAGCTTTACAAGATGGAGATCACGGTCGGGGACAAGATCGCCACAGGCACCGACGGCACCGTATACAAGGCAACAGTCCCAGATTCACCAGGCTTCGATAGCAGCACCACATTCGCGTACAAGACAGACTACGCTAACCCGGCGTCGGTGAAGACCGAGTACGCGGCGTACAAGGCGATCGACGGCCAGAAGATCGGGCCGGGGTTCGAGGCAATCGTCTATGACGAGGAGTCTGAAAACGTTGACGAAAGCGGAGTCTTGCTGGAGTACTGGGACACGACGCCGACTGACAAGAGCAGCAAGGACCATGCCAAGGGTGCCATGAAGGCCCTCAAGGCCATGCATGACATTGGCTGGGTTCATGGCGACGCTTGGTCTGTCAACAACGTCCTCGTCGGCAAGTCGGATGGCCAGGTCAGGCTTGTCGATTTCGCCAAGTCGGAGAAGACGAACGATGCCAGAAAGATGGAGGAAGACATCGACGCGTTGAAGTCGGCTTTTGACGGCGTGGAGTGGGATGGCGATGAGGTCAAGGAGTAAATCAACTCATAATTCGTGTGCATGAAGATGGCTGGGGCGGTTTTAGGGGATCAGAACGAGCGTACAGAACTAGGTCACTGGATGGGTAGGTCAGTTTTGTCGGTGGGATAATGTACGATGGATCAGGCGTAACGACAAGGAAATACACTCTCTTTCAGGTTTGCCGGTTGACCGATACGGCCATGAATACGTATGCGTTTGTGAAACAGTGGCCCGGCGTTTTCCATAAGTAGATATACGCAGAAACAAGCCACATGAACGGGTCAGTCAGAGCCCCATGCCAAGCCCATGTCGTACATACAGATTCCCTATATCATATTTACATGTCTCATCTCTGTACTCACCAGCGCCGAGCGGTGGCAATATTATTATAGACTTCTATCAAAGCCCCAACCCGCAACGATCTACTCACGGAGGACGACCTCGAGGTCAGCAGAGCGCTAGCCTGCTTACCTAGGTACATAAGATAGTACACTGCGCGGGTATACTCGTAATGCAATGACCCCAGCACTTACGTAGCAGCTTCGACAATGTCAGTGCTCTTAGCCACATCCTCCCACTCATCACAGATCCTCATGACGCCCTCACACTTCGCCCTGACCCTCTCACACCCGTCAGTCCCGAGCGGCACCCGTAGCGGGACAGTCTTGCCGGCCGCGACGCCGGTCCCCTTGACCAGATCGATCATGATCTTGACCGCCTTGTCCGGGTCCCGGGCTCCTTGGCGACGGCGCTGGTCACGGCGTCGAACACGGCCTTGTTGAATTCGGCGTACAGGGTTATGTGCTGCGGCACGCGGTTGATGTTGCCAAAGGCCCGCGTGCGGAAGTAGCTCGGCTCTACGAGTAGCACCTTGATGTCCGGGGCGAAGATGGCTAGTTCTTTGCTACGGCATTCGACGGCCCCTTTTTACCGGAGGGATGGTCAGTCAGCTGCTTGACTTGGATCCCTTCCCTAAGGTTCTTCAACGGGCAGGCCCTGGGGACCGCAGAGCAGACGTACCTTCGAGCGCGTGCTTCGTCGCCACATAGCCCGTCGCATTGGCATCAGCATGGAAGCCCGCCTGGGAGCTCATGAACAGCATTGTGCCCTTGCCCTTGGCCCTGAGCCTAGGAAGCAGGGCCCGGGTAATATTGAGCGGGCCGTGGAAATTGGTCTTGAAGCAGGCCAGCATATCTTGCTCTCTGCTTTTACGTGAGCTTCCATTCATAAAGTCGTCGACCTAAGGGGTTGGATAGAAGATGCAGGGACGACGCACGTTAATTCTTCAAACACGCCGGACAGGATGTAGCCGGCGTTGTTGACGACCACGTCGGTGCCGTTGGGATACAGACCCCAGGCCTCGGCCATCTTGGCTTCGATCTCGGGCACTGGCGCGGCGACGTCGAGGTCCAGGATGCTGGCGCCGGTGTCTTTGAGGTGGGCGAGCTTCGTTGCGGCGTTGCGGCCCGTGGCGATCACGTTGTCGCCTTGGGCGCGCAGCTGCCGGACGAAGAACTCTCCGAACCCGCTGGAGCAGCCGGTGATGAGCCATGTCTGAGGAGTGGTCGGCATTGCTTTTGAAGCTGGTTGAATACTGGCAGGGTAACTTGGTAGAAGGAGATATATATGTAAAGATTGAAAGCGTGATCGATCTAATTTTCTGTGAGACGCGAAAAGATCTAAACCGAAAGTTTTGAAATATGAACAAGTATAAGTAAGATAGGAAGTGAGCCAACAAACATAAGGAATCGCCCGCCCTTGTGCGACACAGCGCAGCTAGCAGATGTATCCCAGTTAGCCACGTAACACGCACTTTTAAGATCTATTTCAATGTATAAGCCTGGGCGGGTAGTGGAGTTGTTGGTACGGCGCAGCTTTGAATGCCAAATTGGTATACGTTCGGTATCGTATACGTTGGGCGGTGATCCCACGTGTTGTTTTCAACCCCAGAATTGGTAAAGGCATTACCTCGAAGTGCGGCTTCACCTTCCAACCCACACCCGCCAGGATGGGCTAAGAGCGTATCCAGGACGGACATCGATGCATACGTGTGCAGGTGCGGGATATTAGGCGCGGTAGAGCAGTAGATTCGGGATCATAAACATAGCGGGTATCTATAGGAAAAGCGAGAACGAGAGCGAGATGGATCCCAGATGCCCCAGTGGGATCCGACATAAAGGGGGGGCTAGTCCGAGATCATGGGCTCCCTTGACCCACCGCGTTCAGCCCTACGAGGTACCTATGTAGCTCTTATCGATAGGCCGCCCCAACTGCAAACTTGACGATGCAAGGAGCTCGGCAGCTTCCAATCGACATCACAACGTTGCGATCACATTAGACTGCCGAACAACGACCTCACCAATCTCACCCAACTGAGACCGAGCTCATCGTCCGAACCGCGCGTCGGACCAGACCCCCGACTCCCCCTTCCCCCAAGAAACAAACCAACACCTCAGAAAGAACCAAAACCACCCACCCACCATGCCCTCCGACACGCACCGCGCCGACGAGCGCCGCTTCCTCGACGAGCGCGGCTCCAACGTCAGCCTCGCGCCTAACGGGCTCAACCCAGCCACAATAATGGAGAAAGCCGTGCGCGAGCGCATCGTGGACGCCTACTTCTACAAAGAACAATGCTTCGGGACCAACGAGGCCGACGTCGTCGACCGCGTCGTCGAGCACGTGTCCTTCGTGGGCGGCACGTACGGCGACACGCAAAAGCCCACACCGTTCCTATGTCTGGCCTTCAAACTACTCCAGCTGGCGCCGGGCGACGATGTACTACGCGAGTATTTGGCGTTTGGGGGGGAGAAGTTCAAGTACCTCCGCGCACTGGCGTGTTTCTACGTGCGCATGACGCGCCGCGCCGAGGATGTGTATAAGATCCTCGAGCCCTTCCTCGAGGACCGGCGCAAGTTGCGGCGGAAGGGCCGCGCGGGGACGACGCTGACGTTTGTCGACCAGTTCGTCGACGAGTTGTTGACGAAGGACCGTGTTTGTGGTACGAGTTTGTGGACTATGCCGAAGCGCGAGATCTTGGAGGATTTGGAGGTGCTGGAGCCAAGGACGAGCCCGCTGGGCGATATTGAGGACTTGCTGAAGGAGGACGAGCTTATGGAGGGGGTGGCGGATGGTGGTGGTGGCGGGCCGCGGGATGGGAGCGATGATGAGGATGAGGGGCTGGTTGACGAGGGTGGGGATAGGGGGCGCGGGAGGTCGAGTTCGGGGTCGAGTGTGAGGGGACGTTCGGATTCGAGGGAACGGCGTCGGTCACAGTCGCGGTCGCGGTCACGATCACGGTCACCAGATGAGATGGATGTCGATCGTCGCGAGAGAGCAAGCAAGGACGGCAGTCGATAGCTCTTCGGCGTGTGCTGCCCGTCTTACGGAGAAGCAAAGATGCAGTCATTTGTCCGACTACTACGCGAGCTCGAAGCCTGCTATACGGCAATGATGGTTCGCCAGGATGAAATAGGAATGCCCATGGTGAGCAATCAAGCATCGAAATCTTTTCGCCTCGTACAATTGGGTATAGTAGCTAATATACAGAAGGAGCCGCAATCAGGACTCCTCTCCCGTCTCATGTTACATATCCACTTCTCTGGACAGCCAAATGCGACCAAGGATGATAGCCGGCCAACCTACTGCAGCTACAGGCATTCGAAGCCCGGGATGCCAGTCGCTCATACACTATAGACATGAGATGACAGCTTGCCAGCGGCCGATAGAACCCGCGCATCGTCCCAGTACTGGCCAATGAGCTGCAGACCTCCGAAATGAAGCAGCTTTTCTTCCTCGTTATTCGGGTCCACAGGGATATCCATGGGGATGCTAATTGCTGGGAGTCCTGCGAGGCTTGCCGGAACCGTGAAGACATCGTTCATGTATGAATCCAGAGGCGTCTGCTTATGAACCTGTTCGAGGAGAGGCGGTGGAGTAGGTGCTGTGGGAGATAGGAGAAAGTCGACCTGCGCTGGTCCTAGTTTGCTATCCAGCATGACCGACTCGTCCATGTCGCTAAGGTTGAAAGTTTGCTCGTCTTGGAGAGGATTCGACAGCTTGAACACCCTGTCGAAATCTCTCCTAACCAGCTGACGGACCTTCTGGGCCTGAATGAAGTAGTTGTCTATTGCGTCGGAGCTGAGAGTATACGAGCCCAGTAATATACGACGCTTGACCTCGTTTCCAAATCCAGTGCCTCTCGTTCTGGCGTATAGGACGCCGTTCAGAGCATCACTGGTTCCATCGCTGTCACGACGACCGTAGCGGATACCATCATATTTCGAGAGGTTGGAAGCAGCTTCGGCAGGGGCTATCACGTAGTACGCAGATAGTGCATTTTTCGTCGATGGGAGTGAGACAGGAACCACCCGACCGCCCAAACTCTGGATTTTCTCCGCAGCCTGGAGCCATCCTCGACGTATCCGGGGGTCGAGCTCTTCGATGTTGTACTCTAGCGGAACCCCGAAGGTCAACCCGCGGAAGTCGGCCTTAGGAGCTTGCCCAGAAGAGTCGTATCCTTCTCTTTGGGCGGTGCACCTCGTGCGTACGTGGGACGGAAGAGATGTCGGGTCCCTGGGGTCGTGCTCGCTGTAAAACCCCCGTCCAACAATCGCCGTGCTGATGGGCTCCACCGTTCTCGCAAGCAGGCCGACGGTGTCCAGCGAGTTTGCATACGGCACGACGCCCCAGCGCGACAACATGCCGTACGAGGGCTTGAATCCGACCGTGCCCGTGTACGCAGCGGGCATGCGGACAGAACCACCGGTGTCGGTCCCAAGCGCCAGCTCAGCTGTCCCGTTCCTCACGGCAACGGCACTGCCCCCCGAGCTCCCACCCGCGGAATACCGCTCCAGGGGGTGGACGTTGTGGACGTGGTCGAAGGCCGAGGTCGTCGAGTGGGTGCCCATGCCGAACTCGTCCATGCCGGCCTTTCTTGCCACCACGTCCATGCCCAGGCGGCGCAGCTGAGTGACGATGGTCGCGTCGAAGGGGATCTCGTTCCCGGCTAGGATGTTGGAGGCGCATGTCGTCGGGAAGCCCCTGGCGGCGATGTTGTCCTTGACGGCAAGGCGGAGACCAACTAATTTAATCACCAGTCAGCATGTGTGCAAAGAGCTCGGGAGGGGCATCCGGATAGATATTGACATACCATTTTGGTACGCCTCGACACCCGAGTCCTTAACGGTAGTTTCTTGTTGAAGAGAGCGGCGTTGGATGTTGCCGGCCCTCCATCGGGTGGTTATTACCCTCTGGGCGGCTCTGATATGCGTATGTCTGACATGTGTAGACATATAGGCCCAGTGTTGCCGGAGATGCTGTGATGACGATGCTCTCATGACATCTCTTCTTCCCCAATCTGCCTGTTTGCCCGTTGAATTCTGGTTGCTGCAAGCTTCACTGGAAGCTTGGACCACCCATGCGTGCAGCCGCTACCCAGTTATGATAAGGTTATCAGTCTTATCAGCCTGCAGATCCGCGGGATGCGCTGTGACGCAAGGCTTGACAGGTACCCGGAGGGCGGCAGGGCGGATGGGCGGGTAGCTGTCGCCCTTGAGCACTCCCGACTCAACAGAGTGCTGCCTGATCATTTCATCTTTCGACGCCATCAGTACTCGACGGCCCAGGACTCCCGACGGATTTGAAATCAATACAAGCTCAACAATCATGTTTTGGGAGACTACCCTCGTCGCTGCAGCCCTGGCGGCCGTAGCCGAGGGAGCCCAGCCTGGAGCTCCAGCGCCGGTCGCCGCTCCAATGCGTGATCTGGAATGGGGGCAAGTGAACTTCCTACACACGACAGACATCCATGGCTGGCTCGGTGGACACCTCCAAGAGTAAGCGACACTGGAACATACCTGCTACCAGTGGTACTGATCTTCAGGTAGGGCGCTGTACTCTGCGGACTGGGGCGACTACATATCCTTCACCGAGCACATGCGACAGAAGGCCAATGAGCAGGGCGTAGATTTACTAGTCATAGACACGGGCGACCGGATAGAAGGAAACGGCCTCTACGATGGATCCGACCCGAAGGGCAAATATTCCTACGATATCTTCCGGGAGCAATCCGTAGACGCCGTGTGCACGGGGAACCACGAGTTATACCAGATAGACTCCGTCGCGCGCGAACACAACATTACCGTTCCGAACTTCAAGAAATCATATATCGCGTCGAACCTCGACTATATAGAACCACAGACCGGCGACCAGATACCCCAGGCGCAGCGATACATCAAGCTCAAGACGAAGAACCAGGGACTTAACGTTGTCGCGCTGGGATTCCTGTTCAACTTCGATCGGAACGCGAACAACAGTGTGGTGCAGCCCGTTGAGGAGACCCTAAAGGAGGAATGGTTCAAGAACGCTATCCGGGAGAAGCCTGACTTGTTTCTGGTCATCGGCCATGTCGGGCTTCGCATGAAGGAGTTCGACCTGATCTTCAGCGCCATCAGGGACCAGAACTGGTACACTCCCATCGCATTCTTTGGTGGCCATGCGCATGTCCGAGATGCGAAGAAGTACGACGACAAGGCTTTTGCGATCGCCAGCGGCCGGTACCTGGAGACTATTGGATGGATGTCGGTCGATGGTATCAAGAAGAGCAAGGATGAAGTCTCGGCTGAAGCTTCTGTATCGTTCAAGAGACGCTACATCGACAATAACCTCTTCGGGCTTCACTACCACACCGGCCTGAACGAGACGACCTTTCCTACTGAGCATGGCCGCAACGTCAGCAAAATGATTATGGAGGGCCGGAAGGCGCTGGACCTCGATAACGCATTCGGTTGTGCGCCGCAAGACCTCTGGATGTCTCGAGCCGAATATCCAAGCAACGCCAGCATCTTCACCTGGCTCGAGGAGCAGGTCATGCCCGACGCTGTTGTCAACAAGGAGAGGGCGGATAAGCCGCGACTGGCCATCCTGAATACCGGTGCCATACGGTTCGACATCTTCAAGGGCGCCTTCACCAAGGATTCCACATATCTCATTTCGCCCTTTGAGAGCAAGTTCAACTACATCCCGGACGTGCCCTACGCCGTTGCCAGCAAGGTCCTGCACATGCTCAACAACAGAGGGCAAGTCTTCGGGGGGTCGGGTCTGGATACGAGATACATGACGATTCCCGAGCAGATGGCACCCCGCCCCTCTCTGTTCGAAGAGCCCGTCACGGCAGCAGACGAACCCCAGCTGCGCATCTTTGGTGGGAGCGGAGACCAACAAATCCCCCTCAGCAGCAGCAGCGGAGACGATAAGGGGACCGGCAAAGAGCCAGAGCTGGTAGGCGGCTACACGACGAAAGACGACCTCGGCACCGACGGCGACGACGCCGTGCACTCGCCCATCAGGTTCTTCGCGGTGCCCAACTGCGTCCAGTCCGAGGCCGCGTTCCCCGAGGACGGCGACCCTGACACGGTCGATCTGGTCTTTATCGACTACGTCCAGCCGTGGATCATCCCGGCGCTGAAGTTCAGCGGTGGTGATTATAGCACCAATGATGTAAGGGTGTACCTCAATAGCACGCTGACGGATGTGATTGCGGGCTGGGTTAAGGAGCATTGGGGTGATGGCGACTGCTGAGGATTTTCGATGATGGGGTTTGGATATAGGGGTTTGGGTTGGATGTAGGTTTGAGGTTTAGTTATGTCATGGAGCCATGGTGGTAGGAATTTAGAACATAGGGTAAGAAGGCTTGGGTATATAGTTCCAGCGGCAGCAAGGCAATGATATCCAGAGTTTAAGGGCTTCCCAAGTCTATATTGAATCTGACTGAACTAGTCCATAGAGGTTGACTGTCAAAAGCTGACCATCTGGAGGCCGGGTCAACAGAGATTTCAGTTTTACGGACCCAGATACTGTTGCAGAGCAACCCCTTTCCCCCAACCTCTTTGCCAACCTGCCCAGAGTGAACTCTCATGCCGCATAACGCCTGAGCGCCATACATGTCCGACGCCTGTACGAAGCCGCCCGTACATATCTGGGCTGACTTCGGAAACCATTGCCTCTCGCCATACGCCATACGCCGGCGGCCTTCCCGTGTCTATGCTAAGCACTGCAGTCTCGGACACGGTTGGTATCTCCCACAAGGCTGGCGTAGACTGCAGCGGTGTCAGATGAGTATGTGGTCGAGCATGAGCAGTCAGGCGACAAAGGCCAGATGGGTACGTGGTCGAGCCTTTGGCAAACACTTGACGTGAGTACGTGGTCGACCAAGGGCAGACCACCGAAGATGAGTATGTGGTCGGGCCTGGGAGCCAGTTCAACATAATAGCTGACCTGAGCACCGCATACACTCGCGCAAAGGATTCCGCGTCCGAAGATGTGCGCATTAGCGGCGAGCCCTTCCGTTTGCCCTGCGCCTCGGAGTAATTGCGGGATGCCGGGCGCAGCGCTGCTCTGAGTCGAAGAGCTACGGTGTGGAAACCACACATGACGGCCTTTGATCCTGCGAAGCCGGAAGTGTCGAATCGAACCGAATCGAGGGCGGTGGCTATTGTATCTGATCGAGCAGTTTCCGCCGCCTCCGATCGATGAGCTCCCGCTGCACCTCCTCAAGCGTCGGCAGCTCCCAGCCCCTCCCGTCTCCCGCATCACCAGGCAACGGCTCCCAGTCCGGCGGTGCCTCGCCCCCCTTGCCCTTGCCCTGCCGCATCAGCGCCTCGAACGCCTCCTTCTCCTTCTCGGCCTCGTATATCAGCAGCGCCTCGTCCTCCTCGTCGGGCGCGTAGCCGTAGTACTTCGCGTCGACCGCCTTGCGCAGATCGTCCCTACTCTCAAGGGGTTTCTCGTCGCGACCCCGCGACTGCTGCTGAGCCGCCTCAAACAGCTCCTTCACACCAGGTAAATCGCGCGCGCGCCCAAAGTACCGGTACCCCTTCCCGCCCCCCGGTATCTCGCGGCCGCTCTCGTCGTAGACCTTGGCGCCGCCGCCGCGCATGTAGTTGGGCCCGCCCAGGTTGCGGATCTGCACCTCCCACATGTGCTTCTCGCGCATCAGCTTGTTGATCTCGTCGTTGAGGTCGCGGATCTGGTAGTCGCTCAGCGCCGGGTCCTGGATCTTGGACACCTTGCGGCTGATCTCCTTGAGGGTCTGCCCGCGCCACTTCTCGCACGACGGGATCGAGTCCACCTCGGTGATCATCTTGGGCCGCCGCGTCCGGCCCGCGTCGATTATGCCTAGGTCGGCGGCCTGCGCCTCCCGGAACCGGAAGAGCATCGATTGGGCTTTCTCGGAGTTGCGCGCCTGTAAGGTGGGGGGTTAGTGATGGACGTGCCATTTTACGATTATAAACTTACCATTTTGAATGATGTCCTCCTGGTATGGTCTACGGCGAGTCAAAGGACAGCAGTGAGCTGTGTGCGGGGAGGTTACTTGGGATGGAGGAGGACTGGCCTGGCGTTGAGGAGAAAAAGTGCTATGGTTTGGTCCTCTCAGCCTCGTTGCTCCCCAATTGCTAAAGCGGGGCTTTGTGGCTCAGTGCCAACCAATCACGGGTGGCAACGCGCCCAGCCAGAAATCTAGCGTATCACACGCGTCTCTCCGTCCAACTGCTGCAGCATGCCCGGGCATCCCTCCATCTTCCTTTCAACTTCCACAACGCAGAGCTTCCATTCGCAGCATTACAACCACCCAGAAATCCGAGCTCGCCATCTCGCATTCAAAACCAGAGGTCCTATGATGATCACTCCTCTAGTCGCACGACACGGTATCCCAAGGCACCAATGAGTCGGGTGCCAATGAGGAGCCAGCCCGGCTTATCTATCGAGTAATGCCTGTGTCTTCATCCAGGCTCACATATCTTGGCCATTCGGCGCTCGAGCATTGGAACACCATGCCGGCCGCCTCGGTGCCATCGCCTCATGATTGTCAACGAACCATCTCTCCTAGACCATATCCCGTCTGCTTTCATTTCTTGATCTCCAAGGTCTGACTGCAGCTAGACTCCCGGGAGATCAAGTCTGCCTACCTAATATAGGCAGGTATCCTATACCCACTCCAACTGCCCAGCGACACTATTGTCATTCGCAAGTGCGTCCGACTCTTCTTGGGGAATGAGTCTCCTGTCTGGTTCGTGAAAACTTCTTCTGAACGAGCTCATCCTGCCTGCCCCTTACAGTGCCTCGCGCTTGCGAACTCCCATCTCCACCCACGAAACCTCCGCGGTGCAACACCTCATCACCATTAATATCTCCTAGCTCACAGGCTCGCGATGATGAAATCCCTAAAGAGCTTGTTTGGAACCAAGGATCCTCGAATCTGCGGTGCATGACGAAACTCAAAGAACAGAGATCAGAGCATGGCGAGGTCACAATGTGATCTCTGGTCGAGCAGCCCTCTCGGACTTGTCCTCATCTCACAACACCATCCTGGTTCTGCAGCATCAGGCCTCCAAAGCCAACTACAACTATGACGACAGCACATACGTATCGAGAATGCTTCGCATTCGATGATCTTCATTAGTTTTCAATCGGAGATGTGGGATGCTTGCGGAGCCGTTTGGTCGAGTGACCATGAGGACCTCCGTGTCTTTGAGGTTCTTTTTTCTTACTGTGACGGCAGTGATACGAAACAAGTCGCCCGGTGATGACCAATTTCCAAAAAGCCAAATTTGCAGGCAGCCTGAACGAGCTCTTGTCCAGCTCACCGCTGGCTGGAGTGAGGGAATGGTTGCCCATGAGAACCTGAGAGCTAATCTGAGGGCACAAGACTTGTTTCCGTTTTATCTGCTGTCGGTTGCCACTTGTCATACTCAATCGTTCGTCAAGTCCGCCGACTTCGTTTTCTACGTTGGGTTTCTCGGGGACTTTAATAACAGTTTATTCAAATGCCGTTTCGCTGCTGGCTGACAAGGCCAGGACGGCCTCAACCGCGACGACGACCTGCTCTGGCTTGCTGCACGACGCGATTTCTTACCTACAATTCGGGCAAACGCCCCTCGCCTGTTGCAGCGGCTCGTCCTGCTTCATGACGACACTTACTATGAGACGGTGGCGGACTATTCAATGTTGACGGCGAATGCAGACGCGTTTATCGTGGATCTTGTGCAGAGGCACGTTCTCAATGCTTAGTTTGATGCAAGGACCAGCGCCAGCAGTACGAGTGCTGATCCGATGATGCAAATTTGGAGGAGTATGTAAAAAGAAGCTTCTTCTCCCTGCCTGCGCGAAGGATCCCTACACTTCTTGACTTTTGTAGAAGTTGTTGATTAGGGAAGGCCAGCTCTGAAACTCTTGTTTCCTACAGTTGGAGAGGGAGAACTCGTTCCGATATAGTTGTGGTCACTCTGAGCACATGCCGTACAGACCTTGAATTGCGCTCTTCGATCCGAGCGACTATCTGCAGCAGGTATTGGTCGAAGGTCCTGTCAACTACCTGCCCTAAGTCAATGCATAACAAGTGCAGGACAAATGCAGGACAGAGATTCCCAACGGATATATCAGCCTCTATCCTCTGGAGAAAGAGAAAACCCCAGGCATATTGATTTGGAACCCGATGTTGCCTACTGTAGTACCGTACAGGATTCATCTATTGGGACTGGGAATCTCAAAGGAAAACTCGAACAAGCAAGTCGCATCTCGTGTTCATCTAACATACCACTTGGCACATGTTCATCGAGTTCAGTACGACACTGCGCGGGATCCAATCTGCGGGAGATCGGAATGGGTCGAGGGTTGAGATCTAAAATGGTGTGCACGGAGCGGATCACCGGCCACGGGACGGAAGCATGGGCCGGCGGTTGCTAGGTTAACGGCCTCGAGGCCAAAACAGGAAATCCAAGGTCTGAGCAGGATCACCAGGTCCAATTCAAACTACATGTTCCTTTCTGCAAGCAAATCTTCCAAGTGTCTGTCTTTTTATTTTACGATCTATTGATTCAATCTATATACTGTATATACATCTATTTGTTCTGCGTATACCTGCGCGCAATGTTATTGACATCGTCCCAAGTCTCGATCCTGCTTTCGTCGGGAATAGGTGCGTGTGGCCAGCCCCTCCGCTCCCCTCTCCCCTCGCTCCATCCAACCACCGTGTGCGACGCAGTCAAGCAAATGGATGTCCACACACAAATATGTCCTTGAAATGATGATGATTGTATTTAACGTGGGGGATCGCATATGTCATTGAAAGATGACGGGAGCCACCTTACTAACACATAAGCCTCGATAATACAGTCGCCCTATGCACATTCGCCCTCTTCCTTAGCGGCTACGCGATCCAACAGCGCACGCTGCGCGACCTGCGGCTCGCCATCAATCCGCCCGCGATCCCGCGGCCGAAACCAAAATTCTACTCCTCGGAACAGCTGCGCAGACCGAAATCGAAAGTTAGGCTTGAGGAAGGGTCTGCGATTGATTTAGGGGAGTCTGAGTTGGATGTTGGTGGTACTGGGAGAGGGGGCGGGAGTGCGGTTGGGAATGGGGCTGGAGAGGAAGGGCAAAAACAAGAACAAGAGGAGGATATAATCTTCGTACGACCAACAATACCCGACGATGATGGAGAACCGGTTTCGCCGCCGCCGCCGGTGACCGAAGACCACCACGATGAAGCAGCGTCGAGAGGAGGTGGAGAAGGCAACAGCGGGGAGGGCGAACAACGGCAGAGGTTCTGGGACGGCGTCCAGGAGGACGCTCAGAAGCCCATCAGTAGGGCGGAGAGAAGGCGGCGTATCAAGGCTGAGATTGCGCGCATGTCGCAGGGCGAGTCGCCGGTTTATTACCAGCGGCGGTTGTGGTGATATTCCCGGGCCGTCTCTGTACGGCGGGCGTTGCGGCTGCTTGTTCTGGTAAGAAGAGGGTTGTTGGGACTGCATGGGGCTGGGCTGTTGACGTGGGATCGGTGTTGAGTGCACATATGATTGGATTCATTGGTTGTATATACGGGACGGGGAGGCTTGGGTTCGGGGTGGTCTTTGACGATACATGAGGCTCGGGTTTGGGTAACTTGGCCTTGGGAATGGCGTTCCGGTTGGAGTCAGGATTATTGTACAAAGATGAGCATTGGGTACAACTCTTATGGGATATATAGGCGACAAGGGACACCAATACCACCAGGCGTGGAAAGGGCCATGAGAGTGTGTTCGACTTGGAAAATCTGGCGATCCAGTCTCTCAACTCTTGCCACACCGTCATATGCCTTTAGCGACATGGCATTGTCCTGCCACTATACTCAGACAAGTTCATTGTAGGCATGACTATCTCAAAGTGTTTCTATCACTCAAGCATCACCTGGACTTCTCAATGTAACCTGAAGACTATGAGGCTGTCAACCATGTCTCACTCGAGGGTCGCGGATGACATGTTTTCCTGATAAGGGATCAAGGTATTCAGCTCACCAGACTCGGCACGGCTCCGATGCTTTAGCCGAGTCGCGAAGATGGATTCTTTGCTCTTCTTATTTTACACAACATAGTGTCACGTTGTTTAGTTTATTTCGTTATGGGCTCTAGTGTCCAGCCCCCCGCAGGCGGTGGACACTCTCCCAACGTGTGATGGCCTGTGTGGACTAGAACCATCTTCTACCGGAGAATGAAGGGAGTTGAACTAAATCCCACCGTTTACACACGACATAATCTGCCCAAAGCGGCTATCCCCTCCAGAAGCGGCCTTGGCCCGGCATCTGATAGGCTCTGGAGAATGAGCACAGACCTGGGGCATCTGAGGGTCTGAAGGGATAAGTCAAATTCGTTTATCATCGGTTTGGTGTCCGCTGGACCAGTAGAAAGGAGGCCTCCTTGGCCTTTTATATTGGTGTGCAGAAGGCTACTGCAGGCTTCGAATATCGACTGCATGTCCAATGTTCTCTATGTGTGTTCTTCGTGTGTTCGTTCAGGCCAAGTTTCTTGGCCGGCCGGAAGGGATGGAAGTGTGGCAGTCTATCATGATAGTGCTTGCGGGCCGAGATGGACGGCGTAGCTGGACGGCGTAATCCAGATCAACGTCGACGTCAAACTCAAGGTTCGAACCTCGAACAGCATCCGGCGTTAAGCTCATACTATTACGTTGTTCTTCAAAAATAGGCATGGAATACCCATGCAGGCACGGATGTCTCGGTTGGTGGGAACTGAAGAAAAGATTCCGTCCTCGTTTGGATCTTATATCTTGTGTAATGTGATGATCATATCATCAGCATCTACGTGTATCCACCCCGCACCGGGCATGGCTGTGCGCTGTCGAACAGGTTTCGCAGCGGGCCAATATGCGACGCTAGCCAGGCGACACGACCTTATGCAGGTCCAGTCTCGTAAGAAGTGCGACTATATCGTGTCTGGTAGGGAAGCTGGGAAGTTGGCAGGTTGGCTGGTTGGACGAGTCTACTGCACCTAAGATGTGTAAGGTATATTTCGGTCTCTCTCGTCAGCTAGTGGTTCTGAGAGTGTCAGCCTAAAGTCATCGACTGGCAAGATGAACCAACAACACGTTTCCAACACAGACGACAACCGAAGGTATTCTCGTCAAAACTTCAGTTCAGACTCGTTCCTTCCAAGTTCCAACCAGCCGATGTTGGAGGCCGTAATAGGGGGACCGTGACATGGATACCCCGCTGCCCGCTGCCCGCTGCCCGCTGCGCCGCGATAACGCCAGACCGATAAACCCCGCTGTTGGTCTATTATCCTAGTCTAGATCCGAGAATGGATATTCCATGTCCTCTCCATCCCTCCTCCACCATCACCAACCTCGGGCTTATTATTATTACTCTTGGTGACTGGACTGCAGTCAAGCGTCGGGTTAGGGCAGGTCTGAGGTGAGGTTTCCCTACCAGCCCCTCGCCTTTCCAGCTCCGTGGTGACCGAGGACGGCTATCGGCTATCAGATGGATATTCCCAAGACGCCAAGTGACGCAGCCGGTCCCATTCGCATATCCATTCATGACGGCCACGATAAGGTAACAAGACCGAGACGAAAAGACCGCATTCGCAGCTGGAGAGCCCAGCCTTGTTGCCAAGTGCCAAGAGAGGCAACTCGGGACCCTATCCAGTCCTATCTATCGACTGCAGCTGGTGAGACCAGCTGCAGTCAGACACGAGCCAGTAATACCTATGCCTGGGCACATACATGTAGGTGGTGGTTGTCTCGTTCTTGTTGTTCATGTTCTTTCCGGTCACACACTCTCCGTTTCATCGTTTCCCGCTATTGTATTGTTTTGTGGCTGTCTCGCTCTCCCACCATCGCCCTCGTTGCCCTCCCTGTCCCAGCAGGCACATACATCCATGATCCGTACGCCTCTCGTCTGCAACCCTCTGCCAACGCTCACGTGGGCATACTTCTGCCGGATCTGCTACGTCTCCAAGGTTTCTCTAGCCTAGCAGTACAGTCCTCAAGCTGAGGTATCCCGGCCGAAGAGTGCCTGAGTTTGGGGCCGTGTGTCACTGTGAACACAGCACTTACAAGACGACCCCAACTTGCCTACACTACCCGTCATCTGATTAGCTGCTGGCTTGGTAGAGGGTGAACCTTCGGTTGCCGCCCATAGCTGACCCGACCATACTACCTGCACCACCCCGGCTTTTTCCTACCTACCAACGACTTGAGTTGGAGTCGTGTCGAGTTAGAGAGATTCCGAGCGTGTCTGCACGTACTTGATTGCCTGCCGATGCGATAATCGTATCGTGTTAGCCCGTCTGTTCTGAGTGTTGCCATTCACGATTCTTCCTTGGTTTCACGTTGACGAATTATTATATCACTTAGTGCTACGCAATCCCGAGCAGTGATAGAGGCACAAGAGCAGCAGGGTGTCATTCAAATCGGACCTCTCCCTCTTCGTCGAAACTCGACGTTGAGGTCTTCTACTTGTCGTCAACCCATATCCCACATCAACGCCGATATCATGACTGCGACGGCTATCCACCACGGGCCGACCCGCCTGGAGCGACTCAGCGCCGATGACTTCGAGACAGCGTCTGTCCGCTCAGCGGCACCGTCTTACAGTAAGGCCTCCCGAACCCCATTCCCGAACCCACGAGTCCAGAAACATAACTGCACCCATGACTAGATAGGCACACAAGGCTGACAATCCACCTCCCACCAGTCTCCGAAGCGCCCTCCTACCACTCGACACTCCCGCCCCACGAGAGCGCACCCGCCTACACACCCGCGACGGCTCCAGCATACACAACGCAGCCGCAGCAAACCTCCTCGTCGACCCCGACCCCGCGCCAGTCCTCAACCATGCTCCCGCCGGCAGCCGCACCCATGAGCTCGACCTTCACACCAGGCGCCGGCCTCCCACGCCTCCCATCGCCGCGGCGACGCGCGAGCGAGCTGCCGCAGCTAAGCCAATTCCGCCTCCCCACGTCGTGGGCGAGCTCGAGCTCCGGCAACCCGCAGGCGCGGCACTACCAGAGCGTCGCGAACCGACGTGCGGCGGCCGCCGTGGCGCACGCCGCGAGCACACAGTCGTTATTGATAGCGGCGCGGGACGACGTCGTGAACGCGGCGAGCACAGCTGATGATGACGGTCGCGTGAGGCCGCTGGAAGACCCGTATCTGGTGGGCGAGGTGGCGGCGGCAAGGGCGCGGCGCGAGAGGCTCGCGCGCCAGAACGGGGACGATATTTTGATCCGGGAGGATATGCGATGGGACTGGTTTCTTAGTAAGTTTACCCCCCTTTCCTCGTATATCTGTGGTTATGTTTGCTTGCCTTTGAATGAGCTGCATCCGGTCGGACGCTGTGTGCGTGCGGGTAAGGGAATACGTGCTGACGTGATCTCGTGATACGTATAGGTCAGATGAACGACGCCCAAGAACGCGAGCGCAGCTGGGCCAACTTCCGCCAAAGTTACGAGTCTCGTGGCCGATCGAAGTTGGCCCGTCGCTTTTGGCGATAGGGTTGTCCAAAGCGGCCGAGCTGGCTCTCTGCTTCCCGGCCGTAGGACCCGGATGCGATCACAGGAGCGACTTGCCTGAATTGGACTCCTGCGACGGGTGGATGTACATCACCCCTGTCCCCTCACCCCGTTACCCTTTTTCCCCTACTTCTTATTCCTTCTCCTCACCCTCACTTCTCCAGGACTCTTCCTCTAGTAAGTTGAAGCTCCTGAAGTCTTTCACCGTTAGCAGGAGACTCTTCATTCTGCGGCATTCGGCGGTACTGTCTGTTTTCACGGCGTTTGCTTAGAGACAATATAGACGGGCATTGGCGGACTTCTCCTTCCTCAGCATGAGATTGGCACGTAGGACGTATCTAGGAAGGGAGCCGTATGACTGGATGACTGGATGGAAGGATGAGGATATGAGATATGTCTGATGGGAAATTATGTCCTCTTGTATTCCTTTAGGCTTTGGTAGCTTTTCTCGTTATAGCAGCCAATTTGACGCGAATTTGAGAAGTTCCGCACGTTCATATGCCTGCTACCTCTGGTTCTGCATCCGTGACGGACGTACACTGGCATGCCCAATGGCTTTCCGTTTGATGCAAAATGTTTGATCTTGAGCTGCTGCTCTGCAAGGACGATCGAAGACGACCAGCCTGCCAACCGTCAACAACTTCTAAAACCTGCCGTATTTCTACATTACCCCGAGTGAACGCCGTCGAAAATGCAAGTTATCGATTACACGTTGCTCCTCTTATAGACCGCTAGAAAGCCCACCCTGCATGGTTTCTTCCATATGAACACTCAACACTGTTTCGTGTGTGAATCTGACGAGTGGTAGTCATGGCATCAGGGCCATAATATCGATTTAACCTCTGCTCTTGGTGTTGAGGATCAGCGCGACAATGAGACTGCGTGATCAGGTAGTTAGTGGACGATCCGCAAACAAGGCTTGGAGACAGTGGCTGCTGAAGGGACTTGCTTACCCGTAGAGACCCAGCACCTCGCCGAAGATAAGAATCAAAACCATGCCGACGAAGACCCTCGACTGGTCCATGAATGCCCGGACGCCCTTGTCGCCCACGATTCCGATGCAGTAGCCGGCCGCCAGGCCTGTCATTCCGACCGATATTCCGCAGGCTAGATGCATAAAGCCGCTGTTTCTTGGGTGTTAGTACTGTATTCATGCCTTCCTGATCTGAACTTGGTTTGGTTTGGTTTGGTGAAGGAGAGAGATGGTGGTCGTGTATTGTGTGTGTATGTGTGGCAGTCGAGACGAGACGTACTTGAACAAGCTGTAGCTCTGCGTTGTCGGCGGCGCCATGTCCTCGGCGATCAGGACGGCGATGACGAGCGAGTAGACGGCGATGATTCCGGACATGACCACGGGGATCAGGCACTATTTTTGGGGGTAGATGACTTTAGTATCTGCTCTGCAATGGTCTGTCTGTATTGGATCGCACGAACCTTCATGATCAGGTCGGGCCTGAAGGTACCGACTCCTGCGATACCTATCCCTGACTTCGCTGTTCCGTACGCAGCTCCCATGCCTGCGTTTCTTGTTAGTATGCCGCTCATCGTTTGTTCGGGTTCTGGGTGGTGGGTGTTCGTACTGCCGAATATCATCGCTGCTGCGATGCCAGCCTGGGAGTTGAGTATCGTCAGTACATATGCCCTGCTGGCTGGGTAGGTAGGTAGGCAGCTTCGAGGGCTGGACCCGCGGGAACGAGCTTACCATGCCAATGAACGGCGCGAACTTGGGTGCGATCTCCGATTCCGCCATCTTGAAGACTTCTTCTCTATGCGAGATGGACGGCACGGAAGAGATTCGAGGGAGGTCGTGTTGAGCGGGCGGGTGGGCGGATACCACGGTTTGGTTGATCGTGGGATTGATTCACTACTGAAGCTTTGGCGGCGAGTGCTGGCGAATGGTTCGCATGGTTGAAGCTGCCTTGCATCAGAGCAACGGGGGTGGTAGGGCACGTGACGCTGATATTATGTAAGTGGGCTTTTCGTCGGCGTTTTTGGCATCACTGGCGCCGTCGGGTCGGGTGTGTTCGTGTCAGTCATCTTCCCCTTTCATACCAATATGGACAAATCCATGGGTGAGAGAAAGCAATCAAGACCACACAGAGGAAGCCAGGAATCCCTATCCAATGAACTCAAAAACGTTCCATGATAATGAATATGCCTTAAGATGAATAGATTATACAACACTCTTCAGCTCTCTACAAACGCAACCCCTGAATTCATAACGACTTGATCTGACTTATAGGAGGTGACTTCGCGAAGTATGCTTGAGACACAAAAGGGAAGAAGTTGAAAATCGGCATTTGATCATGGTGTTATGGATATAGATCCGCGAAAGCCCAAGTACTACTGATCATATATAGAATATGAGCCCTGAGGTGAACGAAGGACTGGACTCATAAGCCCAATCACTGGTGAAAAGGCCCTTGCAAGTTGCAGGAGGGTCGGAATATTGTGCCCGCAAGAGTCACATTGTGTGGATGAGAACAATCAGTCATCGGGCCTTCACCCCGACAGTCACTGCTATTAAGATAAGATAGCTACATGTAGTCGTTCAATGTTGTAGTTGTTGTAGTTATTGTAGTTATTGCACCGCCACTACAGAGTGAGTATGCAGTGGCGGCACACTGGACCTATAGAAACCCCACAGTGGACATATCCAATCGGACCCGGCAACAGGCCGAGCTCCCTCTGCTGACTGCAATCCCGTCGGCAGGTCTGCCCTGGCACTTGTTCTGGCTGTTGGGCGTCTGGCCACCGTCCCTTCCAGCCAATGGTCCTTAGGCTTGCTTCTCTGATCACGGGCATTGATCACCTTACGAATTATTACGCTAGGCTTGTCTGCACCGACTGATCATATCGACAGTTGACTTTCAGGTCCTTCCAGTCCAACCTCCAACCTCCAACCAACCGCTACCGACCCGATCTCCACGACTCTCCACGACGCTTCTCATCATTGCACCGCCCGCGGCTCTTCGCTTCAGCCTCTATTCGACGTTACTCGCGACATCGATTCCCACCCTCGAACCCGCGGGAGCAGCCATCCAGGCTAGGATATCCTGGGGGGACAGGAAGCACAGGAGGCCGAGGGAGAGCATCAATACCGCTCGCACAATTCCGGCGGTCGACCACGACGGTCAATCCGTCGTCAGTGTCGACACCAACCGACATCGCCACCATCCTCTGTTGACGACCTGGTCTCTCAGAGGTCTAGGCTTGCGGCCGCCTAGGCTCTGCACGAGTAAGTCATCAGTCGCCTCTGCCTCTAACATAATCTCTCCTGGTCGTGCGCCGTTCAACGGCATCTTGTGTGAGCATGGAGTGCCCGTGTGCAACTGGATGCTGGCAACGCCGATATGGATATGATGCCGAGGGCTACGCCAAGTCGCCTTTGAGGGTACCGCTGACATCCGTATCCCTTTCGTCTAGGACGACAACATGGCCGATTACCAGTACGACCAACGGTACGGTCAGCCCCGATACGGTCCGTCGTCCAACAACCAGCGAGATGCCGCCTTCTCAAACATCTTCGGCTCCAACCCGCCTCCCGGCCGCGCAGGGACCATGACGTCTTCGTCTCCGAGTATGACACCTTCGCAGGATGGAAGGACACAAGCCATGTCTAGCATGTCTAGCATCCCGCCCGAGATACAAAGGCGACCTCCTCCTCGGCCTCAGCGGGCTGGAGGATACGAAGAGCCGCCAGCCGCCCGAACCCGAACGATGGACACGAGCATAGCCAATGGCTACTACCAAAACCAACGGAACCCGTCTGGGGGATATCCTCCTCAGCAACGAGATCCCTATGCGAGACCGTCTCCGGGTCCTGACCGAAGACCATATCCTGGCCCTCCGCAAGGTGCTCCGCAACAAGCGCCGCCTCGTTTGGATTCTAGAGGACCACCACCGCAAGGATACCCTCCACGAAACCCAGCTCCAAGGTTTAATTCAGGTCCACAGCCCGGATCCGGAGCTGCACTCCGCGACGACCCTTACCGCTCGCAATCTCTCGCCAGCATACCGAGGCAACCGATCTATCAGCCGCCCTCTGCTTCATATCAGGGGTCTCCCAACGCTTTTCGCCATACACCAACCAACACTTCCATGGCCAGAACTACGGCTCAGGGTCGGGTAGTGCCCGAACGTCATGACGACCGCTCCATGTCCATGACTGGCTACCAGCCGGAACGCGACGCCCACCAGACAATGAGCGGTCGTATCATCCCTAACCGAAACAGGGCTCCCTCGAACGAGACACCAACAATGAATGGGAATGGACTCCCTGGGTATAACGGGTACAACCACGCGCCAGGTAGCGCGACAAGGACAATGAGCATGGCATCATCGACTGCAGCCGGGGATCACAGCCGTACCATGTCAATGGCTAGTACCATTGTGCCGGAGACCTCTGAGCAGGCACGACAGCAGCTGGTGCACCGACCTTCGATATCAGCAAAATCTATCGACGGTGACCGTCCCCCTACCGCCAAGATACGAGCGCCTCTAGTTTACCCCGCCCTTCTCTCCCGGGTCGCCGAGTGTTTCCGACAGAAGATCATTACCGGCGAACGGACGAAGAACGAGTTGACGTACAAAAATGCATTCAGTGGTTCTGAAGCTGTTGACGTTCTTTCGTACATCATCAGAACAACTGACAGGAACCTGGCCCTGCTGCTGGGTCGCGCGCTCGACGCCCAGAAGTTCTTTCACGATGTCACCTACGAACACCGCTTGCGAGATTCGACGGCCGAGATGTATCAGTTCAGGGAGACGCTTATGGATGAGCCGGAAGATAAAACTCCCGTCAATGGTGTCTTCGTGCTGCTGTCCGAATGCTACTCGCCAACTTGCACCAGGGACCAGCTCTGCTATTCTATAGCTTGCCCTCGTAGACTGGAGCAGGTATCGCGCTTGAACCTCAAACCGCAGGTGGGTCTGAGGAAAGACCAAGACGCGATTATGAACGACGATGTCGATCAGACGGATGAGCAGAAACTCTGGATCAACACAGTTCCCAAGGAGATTGCCGAGAGTGTCAGTGAGAAGGAGAAGAAGAAGCAAGAGGTAGTCTCTGAGATCTGCTACACCGAGAGGGACTTTGTGAAGGATCTGGAGTACCTCCGAGATTTCTGGATCTTGCCCCTGCGGTCGAAGGGTTCGCCTATTCCTGCTCCCCGGAGAGATCGGGTTGTCCAGAATATATTCAGCAACATCATCGACCACCCCAGCATCCATTCGGTCAGTGCTAGGTTTGCCAAGGCGTTGACCGAGAGGCAACAGAGGCATCCTGTTGTGCGGAATATCGGTGACATTTTCCTGGAGATTGTGCCGCAGTTCGAGCCGTTCATATTATATGGATCCAAGCAGCTGGAGGCCAAATTCGAGTTTGAGAACGAGCGGTCGAGCAATGCATACTTCTCCAAATTTGTGGATGAGATCGAGCGAAGGAAAGAGTCAAGGAAGCTTGAGTTGAACGGTTATCTGACCAAACCTACGACAAGATTGGCGCGTTATCCTTTGCTTTTGGAGAACGTGCTGAAATACACTGAGGACGGTAACCCGGACAAGGAAGACATTCCGAAGGTGCTCGTCATGATTCGCGACCTCCTGAGCAGGGTCAATGCCGAATCTGGAAAAGCCGAGAACCGTTTCAACCTACGTCGCCTGCACGAGCAGCTACGGTTCCGTCCTGCCGATCGCGTGGACCTCAAGCTCACGGAAGATGGGAGAGAGCTCGTCTTCAAAACTCAGTTCAAAAAGACTCCTACAGATCCTAACGACATTACGGCTTTCTTGTTCGATCATGCTGTACTACTCGTGCGGATTAAACAAGCCGGCAAGGGAGAGGAGGTGAAGGCATACAGAAGGGTAAGTCGTGTCGATTTTCCGAACTCATCTCGCTATATACTAACTTGCCGTCTCTCAGCCGATACCCTTGGAGTTACTGTCCATCAAAGAAATGGACGAAGTCATTCCTCAGACAGGGGTGAAACGTGCTTCTTCAAACCTGCCGTTCCGCGGTAATAATTCGGACAAAAAGACAGCCGAAGGTTGGCCGATTACTTTCCGGCACCTGGGCAAGAACTACTACGAACAGGTGCTATATGCTTCAAATCAGACGGCTAGGAAGAAGTGGCTCGAATTCATCGATGCCGCTCAAAATCGTCTTCGATCCAGAGCTGATTTCTTCACCATCAGCAATGTGTCCTCAAATTTCTTCCAAACCGGCAACTTGGTGAACGCCGTGACACCCTTTGGTATGGACCACATGTCCCGTTTGTAATGGTCCCAGCACTAACATGTCATAGATGGTGGTCGGAAACTCATATATGCAACCGATCATGGTATATACGTTTCGGACCGGAAGGCCAAGGACCAGCCACCGAAGCGTGTCATTGAGGCACAGCATGTGACACAGGTTGACGTATTGGAAGAATATGGTCTCTTGCTTGTCCTTTCCAACAAGTCTCTCCAGTCATACCCGATAGCAGCCCTGGACCCGAACGAGCCCGCTATGTCGAAACGTCCTAAGAAGATTCAAAGCAACTGCAACTTCTTCAAGACGGGTATCTGCCTAGGGAGGCACTTGGTGTGTTGCGTCAAATCGAGCGCGCTTTCGACCACGATCAAGGTTTACGAGCCCAATGACTCCATGAGTAAGGGCAAGAAACAGAAGGGATTCGGCAAGATGTTCAATGCAGGCCAGGATGAGCTCAAGGCGTTTAAGGAGTTCTACATCCCGACCGAATCCTCGTCTGTCCACTTCCTCAAGAGTAAACTTTGCGTGGCTTGTGCTAGAGGCTTCGAAGTCGTCTCGCTAGAAACGCTAGAAACACAATCATTGCTGGACCAGGCCGACACGTCGCTGGACTTTGTTGCGAGGAAGGAGGGCGTCAAGCCGGTACACATTGAACGTCTCAACGGCGAATTCCTCCTCAACTACACCGACTTCTCGTTCTTTGTCAATAGAAACGGCTGGAGAGCAAGACCAGAATGGCGCATCGATTGGGAGGGTACGCCACAGAGTTTTGCCCTCTCGTACCCCTGGATCTTGGCGTTTGAGCCAAACTTCGTCGAGCTCAGAAACATCGAGAACGGTGCTATTCACATTGTTCCCCACAAGAACATCAGGATGTTGCACAGCAGCACGCACGAGGTAAGTTCACACCACCAATGGAAAACCACAGGTTTTAGTGGTACTAATGTTGCGTAGATCCTATTTGCATACGAGGACGAAAACGGCCAAGATATCGTTGCCGCCATCGATTTCTGGAAGAATAATAGGAAGTCCGAGATAATGGGGCAATGAGTAGCACTTGGCCGTACCTCTCGTAAAGTGGAGTAGAATGCGACCTTCCCGATTTCCGTCGTCTCTTGACGGCGACAGCGGCCGCTCTGGTCATCGATATAAGTTCCTTGTAGGACCAGAGGATGCTGGATACCTGAAGCATGCGATCACTGCACCGGGGCGGGCATTGTGTCATCAGTCTCGCCCCTAGTTTCACTTTCGAAATCGCGTTTTAGCGCCATGTTTTTGGGGAAGAATGCCTATCCATCCTCAATAGCGAGGAATGACCCTGCATTCATCGAGCTCCTACCTAGATCGGTAGGCATTCCCGCAGACGTGGTGGTACTCGCGGGAGAGACAGCAGTCTCGAATCGAGTCCACACTGGATAGACGTCTTCGGGGCTGTGAGGCAGGTAGTCGCGCCGCAGAACAAGAGGCGAAAGGGGTAGCAGGGCATTTGAAGCTATGGAGTGCGGGCGTGTCTAGACTTGTAGGAAATGTTACCAGCTCCGAGGACCGTGAAAGCATGCCTACCTTCCTCATCTCGATTGCTTGAATGATACAGTCACCCCCCATAAGTCTCCGTCCGGCATCCTCTGATCAAGAAGAGTATACCAATGCTAGGTACGTACAGATCGGATAAACACCCTGGTATAAGCAGTATCCAAAAGGCCATCTCCGATGCTTATTATATAGTGGTTATCCCGTTATACTGAATCTATCCCTCGCTTGCTGAACGAGCGGTGCACCGTGCTAGCCTTGCCCCTGTACCCTGGTGATGAGAATGGGATGTCGATTTCAGGGATTGTTGAGGGGGTGACTCATTATTCCGGAGAGTTTGCCCGGCCCCCACTGACTGTGACCACACAGCCAGCCAGCCCTACCACCTCCACAAGCCGCACGATCCGCGCACTCTATAATGCCGCAAAAACTCCAAACTTGCATCAACAGGTCGCTTAGCTCAGTTGGTTAGAGCGTGGTGCTAATATTCTATATCTGGATAACGCCAAGGTCGCGAGTTCGACCCTCGTAGTGACCAGTCTATTATTTTTGTCTATTTGTTCTGCCTTTGAGGATCTCCTGAATTCCCGGGACCTCTGTCGCGGGCGGGGCCGGATGTGGTTTGGGAGCCCGGCCGATTGAACCTACTTTTTGCAGGAACGAGGTCTCGAACCTGTCAAAAGTACCCGCGACTGCCACTTTTCTCCCCCGGCCGCCCGCACCTCTCTTCCCTCACTCCCCCTTCATTTTGGATGTCTACCTAAGATTATCTGAATAATAATGTTCGAACCGCCCGAGTTTGCAAGCATTTTGCAGCTGGATCTGCTGCTACACCACAACATTACCGCAGCGTATTAGCTTAGCTCTCTAGATGAACGAGGTCGATGCGGTGATATGGTCTACAAGAGCGACGACATCCATCGTACAGTAGGTACTGCAGGCTCTCTTCTACGCGTAAACAAGGTGATTAATAATCGGTCGTCAGCCGCTGTCACACCGGATAATCCAACCAAGACTCCAAGATACCGTCGGTCATTCGACCGATGCATACTGTATACTAAGGTCCCATACAGCCGTGACAAGGCCACGTTCACTACAAAGCGATACGCTCACTAAGAAAGCTTGCTTACGGTCTACAGTTTGCTTCGGCGCATTGGCAGGCCAAGGAAAGCCAACGGCTCGAATGTCGTGTCCGTTCGTGATGACGATGAGAAAATATGATTATGTTATTTTGGGAGTTTGGGATATATGAAAGCGGTCTCGACAGTCTCGTCTGGTAGTGAATCACCCGATCCGCAGTTCATTGGTAACTGGTTGCGGTAGGTGGCTTGTATCGCCCAAGGGTTAGCGCCGAGTGCGACGGCTGTGTACGGACCTGGGGGTTGTCAGTCGGGCTTCGTTCGGCATGGCAAACCACTGCCAGCCGATGAAGTTGAGTCCTCTTCCTCGAGGGAATGCATAAGGCATCACAGACGGCCCTGTCCTTGCGTCTCGATCTCCCGCACTGGCGAACCTCTGCGTGCGGCCATGAATCCCTGGAATCGGAACACCATACCGTGATATCATGGCCGCATTCGCAGGGGACCCAAGCTGAGCAGGTACGGGCGTGGCATCTAGGCGTCAAATCGCGCAGATGCTTCAATATGGAGCCGCTCACTTGAAAATCAGACGGAGAGTGATTGCTACATACATAGTCATTCTCACGTAAACTACGCGGCTTGAACAGGCACTTGCGCATACTACGGTAGGAGCTCCAATCGACCTCGTGCTCGAGACAGAGCGCGGCTTCTAAGCTGTCCGGCGGCGCGTCTTTGCTTGTACGGCCATGGATACTTTCACCTTGGTCAAGCAATATCAGCAGCAAGACTCTCAAGAGCCGCGGGCAGCCCTGCCACAACACGGGCCTTGATTTGCTTTGTTCTCGCTTTGGGGTAGGGCAGTAGCGAGAAAGCGTGAAGCCTCTTGGGGATGATTGACTTGCTGGTTGGATGGGTTCTGCTTCTCATTGTCTGTTTTGCTAATAAGATCTGGCAGGGACAAGGAGCTCTGGTAGGACTTCGACTGTTGAAGATTCGGGGTGTCATAGTTGGCTGCATCTACCTCTTCTTGTAAGCTGGACCGTTCTGTGCCCATGCCCATTGGCCGACCCCTTTGTGCTCTCTCTAGCCTGTATGGATTGTACTTCGTACTTGTGTATCCTTACCTCTTTTCAGGCAGCGGAATCCGGACAGTCCTCATTATAAGTGCTCGGCAATCAGGGGGTCCAGGTGCCGCCGTGAGGCCGCCACGTTGATGGCGACGTCGTCGCGGACGGTTTGGTGCCGCCTTTAGTCCATATGCCGGGCGCCACGACGGGAACAGCGATTAGGCCGGCTTGATCATGCTATCAGTGCCTGTTTTTAGAGACATTCATTCATTGCTTCTTGCTACAGTGTAATGCCGGTCTTGCAACTCGACAACATACTACACCAACATACCCCTAGACTGACAGGAGAACACAGGTATGTGGAGACCAACAAGCAAGCAAGACTTCTCCGCAATCGGTCCTGTCCCAAAGTTTGGCTGCGCCGGTCGAAAGTCTACTCCCCATATAACATGTCATGTCTTGCAACCTCAATCCAACGGCTTCAACTCTTTTACTTCTTAATCATCTGCCGCCTGGTGCTCGATTCGAATCTCCCCCTTAGTAAGTGGTGATGTTCTATGTATTTCATCATGACCTCCTCCATCGAGGGGAGTAACAGCCGAGTTGGTTCTATTGGAGTCGACTCCGGGGCTTTCAGCTCATCGATGACGATGTGATATGGCACTGCATTGCTGGTTTGCTGATTGTGCTTGCGAGCTCAACGCCTGGGGGACCCGACTACAGTAGGTAGTCAGTACGTCTTTGCCATTGCTTCGATTGGCAGCCAGCCTGTGCCTTGTTCCCCTTGCATGCCGTTTATTAGACTGAGGCTGCAAAACGTCCTATGTCATTCGCTACACCCCAGGTACATTGGTGAGATGAGAACCTGACCAAACTGTCGTACATTGTGATGATGAATTTGTTTGAACTGGTTGAATCTATGAGATGCCCTTCTTGACCGTCATCGTGCATGTCTAGGTACCGATGGTCTATCAAAAGCGGCAAGCAAGCACAGCGTCCGCTGACACACACCTTCAGATGAACAAGAGAGGGATAGATAGCCGTCGGTACCCGCCTGTCATGTCAACGATACCGTAGACTCTCTCTCACGAGAACAGTCCGAGGTTCCAGACCTCGTCCATAATGCGTACCATCTTATTTGTGTCACAAGGCCAACCATAGGGAGGGGGGGGGGGTAAATAGTATGTTGTTCTGCAGAGAGGTGCAGTACTATCTAGGCGCGGCGGCCATGTATATGTACATGTATGATCCCTTTGTTCCCGGGATGCTTCCTGACAATTTGTTTATCCGCCCGCCCCTCTCACTCATGGCGTACGTACGTCTTGGAGATACTGGTCCGTAATGATGGGTAAGTGATGATTGACCGGTGATGTAAGACTGAGTAGATGACTGTATACCTGAGTGAAGATACCTTACCGCCGTAACCCAGTTATAAGGAGTTGCAACAATTCCCCTAGTTTATCTAGACGTACAATACCAAAGAGCCGTATACCTGCCGTATGCTTGCGGTTCACATTTAGAGCATCTCCTGCTTGATAGGATTGGGCGGCTCCTTTTTAGCACCTTTTATTCTTCTGCGCCGCTTATTTAAATCAAGCCGCATATATTCTTTCCACTTTGTTATAAGCAGTTATTAAAAAACGCACGAGAATTATTGTTACTCCTTTTAGATTAAGTATGAAACTGACCGTTTTTATACCGCTTGTTTTAACACTGTAACGACGTTAATGTAGATAGATGGTGTTGTGGGTACGTACTCCCAACTCGGTTCACATTGCCCCGTCTGCCCTATGTATGGTGTAGTAGTGTCGCCTAGGAGAGGGACCCGAATGCGACCCGGACGCATGAATAGCATCACCATCTCATGGGCGGAGGTCTCGGCTCGGACACGACACACTCCAGACATGCCTAGTTTGCGACCTGGTCTGACAGACACAAACACGTCGAAGGGTGATGCAGCATTGTAATGCAATGACCGCGAGGTGAGCGTGTGAGGTCAACGCCAAACTTCCCACAGGTTTGGGCACTCGCGAAACGCTCGAATTACGACCTGTCACAGCGTCCTAGGCGAGATTCGTCCCATGTTTTCCAGTACGGGTAATAACTGCATGTGATTATGTGTCTGTCTACCCACTCATCCAGGCCGTATGGCGCAATGGTCAAATGCGCCTGGTTATGTTCTCGTTTGTGCGGTGGGCGACGAGAACAAGTGGGTTCGAATCCTGCTATGGCCCCCTTTCTGACCCGGCTTGTGCGAGTCAATAACCAGCACACGACAGTGGAGAGGCCCCATTTTATCGCAGAGCCCGGTAGCCAAGCAGCTTGTCTCCACAATACCCACTCCTGCGAGGTTTTCCCCCTTGTGGTTTCCCTCGCCAGCAGATAACAAACACCTACTCCACCCACCAATGCGACATATATCGAACGGCTACTGGAACGATATGTACACCAGAGAACTGAGGTTCACTGGGTCGCTTTGTCACTAGATAGGAGGTTTTTCTGACGGAATCGTGCTTGGGTATTGACTAAAACCATCTGAACACTCCAGATTGGTACCGCTACAGCGAGGATAGGCTCGTGCGCGGATCTGAATGTATCTAATTTGACACCTCTACAACCTTGCGATGCAATGGCTCTGGGAGGCGTGGTTTGCACTACTGAGGAGCTACCCCCCACGTTAAATACAAAACAAACAAAACAAACAAACATACCCACTCATCCACCTTGTTAAGGTGTGGCCATATGTACCGTAGACAGGCAAACGGACCAAGCCATTATGATACCGGTTACGCCATCGGCCGGCTCGGACGACTCCCTACCCAAGCTTCGGCCAGTCTGGGTAGGACCCAAACTCTAAACAAAAAGACCCCGAAACCCAAAACCCAAACCAGGTGTCCAGACTCCCTCTCTTTACCTGATTATGACCTCAACAAGGGTCCTCGCCGAGCCAAACAACGTTCTGACCGGCCCTCCCGGAATGCCGGGAAAAACAAGCTCACACCACCACTCTTGATTTAAGACTCGGGTCGGCATTTCGCTCGCTGGAAAACAGGACAGCCCTGACGAGTAGTGGGATCGGGTCAGGTACCATCGGTGCTTTTTGCGTTTTGTTGGTTGCTGGCTTGGTTTGCGTCGCTTGATGCTATTTTTACCTGCCGCACATGCATACTCGGTCCCCACGATCAGGATAAAGCGCCGATCCGATTGACCGACGAGCGAACTTGTTTGATACACGCAATAGTTACTGTACGTTGAGAAGTCTAGCCGATACGGTCTCTCACATGCATACGCACATCGACCAGTCCACATATGTCCCTTGCATGCGTCAGACAGAGCAATCAAGGACACGCAAGGGCAGCTAGTAGAGGTAGGGGTGGAGTGTGTGGTACGAGATCTATGTCCATGCTTACCTATTGGTGTGTGCCTGAAGACCATGCTTTTGGTATATAAGACCCCTTCCCCCGGTTTCGATCCGGAGGGCTCATGTGGTGTGTATGCTCATCATCTGTGCTCGTCTTTAAGATCTCACATCCATCACCTCATTAGTCGTCATTAGTCCAGAACTTGGTATATGTTATAGAGAACCTCTTAGCCTTGCCCATTGACCTAACATCCTACTTGGAATTCAAATCTTCCTGCTTCGTTGTTCGTCGCCGCAACTCATCACATCACGTCTCATTCCATCGCGAAGATGCATTGCTATTGTGCAAACTACTACGTGAGTCTTCCGACGCAGCATCCTCTTTCTCAAGGGCCATACATGCTGACAGCATCACCAGGGCGCCGTCAACTGCCACAATAAAGTCACACAGTTTGGCGACAGATGCAGACTATGCACGGTATGCCTCGTCCGCCCTACCCCTTCTTTCCCCACCGCGTCCCCAGATGCACAGAGCAGCAGCAACTAAGACCGATACAACTAACACCCCAAAAGATCATGAACGAGGGCAATTCCGCCAGTTTCAAGCTCTCTAGGCACCAGCAACGTCAAGATCAGGATGAGGATCAGGGTCAGGAACAAGACCACCAACAGCGGCAGTCTTACTTAGACGGCGACGAGTGCTACCGCAGACACTCAGGGAGCGACTCGAGCAGCAGCCACGAGAGCTACCGGGGGTCCGGCCGCGGGACCGGAAGGCCATGCGGGACGCGAGGCGGAGGATCTAACTCTTGAGCCAAGCAAGCCGAGGCGAAGTAACTCGTTTGGGGCAGGCGGGAAACATTGATACATACGACGAACACGTGTTGAAACTACGAAAGAATGAAGCGCTAGACGGGATCCGACGACAAAGGGAATGTGCGGATACGAAATGAAAACGGCGTCGCTTGATGGGAGTTGACGAGACAACAACATGAACAAAGAACCAGCATGAATAGGTATGCTCCGGTTATGAATTGGAGTTCGGCGTTTCTTCAGGAGACTATGCCATCGAGGGCGACGTCGTCGGCACTCGGGGCAAGTGATAGAGGGCTAGAGGAAAGCTAGAACCTGAACTATGAAATAAAACACTCGAACTTATCAGTCAAAGTGCCACGTGTTTCTATGAGGTGCTATGTATTCGGAGGATGAGTACCTAGGTACAGTCGCCCTTATAATAAGTCCCCGTCCTCGCACTCAAAAATCATTCTCCCTGACAGGATACAGACAGTGGAATAAGCAACCTGGAACAAGCAGTTGTGTTCTCACGAGCCGTGTTAAGCGCTTATTCCCAGAATGTCGCTGAGCATTCAAAACCTTGATTACGGGGTGCACGGAGACTTCTGAGTGTGCAGTGTACCTAGGTATATAATTTAGCGATTCAACATTCACGACGCTCGTGACGAGAGAGGGAGGATCTAGAATTGAATAGAAACGTCAGGGTTGTTTTCAAATCGTATGATTGTCGTCTGGTTGGCTTCCCCGTATTGCCACTCCATGTGCATTGCGCGGCGGACGGGTCCGGGATGGATGCGATGCGCTGCGGATGCGGTGCGGGTGAGACCCGCTGATGCGGAGTAGGAGGAGGAGTATGAGTAAGCGTATTACTGTAGGCGTCACATGTTAAATAAGAGCATGTGAAGATCACAGAGCAAAGTACAGTCATCAAATAGAAGATGTCGGGTCTTATAGTTCTGGTGAGCAGTTGGGTCGCGATCTATCCTTCATGCCGTCAAGAGCGCATGAGGTCCAATGAGGATCACATCACAAGAGGGAAGTCGAAACGTCTTGAGGCAGATAGAACGAGATGGATATTAAGCGCGAGAAAGATCTATCGAATTGGTATCATAAATCAAGTCAAACAATGTGTACGTTGTTACGACTGCAACCTCCATCCACAGCCGTAGCCCTGGTGGTATCATACTTGGGCTGTGTTGCTCTTTTTGGGTATCGCGAAATGAAGTCCCAGCACCCCCTCCTAAACTGCAAGTGCGCGTTCGTGCGTTCGTGCGGAAAATGGAGAACCGCCTATTTGTGGCCGCGCAGGTGCCACTCGAAGATCTTCCTGAAGACCTGCTTGCCGTTGCCCTGCAGGGTCTCGCCGTGGCAGGGGATCAGCGTGTCCCAGTCCCACGAGTCGATGCGCTGGACGCTCTCGTTGTAGCCAGCACGGTTCTTGGTGCCGTTGCTGAGGGCGTACCACTGCAGGCGCTTGTGGGCCTTCGCCTCGCCGGCGGTGGTGTTGAGGGTCTCGAACAGCTTGTTCAGCAGGCTGGCGCCCTTCTTCTCGGCCTCGGGGACCTTGGAATACTGCTCGATGGCGGGCAGGTTGAACATCAGGTCGGCCTCGATGAGGACGCGCTCGGGCTTGAAGAAGAGCACGATCTCCTTGCTGGCGTGGGCGTCGACGAACTCGACCTCGAAGTCGGCGGCGAACTCGTCGCTGATGGCGTTGGAGTGCATGTTGCTGGCGTCGTAGACGAAGGCGAACTGCTCCTTGCCGACCTTGTCGTCGGTCATCTTGGCGCGCTTCTCGGGCAGGCCCTTGGGCCCGATCAGCTTCGCCTGAGGGTACTCCTTCTTCCACTCGGACAGAAAGATGTGGTGCTCCATGTCGCCCGCAATCAGGTATCCGACGTTGCCGCCCATCTCGGCCACCTTGGCCTTGGCCTGGGGCGTCAATGCCACCGGCGAGAAGACTGCCAGGGTGCCTGAGGTCATGCGTACTGCGGGATTATATGTTAATGATGACTTCTTTTGGGCAGTTTACTGGTGGTGCATGAGATATACTCACTTATCGTTCCACGACCACCGACGCGGACCTTCTCAAACCGCGCAAACGGCACGGAGATGGTCACGACATTGGGGGTGATGTTGCGGATAACTGCAACAGCAGAGGGGTTCTTTGGGATAAGCTTGGACGACATGGTCAAGCCGCGTTTGTGGTGGTTTGAGATGGGTGAGAGGCAAGTTCTCGAGGGCGCAACTCTGCTTCGTGTGGGGACACTTTTAGGTGCTGTAGTAGTAGTTGTCGACGCAAGAGAGTATCGTGGGACCAGTGAGACAGAGACAGTCGAGCTTCTGGTGGTGGTGACGAAATAGAAGCCCGAGCTAGATGCCAATGACGGGGGCCAGCGTGTTATTATATTCAGCATTCCTACTACAACAAAAAGAGTACCTTTGCTTTGTGTCGTGTTTTCGGGCGCGGGATGGGGCCGGGGCAATTTGTCAAAATTTGGAATGCCGCAGATGCCGGGGCTGATCAGTGATGGAGGGCTAGAGTCGTTATCTGTCAGGGAACCGGGCGTGTACTGCATACACCCGCCTGTAGGTCTTACTAATACACGGCAGGAACTTCAACGTTGAACACCGTTTGAATTTGGCTGAGACGTGAATCATCTCGCCATCTTTTCCATCACAGTTCCATTGCGTTTGAAGCCCCGTCTGAGTGCAGTCAGTGTGTCAACGTTTCATGACACCATGCACTTGCTGGGGCTCTCAGCGGGCATAAGCGTCGCAGTCGGAGCTGGTCAGGCAGTCAGGGAGCGCTGGAAAAGGGATGGAACCCCGGTCCCCTTGGCGGCGCGGGCCTGGAGCGGACGCCTCCAGCTCAGAGCTCCAGCTGTCAAACAGCGCCCCCAAATTAGTGGGTGTTAGCGGGGCATCGCATGAGGTAAGCCACGCGGGTCTCAAATGCAGGGGCCATTCCAGCCGCAGGGTGGCAATTGCCATCTGAATATTTGGAATATTCCAACAAACAACCATCTTTTTGTCATCAATGTTGCTATTCCTGCAATCCACAACTCCCACAGAGACCAACGCAGCTTACCGGAGCACGACATCCCATTGCTGGTTCGACTGCCGCTTCCAACTTCGGTTCAGACACGGTTCAAGCATGGTCATGGTCACTCGGACGTGTCCTCGTAACGTGTCATTTCCCAGGGAATGATCCATCATCACTGCGTTTCAGACAACAACAAATCAAATCAAATTCATCAAATAGCAACGGCCCAAGTAAACCCTCTCTAAACGTCTCGTTACCGTCAGTCAGCCCAACGACATGGAGATAAATCCAAATACAGACGAATCCTCCCCAGCAATCCCCCTAGTCCCTCAGTCACTCTCCGTTCTGCTCACCCAAGAATATGATATTGCTCGTGATGTCCGCGCCTGACAAAGAAAGTCATTTCGTCCTGTGTCGAAGGTGAGTGTACTTGCTCCACCAGAAGCTACTCCTGTCGACGTCTGACCGGCGCGCTGGTTACCAATGCCTGCCCTGAGAATCGCACGGCCCCAGGAGAATACCTGCGTGGTTAGCCTAGAGGGCCTCCTCAGCGGACCACCCACCGTCCCGAGACCAGGACGAGGACAGTCTGCCAGAAATAGTCGAAGTGCGGCGCGTGCAGGCATACGGTCGCCTGGCCCTTGCTGGCCTGCCACAGCCCGCGCGTCTCCTGGTTCGCGTTCTTCCACACCGCGAACTGCCGGCCCTCGGAGACGATGACCGCGAGCATGGCAACGAAGAACAGGCCGTTGATGGCCACGCCCGCCGAGTAGAACGACGTGAATATGGTCGCGAAGTCCATGTTGCGCAGTCGGGTCCTAAGGCTTCCGGCGCCGCCGGCAGGGTTCCCGGTGGTGTCGCCCTGCTGCGCGTGCTCGTACCGGTGGATGACGTCGCGCAGGAAGGCGCCCTCGGTGGTTACGCGCTCGAGCAGAGCGCGCAGATTGGCGATCTCGCGGTTGGCGATACGGATCCGCCGGCGCAAGTTCTCCATGTCCGGGTTGACGCCAGCGCCAGGGACGGCCCCGCTGGCCCGCTGAAGTTCCTCGATCTGCTCCCGTAGCGCGAGGTCGTCCGCCTCCAGCTTCCTCCGGTAGTTGCGGAGGAACTCGGTCATCTCCCGCACCTGCCCCTCGAGGTCGGCGATTCTCTCTCTCAGCCTCGTCCGTTCCTCGTTGCAGTCGTTGAGCTGACGCTGGAGCGCCGCCGGGTCCCCGTCACCGCCGTTGCCGCCGCTACCGCCGCTGCCACCGCCTCGCATCTGGTTGTGCAGTCGGATGAGGTCGACTTCGAGGTTCTCCAGGTCCTGTCGCGACAGGTCGACCGTGTCCGCAAAGCGGGCCGCCAGCTCCCGTGCCCGCTCCAGGAGGTCGTCTGCGTTGTCATCATCCGCGTCCCTCGCCCGGGTCGCGACGCACTCCGCGAGCTGCCTGCCCAGCTCCACGTTGCGGGCCTCGAGCGCCTCAATGCGGGCCTCCAGGTCCCGGATCGTTTGCTCCAGCCCCGCCACTCTGGCGACTTCCTCGGGCCGCGCGTCGACCAGCGCCTGGGCGGCGGCCAGGTCCTGACGCGCCTTTTTCAGGACCTCCTTCAGCGCCGCGACGATGGCCCTGGCGTCCTCCTCGAGCGACTCGTTGGCGTTCTTGTACGCCTCGCCGTCGTTCAGCTCCGCCGCCGCCTCGTCCACCGCCTCGGCGAGCGCCGCCGCCCGCGCGCCGGCCTTGTCCTGGCACTCCTTGAGAAGCTGCCGCGCCTTCTCGAGCTCCGCATGCTCCGCCCACCCGGCCAGGACCTGCCGCCGGAGGTTCTCGTTCTCCACCCTCAGGGCTGCGAGATCCTGCATCAGCGAATTTAGGTTGTCCTGGGTGGTGTGATACTGCGTGTCGTACTTGTCGCCCCGCTCTTTCGCCTCTCCAAGTTCGGCATTGAGCCGCTCGATGTCGCGCTGGAGCTCTTTGATTCTGTCCTCGAGCTGCTTGGCCGCGTTCTTCGCCTCGTCGCGCTCCTTGTCGAATGCGTTATTAAGTTCCTCAGTTATCTTATTAATTTCCTCGTCGTCGGCCTCCTTTTTGCAATCGGCGAGCTTCTTCTCGAGCTCGCTGTTGCGCTTCTCCAGATCAGCGATTTCTTCATCTCTTTCCTCGATGTCTGTCTCGGCATTGTCGGCGTCTGTCTCCTGCATCTCCTTGACGTGGGCAAGCTGCTCTTCTAGCTCCTTTACCCGGTCTTCTAGCTCCTTTACCCGTGTCTCTGCTCCTTCTTTCTCCTGCCTCAGCACCATAAGTTCCGCATCACTGGGTGCGTTGTTGAGCTTTTCCTCCATATCTTTGATGTCCTTATTAGTCTGTTCCCGGAGGTCGTGGAGCTCGCCCTCAAGCTTGGGGATCTGCCTTTTCAGTTTCTTGATGTCATTCAAGAGCGCACTGTGATTGTTGTTCTTCGTCGAACCCTGCTGCGCATCCTTGAGGTCTTCCTTGGCTTGTTTTAGGGCGGTCTCCTTGTCGTTCAAATCATCCTGGAGTTTCTGGAGGTCCTTTCGGAGCTTCTCGTTGTCCTCATTCGGCTCCTTCTCCTCGTCGGTGGATTTGTTGTTCTTCTCGCATTGCGCGAGCTGCTCCTCCAAGGAAGCTTTCTCCTTTGCGAGCTTATCGATCGTCTCGGTCGTCTTTGCGAGTTCCTTCTCCGTCTTGTCGAGCTGTTCGGCTGTCTCCTTCTGCAGTTTCTCAAACATCTCTCGCATTGACTTTTCGTTCTCATGGAGGGTCTGCAGGTTGCTTCTGTCGGAGTCGGACTCGCTGAATGCCTTGTCGCTTTTGTCCAAGTCGGCTTTAGCTTTCTTCAAGTCGGCTTTGGCTTCGTCCAAATCGGCTTTGGCTTTCTTCAAGTCGGCTTTGGCCTCGTCCATTTCCTCGTTTTTGGCTTCCAGCTCTTGGGTGCAATCCTTGTGGTTCTTCTCAAGCGCTTGTCTGGCGGAGTCGTGATCTTTCTCTAGCTGTTCCTTTTCTGCTACGATTCGCTCAAGTTCGGATTTCTTGGTGTCGCGTTCTTTCACAGCTGAGGTCATTTCCTCAGATGGCTTTGCGAGAGCCTTGTTTAGCTGATCTATTTGCTTGTTCTTCTCTTCGATATCTTCCGCGCTTTTTGTTTGCAGCGCGTTGAGCTCCTCCTTGTTCGTATCGAATTGGTCGGTCAACGTTTGGAGCTTGTCTTGGACGCCGTCCAGCTCGTTGACCTTGGCATCGTATGCTGCCTTGGCTGAGTTAGTTTGGTCTTCCAGGTCTTTGTTCTTCTGGATTAGTCCATCCCGAAGCTTGGTTTTCTCAGTTTCAAGCCTAGCGATTTGCGATGGAAGCCCTGCGTTCGTGGTCTCCAGCTCTTTGTTCTTGTCTAGTTCCTCCTGAAGCTTGGTTTTCTCAGTTTCAAGCTCGTTGATCCGCGGTTGAAGCCCTGCGATCTTGGTCTCCAGTTTTTTGAGCTGCTCAACTCTGGCTTCATCTGCTTGTGGGTCGACAGTCTCTTCTTCCGACTCGCTCTTATCTGGGTCGAACTCAAGGCCGGCATTCTCGTGCGCCAGTGACTCTGTCGGTTTTGTAGGTGATGCCGAAGGCGATCTTTGCATGTCTGCAATGCGTTGTAGATTTCGGGTTTTCTCTTCTTCCAAGTCACGAACTTCTACTTCTTTTCGGTTGAGTTCCTTTTTGGCTTGGTCCAGTTCGATGTTCTGTTTGTTGCTGTCTTCTTCCAGTTTTGTTACCTTCGTCTCGAGTTCAACCTTGTTTCGTTCCAGGTCATCTCGCTCGCTTTGGTACGTATCCCTAGCTTCTACCAGTTCCTTGCTTTCTGTATCAAGGTTCTTCGCGGTCTCTTGAAGGTTCTCGATTTTTTTAATTGCATCTTCGAACTGTTTCTGGAGGGCTTTCTGTTCATTCTCCAACTTTGTGACACGGTTTTCTGCATCTTCGCAGTCTTCTTTGGCTTTTTGGAGATCCGCGCGGTGTTGCCGAGACTCTCCTCTTGCCTTATCTATCTCGTCTACGGATTTCTGCAATTTGTCTTCAAAGTCGGCTTCTCTTCGATCGGCCTCCTTGCTGAGATTATCGTTATCTCTTTTCAGTTGGTCGTACCAGGGACTGAGTAGCTGCTGTAAACTATTGTGAATCTCGTCAGGAGGAGTGTCGGGGAGCTTCTGTTGGATAAGTTTCTCTTTCAAGAGCTTCCGTCCCACAGTATCCCATACCGCGAGGATGACCGTCTCCCATTTTGGTTCCTGAGTTGCCGTCATCGCGTAAGTGCCGAGAATGACCAACTGATTAGTGCAGATTCGCCAAGTCATTCGTGTGAAGTGGTAGTTTCTCGTATCTGAGAGACCTTTTGTTCGAGTCGCTCTACAAAGGGTGGGTGGTGTAGGTTCTGCATTCAGACTCTGGCGTCTCTTTGTCCATTTCCCGCCAGTATGGTGCACAAAGGTCACCTCGATCTCCAGAAGCAGCTTGGAGCTGGTGTTTCTTTCACAGTAGCCATTGCGCTGCTGGGTTCGGTATGGTCTGGCTGGATGCGGCATTGCTCCTGCAGGTAGGTATGTATGTAGCGAAGTAAAGAGCTCAGCGCCGCGGCTATTGAATCAAACTACGGATTATAACATTTTGTCGTGTAAACTGCTGGCTTGCTTGACTGTTGAGCTTTGGACGTGTGCATCGGTGTAGGGCCTACAGGGTGAGAGAGACTTCGTGTTTAAGCTCTAGCTTGGTCGACAGTAACCGTCTAGTCAAGCTGATATGTATGCTGAATCAACCATGGGAGACACTCGAGGATTAATGTAATGTCAATCTATCATACCAATTAGGTGATGTGTATAGGTCGACATCGTACCTATGCTTTTTTGTCGATGGACACAAATAGCTACCTGTACTCGGTATGGCACCCGTCACTCGTGTACATTGAATGGGGCTCTTCTCCTGTTCGTGGCCTCTGAGAGTTGTTCATAATGTTATTGCTTCCCCCCTTTCGTATGAGCACGTGTTGTTTACTGCGATGATGTCTAGGCAGTATCTTTTTGGGCCTGCTCTCATGACGATTAGCAACGGTTTACCTCAGTCGGTGTCGATGCAAAGTAGCAGGCTTCTGGAAAGACAGAAGACACAGCCGCCCAGCTCGTAGGCGGCACTCGCCCACCCAAGCGTGTACGGTACTAGCGTGTGTCCAGTCGTGCCCGTGACGCGTACCATCTCTGGAAGGAGGTTTCGAGCCACTGTGATGTCAGCGTAAACTGCATTGTCCCTCGAGGTTTCTTTCGGCGGTGAATACAACCTGCGCAGCCACTAGGTACCTTGAAGGCAAGCAAACACTCAGTTCGGCGAATAGGTACTTATCACCATCCGGGATAACATGTGGCTCAGGATAAGCTAATTTGCTAATTGCCTAAGCCGGCGCTGTCGCCAATCATCCATCGTCGTCGGTTTATACCACTCCACTGCGCGCGACTGACTGTTGGACCATTGTTATTTCCTTGCTACCTGCCCGTAATCACAGGGTACGGGGATAGGTAGATGGCCCAGCACACCAGTGACTCTGCTTCGACGCAAACATGTGTCGTAATCGAAAGTTTGCCCTGTAGGTCTCCCATGACCGAGTAATTTAATTCGCTAAAAGGGAACACCTTCGCCTGGCTCTCTCTCCTTCGTATCGAAGCCTTATCCATAAAAGTACGCGCTCTAATTAGCTGGCTTAACTTTTGCAGTCTGGCATTTTGGACCAATTCACCTTCGGAAACCTCAGGCATACTGTAGCAAGGAGTAGCCAGCCCAGTGACGAGTGAGCAGTCATTCATAGCATTACAGCACGGCCACGTTGTCAAAGAGAGAGATTGATCATGGGAGCAAGAAGAAAACTCGACATTTGCGATGAGGACCTTTGTTCCAATACCCAGGCTAAATCAGATAAAAACGCTGCAGGAAGATACCATCCTCGGACACTTTACTGCAATATACAGGTACCGGCCTCCTCCCTCCTGCCGTAACCCCACAATCTATGTGCACCTCTTGGTGCCTTCGCCTCTGCTTCTAGTTCGCTGCCTGCTTCTGCAGGAGTCTCTGCTGCTGCCGGTGCTCCAGAAATCCCGACATGCCAGCTCCCAGCTGGTGGCTGGTGTAGACGCGGATGGCCTTCTCTGTGACCCGGTCGTGTTCCTCCTTCGCCAGCGCCAGCGCCTCCTCGTGGCTGAGCTTCTCGAACAGGTGCATAGCCTTCTGGTGCAAGGGCTGGTTGTGCTCGGCCAGGATCCGCTCGTAGATCTCCTCCTCGGCCTTCTTAAGATCTCATCGGAGCGCCGCTGGTGGGCGGCCTCGATCTGTCGCTCTCGATCCTTGATGAAGAGCTCGGCATCGGTCTTGATGCTGGCTTTGTAGGTGCCCTTGAGCTGGGCGTAGGCGGCACACCGGCGCTTCTCGTGCGCGTTCTGGATCTGTCTTAGTCCGGAGAGTTGGCGGCGAGCCAGTCGCATTCTTCGGACGGGACTCGGGGTCGCCTGGTCCCCTGTCTGCTGCTGCTTCTGCTTCTGCTTCTGCTCGGAGTTTCCCTTGTCGGTTCCCTTGTCGTTGCCACTGTCATCATCGCTGTCGCTGCCGCTGTCGCTGTCGCTCATCATAGTGTCGCCCTCGACGTCCTTCTCCCAGGATGCCACAGCTTCATGGGTTGCGATTTCGGATCTCTTTGCCGTCATGGCGTCTTCAACCATATCCTCCGTCAGCGCCTTTCGCAGCTTCTGAACCTCACACTTGAGGCTCCGGTTCTCCAGCGACAACAGTCGGTTCGCCTTCTCGAGCTGCTCGTAAGATAGCTTGGCGCCCGCGCCGATGCTTTGGATTCCAGACATGGTAGCTGGAATATGGATGGAATTTGGTGTGAGGCGGTGTGTTTTGATGGTTCCGGAGATGGAGACTGTTGCGTCGAATAGTGTGATAGTGTGATAGGGTGAATGGAAGCTGTGTAGTAGGATGTTGCCGGAGTCGAAAAGTGATGTTGAGAGTCGCTATATAGAATCGGAATTGAGAATCGTGGTATGAACATGAAATCCAGAATCAAAATCGAGAATTGCCGTACAAGATCGAAGTTGAGTATTGACTGTGAGGATACAAGTTGCGTATCGACGGTGGGAATGGCAGAGTATAATCGAGGTACAGAGTGCAGAACGCAAGTTGGAAAGGGCAATGGATGCGGGAGGTACAGAAAAGAAGATTGGAAGAAAATTTGAAGTGTCGGAGTTGAGCTTCAGAAGCGGATGTGATGATCAAAAATCGAGAATCGAAGGTTAAAACCATACGTCCGAATCAAAGTCGAGAAAAACAGAATTCCAACCAGTAATTGTGGTAGATGGAGAGGGCAGAGCAGCAGACCAAAGAAAAATGTGCTGCCCTTGGGGTTTTTGTGTGTGGTGTGTGGGTGTGCCTGAGGAACAGGGTCGAAGAAATCAATCGCACCGGAATGTGTGCCAGGTGCAACTAGGTGAAGAACAACAGCCCCGGGAAAACGGTAAAGTGACAGTGGTCTGTTACTGGCTTTTGTCCAGCTTCGAGGATCATCCGCAACCTTGCTGCCGCAGTCTTCACCCACTTCGACTTCAGACACTTCTTCGTCACCTCAAAGCCCAGCTTCCGATACCATGACACCACCATCACAGCATCACGGCACCACCGCACCATGGCTTTACCTGCAGAGGGCATGGCCACTCAGTTCTAGGCTATTATGTCCCTGCTCGACATTTGAAGGGGTTTTAACAGCAACCTCCACAAGCACATTCCATGTAACGAGGCTTAATTGAGCGCCAATAACACATCGGCACGAAGACCACGAATTTTCGGCTCATAACGGGCATGTAATCGTGACTATTATACATCAAAATCATGTGCAGGAGCAACTCATAGGCGTTTGCATCTTCTATGCCAAGTAAGCTATCCGGAGGCATGTGATGGCGCAAGTGTAGAGATTTAGCTGTACAGCAGCAACTAGCTGTACCAGCCGCGAGCTCCTGGGCCTTGGTGCCTTTGTTCCTTGCGATGCTCTATGATGGGCTCGATAATATTGAAAGCATCTATTATGTCATGCCACATCTGCATGTCAATGGACAATACAGCCTGCTGCTTTCGTGCACTGCTTTTGGCATGACCAGATTCATCATGTGAGGCTACTGGCTCTGAGAAAGGTTAGCAATTGCAGGAGCTGAGGAGACGAGCTGACTTACGAAGCGTGGGCAGGTCGTTGTCATCAAAGTCAATTTCGACACGACCGTCTCGTATCAAGAAGCTGACGTAGAACATGTTCTCTACTGTCTGTCCAAATGACTTCGGGTTGACGACGAATTTCAACAGGTCGATGCCGCCTGTACTTCTTAGGGCGTATTTATCCATCAGTCTCTGCGCTTCTTCCTCACTCGCTCCTTGATTCTGGTATGCATCATCCACCTTGGTCTGCGCTTCCTCTTGGACTTGTTCGAGTCGGCGGAGGATCTTCGAGCAGATAGCTGTGAGGTCGTTCTTCTCCGATCTTTGAACGTCTTCGGCATTCAGCACTTCTGGTCTGGTCTCTTGGAGGTTTCCAGGTCTGAAAGGCGCGCTTCGCTTGACAACCTTCCGTACCTTCTTCTCGACGGAAAGGGGGCCCAGAAGAAAGCCAGGCACAGCTGGCCGCCTGACATGTGGCAGGGAGGCGAAACGACCCAGGTGCTCCCAGTTGAACATGTCGCCTTCGTCACCGATCTCGTCGTCGTCTCCATCGTCATCTTGGGCTACTCTATTGGGCCTTCGTCGCTGTTGCTGGGTCGCGGTGAGTCCTGGTGCGTCATCCTCGGCGATCCCACTACCCAAACGCATGTAAGTGATGCACTTTGAGACAAACTCATCTACGTCAACTCCTTGAGCGATGTTGCCAGAAGTGAGACGGACTGTCTTCCTATAAGACGCATCGGCTGTGTTGACCAGGAGTTTGGAGTCGATGGTTGCCTCGCTGGTCTGCTTCACTTGGCCTGACAATTCATTGGCCCTTCGTATTGCGTCATGGAGACCCAACGACTCGGGCTTGAGGTACTCATCGGCATTCTCAGTCACATCTCGTATTATATCTCTGAAACCCCTTTGCACTTGGCGCCTCTCGTCCAGGGGCTGGTTCGGGTCATAGTCAAAGGACCCAGTGTCGTCACCATCCTCAATGACCTCGGGCTCTCGTGTGCGCCGCCTTGAGTTAGATGCGCCTGTGCCGTTGGTCAAGGTCCGCTTCCTTTTTGATGAGCCTTCAGGAGCCTTGCCCTTGTCTCTCATGACCAGAATATTCTTGCGACTGTCTCTGTCGGGGGAAGAACCAGGGGACCCCGAAGTCGGGGACGAAGATCGATCTGACATGGCTGGCGAGTTGTCGATTGGGGATTTCGCGAGGGTTTCGCAAATAGGGATGGCAGGTAGGGGAGACTCAGAGGAAGTTCAGACAGCTCGATGAGATTGGGCTGCAGCGTTTGCTAGTTGTTGGGGCTCGCTCAACACATGCGCTCGTGAGGTTACGTTCTGGTCCTGGGGGCACGTGAAAATGAGAGTGATGGTCGAGCCTGGAGGCGCGTCTTTGGCGAGGCAGACGCGACGCGGGCGTTAGATTGATCGGTCCCCACCCTCTGTGGCTTGCAGCTATGGCTGGTGCTTCGTTGTGCCGATCGAAGTTCTGTGCCTCCCAGGTTTTCTGCGGAAGATGTGCCAACGTCGAAATAGTGTACGTGACTGTTATAACGGATGCGACCGACGCTTAGCCACTCAGTTTTTCTCTTGCATGCTCGGGAAATGTGCTGTGGTGAAGCTGATCTGCTGGTGAAGGACCTCCGGCCCCCGGGTACATGTACTATTGGATCGACCGACGTACAGACCTTCGGACTTAGCGGAATTAGTGGGGGCTTGCTACTAGCATTTGGGCTAGCGCGATGCCCCACCTTGGAAGCACCCCAGTCGCTGATTAGATAACAGCCGGCAGAAAGAGCTTTAGGTGGTCTAAGCTCAAGCGTCAGAACTGCTCGTGACGCTGATTGCCTTGATGACATAGGAACATGCGTCTTCGCCTTGACTTCGAGTTTCATTGTCCGCACCTCTTCACCAAACTCTTGCCAATAGACTAGTGAAGCTGTCATGGACTACCAGATCGACTACCATGGAACCCTTCTCCTTTGGAAGCTCAGAGTCGTTGGACTACCCAGTCAGGCTTCGCATGTGAGTTGGCTTCGCTGGATTCGAATGCGGGAAGAGGGAGGGAGAGAGGAGACGAGTGTTTGACTGACGGCGGTGGCGGTGATGTAGCATTAATCTAGAGGGCGACGAGGCACCCTATCTTTTCTCGACTCTCCTGAAGACCCCCGAGCTGAGGCACATCGGGTCTAATGCAAGGTGTGTGTTGTCAACGTTGCGTATGGCCAGGCCGCATCGGGGCGTTATCTGACTTCGAACTGGTTTAGCCCGCACTCCGACCTCTATGTCACCGTCCAAGTATGGGCTGGCTCCAAGCCGCTCACAGTCCCGGTCCAGACTTCGTACAAGGCTTTTCGAAACGAGCGAAGGTGTGCTTCCGAAGCCGAGTCTACGTGCCATGAATATACTGGCTAACACGATAGCCTAGATGGAGCGAGTGGCTCACCGTACCGATACCCTACAAGAGCCTCCCCCTGAACTCATACCTTGCAATTACGATATGGGACCTTTCGCCAACTGCTGGGGAGCAAGCTCAGGGGCATGCCATTCCCTTCGGTGGTACGACCCTGCCACTATTCGACAGGGACAATCAGTTGCAGAAAGGCAGACAGAAGTGCCTTGTCCACAGGCACAAACAGGCTGACGGCAACGACAACACAACCACACCTTCTACTATCGCTAAGAACAGAACTGGCTCAAGAAAGGGCGAGGTTTTTGTCGTTGACAAAGAAGCTGAAGAGCTTGAACGCATGGAGAAGCTTTTCAAGAAACACGAGATGAATGAGATACCCAGAGTTGAATGGCTCGACCAGTTAGTATATCGTGGTACAGAGAAACGCGGGTTGAAAGCGGCAAGGAATTCGATCAAATCACTCCAACGCCAGTCGGTGGCGAATAAGGAGGCGGAGGAGGTCAAGAAGCATAATGTTGCCGAGTCGAATGGTGGTGAGGTTCCCAGGCCTGGACCCTCGAAGTTTACACTCAATATTGAGCTGCCCCGGTTTGATTTCCCGGTGGTATTTGCAGACCATGAGTATCCGCCACCACCCATTTCATCCTTCCAGCATCTGTCAGCATCTCAATCGAACATCATCCTCAAACCTCCCCCGGAGGTTTCCTACGGGCCCGGGATCAATGCGCCTGAAGAAAGCGACCGCCTCATTCGCATATATGACCCTGAAGTTGGGGCGAGAGATAACCCAGCTGAGAGTAAGCACCGGCGCCTTGTCAGAAGTCAGCATCGCCATGGAATACTGGACAAAGACTTGAGGCCGAACGCCAAGGTTCGCGATGAGCTTAACCTGATCATGTCGTATTCGCCGACCCATGTCCTTTCACCCGAGGAAAAGGACCTGGTGTGGAAGTTCAGGTACCATTTGACCAAAGACAAGCGTGCTCTGACCAAGTTCGTCAAGTCTGTGAACTGGCAGGATCAGAGCGAATCGAAACAGGCTATTCAAGTCCTTGGCAAATGGACTGACATCGACGTAGACGATGCTCTGGAACTCCTGGGTCCTGTATTTGATCATCGGGCTGTCAGAGCCTATGCCGTCGACCGATTACGAAAGGCGGACGACGACGAGTTACTCCTTTACCTACTACAGCTAGTTCAAGCCCTGAAGTTCGAACATATCTCAGCCGATTCGAACGAAGCCACGGTACGGGCTTCCTCACTAGCTGATTTCTTGATTTCACGGGCTGTGGAGAACTTCACCCTTGGGAATTACTTTTACTGGTACCTCGGCGTCGAATACGACGACAAAAGCAACGACCAGGGCGAAGAAGTGCGTACAATGTACGCGAAGGTACAATACGATTTCATGAAGGAGCTAGAGAGCCGCCCCGGTGGCCGAGAGACGAGAATCACGATCAGAAGACAAGCCGAACTTATCACGGTTTTGTCAAAGATCTCGGCTGAGATTCAAGCTTCACGCGATTCGATCGCACGAAAGCTCGAAACAGTAAAGTCCTTCTTGGCTGACCCGAAGAATGAGATATTGAGTATTGATCCCCCAATGCCCATGCCACTGGACCCGTCCATCATGGTCGTTGGGGTTGTTCCGGAGGAGACAAGAGTCTTCAAATCTTCCCTTTCGCCGATAATGGTGACGTTCAAGACCATTTCCGGGAACAAGTATCCCATCCTCTTCAAAACCGGTGACGACCTGCGACAAGACCAGCTTGTTATTCAAATCATTACTCTCATGGATCAATTGCTGCAGAAAGAAAACTTGGATCTCAAGCTGTCACCTTACAAAATCCTCGCAACAAGTACGACGGCTGGCGCTTCCCAATTTGTACCGTCGCAGACCTTCTCTGCAATCGCGTCCAAGTATAACAGCAATCCAGCGCTCGCCTATCTACGGCAGCACAACCCGGACGAGCGAGCGTATCTAGGCGTCCGCAAGGAGACTCTCGACACGTTTGCCAAATCATGTGCGGGCTACTGCGTAATTACTTATATCTTGGGCGTTGGGGATCGCCATCTCGAGAACCTGCTCCTAGCCCCAGATGGTCATTTCTTCCATGCGGATTTCGGGTTCATCCTCGGTCGGGATCCCAAACCATTTGCACCAGCGGTCAAGCTCAGCAAGGAGATGGCCGACGCCATGGGCGGCTCGAACCCGCCGAGTGAGCATTACTTGCAGTTCAAACAATACTGCTTCCTCGCATTTGCAGCATTGCGGAAATCATCGAACCTGATTCTGAACCTGTTCAGTCTCATGGTTCATGCCAATATACCCGATATCAAGGCCGAGCCTGACAAGGCGGTCTTCAAAGTGAAGGAACGCTTTCATCTGGAGTTGAACGAAGAAGACGCGATACGGCATCTGGACAGAATCATGGAGGACAGTCTCAATGGCATCATGCCTGTCGTAATAGACAGGCTGCATGACTTTGTCCAGGCGTTCCGGTGAACCGCATTTCGAACGTATCGAATCCGATATGCAGTACCATGGTTCGAGGGACATGTCCACGACGCTTTTGGTCACGGGTCGAGCTGCTTGCGAGTCATTGGGTGGGAATAAGTCTCGAACACGTGGACGTGCACCGACTATCTCCAGGGATACTGTGTGTTAGGTAGCACAACCAGGATATCCTTCCCAGTGTGGCACCGGATTATCGTGTTGCTGTCGGATCGGAATCCAATGCAGCGCCTGCGGAAAGGGTCTCACGAGACCTGGAGGACTCATCAGCTTATCCTTTTGGGCGTGATTCTAAGGGGCGCATCTCCATCATTCGGCCAGAGCTGTGCTCGAAAGCCCTCGAGTCGGTCTTCTTTCTTTCCGTTCCAAGAGAGAGGCCGTTTTCCCATAACGCGCGCGTTGCAAACGACCGAGCTGTCAGGGGTAAGACACGAGGCCGTTTGCATCAACAACTTTCAAAGTGGAGCTCTTCACATGGCGGCTGCTTATTTGATAGGCGCCTACCAAATCGAACGGCAATGTCTCGCAATGATCGCTGAAACGGCATGTCTCGTAGATTGCGTCTTGAGATCACCCATTGCAGATGGGGACACGCTTAGTCAACTCTACTAGTTAAAGAGAGGATTTCGTGCCCAGTCCCGGCTGCTACTGGATGATAGCTGCATGATAGCTGCCCTTGGTCGGGGTGACTAGACTAAATGCAGAGGCAAGTCGGCAGCTACCGTAGACGGACCATTTTGGTGACAAGATGAACCGCACACACACAGTTGTGTGATGGTCATGCAGGCCGGTGCACCCATCCATGTCTCATCATGGAACGCCCTGCGACGATACTTGAGTCTTAACAAGTGAAGTCATTCGGTGGTTTTATGGTCATTGCCTCCTAGGGGGGAGCTCGGGGATACGGATACATCATACATGTAGTCTATTATGTGGAAGCTTCCTAAAAGAGTCCTGATGCCTTTCTTCTTTGGGAAATCCCCACCTGCTAGTTCCATTTTAGGGGGGTGGGGGGGTCCGCTTTGCCGTTTCCATCCCATCAGTTTTCCGAGGGACGGGACGTGAGAGACGTCGAGATACAGATTCAGTATGATAGCTGCTGAATTGCAGCTCGACATTCCTGCGCCTGGGTCGCATTTGCTCACTATTGCGCCGACAGTCGATTTGTTAGCTTAGGTAACAAGTTGCCATACAGCCCGAGCCGACAGCTTGACCAACTCCAGGCTGCCCGGGTGTTGCGACATGGGGGCAGCGGCCAGTACCTATTACTGATCAGGGGCCAGGTAGCGGCAATCCGATACGGTGGGTGCCCGTACACGATATGGTACGGTACGGTACGGTAATAACTAATAAGGTATCAGCTGTCATCCCAGCCACTCCAACTTCGGGACCCTGATGGCTGTTGCCGGAAGATGGCCCTGGCCTCGCCTCCTCCTCCATCCGATGTTTCTTTGTCCCCCTCCGCCTCCAGACTGTGAGAATAAGTCGAGACACTCGAGCCACTTTCCCGTCTCCCCATCCAGTCCCCATCTCCCTCACCATCGCGCCTCAAGTGCTCGCTTGGATAATTGTGGTTTTCAGTTCCACTGGGGTCTTGCCAACTGCGTTGCGCCGTTCTCTCCGCAACCTTGCCATCGCAGCACTCCTCACATCTCGCCTGCCCAGCACAGGGTAGCGATTGACCCGCGCTCAAAATTGTGTAGCGCGCCAGGTCGAACACCAACCAAGCCGGTAAGGAAATGGACCGCTCTCAGTTTACCAGCTTCCAATTTTATGGTTCTTACCGCAATTGTCCAGTCATCCATGATCGCATCTGTGCTGGGATATGCCTTGATTGCTCTATGGTTTCTGACGGGTCACCCTGATTGATATTTACTGATCTGATCCAGCTCCTTCATGTAGCCAGTCTCCCACTTGCGAAAACGAAGCGCTTCTACAATCAGTTGCGACTTGATTATCTCCTCGGCTCCGTCACTGCCGAACCTCAGCCATGCCTGCTACAACATCCAGTACCGGCGTTGCTGATGTCAAGCCTGCGTCGACCGCTTCGAAACGCTTCGAGCTTCCGCTCCTAGACTTCAAGTTCGGCTCATTGACTGACGGAACCAACATCCCGCCCCCTTTGCCGTCGCCCAAGGAGGAAGCACGAACCCAACCAAAGACGCCTAGCAAAGACGAGGTACCGAAGAAGCAGGAAGCAAGTGGCGTTGCAAATGGTCATGGTACATTCCCCAAATCCGACGTCCTGAGCACGACCAATGGCGGTATCAAGCGCCCAGCAGATGAAACTCCCGCATCGCCGACACTTTCGAGTCGCGGCAGTCTGAGACGCCTGCTCAGCAAAACACTACTGAACAACGCTTACGATGAACAAGGATCGATCTCGGGCCAGGGTGTTTCCAGGCCACCGAGCCGGACTGCGAGCACCATTGCAGAGGACAGGAAGGTGAAACGCAGCAGTGGCTGGTTCCGGCGGTTACGGTCGAATGACCGTGCGAATGACCGTGCGAATGACAGCCAGAGGGCCAGCACTCCCACCTTTGTCGAAGAGGTGAAAACGCCGAAGAAGGCCATGGGCCCACCGCCGCCGATGATTCCAGAGCTCAGCGCTCTGGAGAGTAAAGTCGACACCAATCTGGGCGACGATTTATTCAAATCCATCGGGAAATAACCACGCGGAAGAGTACCTGCTTACGACATGTCACGCGTCACTCTCCCGGTCCATACCGGAGTCTGTGCTTCCGTACCGGATCTGTGGACATACTCACATTACGACGACTTATTATACTGCATCTAATCTGGTGACGACTTTGCGGAATTGAAGGTTCTGCCTCGAGTAGCGGTTCGAGGGTGGAAAAAAAGATACCCACGTCTAATGAGCTCATTCATCGACATATTACGTCAAATTTTCCTACCACTTCGACATTCTTGTTACCCCCTTGGAATCACTATCGCGCTTCTATCAGCGTGTACTACTGCGGGATCGCCTTTTGAACCGCAGGAGGATCATGTACAGCCCCTTCTCCCACCATCGTCGCTTGGGGCGTGTATGTACGGGACGGCCCTCTTTGGACATGCCTGGAAGACCGGGTCATCAGGGCATATTTGAGAAAATTAGCGAACTGCTTTCCAGAATCACACACAGGTTGCTCGAGGAGGACTTGATTAGGAAGAGGCATTGCCAAGTCGAGGTCAAGATCTATGGCCATGTGTTACGGGACACGATAGCGAAGATACTCATGTATATCAGCCTTCAAGCTGGAGGTTCACCATATTGCCACCATTGTCATCATACCTCTGTGTGGTTCTGACTGCGGCAGTCACCACCCCTTTCGACTCGCTCCGTCGAGGACCAATTCTATAACTTGAGAATCTGCCTCGAACTTTCCATCTCTCTGGGTTGTATACTGCTGGCGGTAATACCGACTTACACCAAAATGCGAACTGATAGAAACCTTGGTGCCAGCTACAAGACCGGAGGACATACTGCAGGTCTCTGTCACGGTTATCCTTGATGCCAGGATGTGATATGAATTACCTCCTTTTTTATGCTAACACCTTAACATTAGGTTGTACCTGCAGCTCAACAGCTGTAGCTCCAGCCAATCCGATAAGAGCTGCATCTCGGGTGGGGCGGACACTGTTACGGCGCCTCGACGTCATTGCCCGAGCTCCCCAATTTCTTACAGCTCCGAGGAGCTCGAACCTCTGAAACCTGATCACCACATACTGCCTTGTGATCGCGAACGCCATACGATACCCGCCATTATGGTCACAACCCAGTGTCTAGCCAGAGCCTCAATCCGATCCTCGCGCTGTATGGGATCCGCTGCGAGGCTCGCCTCGTCAACCCCGCTGATACAGGTTCGTCACAAGTCGGGGCCCTATGGCTATACGCAGGCCAAATCGCTGGTTTTCAGTCAGTATGGCGAGCCAAAAGAGGTTCTGAGGTGAGTATTGGCTTTCCTTTCGAGAGCCTAGTTGGGCAGCCGAAGCGCATTCGCTGACTACCGTCGATGGTATGCTTAGATTACACTCCCATTCCATCTCTCCACAGCTTCCCTCCTCGTCCGTACTCCTGCGAACACTCGCAGCTTCCATAAACCCGGCCGATGTGAACACGATTCAGGGCACGTACGGCGTGAAACCAACCTTTAGCCCCCTGGTTGGAACGACTGAGCCGTCTGTTATCCCTGGAAACGAGGGCGTTTTTGAGGTGGTCACATCGTCGGCCACCGGCTTGCAGAAAGGCGATTGGGTTATACCCGCAAAGACTGGATTCGGCACGTGGCGGACACATGCTGTATCACCAGCAGATGGTGTGATCAAGGTCGAAAAGCATGGCCTGAAACCCATCCATGCTGGAACTGTCAGCGTAAATCCATGTTCGGCCTACAGAATGCTGCGAGACTACGCGGACCCCCCGTTGAGGGAGGGCGATTGGTTCATACAGAACGGCGCCAACAGCGGTGTTGGACGAGCTGCTATACAACTAGGGCGCCTGTGGGGATACCAGAGCATCAATGTCATTCGCGCACGGGGGAGCCCGGAGGAAACGCAAAAGCTCAAGGACGAGCTGCTGGCACTTGGAGCAACCAAAGTTGTGACAGACGAGGAGTTCCTGGCCAAAGAATTTAAGGAAGAAGTCGCGGAATGGACCAGGGGAGGACGCGAAGGGATCCGACTAGGTATGAACTGCGTTGGAGGTAAATCTGCGCAAACGATTGCGAAGAGCCTCGGTATAAGCGGGACTATGGTCACATATGGCGCAATGGGGAGACAGCCAGTCGCGTTGCCCAACGCGTTATTGATCTTCAAGGACATTCGCTTTGTGGGATTCTGGCTGAGCCGGTGGGCGGATCGAGACACCAGGTCGAAGGAGAGGACCGTGAATGAGATTCTGGGCTGGATCAGGGAGGGCAAGTTCAAGGATACTCCTGTCGTGGATGTCCCGTGGAACTGGGAGACTGAGGAAGAGACCTTGAAGGAGGCCGTCCAAGGCACGCTGCAGGGCTTTAGAGCTGGTAAAGGGGTTTTCGTCTTTGGTGAGACGTAAGAATACAATCGACCAGTCGCTGACCTGGTGAACGATCTTCGCACTTGGCAACGAGTAGAAAGCCTGTTGGACTCGTGATTTCCACTGTCTGTACATTATACGAATATAGCATTCATGTCGAAAGGTCAACAGATGCATATCGAATGGAGACTTATAGAGGGTGACTGTATGAAACGCGCGTCTATGCCAGCAGTGACCAACACTGCAGCACCAGTGTATCTGGTAAAAGTGACATCCTAAGTCCTCCTTGTACGCAATGCCGAGCTGTTGAAGTCATAATCCCTAATATCGTACACCAACCCTCCAAAAGTCTGGGTACACCCCTGGTTCAACAAGCGCAGGGTATATAAAAAATCCTGCTATTTGCAGTCAAGCAGCCGGCACGGGCTGACCACTAAGCCAGCTGTTAGGGGTATAATGATCTGAAATTGTATGGCATCTACACACAAACCCGATGGTGATGGCCGTCTGGTTCGGCTAAGCTGACCGTTTCACTGCGATTAACGGACGTATTAAGCTGCAAGGGAAATGATGATCTAAAATCGTATGGTATCTTCATATGAAACCCCATCGTGATGGCCATCCACTTTGGGCTGTCCATTTGACTGCAACTAACGTGTCTAGCTGTGAAGGACATGATGGTATGAAATTATATGGCATCTCTATATGAACCCCCATCGTGATGGCCATCTGGCCTGGCAGATTGGGAGAATTGCTATTTCCAGATCGTCATCTAGATATGCATCTTTCATTGCGTTTGTTAGGGGACTGCATACCAATTGAATAGAAATAGATTGCTGAAAATATACTACATATGTACTCATGTACTTACCGGGAGCGCTCCGTATACCCTAAGCGACAGTCAAAAGAGTTGTCGTGTTTCTATACTGCCGTTCGCGAGAGATGCTGTAGCTATAGCCGTGCCTCCACGAGATACCGTGCCTCCCGCGAGAAATGGATGCCGCCGCTACGAGGGATGCTGCCGGCGCTGCCGCGAGGGATGCCACCGCCGAAGCTGCGAGGGATGCTGCTGCCACCGCCGCCAGGAGGGATGCCGCCGCGAGAGATGCTTCCTACGAGTCACCGTCCCTTTACGAGTGTTGCTGCCGCGAGCCTGTCAAATGATTTTCCAGCTGTAAAGTGGGGTACTAATAACTCTGGGAGGTACATAGACGGAATTTCGACAAGGTGCAAAAGGACTCTGAGAAGGGGATGTTGTCGCAAATGGGATTATGGGATAAACAATATGGAATAAGCATTAGAAATGACTTATTAGATCAAAGGTGCTTATTCCAGGGTGCTTATTCGAAATGGGGCATGTCAAGAATTCTTCAATTAGGTATCATATGTCCTAACGCCGATGCTGGCATATGCCTAACCCACCCCTACTGGCCCACGTTCATGCAAACAATCATTGTTGCACCTCACGGCGTAGCGTAATTCTTGGTCCACTCCTTGGCCGTTGCGATAGCCTTGTTCTCGTCCTCCTTCCAGCTCTTAGCGACATCAGCTGCCAGCGGGTCGTCAGGGTTGGGAGCGCCCAGGAGTGCTTGGATCGATAGCAGGATGGTTCGAATCTGAAGCGCTGGGGACCAGTTGTCTAGTAATATTAGATTGGGACTGAAACAACGAGATTGTGGGTGCCGGCTTACTCTTGAGCACGTCGAGACAGATGCGGCCCAGCTTGTCGACGTTTGGGTGGTAGATCTTGGTGAGGAAACGGATCTTCGGAGGCACCATCGGGTAGTCGTCTGTCAGGAAGAGCTCCAGCTTGAATACGCCTCCTGTATTGTGTGAGTAGACGTGGCTGCGGACTCGAAAGGACAGGATCATCTACCTTCGTATGGTGATCCTGAAGGGCCATGGATCTCGACGTCGAAGTATCGGAGGTTGTCATCGTGGGGCACCGCGCTGATACCAGGAACAGGCTCAGTCATTAGACGCTCCGTCTCCTTGATGATCCGTTTCGGCAGCGCTGCAGTCGTCATGGTGTTCGTGCTGATTGAATCCACGGGAGCCGTAATGGAATCGAAGCTGATTCCGGGACGCAATCGAGAAAGTAGAAGTACTGTGTATGAGCATTGAGCAATGACGACCAACAAGGCTGCCAGGGCCCTGCACCTGCCTGCCAGCCTGCAAGAGGCGGGCGGGGTGGGGTCCATTGGCTGGGGAAGGTGCCCCTCAATTATCGGGGCCGTGTATTTCCAGACAACGGTAAATCATTGAATCGGAATAAGCACTATGGAATAAGCATTACGAGTGGCGTATCAAACGAGAACTGCTTATTCCTGTCTGCTTATTTTAATATTCGAAATTTATATAAGTGGTTTAAGCGTACAGAGATTTATAAAGGCTAAATATATATTAATACTTTTTAATATATAAAGACTTATATAAGGGCTTAGTATATTTTAAAGCGCAGGGGGTATTTTAACAAACTTGTAACAGCTAATGTTATAGGTTGAATTTATTTTAAGTGTGACGAGCCGTCTAACCTATAAGGCTAAAGGGTTCTATAGGGTTTATGTTCTGAGGTAAGTCAACACAAAGGACGATAGAGGCTTCGGTCAACTAGAAGACACTCAGATGCTGGGGCTTGGTCTGAACTGGGTTCACTGTGTAGTCAAGTCGTCAGGAGATTTCTCCCACCTTAGGGTTGGCTAAGATGCTTAGATTGATCACTGAGGTAGAGACTGTCTATCTATCTGGTTGGGAAATGTCTGTCCTTATATATCCAATCTCTCCCTCACTGATTAGGTGGCTCACCCTGGATCACCGGTGATCCAAGGTGATCCTGCTCACTGGATCACCACGGTGATCCAGTGATCCAAATTCTTAGTCACGTGACCCAGGTTCTGCTAGTCACGTGATCTGTGTACCGTTGCTCCGTTGCTCTGATCTCACCACTGATCAACACCCCACTCTCTGGTCAACCTGTTTCCAATCGTCCCCTCTAGGCCTGCTAACAGGCCGCATTGTTTGTTGGTTCGTAACATTAAGCTAAAAGTAGTGCCTTATTAAATTTAGACTAGTATATTTAATAAGAAAAACATTAAAATCACGGCTTAAATTTATTTTGAAACGGAATTAAATTAAAAGTAAAGCTTACTTTAAATTAAAATTAGGTTTAAAGCTTTAAAACTATTATAATAAGTTATAAGAAAATAAAGTAACGTAGATAACAAGCGAGCTGCAAATACAAGCGAGCTGCGAGGTGGGGCTTTCTTACAGAAAAAGTCGGTGCGTAACCGTGCGTCTACCTTTAAAAAAAATAGGAAACATCTCGGACCTGCTGCATTTAATGTAGCCTTTTCTATGGATAACAATGATATATAGAAATTGTTTTTCACTGATTTAATAGCCTATACACCCAAAAAACACTTTTTTACAAAGGTAGTTTTAGCGTACTTTGAAATAAATTTTATAATAAAATAGCTATCAACCTAGGAAATGTGACACTAATGTATTTTTCAAGTTATAAACCTAAAAAAAAAGGTCCAAGATCTTTCCAATTTTTTTCTGTCAAGTTAAAAATTAGCGCACCGACTTTTTTTATATAGAACCCACACCTTGCAGCTCGCTTATATTTGCAGCTCACTTGTTATTTACGTTATTTACTTCCTTATATATAAGAAAGTAAAGTAACGACATAGTTTAAACTTAGAACCTTAAAAGATTTAACTTTAAAATGAATAATACAAGCGGGTAATTAAACCGTTGTCAGATGTGGTGGTGGCTCTGGTGTGTGGTGTGACGTAGTCCGTGCGTCACTATGGGGTGTGAGACAGCAATTGGGTGTTGTGTAGCAACCAAACAGCCACCTATCTGAGAGACAGTTGGTAAGGGCCCCAGGCCACCTATTTAGATAGCGATTTGTCCCTTATGGACCACCAACCAGACACGAATAAAGGAACCAACCCGATCTTGATCCATCTCCTGTCCTGACCCCTGTGTGACTTCTTACAACTGTTAAGTTATTGAATTAATAATAATGATATATTTTTAAAAATTTAATATATATATCTCGCTTATTAATAAGGTAATAATTTAACGTTTTAATACACTTTTTATTAAAACGGGTAATTATTAAACGCGAGACTTATTAATACTTTAATAACACTTTATCAAACTTTAAATTTATTTTAAATCGTAAATAAATTTTACGATAAATAAAATGTTCGTAATAAATCCGTATTTGTATGGTATAACTGTTCAGCTTAAACAAATGAGCGCATGTAAAATAAAGCATTATAATGCATTTAAAAAGGAGAAATGCACTTGGGAATCGCATGTATTGCTGTAAGCATGTTAAGACCTGACATGCTTGCTGCAAGCCTTTTGAATACCCAGGTACCTGTGTGCCTTGTGGTAGCGGTATCCAGAATAAGGACCAGGGTCACGATAGGTAGCTATTGGTCTGTATTCTGGAAGTTGCTTGATTGAAAGAAGGGATGGGTGGTGTCCCCATCCCAGAAGTAGCTATCATCCCAGTTGGGTACGAATCTGGTACAAACGGGTACCAGTTGGGCTCCAAGGTACCTTGCACCCTGGTCCGTGACCCATCCGTCATTGTGGCTGGAAAATGGGTTGAGGAGCCACACCTGGTGGGTCGGCGAATATGGCTCGTGCATACAGCTCCAAATGGATGCTTGCTGCTGAGCCTCCAGATGCATAGCTTGAGCTCACCACCATCCTTCGTGGCGATATACGAGGCACACGCACGGTGATGCTTGCCCCGAGCCGTAATAGATGGACGCCAGGTACTGATGTGCCCCCGAACATGAGAGGTCTGCTAGGTCTGATATCGCAAATGGAGCGGTTCGCCGACCCTTAAGTACCAACTACTCATACTGGAGCCATGCCTTCAAATTACGGCCAGATTCTGGATCCAGCCAAGAAGGGCAAGGCCATCAAGTCTGCCTATGACAGCGAGACGTTCGATGCCGACGGCACTATCCATGTCCCTGGAATGGTAGGGTCGGCCACAATATCACCCTGTGGACGCGACGTAGCTCTCGCATCTCCAGAAGGCCTTGCTATCATCGACCTCGACTCCCCTTTCAGTCCCCCTCGGAGGCTGAGCAGCCATGGACTGCCCTGGCTGGTGGTGGATGTTCAGTGGTCTCCTTTCGCGGCGCGAGAGTTCTGGGTGGCTTCGACCGCAAACCACCGATGCCTGGTCTGGAATCTGAACCTGCGAGAGGACTCTGCAACGGGCGCCATTGAGCATTCTCTTCAGGGCCACAGTCGAGCCATTACCGACATCAACTTCTCGGCACATCACCCTGATCTGCTCGCCACATGTGCAGTCGACGGCTACGTCCATAACTGGGATCTCCGAAAGCCAAGACAGCCTGTGCTGACTTTCTGCGACTGGTCGGCCGGAGCCACTCAGGTCAAGTACAACCGCCAAGATCCTAACATATTGGCATCTTCTCACGATCGTTGGCTGCATATATGGGACGACAGAAAACCCTCCATACCCCTCAAGTCTATCAGTGCGCACACTTCCAAGATCTACGGTCTTGACTGGAACCGTACCGAGTCTACAAGTGTCGTCACATGCTCTCTAGACAAGAGCATCAAGTTCTGGGACTATGCTGCCTCTGACGAACCCCAGCGCATCATCAGAACGGAATTCCCCGTGTGGCGCGCCCGCCATACACCATTTGGATGGGGTCTCCTCGCCATGCCCCAGAATGACCCCGGGAACCTCTATTTGTATGACATTCGCTGCCGTGAAGAGGAGCCTGTGGACAATACTGTTGACCCTTTGGCAATATTCCCTGGGCACGGGAATCACAAAGTCAAAGAGTTTCTATGGAGGGCTCGCGATGTCGTCTCTGATGATGGGGTGGACAATCGAGACTTCCAGTTGGTGTCCTGGGGCGAAGATAACTATCTCCGGCTACACAGAGTAGATTTGCAGATTTTGGAGTCAGTTGGCCACGTGAAAGGGGGGCAAGCTCGAAAAATACCCATGACACGCAAAGGAGCTGCCCACAAGACTTATCGAGCAGCCGACGACCATGCAAATAAGGAGAAGAGGTCAGCTACGATGAGTGATCCTCGTCCTGGCAGTGGAGGTGGTCACCACAGACGCAGTGCTCTCACCCTCGGCATGCAGACCATGACGCCACACTATTCTCGCACTAGCAGTGCAACTGCATGGAAAGGTCCGTCGATGAAGGCAAAGCCCACTGCCGCAAAAGGGGGTGATCGAAGTCTTGACCAGCTTGGGTGGATGAAAGGTATCACGATGAGTAAGAAGAAACTGGCGGCTGTTGGGACACCACAGAGAAAGGAATCCAGAGACTCAACAATGTTTGGTCCGAGTTTCCACGATGAGCATTGGGGCGAGCCAGAAACATTGCAAGAGGAGATCATTCGTGTGAACCAGCAATTGCCCAACGTTCAATGGGATAACGTTGATATGGATGCACTCACTCTCAAAGCGTCCCTAAGGGGACCTTGGGGTACTGAGGGCGATACCATTTACATCAAGGTTAAGGTCGATATTCCTACCAATTACCCAAAATCGAGGTCACCTAAATTCCTGGTCGAGAAGACTGCCTTGATGGCGGACGACACGTACAAGAAGCTTGATCAAGAAGTGAACCAACTGGCTAGCCAGTTTTCGAAGAAACGTCAGAACTGCCTGGAGGTTGCCTTCAGCTATCTTCTCGGAGAGATAGATCTATCGAGTAGTGATGCATTCTTCAAGAATGTCAAGGATCTGGACGATGATCTCGGCGGTCTCGAGGACGAGAGTTCGAGTGACGAGGAAGACAACGAGATTCCCCCGGGTGGTTCGGCGACCATGTCCCAAGAATTGACTGCCAGTGTTGAGCTCGACGCAACCCTAGCACCAATCAATCGACCTACGATACCACCTCTTCCTCGTCTCTGCGGTGGCAGATTTTCGAATGACGGAAAATTGGTCTGCTTCTTCCCTACTAAGGAAGAGAAAGCTAAGGCTTTGCTTTTCACTCCCACCGAATCCTACAAGGAGCGCCCCAAAGGCGAGCCTACCTTTGCCGGTTTTGGCCGACTTCAGCAAGACTCGACTCCTCCGAGAAGGCGGAACATGAACGATGAACTGTCTGCAACAGATGACCACTCCGAGTCGGAAGCATCCGAGGATTCTTCGAGTTCTAGTGACTCCGAGACCACCTACATGCACAAGATCAACATGTGGTATTTACCGGGCCGACGATTCAGGAAGACATTCAGCGGCACTCACTCCATGCACTCAAGTGGTGGAGGAACTGGTATTGGCACTGGTACCGGAACTGGAACCAGCCGACGGCGCCCTGCAAGACCGAAAAATGTTGTGTCTATATATAACCTTTGCGATGAGCTGCCTTCTAAGCGGGAATTCGCCCACGAGTATATCATATTCGGGGATGGTGCCGCTGTGTGTGAGCACAACGCTGACGTGGCACATAAGTACGGACGACACGACCTGGTCGATATCTGGAAGTACGCGGCTTTGCTGCTTCGAAAGGAGATCCCGCTGGAACTCTTTGGCAACGACGAGAAACGCATTCTAGTCATTGCCAAAGACGCAGTCGCTCGTTTTGGCGACAACGGGCATGCTGCCAGTCGCTCTGCTGATGCTCCCCTGACTGGGCGAGTCAAGTGGGGTCAGCATCCTCTCGCGAAGGGCTTGATCAGTGATCTATTTGACCACTTTGAAAGACTTGCCGACATACAGATGCTTGCTATGCTCTCATGCATATTTAGCGAGTCGTCGACCGAGGACAGCGTTGCGTACGCGGAGTCGCACCTGACCCAGCCGGAGACGCCACTGCCCATGAAGGCACCGTCGTTCTCGCTGGATTATTTCCCCACGGACGCGTCTCTGTGGCATGCTGATAGCACCATGGCCAAAGCCCAGCTGGACTCGGCGATCTCGACGCCCAAGACGCTGCACACTCCAGTTCAAGTCGTTGGTTCCTATGGGTCTGAGGAGGGTGCATGGGCTGGTGAGCCCGAGTCCACTTCCTACTCATGTGGCGAGACGCCTCCGACCAGAACGCCAAAAGACCACATGTCGGAGGGTGACCCTACTCAGAGCTTGTCTACATCGCCTGAGAACAGGCTACTCCGTCGCGCCAACACTGCACTAACCTCGAGTCTTGCCAGCTTTCCCAGGCCTTTCGCCACTGCCGCATCAACATCACCCCCCAACCGGAAACATCCTAGCCCGGGCGAAAACTTCCTTGCCAATCTGGCCCCCTCAAACATCACTTGGGGTGGTTCCACCATCCTAGGACCTACGTCGGATCCGTCCGCTCCGACACACAATTCGTATTCTGACGAGGAATCGCGGCCGGCTGATGCTCCTCCTCTTGTCTGTTACGGCATATCCATCGAGATGGCGGACCAGACCATGTTTGATGACGACGGCTGGTCGGCGGTGCCTTTTCTTGAGCCTTCACGCACCGTCACGTATGCCAACTACCGGTACGCATACGCCGAGATGCTTCAAATGTGGGGTCAACCTCTGGCTCGCCTTGAGATCATGAAGTTCAATGTTCTCAAAGATGACGTGCCGGGTCCCCAGCCTGGCGTGAAAGGATTCAACGATTCATACCACAGCACCGAAAACACGAGCCATGCGTCGCAATCGCACCTAGTCCTGGGCAAGAAGGAACACTTGCAATCGTTGATCACATCAGGCCGCGGCCTCGATGTTACCGGCATATGTCGCGTGCACGAAACTCACCTGGATCCCATCCGATCGATGCAGGCGGGCGCAACAGCTGGCGGTGCAGTTGGGAGCTGCGAGCGCTGTAAGCGCACACAGACGCAGCTATTCTGTGTGTTCTGCCACGAACCCATCGATGCCCTCTATCCGCCTTGCTTGTCCTGTGGCTGTGCCAGTCACGATGCCTGTCTCGCGGAGTGGCATGCTAGCGAACTCGAATGTCCAGCGGGTGATGAGTGTGATTGCGTCGAAGAGGCAAGCAGCGGTCAGGTCGAGACCTGGGCCGCCATGGTCGGTGCCCTGCGACAAGGCAAAGTTCGCAAGGCATTTGAAGAGAAAGAAGAAAGGAGTTCCCGCGCAAAGCGTGGGTCAATAGATAAGAACGACTGGGAAAACATCGCCACGGGAGCAAACTTGCCGCTCGCCGATGGGCAGGGCAAGCCCCTCGAGCAGCACCAATCTCAGCCACCTATCTCGGCTGCTAGAATAAGTTTGGGGAATCGGCTGCGCAAGAGCGCTGGCAGTTGGGGCAGCACGGCGTCATTGCGCAAGAAATCTGGAAGTGTGAGCTCTGGATTGGCCAGACGATGAGATTGCATATTGCAGTATACCAGTGCTCATCGGGCATATATGGTTTCACGACTCGTGGACGGCGTCATAGAGCTAGAAGTCGTATGTATGATGGGTGTATAATTTTGTATATTTTGATCACATCCGTGGCACTGATCAGCCTACTGTAGGGGCGCAGCAATCAGAGGCAATCATCAACGTTGCTTTAGCCACCACAGTCCATAAGAGCCGTGTCCGGATCCTGAATTTGAAGTCGGAGTTCAGGCCACTTGAGACGGCGTCTCATTATGATACGGCTACCTCTGTCCGCTCCCACTCGATGTTGAACAATCCTCCCAGAGACACGCACACGCCCAACTCCCCTCTGCCCTCAATACGAAAAAGTACCACGAAATCGAGCCCCTTTCTCGCCCAGCTTCCCGCCGTATCCGCCGCCATTTCCACCGCCATGCCCGCACTTCCAGACTGCCATTTGTCCCACAAGACATAACCCCAGCCTGGTGTCTAGCAAGTACACATCTGGACGCATTGCGACGTCGGGTCCGCATGGCAGTTGACCTGCCCGCCGCTGCAGAAACAGAGGCTTCCGCAGAGACTCTGTAGTCCCGCACCGCAGCTGAGGGTGTGATGACTGGCTGTAGGCGCGGGGGCCGACGATGTCGTGTTGGACATGACCATGGCTCGCGCTGACGCGGCAAGGAGGATGGTGATGAGGTGGGACTAGATCTCCTGGTCAGTCCGCCGTCATGGCAATAATAGTTATTGTGTGTCTGGACGAACCTTCATGTTTGCTGATGTTGTGCCCGGGTCGATACCGAAGCTGAGCTCGATGATAAGGTACTTTGTGGGCTTCCGGTGCAGGTGCTGGTGGTGGTGGTGGATGTTTGGGGGATCGTTTTCTCGAAGGGTAATCGCAAAGCGGAAGTCTGCTTTTGTAGACAGGGCGGGTGTGGGATATATACAGTTTATCTGTGGCAACAACAGGCGCGCAAGATTGGCGGTGGTGACTGCAACCTGTTTTACATGCTGCAAGGTACGTAAGATATCAGATCTTGAACTCCACAATTCACGTTTAGCATTGGCGGTCAATGTTCATCTCACCGGACGAGGCTCACAGCCTGTTTGGCCAGATTAGCGGTGATGCTGCGTTGTCGTACGATGGGATGATCCGAAGGTGAATACTCGGTCGCGGGAGACCTACAAGGACAAACCCTCGACTTGCGATGCACATGTTTGCGTCAACGCAGAGTCACTGGTGTGCTGAGTCATTTGCCCGTACCCGGGGTCGGTGGCTACATGTAGCGATGATTCCTCGTGGTCCGGCATCCGGGCGATGGAATGGTACACCGATGTAGGATGATGGGCGACACCGGCGGTTTAGTCAATTAGCAACAGGAATTGGTGATATGTGGCATCTCCTGAGCCGCATGTCACTCCGATGGTGGTATTTTCCAAAGGTGGCAAGGCAACTCACCGAGAACACGTTGCCCCGGACATCATTCTTAGAGTTGATCCTTGTGAGTCCTGTTCGAGAGACGGCGTCTTTCGAGCGGGCACAAACGCCCCCTTGTGTGACGACATCTGTCGAACAGGCACAGACCCCTTACGGCGCCAAACTTCGACGAACTAGCAGGTCTGGATGAGCATGACGGGAGGCATTTCGTAGTTCCTGGAAGATTAGGAACTTGCAACACCAAAGACATGTCTTACGCCGGCAATCATTTTCTGATTATTCGGCCTTTTGGCTTACGTAGGTTCCGCTGAATAACTTAGGGGTACGACATGTGGCCAACTTGGCCCAATCTGACCAAACCATACGCTGCCGGAATGCTGCATTTTTAGATGTGTCAGATCGCAAGTTCTGCATGAGTAGGCTTCCTGATTGGGTACCAGTACTCGTTGCTGGAAGTCAGGGACCCTGTTGATTATAGTAGCCTATGCATGCAGGCTAGCAACTAACAGCTGACTGATCGCCCAGACTGGCCGAAGGCTTCCGGAATTCTCTACATAAGAGCTGCGTCCTCTATCTCTGGCAGGCCAGAGTCTTGCAATCATTTCACCTGGAGGAACATACACATTGTTCCTATCCAACATGGGTACTCCCACTCCCCACTCCGGTTTCATCACCACGCCTGGCGGTGCCCGCCTGCGGTACACCCAAGAAGGACCGTCTTCTGCTCCCAATCTCCTCCTCATCCCCGGTTGGGCGCAGACAGCGGCTCAATTCAAGAAACAAGTCGACCACTTCAGTGCCAACTTCCGCGTGACCACGTACGATCACCGCGGGCAGGGCGAGTCGGACAAGCCGGCCTTTGGCTATCGCATTTACCGGCTCGCCGCTGATCTGGAGGCCCTTCTCACACAGCTGGACCTGCGAGACGTCATCATGCTCGGCCATTCGATGGGATGCTCTGTCATCTGGGCGTACTGGGACATCTTCCCCCACGACAGGATCTCGAAACTGGTGCTCGTGGACCAGGCCCCGATACTTACGGCCAACCCGGCCTGGTCTGCCGAGGAAGCGGCCGGCTACGCTGCAATCTTCTCGCCCGCGGCAGTCTTCGAGTTTACGAACAGTTTGGCGGGGCCCGACGGCAAAGCGGCCTGTGCTGCGTTGGTGAAGAGTTTCTTCACCGCCCAGGTCGATCCGACAGATCTGGACTGGATGCTGGAACGCACCTTGAAGATGCCGTTGGCAGCCGCTGCGCAACTTTTCATCAACCACGCCGGGATGGACTGGAGGGACGTCATCCCCAGGATCGACGTCCCGACGTTGGTGGTTGCTGCGGAGGGCAGCTTGCTTCCTACTAAGGGGTTGGCATGGATCGCGCAGAAGATACCGGGGGCGAAGGTGGAGGTATTCAAGAAAGAAGACGGAGGCAGTCACTTCATGCTTTGGGAGAATGCGAATGAATTTAATAAAAGAGTTGCGGCCTTTCTGACCGACGAGGGAACTGAGGAGAGCCGATAAGACACATTGAGCAATCGATTTGATAGTTTGGTATCATATATGTATTGATCGTTTCGGTTGACATGGGGATCCGGTGGTACGGCTTTACTAGGCACCAGTGTAGATTGCGTAAGGTAGACCCCAGAAACTTGAAGCATGGCCTGGGTGGCTTATTGGAGCTTGTTTATACGAGCTATGAGATTATCTATGGGGTGTGAAATTGACTACGGCAAGATTACTTGTCTTCTGGCACAGTCTCCGGACTGGCACGACCTTGTCCAAAACGCAACTCGTCCTGGTGATACTTGATCCAACCATTTCGTTCTCTTATCTGATCTTGGTAACGCTCGATGACATGTTCTGCAGTTTCCTCGCGCTTAGCCTGCCCATCCTTCCAACGTTGCACGTCTATGTCACGCTGATCGCGGTTTTTTGCATATTCGGCAATGCCGATATATGTAGACCAGTAGCTTTCGTGCACAAACACCCGGCAATCTCGAATCGTGTCTAGGTAATACTCGAATCACATTGATATATCGTGCCTTCCATTCATTTCGTCGTTTTTATTTGCGTAGTTTTCTGCAACCTTGTGTGTCCAGTAAAGCACACGAGCGTTTGCGTCCTGGTCGTTGATGTTATGCCGCATCCTCCATTTTTGCCAGAGAGGAAACCACATGGGACTGTCCCACACTCCGCGTGATTGAGGTTGCGACACTCCTATATGAGGATCGACTATTGCTTCGGGGAAACGTTCCTCTTTGTGAACCCATATGCATACTGCAAGCGTACCGAATAATATAGAGATACGCTGATCGACGTCCTTAAGGTACTTGCAAATTGGCAGTTGTGGTTTGGTTGACACAGCCCAAGCATAGCAGCGGGAGAGAAGAAATCTTATATTACCAGAGGGCGAAGTCGATAGTGGATTGCGCCCTAGATATGAAGGGTTCTTCCAGTTGTACGACGCGCTACTGGGATCGGATTCTTCGACTACAAAATCGCAGAGAGGGTCTGTTGCAACCTCGTATAGGGGGAAATCGCATAACTGTATGATGCGAGGAGACGGTCGAAGTCTATCGTCGCTCGTGCCATGAATGCGCCGCACATGGGACCGAAGATTTGCTGGGCGGGCGCGTGCGCGCGCGTGAAAAGGACCAGGATCAAGAGGTACCTGATCCCAGTATTGCTCCAAAAATTGCTGGAAGGCCATCTGCACGACTGGCGATTCGACGAACTGAAGCAACGCCAGTGGATCGATATCTGGAAGATGATGAGCCAAAGCCATCGTCGGAAACGTGAATGGAGTTGCCCAGGCCTCGAAGCTCTCAACCTTCCCCTTGAAAGCGGCCTTTTCGAAATCACTGAGGGCGAGGGAGGAGAATCCCTCAGTAGGTGGTTCTGGCGAAGAGATCTCTGGGTTTGCTTTGTTCTTGGAGCTATCCAGTGTGCTGGTTTGTGCGTTCGTTTCAGTGGAAGAAGCCCCTGGGTTTCCTTCATCATTGGAGCCAGTCATAGCGTTGGTTTGTAGGTTCGGCTCCGGGGAGGAGGCCCTGGAGTTGGGTCGTTATTGGTGCTAGCCATTGTGCTGTTTCCGTGTGTGATTATGGGTGATTCGATGCTTCTTGTGTCTTGTTCCGGTTTGTGTGCTTGTTGTGCCGCCGAAAAGCCGCAGCTTCAATGTCTCTTATAACTCGAGCAGCCCTAAGCAGCTCCTTACATCCATGGCTAGACAAAAGAGGAATTCAGGGGCAAAGATGCTGTTGTTCTCCCCCAAAACCAACGCAGATCTTGAAAGCAAGACTCAAGCCGAAGTGCCCTTGCTCTCTGGCCGCTTGCGGACTTGTGTGGACGAAAGGACCTCTGCGGAGCACATCTTTGAGATCAAGGAGACTGTTCATAATTGGCTCAACCCACATAAAGCCAGCAGAATCAAAAGGAGTGCCTCTCGAAGATAGGGACCCGATAGTACCTCACATCAAAGCATGAAGTGGATCGGCGCTAGCTACGGGATAAAGACCTTCGGCCGTGTCAGCGTCGAGGAAGCCGAGTATGGGAGAAAAGACGTTCAATGTGACTCAGGGTGATTGATTCTCTCTAGCTATCTCTATCTGGGATGGATCCCAGATCCTATCTAATAGTACAATTGGATCCCGGAGGCCCCACCTCCCAGGATCGCTCCTTCTATGGGATGATGAAAGAAAGATATCTGACGACATCTCGAGATCCTTGACGTATGCTATTCCTTTCAACATCACAAATCATCATGGCGAGTTCGGCGCACAAAGACTGCCCAGGTGTACCCAGGTACATCCACATGTACCTCCTCACAGAATGGACCTCCACGTGACGTCACATGCAAACAAGAGGAGCTTCACATGAAGTTCCACGGATCCATCCAACGCTGGATTGCCCATCTGCACAACTTTTTTCAATTGATCATCAAGCCCTTCTATGAAAACAGGCCAGGCTACCTACAGCTACAGGAACCTCACTGCTTCTAAGTCAAGACTCGTCCCCTTGATGGCCCTCCTAACCCTAACCCCTAACCTAACCTGGCACCCAGGCCTCTCAGAGGCCTCTCGATCTCCCAACCCCTATTCTCCAGTCAATACTCTCATCACCACCACCACCGCCACCAACACCCAACCCAACCCATCCCAAAAGAGGCCCACCCCAACCATCCTCTCGATTGGCTGCGGCAACGGGCTCTCCGAGGCCCTCCTGCAAGACCAACTCCCGAGCGCCGATGTCATAGGCGTCGAAGTCCAGTCCGCGACGGTCCGGTATCTCGACGAGCACCACGTCCGGCTCGTCAGGGGGACGTGGGATATCGCCGCCGAGGCGGAGGACGTCGATGTCTGGGTGTGGGTGTACCCCCGGGAACCGCGGCTCGTGAGGGCTTATCTTGAAAAGTTCGGCTTGGCGACGGTGACTACTACGAGGACAACCTCGACAGCTCCGCCAGGATCGGCGGAGATGGACGCAGGGCCGACACCAACGTCGACACCGACGAACCGACCGCGGGTCTGGAGGCTGGTCTGGTTGGGTCCGCGCGTTGATTGGGAGGACTACGAGCCCGTGCTGCGGGCGAGCGTCTTTGGGGACCACGTTGAAGTCTTCTGTGGGTCTGAAGGCGGGTTGGCCGCGGAGGAGATGATGGCGGTTGAGACGATTTCAGATGATCATGTGGAAATCTGACACGACATGAGTGCTATGGGCTGCTCAGCTGCCACCGAGATCGCTGTCATCGCCAACACCCCGACCTGAGCCCCTTCGAAGTCCTACGATGGAAACGATCACGCGGCCGGAGCAGTTCTGCTGGTGGCTGCGTGGGGTATACTTGGGCAGCTAAACCGCTCGGATGAACAACTGGTGAAGGCGCGGCCGTCGATATGCTTCATATGGGAAAGCTTCGTCCTTTGGAGAAACTTACTCACACGAGGTCCCGAAAGCAATTATACCACCAACCGCCTCTTCATATGAGCGCCTGCCAATCATGATGGTGGATGACTCTGATGAGGAGCTGTTCGAAGGTATTTGCAGACCAAGGGACAGCTTCTGTTGGTTTCCTCCGTTTCCCCTTCTGACTATTGAATAGGAGCGATTCGATCCAGCCACGCGTCCACCAAAGAATCATGTGAACGACGAAGACGCCACGCCACCTCTAGAGGCCTGGTGACCACGATTACCCCCGAATCTAGCGGCGTTATCGTTAAGCTTCAGTACGTTCGCGACGCCACATGCTCGCAACCTGGTGTCAGTCAACTAATAGGTAGGTAGGTACACTACACACTCAGAAGACTCCGTACACCCCGAAATCAAGGTCTTGAATACACAGCGATATTCCACTGTCTGTATCCTGTCAGGAGAAGAACGTCTCGAGTGCGAGGACGGAGACTTCTGGGGGTTCAGTGTACCTAGGTAGTAAGGTATACCTTACTCAACCAACAAAGATAGTAACTTCAGCTCATCAACGCGCTCCGTCGTCGACTCCCGTCACGAGACCGCCCAGAAGTGTTGTCGCAGCTGCACACAGACCGCCTTGTGGCGCAGACGAGGCAGAAAGAAGGTTACGGCGGACTTGCGCCATTGGCGCCATTGACGCCTTGAGAGCATCACGAGTGCTTGCACGTGAACCACTCCAATGTCACTTCCTGGTTTATTAGACTTCACTCTTTTGATGGGCCGGAGATCCACGTACTTTCTCATACAAATATCTGGTCTCGACTCCCCCCTGCAGACTTCACTTCCGTCCGCAGACCACTCTCGTCCGACTACACTCTCGTCCTGAGTACACTCAGACTCATCAGACTCCAGCAGGTATGTGACGAAGCACCCCTGCTTATTTCAGAGTGCTTATTCCATTCACGACAGATACACCCCTCTCGCAACCAACACCAGCCCCCGAAACCATCATCATGAAGCCCACCCAAGCCTTCATCTGCCTCGGGCTGTTCGCCCTGCGCGGACTTGCGGCTCCAGCCCCGGTTCCCGCAGCCGGCAACCAAACCGACGGCACCCCAGCCGCGCCGTACCTCAGCCCCCGGGAGGATTGTTGGAACGTCGACGACTGCGGTGGCGAAGTATGCCCCTATGACTGGACATGCGATAAGGGTTCCAAATGGACCGGAGGCTTCTGCATCTGCTCTCCATTGTAGGCATAATTCTACATGGCTGAGCCTTTTCTTACGTGCATAGCTGGATAGGAGGATGACAGCCTAAGTCTGCGAGCACATGGCTGGGAAATCTGGGTGTCGGACAAGCAGGACGGACGTGTGGACACAGCAAACCCATAAACAGTATCCCGGCCCATATATGTTCACGGCATCAATTCGAATATATGTCTACTCACCCCAAGATAGTCGTGAGACTGATCTCCCCGTCTTCGGGGAAGAGTTTTATCGTGCTCTCGCGAATCAATTGTGACACTATAGGTAAACCCACCAAAAGTCTCCGTGCACCCCAACCCCATTCTTGAACTATCTAAGCCAGTGTCCGACAATGCTATGAAGTGTGGCATCAGCGCTCCGTGATCAGCGTAAAGAATGGTCTTTCGGCATGCAAAAGCTTATATCACCGTGCTGATTCCACCACCCATTATTATTATGAGGTTATTCTTAGTTCCGGGAGGAAGAGACTCCAATGCGCGCGCACGGATACTTGTGAGTGGTGACTGAGCCTACTTCCTTTATTTCGTTTTGTTGTTGAAGGCGGCTCCCGCCAATGCCACCATGTCGCCACCCTGTCGCCACCGTTGATCAGTAATTTACCTACTCTGAGCTCACGGCAAGTATAAGTGCGTATGCCGTCGGATGTTTTAGACACTTCAGCGTCTTCTAGTTGATATCGTCCTCTGCGTTCCGCATCCTGTTCTGTTCTGTTGTTGAAAAGCAGGAAGGTCATGGCCATGGTCATGGTGATAGGTAGGTAATCTTGATGATTAGGTAAGGAAGGTCAAGTCGGTGTCTCGGACTCTCGGGGCGGTGGCCCCCTCCTCTCACCGTGTGTCACCGTCTCACCGAAGGAGTGCGCAGGAGTGACAAGTGCGGCCAACCCGCCCAAAACTCGCCGAGCGCGCCCGAAACGTACGACGTAAGCTGTCTGCCTATGCCTGGAGCCTGGAGACAGTCATGACGCCGACACGCGTTGTACGAGCGCCTAACGAGCAAGAGGCATCATTGAAAAGGCATTTAGCAGTAGCTGTCTTTTGAGAAGGCGAAAGCGAAAGCGAGTGATATTCTACTCCTCCATTCAACGTCCTTCTCGACTCTCAAGTCATCGATCCATCTGAGAGTGAATCTCCGGATCCATCGGCTTCGACTTGACGTCAGACTGTCAGAGATCCGAGACCCTTGCATGAGGTGCCTGTCCTACCGGGTTCCTTATTCAATAAAGCCTACCCGTCTCCCAATTTCCTCCGTCTTCTCGTTCCCCAATCGGTTTCCAAGCGGTAATCGAACTATAAACCGAATATCATTAAAATGAGGTACACATCTCTCCTGCCCATCGTGGCAACAATCGCCGTCGCCTTTGTCATCCCGGACGAGGCGACCGCGCAGCAGCTCGCCCTCGAGCCCGAGGCCGAGCCGCCGCAGGCCCCGTCCTCCTCATCTTGGTGGGACGCGCTCCCCAGCTTCGACGACCTGCGCTCGACGGCCGAGGACACCCTCTCCAGCGCCGCCGACGCCCTCGAGCGCCAGGCGAGCAAGCTGAGCGACCTGCTGCCCGAGGTTGAGCTCACGACCGAATCCGAGTACGCCGACTTCCTGGGCCGCGGCCACGTCGGCAGGCCCGGACACCACGGCTCGACCAACCTGACCGTGTACCAGGCCATCCAGGCGTCCAACTACACGCGGCGGTTCGCCGCGCTCGTCGACGACTACTCGGACCTGGTCGACGTGCTGAACAGCACCAAGGCCAACGTCACCGCCTTCGTACCTGTGGACAAGGCCTTCGAGCGTATTCCTGACCATGGGAAGAAGCCGCCGAAGGAGTTCATCGAGAAGGTCATCGAGTACCATATCGTGCCCGGCTACTACCCCGCCGGTCGAGTGCTCGCGCACCATACCCTGGCGACGGCGCTGAAGAGCGAGGAGCTCGGGGACAGGCCACAGAGGCTGCGGGTCAGCCTGAGTCTGTTCGGTGTCAGGGTCAACTTCTACAGCAAGGTGATCATGGTGAACCTGGTATGCATGCCATTCCCCTTTACCATCGCCACCACACCCCACACTGCAGCCTGGACGTTTTAAGTAACTAACCCTCCCGCCCCAGTTCTGCAAGAACGGCATCGTCCATGGCGTCGACAAGATCCTCGTCCCGCCACCCCCGGCCGAGAAGCTGATCTCGCTCTTCCCGTCCAAGTTCTCCACGCTCGAGCTCGCGGCCGAGAAGACGGGTCTGCACCACCACCACGAGTCCTCCGAATCGCACCACAAGACGACCGGCCTGACCATCTTCGCGCCGACCAACTGGGCGTTCCGCAAGCTCGGCCCCGCGGCCAACGCCTTCCTCTTCAACACGGACAAGGGGCTGGGCTACCTGAAGGCGCTGCTCAAGTACCACATCATCGTCAACGAGACGCTGTACTCGGACGCGTACTACGGGCAGGAGAAGAAGGACGACAACGACAACAACAAGGATGCCGAGCTCGCTCTCGACGTCGAGAAGGATATTGAAGGAGAGGAAGAGGGCGAGGTCGACGAACAAGGCGCCAAGCACTACCACCTCGACCTGCCGACCCTGCTCGACGACAAGAGCCTCGCCGTCGACGTCGCGCGCTGGTACGGCTTCATCTCGCTGACCATCAACGGGCACGTCAAGGTCGCCATCCAGGACGGCGTCGCCAAGGACGGCGTCGTGCAGGTCGTTAACTCGGTGCTTATCCCGCCGCACAAGCACCACCAGCACGAGGACGCCTGGAAGGGCGATGAGAGCGAGGAGATCAGTGTGGAGGAGCTGATGGAGCGGCTGCAGCCTTTTGTGGAGAGTGAGGGTGAGAGTGTGAGCGTGGTTGAGGGGGTGAAGGACAAGGTCAGGGAGACGTTGGCTTGGGGTGAGTTGTAAAGACTTTGATAGCGGAATGGAACCTATGGGTACGGGGGATGTTTTTACGATTTTGGGACATAAAATTACTCTCCTTTTTTGGCATTGGGGTATGGCATCGGTACTTGCGAATACGGAATGGGGATTAGGTACCGGGTCAACTAAACGTAGGACTTTCTGGTATCACTAAACCAAAATCGGGATGCTTTTCACGGGTCGTGAAAGTCATATGTACTGTGGACAAACATATGTATCCTCGCACGCTCGAGGCAGAGTTACACTCGCTACATGAGACATGATACCTAGTCCGGTACGGTGTAGATTGGGTGTAACAAAAGAACAAAACACATCAAAGGAATGCCATATTGTTATCATTGTCATTGTCATTGTCATTGTCATTGTCATCCTACATAGGTACAGCGTGACTTGACATAAACAGACTCGTGGACAGACTCAACAACCAACCAGCCAGCAATAATAAATCCATCCCCTGATCACTCACACCCTACGCACCCCAAACCCAGCAGCCAGCCTCACAGGGCCCTGCTGCTGATACCGCGCATCATGCTGTTCCTGCCACCCCTCCAACGCATCAACGACGCGGACGCCGTTCCGCACGTCCACGGCGCCCCAGCGCTGCTCTCTGAACATCCTCCGTTTGGGTATCTTCGCTTCGCCATCAGTGGTCTTCTTTCCCTCCTTGTTCCCTTTGCCGCCCTGCCCCTGCCCCAGCCCCTGCCCCTGAGCACCACCCTTCCATACCCCCATCTCATCCAGCAACGCCTCGACAACCCACACATACCGCACCCCCAGCAGTCCTTCGCCTTGCCCTGCGCCTTGACCAACTCCCACACCGCCACCAGCTCCAACCCCGACCCCGACCCCGACCCCACCACCTCGGAGGGCAGGCGGCGGCGCAAACACCCTCTCGGCATCGCCCCGCGCCCGCGGCACGCGCGTGCACAGCAGGTGCACGTCGAGGAACTGCGCAAACGTGACGCCGAAGGCGGGCTTGTTGCGGCGGCTGAGCGATGCGGCCGCGGCGCCGTAGGTGGTCGCTGACCCGCTGCCGGGATTTGGTAGTGGTGCTGGGTTGAAGATGGAGCGGAGGGTGGGTTCAAGGGGCCGCTGGGGCTGGTTGTTTTGATGTGGATGGTTTGGGGTTACTGGTCCTCCACCTGGTCCTCCACCTCCTCCTCCTGGTCCTGAGCCTGGGGTCGCGTGGGTGCCGGTTGATCCTGTACATGTCGACGATGAAGACGATGATGAAAGCGGCGAAGTCGTAGAGTTAAGTAGCAGAACCAACGGGCCCGCGGACCGGGCCAGATACCGCAGGTGCGACGCCAGGAGCTGCAGCGACGTGTGCGCGGCCGGCTTTTCGCGCTGGGTGAAGAGCGCCGTCAGCAGCGACGAGAAGTGCGTTATGAGGATTATGTCTGGGACTGGGAGGGGTTGATCGGATGCGAATCTGGATTTTGGGGGCGCTGATGGCAGAAGTGGAGGCTGAGACTGGGGCTGGGGGTGTGTTGATGGGTTTGGGGATGCTGATGGCGGTGCCGGTGGTGGTGGTGGTATTGTTGTTGGTTCGGGTGCTGCTGTGGAATCGGGTACAGGAGTCGGTATAGGCGCCGGCGATGCAGACGAAGGAGCCACCAACGACAGCTCGTCCTCGTCTTCGCTGTCGAGCACCACTTCCGACCCGGGCCGCGCCCCTATCCCTATCCGCAGCGGCGGTAGCACCGCCGCAGTAGGTTCTGGGGACGACTCTGGTGGAGAACTCAGCGATGACTCCGGCGGCTCGTATCCTTCCGGCTCGTCTGGTGGCCCCCCATTTCCCGCGCCTTCGTCTGCTTCTTCCTCATCGTCTTCCAGTTGACGTTGGGCAGCAGTGGGAATCTCCTCTTCCTCCCCTCCATCATCAGGCACAGCCGCCGTGTCGGCGGCCTGGGCCTGGTCCTCCAGCTCACCGAGCACCTGCCACAAGCCCTCGATATCAAACACACGCGAAAGCGAGATCAGCTCCAGACACCGCCGGACTTCGGCATCCACCACGCCCGGGCTCGCCGGACCCAGCTTGATCTGCACCTGTGCCTTGATGACGTCGCGCAGCGTGGGTAAGATCGTCGTAGCTGGTAGGATGGTGATGATGGCTGCTCGAGGCCGAGGCGGCGGCGTTGTCTTTGAGTCTGAGCTTGGGTTCTCGTTTGAGTTTGTTGTAGGCGGGGCAGGGAAGACCAGGGAGTGTGCGATGGTTTGTAGTCCGAGCTGGGTCTTTTGTTAGTATGGTGCCCCATACTGCGTGTATATAAGTTCCAAGTCGTGAGCGAGACTCCCGCGTCGTGAAGGTTTCAAGAAATAACCCCTTTGGGAACTTTTTTCCGACCAGAAAAAGTACGTTCGCGTCCTCCATCCTCCCAGCAAACACCCATCCACCACCAGCACTCCTCTCGTCTACCCTTCCCCATCTCACATGCTCCCAATCTTCACCTCACCCATCCATCCCCTCCCAAGCCCCCCCAACGAAGAAACCTCTTCCCTCTTCATCAAACGAACCCCCAAACAAACCCCAATGCGACCCCAACGAACCCCAACGAGCCCAACTGAACCCCCCAAAAATCAGAACGAAAAAAAAACCACTCACAAGCATCCCAAAATCCCCCTCCTCAGCACTAACCCCCACCACGCCCCCGCGCTCGAGCCCGCCCATCAGCGCCGCCTCGTCGACCTCGCCGCAGCCCATCTTTAGCCGCCCCTTCCGCGCCAGCCCCTCGCGGCGCGCGACCTCGAGCCCGAGCAGCGTAGCGCCGGACACGGGCTCGAGCGGGAAGTAGTGGGGCAGGGTGCTGCTGCCCGCTTGCGAGGGTGGTGATGACTCTGGCTCTGGCTCCGGTGGTGGTGGTGCTTGTAGTGGTGGGGGTTTGTCATGGTCGTTGCTGGTGTAATGGTGATTTTCGTGGTGACGATGGTGGTTGGGATCCATGATCTGTCCGTCCATTGGTGGCTGCGGTCGATTTGCCTGCCGTCTGCAACCGACTGTCTGGTTGGTCGGCTGTCTGGCAGTGGTAAGTAGAACAACCTGATTGATATGACGCATGGGGTAAATGCTCCCCAGCTAGTCGATTCGTCTGGTCCGGTTCGGTCCTTCTGGCTGACCGACCTAGCCGACCGGTTGTTTGTCTGTCTCCTGACGAAGATTCGCTATGTGAACTGGGTCCGTGGAAGCGCGACAGCGGACTGGACGAAAATGTTATCTGGGCGTCAGCGACGCGCTGCCGATTAACGAAGAATCAAATCAACCGAGCTTGACTGATACGACCAAGTATTATTAGGTACGTTATCGTCAGTCCAGTCAAGTGCATGTGTGTTCATGTGATCGAGGCCTACAGATAGACGGATGTAGTTGTAAGGAAGGACTTATAAAAGTGGAGAAGCAACAAAAGTGTACCTAGTGGGTAGAAGGGTAGAAGGGTAGAAGTCAGCGCTGGTCTACACCACGTTTATGAGGTGAGCATCATCACGTTATCATGGATTCATTGGCTGGAAAGTCTGCTGAGGTCTCAATTCATCATTGAATCTCGGATCTCGAATCTCGAATCTCAATCTGCAGGAACCTCTCTTCAAGGGCGAGGGCGGAGGCGGGAGCTTGCTTCATTACAGCTGCCACCCTCCAGCTCATCGGCCAACGCCAAGTGCATCTCGCAAATGACCTGGATTCCGGATCTGCTGTCTCTACTCACACAACAGGAAATAGCTATCCTGACAAAGAAAATTGCCTTCCGAGGCAGTGATTGTGGCATCAAGTTGTCCCCGCCACGCATCCTTCCCTGCTCCTTTTTTGGATCAGGCCTAATGATACCCCAATGAGTGAAGAACTCTTGAAAAGTCCTGCTTTGGAAGCCGCCTCGCCCAATGCAAGCGGTGCATCAGTGACATACCAGAAAGCAAGTATGTGCCACATCAACCCTGCCAGAAGGCTGGGAGAAGAAACGGCTCAGACAATGATTTGTCGCCACCAAGCTTCTGTATGATCTGACCATGAGAGATGTCTTAAAAGTCGTATTCGATTCTCACATGGCAGCACCAGGGAGTGGACCAGTATAGTCCTTGGCCGGTACCTCTGGACGCTGTCTTCGTCCACCCTTCACGCTCTTAATACGTGAAAGAAAGCCGGTGCTCGCGGGCTTGGCCTGACCCTCTTGGGAATCCATAGTAGCATCCGTAGTCGATCGACGTTCCAGCACCGCCCCAGTCACGGGAGGGCTCATAGGAGGAGGGGCCGGGTTGCTATCCTTGCGCTTGACACTGATACGCTCCTCGGCCTTGTTGTCGAATTCGTTGAAGAAGGGGTTTCTTTCACCAGTCGAACTGCTGGTCGGTAACGCTGACGCCGGTCCGTAGTAAGCGCCAGGGCTAGTTACGCGACCTGATTCGTAGTCGCGTGGCTCGCGCGGGGCACGCTTGATGCTGCGGAATCGCTGCACCACCGACTTCTTTCTTCCCAATCCCGACTCTAGTGCTTCCTGAGCTGTCTCGGACTGGTTTCGTGTGATGGCGGCTCGGGCAGCCGGCGTGCCCTCCAAGAAGGTCGATGCTCCAAGTCCAATTGTCTCTTCACCGTACTCGTACTCGCCCCGTTGCTTGGGGTCAAAGAAGGTCAACTCCTCTCGGTTGGTTCGCTGCTCCTTCTGCTCCTTGACCACCCCAGCGGCATACATCGAGGTTGCCTCGTGGGGTTCATGTCCCATGAAGAGCTTGTGGTCGGGTCGTTTGTTGACGGGGCCAGAGCCACCGATCGAGTTGTTGGCAGAGTCCTTAGCAAATGCCGACATTGGTGCACGACGGCTACCTTTGCGGTTGCGGTGCGGGTTGCACGCGTCGAACGGACCGTCATGGTGGAACACTAAGGTGGCATGTCAGCGGATAGATCAATCAAGCGCGGAGAACAAGACCCACGCCCAGTGCCGTAGATGCTTGTGGCATCCAGCTGATCGATGATATCCAGTTTCCGCTGGGTGCGAGGCTTGCCGTCACGGTCGCGGTGGCGTCTCTCACGATCGCGGTTTCGCATCTCACGCAGCTTCTTCTCTTCGTCGGTCATGGGCTTCTCCATAACCGAGGATTCACTGTTGCGGCGTAGACGTCGTTCCGAGCGTTTCTGTGGTGAGCCACCAATGATCCTATCTCCATTGGTTGCGGCTTGCATTCGGCGCGCCTTCTGGGCTTCTTCTTGCGATCGCGTGGGCCGATGGGACGAGGGAGGCGGACCTCGACCATGCGGGGGGATGTTCTCACCACGCAGGGGACCACCTGTAGCAGTGCGGTTCGTCGGAGGTCGGCCGCCGCTGGGACGGGACTGCTGCATTGTTGAGTTTCTATCGTCAACAATCAGGTTGTCCTGCAAGGGAGCAATGTTAGCCGTGTCGTAATGATTGACTGTGCAGCAGAGAGCAAGGACAGGTAAGTGAACTCACAAAAAGCTCCTCGGCGGTGGGAGACCGACGGGTCTCTAGGGGCGATGCCATCTTGTCGGGTGATATGACAAACTGGCTTGAAGGATTCTGGGAGGAATCGAGGAAAGGGTTGTTCCTGGAGACGGGTCGGGGAGGAGGATCATCAAAAGGAGAATGGGGTGGCGGAGGCGTGAAGCTTGGCGAGGCAGCACGGTTGCGAAAGGGGTTGTTTGACGCAAGATTAAGCGTCAGGCCGGGTGATCGACCGCCTGGAGTGTCGCCTATGCAGAACAAACAAAAGAATGTTAGCACGCGGCTGATTGCATGGCCTTGGGCATTGGCGGGCAGTGGATAAGTGAAGATTGTGAGGTGCACTGGTTCAGGGAGGAGGGAAGGCGATGTGGGAATGACGACTGTGATAGGCGATGTGAAACATCAATCTCTGGGAATGAAACCCACGACTGGCCCGGCTAAGTGGTAAGTGGACCGCTGGCAGTGCTCGTCCCGTCCAAGCCCACAAACCCCTATCTATCTTGTCTGTGCATCCGCCCGGGGACAATGAAGTATTGGATGCAGATGGGCGGTGGTGGTTACGCGGGTTTGGGGGGCCACCTCAGGTAGGATAGGATGGTGGTTGATCTGGATGGAGTGGAGGGGGGGTCGGGGTGCTACGTCTTTGCTTTCTCTGCCGCAATGCAGATGCACAGCATCGTGACACTGCTGCAGTTCTTGCAGTTCTTGACTTACCTAGGCCCAGCAGATCTCCCGAGGGTGCGGTCGCCATGGTGGACGAGAGCGGTCGAGCGGTCGGAACGGTCAAGTTTCCCTGTTTTCCCCCTTGGCGGTGCAGATGCTCCGTATCTCGCAGGGTATCTATCGCTGCTGCTGCCCCGTTTCCGGCTTGTCGCGTTCCCTTGTTGGAATGACGATGATGTATGGCCGACGAGCTGGCACCAAGAATGCACCTGCACTGAACCGATCTGGGCGCAACCAATGATCCAGACTCGGGATCTCGCAAGCACGCGGAGGCAAGACTGTCGCACCGAAATCAGGATAAGTGTCGGTCGTCTGGTGGTGGTTGGCGGTTGGCGGTTGGTCGAGTTGCTTTGTGTTGCGAAAGGGCAATGATCGTCGGAGGTATGATTTGACGGGTGACCGTGTATCCGGAGCCTGAAGTAGGATCGTGGTCTCGGTGAGTGAGGTGAGGTTGGTAGGTAGGAAGTTGGTATAAATAAGTGCCGAACGTATCAGGTAAGATGGTCAGTCCGGGCAATTCGTTATCCGCTCGAGGCAGAAGCGTGTTGTTTGAACTGAGAAGGAAATAATAGATTATCGGCGGCCGCGCGCAGGCAGTCGGCTACCCCGATTGTTTTGATGCAAGGGGACGAATGCTGGGAGTCAACAAAATGTGAGGGCGGTCACGGTGAATCGGTGGTTGAGGCGTTGGAGGATCGCGGCGGGGAAGTGCTCAGCAGCTTGAGCTCAACTCAATTGCTGACTGTAGGTGCCTTGGGTGCCTTGGAGGGAGGAGGCCGTGATTGATTGCACCGGAATCAGTAGATAGGTACCTAAAGTACTTAGTAGATAGGGCATGTGGTTGAGAACTTGAGAACTTGAGAAGGAGGGAAGAGTCAGTCGATTCACTCGGGTGAGGTCTTCAAGTCCTCACAGATCAGGCGTCCAGTGTCAGGGCCGGTCGGGTGATGAGATTTTTCCTTGGTTCGTAATTTTGTTATTCTCCAGCTCTTCCTCTTTCCACTTCGGAACTGATGATCTTTGTGAAAGCACAGGGGACCTCTATTCTAGAGAGCTGTAGCTCGGGTCGTAGTGCAATGCCCAGGCGGTAGTGCTGTGCAGTGTGCAGGCGGACAGGCGGACAGGCGTGCAGGCAGTGCAGGCAGGTGCTCCAGTTGCCACAGGTTACAGCACGTTCCTTGTTGGTAGCCCGAGACTGGTCCGTGCGCTCTGTCCAGGGGGGGGGATCTCTTGGTTCTTTTATTAGGTAGGTGGCAAAGGACCCTGTGACAACGGCAAAATCTGTCCTTTGCCTCCAGCCGATATGTCGGTACAATCTCTTGATAGTTCCCGTTATCTTGTTGCCTTATGGTCTTGTTGTCTTGTTGCCGTGTTGGCGTGCTGCTAATAAACTCTGAGATCTGGGCCGAGGTAGGTGGGTAACACAATGAGTAGTTTTAAAGGGACCACTACCTAGGTAGTTCACAACGGTTTACTTTTTAGACCGAGATTGGGTTCAACGGATCAACCGAAGAGGAAAAGGAAAAGGAGTTTGGATGGAATATGTGCCTGTCTATGAAGGTGCATGTGTTGAGTGGGATCATCTTCACTTTGTATGTAATACACACAACGCCTAAGCCATGCAAGCCAGTCAGTAGCCATGAATGGGTATCCGAGCTTCTCCTGCAGCTGGAGCAGCACTATCTCGATTCTTCAATGGAACAGTCTAGCATGCGGCATGTCGGTGTCGAAGCGAGAAGTGCGACAGCAGCAAGCTCGATCCAGAATAGCCTTTTGCGGAGGGAAGTCGATGGATCCATCGATCTACCCCGGCCTGACTTGAGAACTTATTAGTCAGGACTCAGGAGTAGGTAACGCGAGCGAGGCGTTTTGGTTGGGGACCATTGATGAAGGGCATGCAGCTGTCCATGCAGCTGAGGAGAGGGGAAGCTCTTCATAGGTCTTGTCAGGAAGAGGGCAGGCATCTGTTGCATCGGACACATGGACATTGGACAGACCGCCCGAAAGAACGGTCTATTCGATCTAGACTGGTGGCCTCTGAATCAGCTCCGGCCTCTGGCTCCCAACATGAAGGAAACATTGAAGGTCCTGACTGTTTCTTGTTTCTAAAGCCACTTGCAGAACGACTACGTTGTAGACGTTGTTGGCCAAGAGTAGCCTCCAGTCAGCCAGTCTGTGGGCTGTATTCGGGTACATTCCGCGAACCCGAACCCGCGGACCCGCGGACCTCTCAAGGTCCCGCCAATGCAGTTGGTCCCGGGTCCATTCCATGCTTGCGGGCACTGCAGTTTTGACCGCTTTCGATCATCTGAACAGTTGCCCAGAATTCCTCCCATTGTCAGCACCGTCCCGCCAAGGCTAACCAACGTATCCCGTGATCGGTTTCATGTTTGTCTGCTCTGCCGTGAGCTTCGGTACCCTTTAAGTTATCAAATTAGTGACCCGTCATGGGATCGTCTTCTCGAACCCTGACCCAGCAATAGAATGTGACAGGGTTCACCCAGCCTGCCATAATTAAAGTAACTACGATCTTCACTTTGCATGGCCTTCCAAATGAAACCCCCTACCTCGACATAGCTACCGACAGCTGCGAGGCTCTCATCGACCACCTCATCCACTGGATAGATAGTTATGGTCATCGAATGCGACACATTAAAGAAGGCCCCCAAGCCCAGGCAAAACGCGCACAACCTGCCCGTCGTTCGGGCCCCTAGGCCCGGCATGTGCTTATACGCCACGGAACTTGTGGACGCTAGATGATGAGAGCTTCGACGACGCATTGATCCAGGTCGGACCCAGCTCGCGACTAGCAGCGCCAAGCTGAATCGCTTTATGCACTAATAACATGATAAGACCCGACCTAATGAATAGTGCAGCCAGCGGCTTCGGGACGGCGGCTTGCGTGTGCCCCTTTTCGACTCCTCGTCTGGGCCCCCACAACGTGAACCTCGGGCTGTCTTGGCGCATTTGTGGGGTATCGGGGGAAGGGACAGCTGAACCTTATTCCCCTTTTCGGGTCGCAGGATGTTGCGAGTTGCGGCCACTGGCCATACAGCTTGACAGTGTCATTGTATACAAGTAGAAGCTTCATGAATCATGACAACCTGTGACTGCATTGGACACCTTACAAGGTCGAACTTTTTACATTCCACAATGAGTTCCCGCTGCTGATGGCGGTTCCTCAACCTCAAGAAGATGCTGGAATACTAGGCTAGGTACCATCAAAACCAAGCAACGTCTTTCTGGATGTTCACCACAGAGTACATTCGAACAATTCGCTCACCAAGGCAGCTGCAATGGGGTGCCCAGGTCCTTTCCAAGCACCGTCTCAGCCATACCAATATCCCCTAGAACTTCATGTCAGCAGCTTCCTCCGCCAGGGTCAAAGGGAGACCACCTACGCGGACCTCGCGGCGCCCAGTATTCGCCAGATTTGCTCATATCGAGCTTCTCCGTCCACTCGCGGACGCTCTTTGCAGCCTCGTCGGGCGTCACAGCTATGTAGGAACTCATCAGCACTGCTGCAGTCGACGGAACAGGGATTGGCAGCAGCAACTCACCTCCGCCCTCGTCCCAATGCGCGTCGAAGCCGACATTCTTGGTCATCTCGGTGCGCATGAAGCCCGGGTGGATGATACTGACGATGACGCCCTTCTCCTTGAGGTCGAGGCTCAGCAGCTTGCCCGCCATATTCAGGGCGGCCTTGCTGGCGTGGTGCGCGTAGTTGCCCCCGCCCTCCTTCTCGTGGCGCAGAGTGATGCTGCCGGCCTCGCTGGAGATCAAGATGACCTTGGTGCCTGATTTTAGTAGATTTGCGTGGGCGAGACTGTGCACGATGAACACGGGCGCGATGGAGCTCGTGGTGTACATGGTCACCTCGTCGACCCAGTTCGGGCCCTTTTCCGTGCTGAAGTCTTCGGTCATGAAGCGCCCAGCGGTAATGATCTACATGCTTGTCAGTCTACAACAGGAGGTACCAGCTCGACTGTTGTGAACATACCACCACGTCCAGCGGGTCTTTGCCCTTGAGCTGGCCGGCGAGATCCTCACCCACAGTGGGTTGCATCAGGTCGATGTCCGAAAGCCAGTGGAGAGTATCCGGGAAACCTGCGGGCGCCGCCTTGGATCTTGTGGTTGCGTAGACTCGGCTCCCTGGTTCGGAGGCATACTGCTTCGCCAGGGAGGCTCCCAAGCCCCGCGTTGCACCGACAATTAGGGTATAAGTCATGCTGTGAAGGGCAGATTTGCCGACGGGATATTGGAACTTTGTATAGGATATTAATGGATGCACTCGGATTCTGATTCTGTATACGGTTCCTGGTAAGGTGCTGCTTTCAAGGGGATGGGGTGTTTGTGAGGACGGATGATTCGGTGGTGCAAGTGACGTAGGAGTCATGGTGGGGCAGACTGCACCGCAGCTGCCCGGATGCTTCACCTCCAGCTGTCCTCTCTGCCTCACCACAAGTGTCAAGCCCACAATCACCACAATCGCGGCCTCGAACCTCAGAAGTGTTATTTACTATTTCTGCCGGACCAAGCGTGATGTTTGGGTCATACACTGGTCCACTGGTCCATTGGTCCATAAGATTCGCAACCACGTTACAGCGCAGCGACGGGATTGCCCTGAGACCGATCTGTGAAATGAGCTCTCTAAACGTCGCGGTGACCTGACGCGCATGGTGCTTCCTGGGGGTACGGATTTCTGCGACGGGTTTGTGTATCGACACGCGGCGGACTTCACTGATCCTCTGAAATTCATACCGGAGCGGTGGCTCTCGGGCCTCAAGCTGCGGCTGGTTTGAGGGAGACACGGCGTCTTTTTGACTTCTATAGCCACCCTCACCAGTCACGTACGGACAACGTTGAAGAAAAACCGAACGTGTTCCTATAATCGCTCCCTCAACCGTTGTCCCTGACCCGCTTCCACTAATCAAGGCTGTAGATTATTTCAATGCCACAACCAGGAGGAGTTGGGCACTCTGAATTTCAAGACAACTATCAAATGAGACACAGACGTCACCCATGAGTGGCCAAGAGGCTCGGTTGTGGCCATGCCAGATGCCGTCTATCAAAGAAATCTAAATCCACAGACTCAAGCTTCAAGGTGCTTTCAAGGGTGCGCAAGGCGCAAACCCCAAGAATATATCTCAGAAACGCCTAGGCAACTCCCAGACCGGCCATAACCTCAAAATAAACCCCCTCCCCTCCCGGGTATACCGACAGAGTGGAGTCACGGGATCATTCTTTGAGCGAACTGGTATCGTGCTGTGCCGATTCCTACGTCCGTCAGTCAGTCAGGGGGTCGTGCTGGCCTTCGTGCTGGCCTTCGCACTGGCCTTCGCACTCACCGGATCCCCTACAGGGCGCATCACCCAACTAGAGCGTCTAACTTTGGTGTGATGGTGGCGATGAGTAAGTGGACTCGGCAGACACGCAACCAATATATGTGTCACAATCCGACTACTAAAAGACCTTGAAAATGACTTTATTAATGTACGTAAAAAAGAAAAAAACCTATAAAGTTAATTAAAACAAAAGAATAAGTATATATAGAGGTTAGTTTATAAGGTTATAAGGTTGATATTTAATGTCGTGATAATATCTTTTTGTTAACCGCAATAGACCGTAATTATAATAATAAAATCGATATTTAAAGCAGTTAGTACAAGGTTAAAACGGTGCGGGTATTTAAGGTTGTTTAAGGCTATTTTACTTCGTTTTACCGCCTTCTAATGTTTATATTTTATTCATTTCCGTGCATTTTTTATATTGATAATCGTAAATTATTATTAATTTCTAATCAAATTAACTTATTTAAAACTTCACTTCTTAACTGTTTATTATTATTACCGTATACTTAATAATATATTTATAAGCAACCGAACTAATTATGACGTTTTATTGTTGATTAGCCCGGAAATTTTTTCCCCGTTCTAAGTTATTTTTATATAAGATGTTTACGTAACGTTATTAATATAAAAAATACCAAGACTTTGCTTTAAAGCGATAATAATAAGCGATAATCTTATTAACATATTATTAATTTTATATATTAAGTGTACTTTAATATATTCCTGCTTAAATACTTAACGCGGTAAATTAATAATAATACAGTATTATTGCTACTTAGTTAACAAAAGGTACTATTAGGAATATAATAGCTATTATTATTTAAGGGTTTTTTTTTAAACGAAGCCGGTAATTTCGTATCTAACAAAAACACCCGCTTATAAATAGTTACGCGTATTATATTATTAGCTAGCGCTCTTAATAATATTAAGAAATAAACGCGTTTTCTAAGTTAGCCGGTGTTAAGAAAATCTAAGCAAAACGTTAATAAAAAACGATTAAAGCGCTAACAATACGGTTTTAAATGTTAATAGATTATATATTTATAGTTTAAGTTTTAACTTTTTAATTTTATAGTTAATATTTACCGGTAATCATTAGTCGTAAAGTATTCGTATTTTAATAAAAACGTTATAATAAAAAAATTCGAGGATGAAAAGTATTATTAAATGACGCGTTTCCGCTTGAACGATACTTACGATATTTACAAATGTTGTTAAGTAGCATTTTATTAAGACTATAATGGTAATAATAATAAATGTTTTTAATACGGCAAAGTTTAAACGTAAAAATATATACAGCGTATAGTTATAAGTATATATTAATATATATATATATATATATATACGGGTTGAAGATTTTAAATTAAAAGGGCTATAATAATATATAAGTAATATATATATATTGTACTTATTTAATTATATCAGCCCTTATTTACATTGTTTGCTTAATATAACTAACAAGCGAATTAATATTATAAGTAAGTTAGCACTCGTCATACACCTTTTAACTACTATATTAAGTAATTGCATTATGAAGTATTTAATTTAATTTCATTAATTAGATTTTTTTAAAGGGTTTTATCTTTATTGTACAAGTTCGCACATTATGGCCAGTATTGCTGCAAATGCTGCATTGTCCCTCACGCGCTGCCGCCTTTTTTAAGCAACGATTATTCTTAATTATTTCTTATCTTGCTAGCTTAATACCATCTTTTGCAGCTTAAAAACTTATTATATTTTTAATAAAAAGTATTTCTCTTTTTATTAAACGTTTGTTTTTTGCCTTTTACCGTTTACTTAATAAGTAATTAGCTTTTTTAACTCGAAAATCTAGGAATTAACTAAAGCAACGTTATATATAAAACCGTATATAGCCTTTAAACCCCAATTTAGTGCATTAGTAATTAATATAAGTAAGCTTTTTAAATACGTTTTTTCGATTTTTAATATAAACTAATTAAATCATCGCTTTATTAATAATATTAAGTGTTTTTAAAGTTTAAATAGTAAGTAGTAAATTAAGGTTTAATAACGGTATTTGTACGATAATAATAACATTTAGCATTAAAATAACACTTTTTAAGTTAAAAGGAAAGAAACTAGTAGCATTAAAACCTACTCAAACGTTTTTCGGCGTTATATCAGCGTTATACGCTTTATAAAACGCTGTAAGAAAGTCCTTTTTCAAAACGTAATTTATATAACGCTAGATAAAATCTTTATTTAAATAACTCTAAGTTCGTTTAACGGGCAAGAATAGCTAATATTTAAAAGCTAAAGCTCATAAGAAAAGTAAACCGACATATAAATAACAATCATCAAAAACTTGAAAATGAAAACTTTTATAACCATTTAAAATAAAAAAGCGTTTACTAGCAATTATACGCGGTTTTATATACTTATTAAAATGCTAAATTTATTTTAAACTCGTTTCGTTCGTTATATACCCGTTATTAAATACAGTTACTTGTTGATTACGTAATAATATTATATTATAACATTTAATGTAAAGTGTTGGATCCATACAATTCCAGCCTGCAAACCGTCTATACCAAGACCCACATGTATGATTAAATAAGTGATTAAATACCGGATTGCGAGGTCACTTAGCCAGACCTTCTAGTCCAGCTAGACCTCCCAATCCAACCATCAGCAACATCATGATCTTGACCCCATACTCGAGTATTATGATTGATCGTTCAAGCTTGTTCCCACATAAAGTAAGTTTTATCTTATAAAATAATAAACAGTAAAACCACTCTACTATTAATATTAATAGTAGAGATTATTATAAACTATTTTTACTTACTTTATTAAGCTTGTTTAAGCTTATTACGTTTTTCGACGGTTATAACGACTATACTGGGCTTAATAATATATATTATAAACCTAGTTTCGTTAAAATTATAAGCATTTACGTTTTAAACATTATATTTTACAACTACTACCAGCGTTTAATAAAACTACGCGTAATATACGTTGAAATTTTTGTTCAAAACCTTTAAATAATCTATTTTACGATAAAACCGCATTTAAAGGCCTAATATACGTTTAATAAAACTTTACGTCTAGTTTTATTAATACTTTTCGTTTTACGCGCCGCTATTCAATAATTTGCTATATTCTTAGTATAATTATACTAGGGCAGAAATACTTGCGGATTTAAGTTAAAATAATAATAATACTGACATTAAAAAAACTATCAGTTTCAAAGTATTAGGCATATTATCGCGTTATAATAACATTCTTTTAACTTTATTCCTTAAAATAAGACAAAAAACGTTAAAAGTTTTACAAATCAAAATCAAAAAATATAATAGTTACGTCGTTTAGCTTAAATAGCTAGCTATAAGTTTAATTCTTTATAACGCGGTGCCATTATTGATTGTAAAAATATAATAGTTTAAATAGTATTAGTTAAAAAGTTCATAACGAGTGCTAACTCGCTTATAATATTAACTTGCTTATTAGCTAAGGTAAATATAATAAGAACTTTAATTATACCTTTTAATAACTTATATTTAAAATACTGGCCGTAAAAAAAACTACCCTATCTTTAAAACGTTTATTATAATCGTTTTGTCGGATGTAGTGGTGGCTCAGGGTGTGTCCCCAGGTGGTCTGTGCGCTGTGGGTGGGATGGTTGCCTCACAGCTCCGTTACCACCGCGGATAGACGCGCTGCACCCGTATTTAGGTGTGAATCTGTCCGTACCAGGTAGACTTAGAACAACCAACGAACACGCACGTATGAACCAAATATTCCGCACAACGAATTCTCACATGATAGCTTCTCCTGTTACGAGGTAATAGGACCAAAGATCAGAAGCCCAGCTGACGGCCGTTTGTCATCACGGCGCGTGCCTGAAGCTGGGACCGCAAGCATCACGTCGCCTTCGGCTTCGTGATACGGCGCCAGCAGAGCTCGTACGAGGGCGTCACCAGAAGACGTCATCCCAGAGCGCGAGGGAGCGCGTCATAGGAAGAGACGGCTTCAGGGCACGTCGTTCAAGACGCCAGCGACCCAGAGTGATCACCGAGACGATCACGGCGCCAGCACATCATTCAGAGCGCCAGCACCCCAGAGCGCGTCATCCGGCGAGAGAGAGAGACGGCGCCAGAGCAGATAAAGGCGCGCAATAGTAGAGAAGACGATTCTAATCGAGCTCGCCAGAGGTCATCATACGAGTGAGCACCTCATCCGAAAGTCCACGGCACAGGTCACGGAGCGCGTGGCAGTCTCCCCCAAGCCCACGGCGCGCGATCAGTCGCTGGGACAATGACGGCGTGTGGCAGCAGAGAGGACGGCTCAATAGAGCGCGTCAGAGGTCATCATCATCACCAACACCTCACCCGGAGTCCGCGGCGCTCGTAGCGATCATCTACAGCGCGCGGCAGTCTTTTTAAGTACACGGCGCGAGTTCGATCTACGACCGCGCGTGTTACGGCAAGCCTGAGGGCGTCGCCAGCAGAGATACGGCTCCAAAGTGCGCAGTAGCAAATGAGTACTCTCCTTCCGCGAGCACCTTATCCAAAATCCACGGCACTCGCAGCAGTCAGAGCGCGTGGCAGTCACCTTCCCCTTCCCCAGCACAGAGAACGCGTCGCCAGAGAGAAAGAGGGCTCGCCAGAGGCTCAGAGAGAGCCTTTCTTATCAGCAGCCTGATTATTCGTGAATAAGGGCGCCAAGACGAGGAAAACCGAGATTTTCACAAAGATTTACAAAGGATCAGTCACTTCGACATGAGATCACACCCGAATATCAGCGCGCGCGGCAGTCACACCACGGCGTACGAACCCTGAACCCTGAACTAAGTCCTCTTCCAGCGAGGCAACGAACCGAGTACAAGTCTTCCTCTATCGATGGAAGCACCGAATCCCCGAATCTCAACGCGCGTGGCAGTTACACCATGGCGTGTGAGCCCTAAGTCCTCTCAAGCGAGGCACAGAAACCCGAATCTCGCGCGTGGCAGTCACACCACAGCGCACGCACCCCGAATCCAAGCCCTCCGCCAAAGGAGGCACCGAACCGAAGTCCTTGACCGAAGTACAAGGCACCGAATCTTGTGGGATCGACTGCACGGCAGAAGATAGCTTGACGATCGTGGAGAACCTAGAAGTCGCCAGAGACAGTATGGGTGACACAATAGCGAAGATAGCCAAAGTCGTTGGCTTCTAACGAAGTCGATCGACTACCATCATAAAGAACTCCAGGTGACATGAAGAACTCCGAAAGGGGTGACATAAAGAACTCCAGGTGACATGAAGAACTCCGAAAGGGGTGACATAAAGAACTCCGATACGGGTGACATGATGGCTGAACGAACGAGCCCTCCGTGATTATCGACTGAATGGCACGAGGAAGTAGCTGCCGACACCGCGGCAGAAAGAGCGTACCTACCGAGGATGAAATATGCCGCCATATCTGCAGCATATAGACGAATTACAAATATCGGAAGCACGAGAAAACCCTTCAGTGACGACGAAGGTAACGGGTGCCGACGCACCACGGCAGAGAGATCGTGTTGCACAGAACACGCCGCCGTATCAACACGGAAGAAAAATAATGGGAAGAAGTCCTTCACGAAGAAGGCACCGAGCGGCCATGGTGATGGCAGCGGCGTTATCCACCGAAGGAGACGTCACGTCACGAACGAACGAACGAGCAGCTGGATGGCAAGAGTCATCCGCAGGCAGCACGAGAACCCCTCCACGGAGGCACCGAGAGAAGTCTTCTACGGAGGCACCAAGAGAAGTCCTCTGCGGAGGCATGTACGAACACATCTGAAGGATGAGGGCACTTTGGCAGCAAATGGATGGCAAGAGTGTTGACTGCCGAGTCACACATATAGCATCAGAAGCAGCAGGGTCCTCAGTATTGAGAGATGGAGAGCTGAATTTACGATATTCAGAAGGAAAGCCCTCGTTTAGAGGCAGCACGAGAAGTCCTCTGACGACGAGGCATCCACGAAGCAATACGGAAGTCCACCAGGTCACAGGTGGCACACGATACGAGAACGAAAGCATCAAGGTCCTCTGATCGATCTACTGAGAGATGATTACGACTACGATGGAGCACATGTATGGCCCAAGGAAGAGGCAAAATGCCCAGATCTACTGAGAGATGATCACAAGGGAGGATATATGGCCCCAAGGAGGCACATACGGCAAAGAGCACGGCGTTTGGAACAACAAGCTACCCCTGATTTTGGCTGGAGGCAGCATACGGCACTGGAGGTATTCTGCCACGGTGGAAGCGCTTCACCGCCTGCTTGTTTCAGTGATTGTATCACTCGCGCGGCTCGGTTTTTACTGCAATTTTGAGCTTTTCAGAGCTCTCTGGAGACCTAAAGGTCTGTTGAGCCTCTCAAGGCTCTGGCCGATGGAGTGGTTGGACCACAGATGTAGACACCGGAAGATCTCCAGTAGGGCAGAGACGCACAGGGCGTCTGACCCACCAAGAAGACAGATGATCAATCTCTGCACGCAGAACAAGAACAATCAATAGAATCCGTCAACATCCGTGTATTCAACAACTGGTTGTCTCAGACCCATTAGGGCTCTGAATTGTGGGGCGGAGACACTTATCTAGTTGCCCACCAGATTTGGATGTGCTGCTCGATCTTCTTTTTCCTCTTCAGCCAGAGATAGTTATACGTACATAGTAAACAACGGCTTCTATGTCCTATTCACATATACAGAACGTTACAATTTTGTTGTTTTCGTTATTTTAATTTATTATATAAATAACAAAAATAGCCTTATTAAAACTCTAAAAGTTATTTTATTGATTTTATTAATTTTTCCGGTATGTTTTTCTATAGAATGTATAATAATAATAATAATAATAATAATAATAATAATAATAATAATAATAAGTGATTAATTATATATTTATTTAATGAGTTTTAGTATTTAATTCACTAAAAAAATTTAAGTTATTACTTAAAGATATATATAAATTAACATTACAGAATATTTTGAGCGCTTTCTAAAAAAATTACAAAGTTGAGCTTTATTTAAAGGTATAAAATTAAATTATTGAATTAAAAAGGTTAATTTCTTCATATTTCAACGTAAATATATCTTTAAGTGAAATTGTTATAAGAATCATTTATTTATAATAAAAGTTATTTATATATTTATTATAAAGCTTTCTAAAAAGATTTATAACGTTTTATTAAGTTTAAAAATATAATGATACGAATATTTGCAAGCCTTATTAACTTAAACAAGCACGTATCATTTCTATAATATTAAGAAATATAAAAAATATATAGTCTCTAATCAAATTTATTACTTTTTAAAAAATAAGTAAAATCAATGAATTTTTTTTAAAATTAGAAAATTTCCGTTATTCATAAAGTAAAAACAATTTTTATCTCGCTTTTTTATTACTATATTTTTTCGCTTCTTTATATATTTCTCTTTATATTTATTAAAACCATTAAAGTGGTCGCTTTTATGACGTTACTTATTATAATCGTAATAACGTTTTTTTTTTAACATCTTAATTAAAGCGATTTTTTTTATGTTTCTAATTAAGACTGGTTTTTTTTTTTAAAATCGTTATGAAATTAAAGTTTATGAAAATGACTTGTTATTTTATTATTTATTTTATATTTTTCAAACTTACGTTTCTTATTAACGGCTTAAAACTATTAACTACTAATAATTGCCTTGAGATTATCGATAAAAGCCAAAGTATAAAAGTATTACTCAATATTATGTATTTAACTTTATTTAAATTATAACTTTTGATTGATGAAAACCATTGTTCTAAACGCCTTTATAACGTAAGCATATTAAAAACTACCTTATTATAAACGACTTTTTAAAAAAATATTATAATATAACCTCTTCTTTGACGGTAGCTATTTAAAAAGTAAAGCGTTTCTTAAAATATTAAACGCGTTCTTAAAAGTTAACTTTATATATAAAAGCGCTTTTAAAACGTAAATTTGTTTTATTATTATTAAAGAGGAAGTATTTGCATAACAATATTTATTGAAAAAAGACGTCTTATTTATAAGCATCGATTTTATATTCGTTTTATTCAATAAATTTTTTCACAAAGTTTAATAAATATATCAAGGTTGATAAAGAGAATTGTGTTGCTTAAAATAATTATGCTTATATTTTTAAGGTTTTGACGGTCGGTGTTAAATTGACTAATCTTATTCTTTTTAATTTTAAGCGGTTTAAATTCTTATAATAGACCGTTGATTAAGAATTTTTTTTTTTCGTATGAAATTTGAAATGGTTTAAAGAAAAAATTAGAAAATAAAAAACGAACCGGAATAAGTTTAAAGTTCAAAAAGTAATAAAATATAAGCACGAAAAGAAATATTTTCAAAAGCAGCTCGGTAAGTAAGGGTTTTATTATATTCTTCGATTAATTAATTAGAAAATGCGAAAAAGTAATTAGTAAAATAAATAATTTGAAGAATAATTTTATGCAGTAAATAAAGTAAGACATCTTTAAAAAAAAATTAAATAATACAGGGTTTTTTTTAGTTTTTTTTAAGGTCGACTTATAAAATCGTACAATGCAAAGTTAATCGTATTTTATATTTTAAATACGAAAACGAGTTTAATTTATTAACAAGTAATTTAATGTCTAGCTTTATGAATATATTGCTAAAATGTTTTATTAACACTTAATTAATAGGGTTTGAAGAAAAAAGTACAATAAAGAGAAAATTTATAAGATTATAACATAATTAAGACATAATCATTGCGATTTGCTTTTAACCAATGCTTTAATATTAATATTATCAATTTATCCATTATGTTTTATTAATGTTTAAATCCTTTATAATTAAAAAGCTTATTATTTATTATTTCATTTGACTCATATATTTCATACTATCGTATAGTTTAAAATCAAGTTTATAAAAAAGTAAGTATGTTTTAATGTTATAAGTTTTTGATAGTTTAAGTGTTTTATATAAAAAATGATGTTTAAAAAATAAATTGTTATATATCAAAAGATAAGTATTTACCAAAGCTTAAAACCCTACTTTTTTTTTTAAAAAAATGTTAATATTTTCCAAAAAGATTATAACGAAAATTAAGCTGTAAAGGTTATTAATCGGTAATACTTTCGATATTTTTTTATTTTACGGTTCTATTTATTATATTAACTTTTATAAGGAAAGACAAAATATTATCTAAAAAAACCCTTTTGTATTACTGCTTATATATGTCGTTAAAGCCTTTATAAAAACATATTAAAAAGCTTTACCTATCGCTTTAACTGATGTAAAATACTTTAAGCCGTCCATAAACGTATAAAGTAACCTTAAATATATCTGTAATCTATAATTATTATTATCAATGCTATACTCAAGGTATAAAATAACAGATAGTTAAACAGATTATTAAGGTCGCGCTACGTTAAATAGTTATAAACCTTAAAGCTGTTGTAAGACTTATCAAGAAGATTTGTAAAAAGAAAAATTTAAGCTTAATCGATCGCAATAAAAACCCCGTCCGATACGTATAAAACGGCCGTTTTTTTCTTTTTACTTCTTTTATAACTATTGTTTAAACTATTATTATAACTATATTTCTTATTATTATTGTTTATAAAACGATTAAGCGATAACTTAGTTTAAGATCTTAACGTAAGTTTATTATCCCGTACTTAATCAAGCTTTGCGTTATATACGTTTTAATACCTAATATGCCGAATTTTTTTTCCCTTGTTAATCCGGTCGATTAAAATTGTTTTTTAATATACATAATTTCGATTGAACAAAGTACGAAAATATTCAAACTTGAAGAATAAAAATTGAAACGTACATATATCGACCGTATAATGCGAAAATATAAGAAGATTCAAACTAGTAAATTATACGACGGTATTAAATAGCAACTTATTAAGTTGAGTAAATTATAAAAAGTGCTAGGTATTAAAGCTTATAATAATGAATAAAACGAGCTTATAAATCGATTTATAAACGTAAAAAATAATAAGGTTGCTTTATAGTTTGAATTCATAACAACGATTTATGGTTAATACAAGGCGGTATATTAGATAGATTAGGCGATTGTTATCGGTATCAGCGTTAACGCTTTAAACGGAAAGATGTTTAGCCTTAAATTGGTTTGATTAGTAGTCGATTAACGACCGTTCTAAACTTCGTAATACACTTATTAAAAATATAAAAATAAATAAATAATAAGGCAGTTAAGCTATACTTAAGGTATAAATATTATGTAACGAATTATTTAATCCAGTTAATATATAATTATAAAACGAAATAAGGTAAAAAATACGATTAAATCGAGTTAATAAAGAAAATAACGTAATTATAATCATAACCTGTATGATTATTATTATCAGATTTAAAGCCTTTAAGAAACGTATTTGTGATGGAACGCTCACCATGACCACTATGGCACGGCTGTTCCTCCCAAAAGGATGTCGAATATCAAGCGTGGCAGCTTGACATTCAATGGTGGTACATGTACTTATGTCCGGGCTCCAGGACTCACCACATGCGCTACCTATACCAGACTATGACAGTATTAGTTATAATGTTCTATCGTTAAAGTATTAAAGGTTTAATTAAGGAAATATAAAAAGATGAAAGTAACTTGTTTAAAATTATATTTTTAATATATAATAAGATATAAACGAAATATTATTAAGAAATAATATCCGACATATAAACGGTTAATTTTTTAAATTTTGTTTAAAAGCGTTAAGTGTATATTTATTAAAATACGTGATAAAGTAATATTCAATTAAATATGCACTTGTTAAGATATATAAGTTAAAAATGCGAAATAAATGAATTTAACTCTAATTATAGTAAATATTAGCTCAATGTTATTTATCGAGGTACGTATTACTTATTAAATATAAATTATTAAAATAAATACGTTAATGAAATAGTTTTAGAATGTTTATAACGAGTATTTTTTAAAAAAACTTTTTAATCGTTAAATGTAATAATATATTATGTTAGATTTATTGATAATTCTGATAGAGCTTCAAAAAAGTGTTATTATATAAAGCGTATAATTATAAGTATATATGAATATATATATATAGGTTAGAAATCTTAAATTAAAAAGGCTGTAATAATAGATATTTAAGGTGTGTGCGGTGCTTATTTAATTATATTAGCCTTTCTTCATATTATCTACTTAAATATAATACGTATTCTATACATATTATTTAATAACATATATTAATATAATAAAGATAATAAAAAGTATCGGATATATTTTTGAATAAAACCGGCTTCGATACGGTGAATTATAGCTTAATTAGAACGTAAGAACTTTTTAAAATATTATAAGTTTAAAGCGTGATAATTTTTTATCATCCGTTATCAAATTACAATATAAAAAAAAGCTTATAGTAAATAAAGACTAATATTATCATGAACGCTTTTTTAAGTTGGTTAAACGTTATTAAAGCAGCGTTGTTTAGTTTATTTGATTATTAATTTTTATTTATTAAGGGAATTAAAACTTAAGTAATTTTGAAAAAAAGCTTTAATAAATCAGCGGTAATAATTTATAGACTTTATATTATATTAAAGATTACGAAATAATATAAGGAGGTTTTATTTATAAATACCGGAAAGTTTTTTTAATTTTCTATCTGTATTAATAAGTAAATAATAAGTTTAAAGTATTTTATTCAAGTTATTTTAATTTTATACTTGCTATGGAAAAGATCGGTTCAGTGGTTCAGGTCATCATGTTGCTTACATTCTGGGTGCAGATCTACCCTTGAGTCTTGGGACCTGTTCAGGTACTAAATACACATACCAACTTCAAAGCAATGCCCAGCCTTTGATCCGGAGGGTAAAGATCCCTTGTCCCAGATACACTAAAGCTCAAAGCCCGCTTCTAGGCTGTTCCTTCCTTTCAGTGCTGCTGTCAGCCTTGTCAGCCTTGTCACCCCTAGAAGCGTGCTACAGCACACCTGTGAGCCACCCGACTGCTTACACTTGCTAATATTAATAGTAAGACCGGTTTTAAAAACTTATAACACTATTCTACGGACGTAAGGGCGGTGTTTATTTAGATTTTATTATATACTACGATATCATTAAGATATACTGTTACGTATTTGTCAAAGATATTAAAGATCGTATTATTCATATAAATTTAATAATAAAAGTTGTTCTGCATTTGTTTTTAAAGCGATATAAAGTCGGTTAAATATCGTTATAACATCGAGTTTAATAATAAAAACTAGTTTTAATAAAAGTACTAATAGTTTTATAGATTAATAAGATCGAGTCTTAGTTTTTTTTTAACGTTGTTTAGTTTTTAATAATCGATATAAATTTGAAAGTATTTTTTAACTTCTGAATTAAAAGAATAAAAGCGCCGGTTAGAGAAAAATTAGCTTTAATAAAGTTTTCAATTAAATAGTTTTCGAGATATTTTCGTATAATCAGTAGTTTTTGAAGCTATAAAAGCGCGTATAAGTAGTTAATAAAGCAATATTTAAAAGACGGTTGATTTTATAGTCGTAAAGACGGTGCGTTGGTACATTATTAACGTTTTAAAAGGTAAACTTTTTGATAAAGTTGTAATGTTAAAATATAAGTTTAGTTATAATTTATTATATAATAGGCGGTGTTTTTTCGTTCAAATATTTTTCAATATTTCTATTCTTTATTTATTATAATTAAAAAGTTCTATTAATTTAATCAGCACAAGGTTAAATTTATAATTAAAAAGTTTTAATAATTAAAGTAAAATTAAGATTTTTAGGCAATATTTTTTTAGGCGTATTAAGTGTGATTTGGTTTATAAATTGATTATCAATCCTATTTAACGAGATTTAGCTTACGTTTTAAAAAAAATTGAATATTTATATTTAATTTTATAAGGTTAAGAAATTCCTTTGGGTGTTTTTTTACTTAGTTATCGTTATAAAGTTTTACTGCGTTTAATTGAACGATAGTGTGGGAACAGGCTTGAACGATCAATCATAATACTCGAGTATTGTGTCAAGGTCATGATGTTGCTGATGGTTGGATTGGAAAGTCTAGCTGGACCTGAAGGTCTGGCTAAGTGACCTCATAATCTGGTATCTAATCTCTTATCTAATCATACATGTGGGTTCTGTATGGATGGTTTGACTGTGGAATCACATGGATCTAACAGAAAATGTCAATACCTGGAAATAAAACCTTTCGTTAATTAATTCAACTTAAGAAAGCGACATCGAGGTCGTGGATAGTGTCAACTCAACTTAGCGAAGGAGTCCCGTTGACGTGGATTGAGTTGTTCGGAACCTTGTCTGAGACAGCCCACAACCCAAGCACATCGACATCACACCGCATTTTCAGTCACAAGCACGAAAGCATCTCGTCAGCCGATCAGAACAGTCCAACTCGGACTACACACACCCAGCACTACACCATGAAGCTTACCATCTACTCGCTTGCTCTCCTCTCCGTGGCCTCCTACGCTGTTGCGGCTACTCTCTCGCTCTATGAGAAGTATAACAAAGCCACCAGTGAGCTCGAGGGGGAAATCATGACCATCGACACGGACCAAAAGGTCTCAAAATGGGTCGACTTACCGAAGGTGGCAGTGGGATACACCCTCGAGGGAGAGATTGGTACCAAGTACACCGTGAAGATCGGCATAGTGCAGCCGGTCCCAGGCACGGCCGAATACATACAGCTCACGGAGACTGAGGACGAGGGTTGGAATCTTTTCCGCACCGGCGGATCCAAGGTCCAGGTGAACAACTACAAGATTAAGAAGAGTCTCATTTGATGGATAAGGCAGCGTCATGGGTTTGCGGCTGGGTTGTGTGTGTTAAAAGGCGGCCAGACCTGTTACAATACGGTGTAACCATTCAGAAGTCACACCTGACAGTGGCTCTGCCACACACATCTGTATATAAAGGACACTTCCCGTACATCCATCAGTAGCTAGACTTCCGAGAACCATCACTTCCATACACACATACCAGAGCCTTGCTTTTACCTTAATGCAACCCCTTGCCGCGTGCATAAAATGCCCTTAATGTTTAACTTGGATTGAGTAGGGGTAGATGTCCGTAAATAATGTTAGAAAATGCTTAATAATATTGGCATTATGGTAATCTTGCAGGTACCGCGGACATAAGATCCCTTAGAAGAGAACTGGCGTCGTGCTGTGCCAATTGCTATATTATGTCCGTTAGTTAGGGCGTGTGCTGGCCTTCTTGCCTTCGCGGCACTGCACATGGTCCCCTGCAAGGCGCATCACCCAACTAGAGCATCTTCTATGTGATGGTGGAGATGAGTAAGTGGACTTGGTGGACAAGCAATTAAAATATACAGCGTGTTTATAGGTCTAGTTTCTAGGGTTAGCGTTTAATTGAGGAGACCTGTTTCTAGGTGGTACTGCCACATCCTTTTTAAGTCTCATTCAGGTGGTCGTGTTATAAGACGGATGGATTAGCCCTCACTCTTTGCGCTGGAAGCTTGTCTTGGTGACTAGTCAAGAATTGAACAGACTGGAGCAGCAGTAACGTAGATGAATGCAAGTTGCAGATCCCTGAAGCTGGCCTAGCAGCAGTAATGTCGGTAAACATAAGTCCGAAGAACATAAGTTCCGTAAACATAAGTTCTAAATCCCTGAATATAAGTTCGAAGAACATGAGTTCGGTGAACATAAGTTCCAAATACTTAAAGCTGGCCTAGGAACAGTAACGTCGGTGAACATAAGTTCCAAATCCCTGAAGCTGGCCCAGCAGTGGTAATGTCGGTGAAGCCAAGTTGCAACATATACTGTTGATCCTAGAGCTAGTATGTCCACATCAATAAGCACTAGGCCGACAGTCTCGGTGTTCACATTGCGAACATACTGTATTTTGAGGTATTACGAGACTATAAAGAACATCTACATTCCCAGTCTTTTAGTGAGCAATTATCTAGAACCACCATCAACCTAAGCAAGCCACATCGACATCATAACCACATTTACAAATACAACCACGAAAGCATCTCATCAGCCGTTCAGTCAATTTCATCCTACTCGGACTTCACACACTCAAGCAAGCCACGTCGACATCACAGGCACAATATGTTACGGTATTACATAATACCTCCACATATTTATGTACATATATACCCCTAGCTTCCCCGTTCTCTTCCGACCTTGCCTCTTCTTCCTTAGATATCGTTGAATCTAGATATTTCAACCCATCAGCCCTGACCAGCGCAGCTGCAGGCCTGATTGTCACACAATACCAGATATAACTACGAAAGCATCTCATCAGCCGATCAGAATAATCTACTCGGACTACACACATCCAACACGAAGTTACACCATGAAGCTTACCACCTACTCGCTTATTTTCCTCTCTGTGGCCTCCTACGCTATCGCAGAAGGGAACGCAGCCGCAATCACGCTCTATGAAAAATATCACAAACACGGCGGCGAACACGGCAGCGACGGCAATGAATACCTCTCAGGGAAAATCATAACCATCAATGTGAACAAAGCGGTCCCCTGGACCAACCTACCGAAGACGGCGGCGCCGGCGGGGTACATCCTTGAAAAAGAGGCTGACCCCCAGTACATCGTCACGTTCGCTCCAGTTACAGTGAAAGAGCTGAAGAAGGGCTACATACTCAACCAAGAGACCGGGGCCAAAGTGGTCAAGACGTATGAAGACGCGGGTTGGGACCTTTTCAGCGACGGGGCCAAGTCGTACAGGGTTAAAATGAAAGGTTCTGATCCTTCTTACCAGGAAGGTTCTTATTATTCTTCTGGTTATGAGGCTGAAGGGTCTGGTTCTGGTTCTTCTTCTTCTTGATGATGAATGAGGGGGCGTCATGGTTTACAGCTGGGTTGTGTGTGTTCAATAGCGGCCCAACCCCTTGTACACGCCTACCATGGACAGGGCTTGGACGCAGGCGACATGTAAATAGTTCCGTAAGAGTTATCAAAAGTCTGGCCACGCTCTCTCTCGCATATGAGCAACAGATCCGTGATTGCAAGCTTCCGCGACCACAGCGGATTAACGTGGCGGTCGGGAGATAAAAGCCGCTAGGATTGACCTTCAGGAACTACCTGTCAAGCCGGAGCCTGAGCAAGACAGGAAGGGCGAAAGCGTGAAGTTCGTATAGGTGGCTGACCTGGCATTGCGCATGGTACGTCTCGGTCTCCAGGGGGAAGCTTCGAGCAATGGGCGGTGTTGAGAGCGCAACCCAGGCCCCTCACGGTAAGCTCTCTGGAAAGAAGGCATCTTGAGCGCTGTGCTGAACGCTCCGGCCGATAAGGATAAGCTAGTCACGATGGATGAGACTGGCGACAATTGAAAAGCTCGGGTCGTAACGCACATTCTCAGCGTGTGTCGTAGTCATGATCGTGGGAGGGAACTGAGGCTGTTGGTCGGCTGATATGCCCGCCTAGGCGATATGTAGACAGGTCAAGAATAGGGGCAGACATGTCCAGACACTACCTATACGGGTCTTGGATTGCGACCAGGACTTCCGGTAGTTGAACACGGCGAGGGGGGGACCTGGGCGATGTGCATTCAGTCGCGGAAGTTTAAAGTGTATAATCTAGACTGTGAACCTGAAGCCGGTGGAGGGCCATTGGCCGACCGTCCGAGGAAACGAACAGCCGCCAGCCACTCCCGCCCAGGAGCTCTTCCTGTTGGACATGCCGGTCGAGATTCAGCTGCTCATCGCCGAATGCTGTCACCGTACAAAGCGTGAGGAGGCCAGGGACCTGCGTTTGCCGGGCGAAAACAAGCAGAAGGCCATAGGCGGTGGCCTGGACCGCCTGTCGCGCGTGAACAAGACTCTCCGCCGCCGCGTAATGCCGCTTATGTTCGCCCACCTACGCATTAGCTGTGACGAGGCTCTCCTGCATACCGAGCTGGCTGAGCTCCTTGCGAGTGACAACGGTATCTTGGAAGCCGCGCGGTCAGTACTTGTAACCCCCGGATTAGTTTTCGTTGCGGCAAGAGTCTAATAAACGCCCAGCAGGACCCGTTGCATCTACACCTTGGGGCCGCACGTGACCTTTGGGCATAGGCACAACCGAATACGCCAGCCCTGGGGGAAATGCGACGCCAGTGCTCCGGAGCTGCTGGGTCATGTCCTCAAAGCCGTGTCGGGCCTGCACGAAGTCGCGCTCCAGCTGAAATATGGCAGTCATACCATCATGCCCGCCTTCCGCAAGCACGCAAGGGAGTCGGGCTTGATCCTGCCCAATATCAAAGGCTTGCAATTCGGGACCGATGTCGATCACCAGTTCAACCACTCCTTCATGGCCGAGGTGTGCCCAAACCTAGAACGCGCCAGATTCCATGTCAGGAACTCACCTGCTCAAACGCTGGGGTTGAGTGTGTTTGGACGTGTAGAATCCCTGCGCGAAGTTCAGCTGCACATGTCGTCCACGGACACACGCTCGCGTGGATGGAATGCGGACACGGTTCAACGTATGTGATTTGTTCCCCCCTCAACCCACCACCGTCCCTCAAAGCCCATCTAATGCAACGCGCCGCCAGAGATCGTCACCATGTTCCCCAACGTCCGCCGCATCTTCATGACAGGGCTTCTAGATTATGCAGTACCTCGCCCGCTTGCAAATCTCGCTCCTGTCTTGTCTCAGTTTACTAACCTGGAGGTCCTTGTGGTCCCCCGAGGGCCACAGGACCCAGATGATGAGCCCTACGCAGAAGATCCCAACGAGGTTTCTCGCGTCTTCTTCAAGCTGTGTCCTAGGCTCGAAGAGTTCTACATAGAGCATCGGCTCTTTGGCAACGAGGTACTCGGCGTACCCCAAGGGTTCCGGGTCGTCGACGGCGCAGGGTCGTTTGAGACTTTCGAAATCCCCGACGACCCGCAGGGAGCCTTTGAGCCCAACCCACGCTATAACTCCCTACGGTTTCCGCGATTCATGCAAGTTTCCGCCCGGCCTGGCGACAAGCATACCGATCCGGAGCCTGCGAAGAAGCCTGTGGATTCAGATACAGAGATGTCTGACTGACGGAGTACGGGCGACAATTAATCTCCCGCTTCCCACTCATCGTTGGCTCTGTGATATCCACCTGACAGCCGGCCCGCATTGGATGGCACTCGCACTGCTTCGCACTTGAAAACGTGGTCTTGGGTACTACCCCATTTCCAATCATCCATTGCTATAAATCCGGTATACAATGGCTAACCTCAATCAAGTATCTATATATTCGCCACCAATAAGTCAATCAGTTTTCCAAAGCAAGAAGGGAGCCCAATTCGTTGCAATCGCTTCTCCTGCTCCTGCTCGTGTGCCTCTGCTCAAATCACTTGATTACAGGTCCGGTGTAGAGTTCACCACGATGTTTCAAGTGATTACGTTGCAGAATGGTGCAAATAGGGGTCGGTGGATGCTCTCTTGTCCTCTGAACCCCACAAACTTGACAGAGCGAATGCGCCCCCATTTATACACGCTACGTTCGCCTCTGACCCCTATGCCACACAGCGACCAAGCATGGGTCCAAATGCGACTTCGTCGAAAGTCACACAGACAAGACCGACCAGCTTACTACGTCTCTCAACCCAGGCATTGTGTCGACCTGAAATTTACGGACCAATGAGAAGACAGGCATCCAGCTGGGGGTCAGTTCTATAAGGATGCTGTCACGCAGGCTACCACGCCGGGAGACGATCAGCTTGGGGCGAATCAGTACGTAAGTAGACATTTCAATAATCCTATATGAAAACTACGGCGCCATCGAGCTTCAGGTGTACAAAGCCCGACTACATGTAAATTCCTAAGCCCCTGCACTCTCCAGCCCATTTCCAAAATCCTTCCGTCAGCTGCCTCGACCACCAGCACTTCAAGCTCGAATCAATCTACCCTAGCACGGCGTGGCAGACGGCTAATCCCGCACCAGATCCTTGGCCTGAATGAAGCGCCACTGCGTCAGGATAATCATGTACAGGATCCTCTGCCAGACAGTATCTCGGGGAAGTCCGTCATGGTCCGGCGGGCCGCTTGTGCCCGTGAACGTGGCCCGGAGGGGGTCCACGGCCTCGGCCTCGTCCTCGTCAACTGCCTTGCCCTTGCCCTTGCCCTTGCCAGCAGGTTCCTTGCCCTTGCCCTTGTCAGGTTTCGCTGGTCTCCCGGCTCTCTTCACAGCGTCTCTGAGCATCTGCTCCCGCAGCCGTTCGGATCTCGGGTCGACGAACGACGTCCTGCCGGGGCGAACAGTGCGGAGGACCTCGCGCAGGCGCGCGGCGCCATACGTCACGTCTCCTTCGCTGATCGAGGGCGGGGCGCCAGCGGCCGGAGCTGCAGGCTCATCGTCACCGTCAACCGCGTCGTCAACCGCGTCGTCATCCCCGCTGTCGTCCGGTTCGGCGTCATCTACGTCTTGATCCAGCTCCTGCTGTAGCTGACGCCACGCCGTGATGTTCGCTCTCCGTGCGGCTATTCTGTCATCCTCCCCCCCGCTCTTTCTATCCGCGGCGTTCCAAATCCGCTCGTTGAGGATCCAGGTGTCGAGCCGGGCCGACAGCTCTCTGCGCACCTGCTCCGGCCTCAGGCTCTGCGACCGCACCACCAGCAGCGTGCGCAGCGCCCGCAGGTAACGGGCCTCAAGAATGTCGATCCTGCCCCATTTCAGCTTGCTGTCGCTCGGCTGAGTCTTGCCCGGCTCCAGCGGCGCCAGCGGTGCTCGCGCTGCCGCGGTGCTACTATTGATCCCCTTCCCGAGCTCCTTTATCATTGCGCGGGCATCTTTCCTTTTCGGGATAGCGTCGAGTGTAAAGTACTTCGCGTCCCATTCTTCAGCGCGTGTCCAAAGATCCTTCCTATAGTTATACATCTTATTTTCCGGGTATTCCAGGGTAGGTGTAACTAGTCTATCCGATCTGACAGCGGGGCGGAACTTAGTAACACCTTTTCGAATAACAGCACGTCTTATGTCGTTAACGTCATCCAAGGCCTCTTCTTCTGTCATGCTGTATCCACCAGCCTTCGGTTTCTTAGGAGCCGGTCCTCCGCTCGGGGACTCTTTGGGAGGGCCTCTCTTGAGGCTGCCTGGTACCGGCGTGGCTGCACCGTTGTTCACTTGGGCCTCCTCCGCGGGCGTGAGGGTGCAGCCGAGCGACCGCTTGAGGGCCAGCACGCCCTGCCGGCCGTCTCGCCCCTCGATCGCCTCGAGGGTGTCGTGCGCAAAGTCGATATACGTGGGCCGTGTTGCGTCGGCAAATAATGCCTCCGGTGCGTCCAAGACGTTGTGGGCGAAGTTGGCATCCAAGGACACGGCTTCGAGAGCCTCTGCGAGAACCTCCTGGGACTCCCAAAGCAGTTCTCTGCGATCCTCTTCGTTGCCAACGGTCTGCTCTCTAAGACCTTCAAAGCGGGCGTAGGCAGCTTCGAACTCGGCGCTGTTCGTGAGTCCGCCGAAGTTCCATGCCTCGGCGGGATCAGGTGCTGGTGCGCGTTCATCTACCAGGGCTGTGGCCTGCTCGACCCACCCGAAGATACGATCATCAAGCTGGTTGTACGGGGCCCGGCTCAGTTCGTCCACGAGCTCACGCCATTGCGCGACGCGTGGCCCGGTAAGGAACGCCAGGTTATCGGTGACATATATCGTCGTAGCGTTAACGAGGGCCTCCACAGCACGAATGAATTGGGCCCTCGACTCCCCAATGATTGTGCCGGGCTTGGTGCAGTCTCTTGAAAGGCCGCCGAGGATGTCGCGGATCAAGAGCTCGAACCAGAGCATCGCCCAGTCCTCCTGGGTGCCCCGGATGCCCTCTTCCCATGACTCAAATTCTTCATTGGCATACTGCCAGAAGCGGTTAACTCGCCATGTCCAATACTTCATTCGAGTCCGCTGGTCGTCACTTTGGCTGTCAACATCGCCATTGACGCCGCGACCCAGAATCCCGTTTGGATCGTCGTCCGCCATTGCAACTATATAGCAGCGTGGAGAAAGGAGTTGGGGTAAGTGTCTTGCTCGGGGTACGTTGCTGTATGAAGCCTGAAGTGGTCACACTCAATGGCGCTGCTCGAAGTCGGGTGACGTTGAAGGGGAGAAGTATTTATCAATTCGACTTGATAAATCCAGACTGCACAAAGCCGCTACCTGTGCAGCTTTCGGTATCTGCAAACGTATCACACAAAGGAGTCGACTTCGCAGTCGGCGAAGTCGAGTCTTGGAGAGTCGCTGCATCCGGCGTCTCTCTTCGCTTTGTCCGCCGATTCGGGTCTCTTCATACTCGACACCGGTTTTCTTTCCCCACGGCTTTCGTCGAGTCGCATGCGGAAAGGGTGGTCTTTTTCCTCCCATGATGCTTTGCTCGACTCTTGCGGCTTTTATAAAACGGTATACCTCTATTACTTGAGCGCTTTGGCATGTTGGCTTCCTGATAGCTTGAGTCAATCTTTTCGAACGGGAACTTACGCTCAACTCGACGTTTTTCATACCCAGCATCCATCGGAGTATATACCTAACTTCCACTCCCGCGTAAAGATGTCTTCTGAAGCTGGTTTTGATATTAATTGGTTTGGTGCCGGTGGTTCTGGTGCCGGTTGGGTTGATGATGATGCTGGTGGTCCTGGTCCCGGCACTGGTCCCAACGGCGCTGATTTACCTCCAGCTCTAGAGCGAGAGGCTCCCACGCCAGCTGCTCCTTCCTGGGAGGTCAGATGGACCGCAGAAAAAGGATTCGGCTGTTTCGCCTCTCAGGATATCGCCGCCGGGGAGACCATCATATCTGAAGCCCCCATGTTGACAGCGACTGGTAGCAGTACCCGCCGTCAAGGGCTGTTGGATGACTGCCTCCGTAACTTTGAAAATCTCAATGAAGATCAACAGAGAAAATACCTCAGTCTCCACTGCTACCAGCACCCCGTCGATTCGCCAAATGCACGCCGTTACCTCAAAGTAACAAGACCGGGCTTGTCCGATGAAGAGTACACCCGCCTGCTGAAGATACATCGGATCTTCGCCTCGAACTGTTTCTACGTCAGCGAAAGCGTAACCGAAGCTGGGAACGTGTTAGAAACCAACGGGCTCTTTAGACAGGTCAGCAGAATCAATCACTCATGCGATCCGAATTGCTGGTACGAGTGCGAGGGGACTGGTGGGCTCTTCGTTCTCAGGGCCAATCGTGATATCGCAAAGGGGGGCGAGTTAAGCCTCAGTTATATCTCCAACTGTAGACCAAGGGCAAGGCGGCGACGTAGCCTTCGTAAGCAAAAGACCCCTTTGTATCCTCCGTCTCCGGATAGGCAGGCGAAGGCTGACAGTCGACTCGGGCAGGCAAGAATTGGGTGTTCGATTGCGCCTGCGAATGGTGCGTGCTTAATGAGGATCCTGTACTCCAGGATGGTAACTCGTACAACAATACATTAGCAGGAGCCTGCGCGGCACAAAACCTGTTTGCCGCGGAAACGAGGATCAATTCTAACGAGGATGATGTATGGGGAGTTTCAATGATAGAAGAGGACCCAGATGAGGACGGTGATTCCGCCGCCATAGGTCGGCGCCACGACAGGCGTATCGATCTCTTGACGGCGCTGAACTGGGGGCCACAGCTAGCATTTGCGTAAGCAAACCCAGACCGGCGGGAATAGCAGCTGTCGTTGCTTCGTTGCAAGGCGGGGCTTAGCTAACACACTGCGTCCAGGTATCTCGACGCCTCTACCTGGTATAATCTCTACGGGCAGCGCGCGTACGACTGGGCAGTAGACGCGGAGGATCCTATGGTGACCCGTGCTGCCCTAGCAGCCTTGACGGTCTCTCCTATGGTGACCCGTGCTGCCCTAGCAGCCTTGACGGTCTCTGTCGACTACGCTCAACGGGCGATTGCCCGTGCTCGAACCGTGTGGGGAGATGGGGATATGATCACACTTAACGCCCAGTCACAGCTCACCAGCTCCGAATTTCAACTCAGACGTTGTAAGCAGCAAACTTGTTCCTTGACACCCCTCCACCCCCCCTCGTGTGTCTGGAAGGTTTTGGATGACCTTCTCTGCCGACGGGAATATGCTTCCGAGACACCAATTACCCTGCGAGAGCAAATTACTGACTCGAAGCGTTGCAGTAACCGCTCAGGCGACGGGGCTTCTCCCCCCGGAAAGTGAAGAGGATGAGCCAGCCTTTGCGTAGAGGCTTCGGGGCCGTATGGACAGAAGAACCGGTTGGGAGACGTGGCTTTTATTGGGGGCGGGGGAGGGCGTGAGCGTTTTTAGAGCTGGCTGAGCTGTAGCGTGTACGCGTGCACGTGTATATTTACGTGTGCGTGTGAAGCTAGACTTGTTCCTATTTTGAATATGAATCTTTAAAAAGTTGCCGCCTTGTTGTGATACCTTCCCGATTGATCATCCCCTTGTAAACGAGGCCCGAAGCTTTGAAAGTTATATGTCGGCCAATCCTCGGTCGTGCGGAATAGGGGTAGATTGCCTACATGGTAACATCTCCATGACGGCTCTAGATGGCCTAATCGGAGCCTGGAGATCAGAGTGAGTCCCAACCATCAGGAAGGCGCCATCACGGCGCGTTCATGGAGGGCTGGGACCACCCGAGCGAGCATCACGTCGCCTTCGGCTTCGTGACAGAGGGAGAGCGCGTCAGCAGAACGCGTCATCCAGACCGCCAACGAGGGCGCCGATGAGTGATGCGGCTCCAGAGCACGTCAGTCATCCAACGCGCCAGCAGAGGCAGACAGGTACTCCTCTTTACCTCATCACCCTGCCCTGAAGACCACGGCGCGTGTGACGATCACTAACGTTATCATCCTCATCTACAGCGCGTGGCAGTACCTTGAACCCCATAGAGCGTTCAGAGCAGTCAGCTCAGCGCGTGGCACCTCGGCTAGAGCACGGCGCGTGTTACGGCGAGCGTGAGGGCGTCGCTGATACCGTGAGAGCATCAGTGGTCGCTTCTACGACGAGCACCTCATTCACAAGAAGACAACGGCGCTCGCAGCAGTCAGAGCTCAGCGCGTGGCGGTATCCTGAAGTCCACCGCGCAGATCACAACGCGTGTGGCAGGCACCTGAATACAACGGCGCGCCTAACGGCTTCGCCAGGAGAGAGATCCTCCCTCAGCAGCCCCTGACCTACAGACAGAACAAGCAAGCATGAAGCCAATTTACCCCTACCCCTATTCCACAAGAACCAGGATCGCCGACATTATACGTACATATATACGTGTAAGAAGTCTAGGTCGTTAACATCTAGGGGGTTTGGTTTAGTCTTGGCATACGGCGGGAACTGTGGTGTAACTAACCCCTGTTAATGTACCGAGGATGTTGTACTACCCTCAACATCGTTAAGATATCAAGATCTTAAAGGAACAGCGTCTTTAAAATGGACTTGATCCCCGCCAAATGTCAGACATGACTTCGCCCGAACCGCCGGCAGCGAAGAGCCAATCCCAAATGCACTGAAATATGACAAAAAGCAGGAGTCACGGGGGGTTACGGGATATACGGAAATAATGTTCCAACTCAACATACAAGCGGGACATGTAGTGGCAGCACCATGGACGTAAACAGACTTCAACCCGGAAACCGTAACATAAATTAAATACAAGGGCCACATTCCATTGCCAGATTCGACCCTGTCAGGACAATCCTCACGCTCAGTTTTGCCTTCATCTCGTTCTTACTGTCGAGTACCAGAGGTCATCAGCGTCGAACCCCCCTCTCTCAGTGGACGAATGCCACCACGACGCAATCCCAATCTCATACCCACTTGCCCAACCCCCCATCCCCTCCTTACAACTTACTAGCCGGCGCCGCATTCCCCACGGCCGTGATCTCATTATACAGCAGCGAGGTCAAAAAGTCGGCGTAGTCCTCGCCGGTGACCTGGCCGGCGAAGTACTGGGACGCAAGGGAGAACTTGTTCCCCTTGGGCGCGGCGGCGGCGAGCTGATCCGTCGTCTCCTGGAGCAGCCGGAGCGCGTACGCCTTGTCGACCTTCTTGCCCTCGGCCGTCGTGACGCCGTGGCGCACCCACTGCCAGAGCTGCGAGCGGGACACCTCGGCTGTGGCTGCGTCTTCCCTGTTCTTGGAGGTTAGTGATAACACATAGTTGGAAGGGTAGGTAGAACTGTATAACTCAAGGAGGACTGGAGGAAAGGGGAGACCAGGGACAAGTAGGAATATGCGAGCGGACAAGCAAACGTACATCAGATAGTTAATAGGCACGCATCCAACCCCACGCACCCACGCCTCCATATATCCAAGGCCGATGTTCAAATTCTTGCGGATGCCGTCCTCGGTGATCTTGCCGGGCACGTTCATGTTGAGCAGGTCGCTCTGGCCGATCTCGACGTCCTCGCGGCGAACGAACAGCTGGTTCGGCGTCGGCATGTGCTTGTTGAAGATCTCGGACGCGATGGCCGCGAGGGCCGGGTGCGCTACCCACGTTCTGCGGAGGGTTTTCGATGTCAGTCACTTGTTTCGATGACATCCGGGTCCATGTTCGGTATAATGGATTTGGGAAGGGAACAAGAGCTTACCCATCATGGCCCGCTTGCACTTCTCGCAGCTTGTCCGCACGTACACCGTCCATCGCCTTGTCGTTGGCTGCCTTGTCCTCCTTGATGGGGATCTGGGCAGCCATACCACCCATAGCGTGAACACCGCGCTTATGGCAGGTCTGGATGAGCAATTTGACCTACTCCCACAGCACCAGTCAGCAAAGTCACCCCCCTCAATCCCCAACCAACCCCCCATCAACACCACCCCTACATCCATCTCCAAGCGGCTCAAGACTCACATAAGCATCCATAAACGGCACCGTCATAGTAACAGCGCTGCGATCCGGCAGGACGAAATCGGGGTTCTGGCGGAATTTCTTGATAGTACTAAAGATGTAATCCCAGCGTCCGCAGTTAAGACCGGAGCTATGGTCGCGCAGCTCGTAGATGATCTCGTCCATCTCGAAGGCAGCAAGAATAGTCTCAATCAACACAGTGCCGCGGATGGTGCCGCGCGGCATCCCGATATAGTCCTGGGCGAGGTTGAAGACGTCGTTCCACAGGCGCGCCTCGAGGTGCGACTCCATCTTGGGCAGGTAGAAGTAGGGGCCCGTGCCGCGGCGCACGCTCTCGGCGGCGTTGTGGAAGAAGTACAGCCCGAAATCGAAGAGCGAGCCCGACACGGGCTCGCCGTCGACCGTGACGTGCTTCTCGTCCAGGTGCCACCCCCGCGGCCGCACGATCAGTGTTGGTAGTGTGCGGTCCTGCCGCAGCTTGTACTCCTTGGCCCCCTGCTTGAAGTCCACGGCGCGCCGGTTGGCGTCGTACAGGTTCACCTGCCCATTGATCATGTTGCCCCATGTTGGGGCGCTAGAGTCTGGTTGGGTTGTCTTGTCAGTTTATGTCCAGTTAACTCGCAGATCATCAACAGCAACTCCCCCATGCTCATAAGCACACCACATCATCCAGAGCCCTCTTCCTCCACCAACCCATGTACCCCCCGAAACAAGCAGGAAGAAACGTACAAACATACCCTCAAAATCAGCCATATAAGTCCAGACATTCGAGTTCAGCGCATTAACGACCATCTTGCGGTCGGTCGGCCCCGTGATCTCGACGCGGCGGTCGACGAGCCCGGGCGCGGGCGGCGCGCCCCTCCAGGTCGGGTTGTCGCGCACGTGGGCGGTCTCGGGCAGGAAGTCGGGCAGGACGCCGCGGTCGAGCTCGACCTGGCGCGCGACGCGGCGCTGCAGCAGGGCCCGCCGCGTGCCGTCGAACGACCGGTGCAGCAGCGCCAGGAACGCGAGCGCCGCCGGCGTCAGGATCTTCTCCTTGTGCTCCGCCGTCACGGCGCCCGCGACGCTGACGCCCTGCAGGATGCTTTCTGTGGTAGCCATTTCTTTGGGTGTTTGGTGTTGGTATTTGTGGTGTGGTGTGAGAGTGTATATGAGACTGTGGATGTGTCTCTTGTCTATAGCTCTCAGACGCTGCTTGGTGGTTGGTTGAGGTCTCCGTTGCCACTGCTGGAGATGACGATGCGTGTAAGTCAAATGTTACACCAAAAAGTTACCGAGGATGTTTGTTCTCAACGGTTTCTTACCGGGCGCGAGTCAAGCCAAAAGGTTAAATCCAAAACCGGGGATAGGTCAAAGAGGGGGTGGGTATAAGATTATTATATACATACAGTAGTAGAAATGAGAGTTCGGATCACGACGGGAGGAATGACGAGGACAAGATGCTTAATAAGTTAACGCCCCAAGCTCGGCTTTGGAGAACGGCCACCCCCTGTAGGAGGTACCTATGTATATATGTGATGTATGGCAGGCAGACTGGAACTAGCAGACTATCCCAGGCGTGGTCGATCAAGCTCTTGGTTTCGGCTGGAAGGATGGCAGCTGAGTGGTGGCTCGAAGCATGTGTAGCCGGTGAGAAGCGAGGGATGGACGGTAGATGGACGGATGAGAGGGAGCTTGTGAAAGTGTGGGGAAGCACCCTAATCCTGACTCTTCTACTGTGTAGGTAGTTATGTACGGGATGGACAATTTGTTCATGGAGAGAACTAAGAAGGACTCTTGTTTTATATCTCGTTATTGTTTAATACAAGAGCGAGGATAAGCAGAAGTGGTGCCGTGGTCCCTCGGACAGTATATCGGCCCCTGGTTGAAGCTGCGATGTTGTTTACCCAGGTATTATGTATTCTGGTCTTCACATGCAAGTCCGCGACCCAAGCTCACCTTAGCTACACCCCAGCTCCCCTCCCCTTATTACGTCGTTAGTCGTTGGTCGGGTCACATTAGAGCATTCCCCAGACTCTTACTGACACAAATGCCATGCCCAGAAGGCGGGGTTGTGTTCGCCGCACGTACGGAACATGGCCCGGGGGCAGCAATTGAAGATTCGAAACTCAGGTCACCACTGGCAATCATGACGGCATATCTAAGTACCTACCTACCTTAGGTACACACCTCCCTCCATCCATCTGAAATCCCACCGCTTCGGCTTCACACAGCTATCAAAGCGACATCGCAGAGCAGTAACAGGAACCCCGTTCTCGGCATCAATCGGCCCCATCGCCATCGCTGCCGACCGCGGCAAGCTGGAGACACCTAACCTACCTACATAGGTAGATCAGATAGGTTAGATAAGCCAGCGCGCCGAAGCAAAGCTGTCTGGTAATAGCATCGCATAAACCAACCTCTAGCTGTGTACTGTAGACGAGACCCGCCATCGAGTGAACCAACCTGTGAACCTTCCGAAGCACCGAGCAATGTCCACGGGCTCCTGGGCCAGGAGCTCTGCCGAAGTTCCCCATCTGAGCCGAGGTCGGATTGCCTAGCTCGCCGAGCTTGGGGAGAATACCGGGCGGATTCCGGCAGCACCCGCGGAATCCATTCACGTCCACTTCAATCCGGTAACAAACTAGATAACCTCGGAACATAAGCTCGTTTAAATTACCAGCCCAGGTAACCAATCTCAGAAAGCGCAGAGTCGGAGAGTAGACGTAGCCGAGTATGCAGCCCGCCGATCAAGGAATTGAGCTGGCAAGACGGACGAAAGCTATCTCCAAAGCTATGCGCATTGGCGATGTGATGATAGCGCTACCAAGTGATGCTATCGTAGGGTTGTAAGCGTAGTTGGGGCCTGTTTCATCTTTTCCCCCCTTAGCATGTTCCTGATCTTGGTTGAAGTTCGATTTGGATTTTATTACCTTTCTGTCTAGGACTATATTTACAACATGCCAATAGTACTACTGTCTACAATACCGGAGTCGTTGGGGCTGAGGGGGCATATCACCAAGGCTGTCTGGCTGTCATTCACGCCTTAGCCTTGTGGTGGCAGTGCGCCTCATGGTCCGCCGAGAAGACGGTCCCCTCCGCCACCCTCTCCTCCACATGTCCCATCTCGGTGCGCACAAAGCCCATCACGGGCTCGACGACCCGGTGCACCTAGCCCTTGTAAGGACTGGGCCCGATCATGAGCTCCGGCTTGACGAGCGAGTCGAACTCCTCCGACGTCAGCGCCTCGAGCTGCATGGCGCTCTCCTTGAGCGTAAGCCCCTTCTTGTGTGCGTTCTTGGCTACCTTGGACGCCATGTCGTAGCCGATCTTGGGGTTCAGGCAGGTGACCAGCATGAGACTATTCGTTTGTGCTGCCGTTAGTTCTCATGTTGTTGTTTTGTAAGAAAGGCTGCAGATGGGTTGGTTCAAACTTACGATTCCTTCATGATGCTAGCAATCTTCTCCTCGTTGGCCTGGAGGCCGACGACCAGGTTCTTCTCAAACGAACGCATGCCATCTGCCAGAATTCGCGTGCTGTGCAGCAGGTTGCGGATGACCAGGGGCTTGTAGACGTTGAGCTCGAACTGCCCGTTCATGCCGCCAATCGTGGTGGCCACGTGGTTGCCCATGACCTGTGCGCAGACCATCGTCAGCGCCTCGCACTGCGTCGGGTTGACCTTGCCGGGCATGATGCTGGAGCCCGGCTCGTTCTCCGGCAGAATGAGCTCGCCCAGGCCACAGCGGGGACCGCTGCCTAGGTATCGAACATCCTGTGCGATCTTGTTCAGCGAGCCGGCGAGGGTGTTCAGGGAGCCCGAGGCCTGCACAATCGCATCGTGCGAGGCAAGCGATTCGAACTTGTTGGGCGCCGTCTTGAACTCGGTGCCCGTCATCTTGCTGACTTCCTCGGCGATCGCCTCGGCGAAGCCCTCAAAGGTGTTGATGCCCGTTCCGACGGCAGTGCCGCCCTGGGCGAGAAGCCTCAGGTCGGGCAGCGAGCTCTCCACCCGCTTGATGCCCATGTCCAGCTGTGCGACATACCCAGAGAACTCTTGCGCCAAGGTCAAAGGCGTAGCGTCCTGCAGATGTGTTCGTCCGATCTTGATAATCTTCTTGGCCTCGAAGTCGTCGACCTTCTTCTGTAGTGCGTCACGCAGGCTCTTGATGGACGGTAGGAGCGACTCCTCGATCTCGAGGACGGCGGCGATGTGCATGACGGTGGGGAAGGTGTCGTTGGATGAGGCGGATCGGTTCACGTGGTCGTTGGGGTGGACGGGCTTCTTGCTGCCCATTGTGCCGCCGAGGATCTCAATGGCTCGGTTCGAGATGACTTCGTTGGCGTTCATGTTGGACTGCGTGCCTGAACCGGTCTGCCAGACCACGAGCGGGAAGTGGTCGATGAGCTTGAGGTCGGCCACTTCGGCGGCAGCCTGCTGGATAGCCTTTCCAATCTTCTCATCTGTGATGTAGTCGCAATCGTAAGCCAAGGCCCTTCAGCAGCTCCAAGCGTAGAGGCAGTACAATGGTTCAAGATGGTTGCATACCGAGGCCATATCGCATGTTGACCGTAGCGGCCGCTCCCTTCAAGATACCAAAGGCCTTGACGATAGGGGGCGGCATGCGGTCCTGGGGCTGATTGATGCGGAAGTTCTCGAGAGACCTCTCGGTCTGAGCTCCCCAGTACTTGTCCGAGGGCACCTGAACCTCGCCAAAGGCATCGCTCTCAGTCCTCGTGCTGGCGTCCATTCTGAACGAGGATGCGTGGAAGGTTCTTTGGAATCGTAGGGAATGCGTCGGTTTGACAAGGAACGGTTTCGAGGTGACGTATGACGATGTGGAGGAGGCCGAGGCGGAGCAGGAGGAGGAGTAGAAGTTGCATGTGCCCAGCATTCGGGGAGCTGCTGTTCTCGGCCCAAGCACGCTCCTGGCAGGGCCCGCAGCCGCTGCCGTAGCTCTTACCGATCGAAGCATGACTGCTGTGACTTCTCGGGTCAATTGGTGATTTCGATACAAGAAGGAACTGCCGTTTGATGGTGTGCTGGCTAATTGTGCAGAAGTAGGTAGACTTACTGTGTTGCCAATGCCGGTCTGGCCCGGGATATTGAATGCGCCCAAAATACGCAAATATTCAATCAAGTAGTTCGACTACAGCCAAGCCGAAGGACAAAGCGACCATATAAGACAATACAAAATTCAATTGAGTGTAGGATACCTTCAAGCGAGGGAGGATAAAATAATACACTTGAAGCTTCTTCCCGCGCCGTTCAATCTTTGCTATGAAGTAGTAAATTGTCGCGACAGTCGGTCCGGGTTTGCCCGATGGAGTCGTCCCCGGGCCTCCACCTCCACTGCAATTGGGCCGTTCCACAGACCACTTCCAGTTATCCTATTTCAGTCCAGCACCCCAAACGACAAAACAGAATAAGCACCATGGAATAAGCATTGAGAGTGGCGTATCAAACCCGAGCTGCTTATTCCTGTATCATTATTCCTGTATTTCAAAATTACAACGGGTAATCTGGAGTCTTATCAACATGGCGCGCACGGAGACTTATGATGGTTCAGTGTAATACGAGCCTCACTTGTGATCACACATCGACGAAGACACCAAGGGTCGAACGGAATGGCCATAGTATCTATCTCATTGCCCAGTTGTTAGACCTGCGTTCACAGAGGTTCTAATCACCGCAATTTCTATTATACTACTTTATTACCACCAATTTTTCTACTCTACCAGCAGCTTAGACAGGCCCACGTTTGACCGTGTCCCCTATCTACCTAACCACTGCAGTGACTTATATACAGAAAGACGCGCAAAAATATGCAGACGTCATTCAAGAAGCACTGACTACTCCAACAAGTAACAACGAGCCTGGTATCCAGCTCTCTGCCTCGCATCTCCAAGCAGCTCGCAACTCGCAACTCGTATCAACCTCGTCAGCCATCTATGAGCAGAAGGGGTGAATACAGTCAAGATAACGCGTGTGGCTTCGGATGAGAAAGAGACGAGCTCGGACGGAAAGAAAGCCCCGTCCTGAAGACGCCAGTATAGCGGACAAGCTGTTGTCACAGTACCCCCAATTGAGTACCTCTCCAGCCGCAACATGCATGACTCCAATAATAATGGGTGAAAGAAACCAACGCCGTACGGTCTCTCGGGATCAAGAGTTCAGTGTCTTGATCATCATCTTGACTCTTCGCTTCTCAGCAACGAGCAAGTTTCGCACGCTGAAAACAGCGTTCATGGTGTCGACAACTTTGTGGAAGCTACTGGCTGCACCTCGTTCTTGCGTGAAGCGAGCAATGCACAGTTGACTGCGCTTGCCATGCTCAATCACCGTCATGATCTCGGCGGCGAATGAGACTTCATTCAGGTTGAGGTCTGTAACATGTACCGTCAGTCTGCCGTCCTCATATGCCCAAGCAGGCTGTCACAGTACTCACAGTTCTTCTTAGCCACGCGTGCAAAGACAATGTTCCGTTCCTTGTCGACCTGCACCTCTCGTATGCCGTACTTGCGCCATTCCTTGAGCAAGATGGCGATTTCCTGTCGCGCGCGACGTCGCGATATCGAGAAGCAGAGATATTTGGTCGCCGGCTTGACCTTGAACAGCCGGGCCAGCCAATTCTGCTGCGGCTCGATATGCCGTGTTGCCGCGTCTTCCGTCATCTTCCTCTTATGATGCGGTCGGCCGGGGTGATTGAACATCCGGGCAGGTTCGGGGCTCGGTGAATCATCGTAATCGGACCCTGTGTCGAATTGTTAGTTTCCTTCCTATTCGACATTGGCTTCATGATACTTACCTCCAAGCGAGATCTGCATCTGTGGTTGGTCCTTGGTGTTCCCTTTCCAGAAGGCGAGACTAAAGCTCTTCTTCTTCGCCGGCGGGATGGCCGGGCCCCTAGATGAGCTGCTATCTGTATAGGTAAGCTTATCAGTGTTACTCGAGGCAGAGCCGCCATTCGAGTCAAAAACGTTATCCTTGGAGGTGCGCTTGAACCAGGATGCCTTCTTCTTTGCCACAGCAGAAGAGCGATCAAGAGACAGGGTCGATGCCTCCTCGGAGACTGGGGCCTCCGCCTCATCCTTGACGTACTTTTGGCGGAGGTTGAGTTCTTGCCTAGACTGTGCAGAGGCAGTCACCTCTCTAGACGCCTGCTTACGAATGTTCAGCGGCGCTGGCGCTCTGACCGGGTTATGACGGTCCGAGATGGAGTTGACGACGCGTATCGTCTGTTCGTGACGAGCAAGGTACTCAAGACCTGCACCTTCGTCCAAAGGATCAGGACGGGACTTGGAATATGTTACAGGGGCAGATACAATGCGACTCTTGTCGGTAGCAAATCCTTCATTGATTGGTGGCAAGGGGATTGCGTCCTTACCCCACTGAGTGCTGAACTGCGAATAGATAGGGGCTGAGGCAACCCTGCGGTTCGTTTCGCCCTTTTCTGTCGACTTGCCGCGTCGATCATGTAGGACGACATTTGGTGCCATCTGTTTAGCAGGCTTCGAAGACTCTTCAAACCAGTCGTCCTTGCGGCGTTCGGCTCTCTTCTTTGCCATCATGATCTCGTGTAGGACCGAGTCTGTAGGAGGTGGTGCCGGCGGCAACGGCCGTACATCCCACGGGCGCGGTTCGTGGAGGAGACCTCTCGCGCGCGGAGCAGCAGGGGTCGGAGTCGCCATTGCGACTGACAGCGTCTTTGCATCCTCGGATATGGAAGGTTCGAATGGGGCCTCGTCTAAGTAGGACTGCGGACTGAGCAAGGAACTGTTGAACGCTTCGTCACAGTCCTTTGCGATGCTGTGGCCGAACTGGCTCATCTCCTCATGTCCGAGTAACCCACCCTGTTTGGCTCCAGACATATCCGCCATCGATTGTGTGCCAGGGCGAGACCTTCCACTGGGGTTTCTTGAAGTCTTGGCTATTCTCACCGAGCTCGCGGGGGACATGTAGTCGCGATCATAGGTCGTATCGTCTCCCGCTATGCTAGCAGGCGCACGGTGCATATGATCTTGCTGCTGCGTGGAAGACCGTCTGCGAACATGCGAGAAGTCGACACCTCGCTTGTGTCGAGAAGCAGGTCGCACATAGGGAGCCCCTTCGCCACTTCGAACCGAGCTTAAAGATCGCCTTGTGGACCCGTAAGCCGCAGGCGCTGTGATATGCCGGGCACCTCTGGTCCGCTTCGAGTACGTCGAACTACTTTTGATCGATCCACTTCGAACCTGTCGCAGCTTCGAAGAATGCGTGGAGTCCTTGGCTGAGCTTGCGTTTCGATGGATGACAATCTTCGCGTGACTAGCTTCTACATCCTCCATGTTACGCGAAGACTTGTAAGGATCATAGCTCTGGATCGTATTACCACAATCTGTGGCGTTGTCGACTCCATCACTGTCTTCCTCGGTGGCCACGTTGGAGATGACGGTGAATCGAGACGGAGTTCTTCCGTACTTTGAGGGAAACTCGGCCGTCGTGAATTTCTTCTTCCAGTTCGCGGGTCGGAGATGATGGTAATCACTTGCAGAGTAGGTCAAATCCCCATCGTAATTCTCCAGACGTTTCTCACGGTAGTTCAGAAGAAGCCAGTAGAACAATTTCTGGTCATTGGGCCTGTAACCTCATGTCAGTGCGACTCTCAACAGATCAAAGGCTACCGCGATTTCAGTATAGTAAACGTACTCCGGAGTCATCAGTTTCATAGCGAGGTGCTTCTCAGAGAATGTATGCCACATGGACTTCAACTGGCGCAAAGTCTGCATGTCAAGGTCTTCCGGTAGCACTGGCTGGCACTGTCCGACTTTTCGGGATTCCAGAGACTTCCCGCCGTCGTTTAGATCGTCGCCATCATCGTACTGCCGAATCAGTCGGTGTTTCCATATCTTCCTGATAGATATGCGATTTCTTGGTTCGACCGTCAGCATCCTGGCAATCAAGTCCCGAGCATCATCGCTGATGAAAGCCGGGACCTCGTAGTGGCCCCTTGCAGCTCTTGCAAGGAGCCGCGGTACATCCCCGTACGGATCATCAAACGGAAGTCGGGCACACAAGGCAGCGTACAAGATGACACCAAGACTCCAGATGTCTACTTTGTCACCCTGGTACCGACTTCGGCTTACCAACTCTGGGGCAGCATAGTGAGGGCTTCCGCAAGACGTTTTGAGGGTATGGGTCGGGCCCTGCTGTATAGCCGCCATACCGAAGTCGGCTATCTTCACCTCTCCATTTTCTTTCATGAGGATGTTCTCCGGCTTCAGGTCCCGATGGCAGATGTTGAACGAATGGACATATTCCAGCGCGCTCAGTATCTGCCGAAAGTAGTGCATCATCTCAAACTCCCGGAGAGGACCAAATTCGTTGATGTAAGTAAAGAGGTCGCCTCCTTCCATGTACTCCAGGACAAGGTAGCTGGATTGCAATGTCAGTACGGATCGAATTGGCTTGGAGCTTGAAAGTGAACTTACATCTCAGAGCGGTTCTCCCAGATATCGTTCAGTTTCACAATGTGAGGGTGGTCGATCAGCTTTAGTATAGCAACTTCGCGTTCGATAGACAGCGGCATGTGTCTCTCGGAGGCGTATTCATCCCGATTGCGATCCCACTTGTCCAGCTCGGCAAGACTACCAGCCTGGGTCAATTGGGTCATGTTTTTGGCCAGTATCTTCACGGCCACCAATTCCTGCGTGGCCTGGTGCCTGGCCAGCCGGACTCGTGCTGCCGAGCCTTTGCCCAGTGTCTTGCCGAGTTGCCATGGGCCAATGTGAGTCTTTCGCTTGCTACTTGAGGCACCACTCGAGGTCGAGATCTGGGAGTCTCGCTTGCTGCCATCGCGGTCGTCTTGCGAGATTGTGGAGGCGCGCGGGTTCGCTGGCCCTCTGGCATTGTTGTTGGTTGAAGTGGCGGCGCGAGTGCTGGATCTCGAGTCTGTGGGCCTGTGGCCAGAGGGGTGGGCGCGCAACGGGTTGGTCTCGGGCTCTAGAGCTCGAGTGCGTTTCCCAGGTTTCTGGGAAGAGGCGTTGATGACGCGGTCGGTCGCGTCTCCCAGGGGAGGGCGTTGAATGTGAGACATTGAAACCCCACGATCCGCCATGTCCAAGGGCAACAAGTGGCTGTTTACACCATATCCGTCTTAGCCCAGTCCCTGTGCTGCCAATTGGGAAAGTCGGCTGAGGTAGTGTGGTAGGAAACAAGGAGCGAGAATGCGAGTTGGAGAGACAATGGGATGATGACAAGGAGGGAACTGGTGTTGGCGCGGTGGTGCGCCTGGGGATCGCTGACTAGAGGCAAAAGAACGAGGCCTCTGGGGCGGGAGAAAGATCAGGTAAGGCAGGCAGGTGGTTTTGCGACAAACTCGTGTGCCTGAGGATCCAGCAGTCAAAACGAGCGTAGCATGCAGACAGATATTGGTTGGAGAGTGGAATTTGGATGGACCGGCGAGTAGGTTTTTTTGAGGTGCACGGTGTTGCCGAGCTGTGGCAGGTGGAAGGTGGAAGGTGGTGCAGAAGGAATGTGGTGTTTATGGCTGGGCGACAAATCTGAGTCAAGATGCACCAAATTCGAGCTGCCCAGAACCCAAACTTGCCTGCAAATGAGGACCCCGATTCTCCAGTGGGAGAAACCCCAGTAATTGGTTATTCCAGTACCGTCTTGAGCAGCAAGTGCACCTACTCCATCCCACTATGTACATAGGTTATCTACATCTCCCGTCCCAGCACCTCCAGCCATGTACCTCCTAGGTAGATGTGTACCAAAGAATACCATCTACCCTACATTTATCCAGCCACTCGTGCAGCCACCGCCCTTGAACTGTTATTTGCATCTCAATGGTCCATCCAAGACATATTGTAGTCCATTTGTGGTCAGGCATGTAGGCACGCAATGCTATGTGTGCTCCTTTGGCAGTAACGTTACATGGCCAAATGTTCGTGTCAACCCGTGTGCAATGTTGACCTGGAGAGATGAAAAAAAATCTAACCATCACAAGCTGGGACATAAAGGCATTATATAGATGCTTGGGCAGACGGATATCATACCTCATGGAAGTGAGAGTGCTGATTCCAGGTCTTCAGGGACGGGGATGGCTGACGGTGTGGCTGAATGCAAAAAGGGGCTCTCGCGTACGTCCGGCCTACAACGCTCACTGAGATGGCCACATGCATCTCAATCACTCACAAAGGCATACGCAGTTCTTATAGGCAACTGCATCGCTGGGGATACAGTATCTCATCAGCGTCTGGGAGTCAGAAACTGCCATCGTATATGAAGAGTCGCCCAATAGTGCTTAGGAGATGCAAGTTACTACGAAACGACCACTGATACTACTATACAAGAACAACACAGAGCATTCCGCCAGTCCTAACGCCAATCGGTAGCATGAAACATCATGGGCATATATGGTCACCCCTACGCACGCCCAGCCAACGAGAAAACCCAACAGTCATATCCTTTCCAAACCCAAGGCGACCAGCGCCCCATCCCTATCCGATCAGTCAGATGCGAAGACATGCCTATCAGCATCACCATGAACCGGCCATTCATCGATATTGTCCCTCCTATTCACCGTCGGGCTACTGAACGTATGCCTGACCCCGTCGCCATACCTGGGCCAGTTTTCAGTGCCAATCGGCCGCGGCCGCGCGGTGCCCGCCCTCTTCACAGCACCTGACACTTCCCGCCTCCTGAACCACCAACCGAGGCCAGCGCAGAGCCGACACAACTCTTTGTGTCGATGAGAAAGACCATACGAAAATGACCAAGGAAATTCGAAAACATTTCGATGACATGATTCATGAGCGTCCAGCTCAACAAGGCCATCGCCGACGACGTGTCGAGAAATCAGGACCAAGGCGTCAGATGGGTTCTGGTCGGCGACCAGATAGAGGGCGACAGGTTTCGTGGTCCTGGGATCAAAGAGCCAGATCAGCACAACGATGGCCTCTGGCTCTTCCATTACCCCTACAACGAGTCTGACAAGGACGACATCGACGGGCCACTCCCGAAGGCCTACGATAACGTCACCACAGGCGTCGTTATCACAACCGAGTTTCAAACGTATAACGATTTCCAGAACGCGCTCCTCGACGCCATGGTGCTCGACGATGCGCCTGGCTCCAACGGCTGGCAAGACACCTTCTGGCCCCGGATTGGGAACAGAGTCAAGGTATTCCATCCCCAGATCCCTCTTCACGAGAAGATCCGAGACCTAATCATGGACAGCTATACCCGCGACTAGACGGACGAGGCACCACTACTCCTTCCCGTCGAAGAGAAGAACGAATGCCACGGCATGAGCGGCGACTACCGGGTCATGTTGCACGACACAGCCGTCGACAACGCCGAGGACTTCCGCCAGAAAAGGAGCAGGGAAGTGACGTACAACGCAGAATGGATCAACGACCTGAAGCTGTCGATGGCGAAGCTACTCGACGACAGCAAGGGCCCCGCCGACGCCCCGGACTGCCTCGCCCGCCTCCAGGGCGTCGTCATCGACGGCGGAGGAGGCGCGGACCCCATCAACAACCAACTTCTAGTCATCCCCTGCGGTGGGATGAGTTGACATCGTCATCGAAACCCCATGCAATTGTAGCCTCACCGAGAATCTGTTATATCGACCAATAAGACTGGTCTCTTCAAGTGTTTGCCAAACTCTGAGGTGGCTTAAACCTTGAATGTTGGCCGTTGGATGTTCTCGACCTTTAGACCGCTAAAAAGGATCGTCGAAGGAGCGAGCTCTTCCAATCCGGGATCCCTTTTATCGGACATGCAGATCTCTTGAGCTGAGGTGGGATGCATTGCATGTGCATCCTTTCAGACATGATGAGGCGCAGCCTGACCTCTACAAACAGACTTCCCCAACGTCAGCTGGTCGCACAGGCATCCATTACATCTACCCTCTTCCATTTCGTGAGCAGCGTATCCTTTTAGCTGAACTCTCTCAACTCTCAACTCAAAACTCAAAACTCAAAACTCAACCGGCCTTTCTTGCCCTATCCGGTTGCCATTGTCATCATCAATTCGATCTGAAGATGCGTATTCCAGGGCTCGAGTATACGGCAAGAGCCTTGTCACTATCCACCGGTTCCCAGAGACCCTTGAGTGATGACCCTTTTAGAGGTGTCTCTGACACTCGGTTCTTGTCGAGGCCTGAGTTACCAGGCGGCACCCCTCTCAGTCTCTGCGAGGTGTCCCGCCCGACAGACCTATACAACATCACATCGGTAGAGGTGACCCAGCAGCCTATCCACTTGTACGTGATCCAAGAATCGGTCACCGAGTTTCCCCGTCACTGATAGCCAAAAGCGACGATTTCTTTCTCTTTCACCTCTATGGGACCTTTCAAGGCACGTTTACACCGAATGCGACAATCACCTTTTCTGTGGACTGCGGCTCGCATTGCGAAGATTACGGCTACCCGCCCGGCGAGACATCGCCATATGAAGCCTGGACGGAGGGTTTCTGCACCTTGACCGACATCCAACAGCCCCTAGGTGGGCTGCCAAAGAGGAACACGACTTGCCCACCTGTGGAGGGTTTTGCCCTTCTCGAGTCGCCGGGATACGTAATGCCTATGTTCTTCCGTAGGCCGGTAATTCCCACCCCCTCTCCACACTATACTGTAACTGACGCGGGTATGAAAAGGGCTTCTTCAACTTTACTTTCGATGCAAAGACTGCGGAGGGCGGGAGGATCTACTGTTTGACGGCCGAGGTGTGCTTGAGGTGGGAAGATGAGGAGATCAATAAGCGTTATAAAGGACCTATGACCAACTGTACTTGGCCGCGGTGATGTGTTGAGGGCCCAAATCGCTAGTAGAACCAGTTTATTGGAGCGAAGGACGAGCTCAGAGCTGAGTTCGTAATGCTGTAGTCTCTATCGTGAGTAGGCTGGTGCGACAAGTCGCTACCATCAGATAGATGTACGCGGTGCTAGCATTGATGCCCGACGGCGCCAAATATAGGAATGGCTCGAGGCTCAAGAGTCATACATCGGCCAAGTATCTTCAGTTGTCTTCAATGCGTGCATCGTTATGGTACCCATCGAGTCCGCTGGCTCTTCTGGTTCCAGCCCGTAGGGGTTCTAGATGGTCTGGCACTCGTCGAGGAGCAGCCACTGCGCCTGAGACGACCGAGTGCTCAGTCACATTCGTCGAGCCCATCATCATTATTATTTCCAAATAGTCAACCTCCTTCGAGGGGTCCGGATCCCCCTTCATGTCCATCTTGACCGTCGGTTCGTCATCGCGACCTGTGGAGCCCGTTGGTGGCTTGATTTCAAGGGATTGATGGAGGCGCAGGGGGACCTGAAGTTATTGTGCATGATTGTTGGTGAGGTTTCGCCAACGAGTATCCAAAGCACGTGCAACATAGGTAAAGATTCACGCTAACCTGGAACAGATGCAGTGATTGAAGTCAGTCATGTGAAAGGGGCCTGGGGCCTGACATTTCAGTCTCTTACATCGCTATCGTGGCTGCGTGGCTGTGTGGCTGTGCTTGTTGATAACAAGTGCGTGCCACGATACGGCACTCAGCCAATCATAGCAGACTGCTTGCGCCCCACAAGATCAAGTGCCAAGCGGTCCCGGGGGCATGTTAATTGATTGATCCACAATAACGCGCCCCGCGTCCCCAACAAAGTCTCCCTCAACCAGCACCTACACCCAACGACTATTGCGAAATCTGCCCACCAGATCAAGGCGAGGCTGCCAAACGACCCCTCTCCCCCAAGCCAATTGACTATACTGCACTGAACACCCTGCAAAGCACCTGTTCTTATCAGTTTCGGATGCTACAAGACGCGCTCGAGTCCATCGCCGGCTGATCCATTCTGCGATGCCGTCCCTGGAGCCCCGCCGTTGGTCGAGGGCGCGCTTCGAGGAGGAAGATGACGAACAAACCTCCGGCTCCGACTCATCCAAACGGCAGCGACGCGACATGGACGGCACACAATCGGAAGAGGATGGAGAGAGCGACGACGAGACTGCCAATCGGGATGTTGCAGGACCCAGCGGACAGCGCAGGAACGGGCGCGCATCTACGAGCGGGCAGGGTGCCCGTTCCGGATCTGGAGAGTTTCAACCCGGTGCTATCGTGCGAGTTCGAGTCGAAAACTTCGTGACCTACGAGCACGCAGAGTTCCTCCCAGGTCCCAACTTGAACATGGTCATCGGGCCCAACGGTACAGGCAAGAGTTCACTGGTCTGTGCTATCTGTCTGGGCATGGGCTATCATCCAAAGCATCTTGGTCGGGCAAGCAATGTCGGAGAGTTCGTGAAGCATGGGAAGGATACTGCCACCATCGAAATCGAACTGCAGAAGCGCCCGGAAGAAAAATCCAACCACGTTATGTGTGTGCAAATCAATAGAGAGGACAACAGCAGAAAATGGTGGTTGAATGGAAGAGAGAGCACACACAAGGCAGTACAAGAACTGACACGGAGTCTGCGCATCCAGATTGACAACCTCTGCCAATTCTTGCCCCAAGACAAAGTCGCCGAGTTCGCTGGTCTGACCCCCGTCCAGCTCCTACACGAAACCCTACGAGCCGCTGCCCCTGAGAAGATGGTCGCCTACCAGACCACGCTCAAGGAGCTCCATAAAGATCACAAGACTGTGAAGCAAGAAGTTGATTCATGCGTTGAGATCCTGAAAGGACACGAAAACCGCCAGCAGGGTCTGCAGGGCGACGTCAATAGACTCCGCGACAGAGAAGCCATCCAGAAGCAGATTCAGGATCTTCAGGATGCCCGCGCAGTCGCTGAATACAACGAGGTCCGTAACAGACACATCCAGGCAAAGGCCAAGATGAAAAAGGCCCAGACTCGGCTTGCCCAGCTGCAAGAGGCCTCCCAGCCGGCATTAGCGGCTGTCGAACAGAAACGGCAGTATCAAGCGCAAATCGAGCCCGTCGTCGCAGCGCGGAAGACCGCGCTTAAAGAAGCCGAGGCCGTAGGCGAACAGGCACGGCGAAGAATTGAGGTGGAGGAAGAAAGCATCAACCATGTCCAAGCCAAGAAGAAGGCAGAGGACGCTTCGTTCGCGACCAAAAGGGCAAGCATTGCGAAGATACGTAAAACCATCACTGACTTGGAGGCTCAACTGAAGAATAAGCCTGACGAGTTCGTGGCATCCGAATGGAACGTGAAGATCGTGAGTTATGCTGCACCAGATCCTGTCTCTTTTCTCTGTTGATGCTCACAACTGCAATGTAGCGTCAAAAAGAGAGCATCTTGACGGAGAACGAGTCACAGAAGCGCGAACTCAACAGCCAGTTCGATGAACTGAAGAAGGCCAACGCGGGAAAGAAAGCCGACTTGGACAAGGCTCGTAACAAGCAGGAAGCGCTCGACTCCCAGCAGGGCCAGAAGCTAGCGCACTTGCGGCATGTCCATGCTGATGCTGCCAAGGGCTGGGAGTGGCTCCAGGATCACCAAGATCAGTTCGAAAAGGAGGTTTTGGGCCCCCCAATGCTTACCTGTTCTGTCACCGACAGTCGGTACTCAGACCTAATACAGTCGCTTCTGAGCCAAGATGACTTTACCTGCTTCATTGCACAGACACGCAACGACCACAAGAAGCTCAGCGATCAGTTCTACAAAGGGTTGAAACTGTCTGTCTCGATCAGGACTTGTATGAGCTCCTTTGCGTCATTCAAACCTGCCATCCCCGTGGCGCAAGCTCACGGAATGGGCCTCGACGGATATGCTATCGACTATCTAGAAGGTCCTGAGCCTGTACTTGCCATGCTATGTGCGGAGAAGAAACTCCACGTATCTGGAGTTGCTTCTCGCGACTTGGATAACGCCCAGTACGAGAAGATCGTGAGTGCGGAAAGAATCCCGAGCTGGGCCGCCGGGCACACTTATTACCGTGTCACTAGGCGCAGAGAGTACGGCACTGGCGCAATGTCAACAACGACCAGGCGCATCCAGCCAGGACGCTTCTGGACGGACCAACCCGTCGACAGCTCCGAAAAAGCCGCCATACAAAAAGAAATCAACGAGATCACCGACGAGATGGCCACACTGACGCAGGAGGGTCGAGAGAAAAAGAGTAAATTAAAGGCCATCAACGACAGCGAGGGTGATGTCCTGCGAGATATTGTACGTGCGATCCTTGAATTTAAGTGACTGTACTGACATCCCCTAAGGAAAACTTGAGAAAGGAGAAGGCCGAGCTGCAGAGAGCTGCTACAGTCTATGCCAACCTCGGACTCAAGATCAGTGGGTAGTTTGCGCATGGCCATGGCTCAATATCTAACTCTGCATAGGCAATGAGAAGCAAGCCTTGGAAGAAACACTGACGGAAATACAAGACTGCAGGAAGAGGGTAATGAGGTGTACCGACGAGGAAGACCAGCGTACCGTTGCGAAGACACGACTGGTGCTGCAGCACAAAGAGACGCTCTCGACCATGCGTGATGCCCACCAGGCACTGCTCGAGGCTCAGATCCGCCTCGTAGAAGCCAAGTCGGACGTGCAAGGGCTAAAAGACCGCAATGCTGACATTGTGCAACGCCTTGAAGACGAGAAAGCTGGAGTCGAGCGTACAAAGGCCGACATAGACAGCATGAAACGCGAAGCTACCATGGCCAAGCAGAAAGTTGTGGAAATCGTTAACGAGGATGAAGCCAAGCTGCCATATCTGAATCAAATGGCCGATGGGAAAACGACCGAAGACCTCGATAATGACATCGGTGCCGAGCAGAGCAAGCTCGAGCTGATCCACGCTGTCGACCCCATCGTGCTGCAACAGTTCGAAAAACGCGCCAAGGACATTCGAAATCTCACGCAGCAAAAGGACGAGAAGACGGCCAAACTCGACTCGATGACACGCAAGATCGAGACCCTCATGCAGAAGTGGGAACCAGTACTCGATGAAGTCGTGTCCAAGATCAACGACGCGTTTGGGTACAACTTCGAGCAGATCAATTGCGCAGGTGAAGTCGGCATCCACAAGGACGAGGACTTTGAGCAGTGGTCCATCGTCATCAAGGTCAAGTTCCGGTAAGTTTCTATCCCGTCCCGTCTCTCGCAGCCAACCCCAACCCAACAATGCCAACTCTCAAACACTGACCACGACTGCGCCCCGTAGCGAGAATGAGACCCTCCAGCAGCTCAACCAGCACCGGCAGTCGGGCGGCGAGCGCGCCGTGTCCACCATCTTCTACCTGATGGCGCTGCAGAGCATGGCGCAGGCGCCCTTCCGCGTCGTCGACGAGATCAACCAGGGCATGGACCCGCGCAACGAGCGCATGGTCCACGAGCGCATGGTCGAGATCGCCTGCCGCGAGCACACCAGCCAGTACTTCCTCATCACCCCAAAACTACTCACGGGGCTGCGCTACGACGAGCGCATGCGCGTCCTGTGCATCGCCTCGGGCGAGCACATGCCCCCCGAGGGCCGCAAGCTCGAATTCCGCAAGCTCGTGCGCATCCGCCGTGCCATCGGAGCTGCTGCTTAGGCTTAGGACAGCCAAGTACTGTATTGACGTGGCCCGGCCGGTTGAGGTCCGTTCGGTGCAGTTGGGAATGGCTTGGCTTGGCTTGTCTTGGCTTGTCTTGGCTTGGACTCATTATTATCTCGAATGTCTGCATTTCTGTATGCGAATACGCGAACAAGGCTTAGACAGACGTTGTTCTACCATTGCAGGAGGTGATGTAATGCGAGGTGAGGTCTACCAACCTCAAGGCGTTCCGCGGACGGGGATATTGTTGGCGTGCGAAAGAGGGAAGAAAAGCGTCTGTGAATTGTCACGAAGGGGCTAACATAGCACCGAGATAACCCAACTTGTAGTTAATGGCAACTAACGCATTGCATCACTGTATCGGCCTGGTATGAAGATGAACATGCTCTTGACGAAACCGCATGTTTAACGTCGGTTGCGTGTAGCTCATCATGATACACTCAGCCCTCATAAGTCTCCGTACGCGCCATGTTAGAAGAATTCTGATCACACGTAAATCTTGAAAATACTGGAATACGCAGACAGGAATAAGCAGCTCATAGCTATACAAGTCATTTTCGATGCTTATTCCAGCGTGCTTATTCCATTTATGATGAAATTACCTTTCGCTCGGTGGATGAGGAGTGTACAGAGACTCATAAGGGTTCGGTGTACCTAACGCACGCGACAGTACGACCGAGGAGCGCGCGAGGTGAACCATGCCAGCGATCTAAAGCCGCCTTGCACAGCTCGCTGCTGTACCACAACCTCAAAAGTCTCCATTCGCAGGAGCACTGTGTGCCTGTGGAATAAGCACTGTGGAACAATCAGTTTGAAGATTATGACTACTTATGGCAGTGTGATTATTTCAGACCATGTAACTGGAGTTTGGAATTGTATCGAGGTGCACACGCGGAGACCGGTAGGGGTGATTGTAACAAGCTCAGTCCTCCAACACCGACAACACACCACCGGGCCAGTCTATTGCTTCATTGCTCCTGGGTCGAGGAGCCGGCAGAGCTTTCGTTCCTGCTTTCGTTCCTGCTTTCGTTCCTGCTTTCAGGACTCTCATCTTCACCGTCAACTTCTGAGGAATCCTCTTCGCGGTCATCATCCGAGGAATCATCGATGTTCACGACTGTGATCTCGTTAGATGGATCGCCATCTTCGCTGCAGTTGATAACTGAGAGGTTGGGGTCAGTAACCTCGCATCGGAGGACAGGGGGGATATCATCTTATTGTCTTCCGCCGACCATTCCCCTGTCAAGGCTGGCTCCCAATATGAGCCGTCCTCAACCAGGGACTTTTGCAGGCCCTGGAGTGCTTTCTTCATGTCGGTACCAGTGTACGAGAAAGACCAATATTTGCTGCCGTGGATTATGAAACAGCGACGCATCATCCCGGCAAGGTCCAGATAGAAAATCACATCTTCCAGCATCCTGTTGAATGGCGTGCAAGCCACTGTGGCGTGGCGTTCAGGGAGGTGGCAGTGCACCAACAAGGCCAATAGGGCATTTTTGGGCCACTTAGCCCACAGAAGGATTTTCACAGAGATACAACAAGAACACGGATTACACCAGAATATACGTTTTCACCCATCTAAATGCCCCCACGCTCTGTTTGACACATCCCAAATTGAACTTGGTGCAGATGATGGCCAAACTGATGTAGCGTGTCCAGCAGGCCGGGCCAGAGCTCGGGCACTTCGTGTTGCTCAAGTTCACTCTGCGTTGGCGATGCCTCGACCGTAAGCTTTATGCTCAAAAGCCTCAGTGCGCGCAGCGTCGGCGAAAATTTTGTAAGGACGGCAAGCATATCCTTGGACGGAACCGTCGCATGGTAGAGCTCAAGGTGGCGCAGATTGCCGAATGACACAAAAGGAGGCGGCCGTAACCGTTGGTCTCCACCATACGGTTCTGAGCATGGAGGCGTCGCTAGCCAGGCAAAGAAGCCCTCGTCTTGGTTCAAAGGCGAGTGTTGCAGGAAATCGAGATGAAGGAATTGAAGGCATGGGACATGGCCGAGGAAGAGTCGATAGTTGCGAGTGCTCCGACCCTGGGGGCTGTAGTTGTGTGCGCCTAATCCAGGTCTGCGAGTACGAAGTCTGGAAGTGGTATGTGTTGTTAAATGCAGTTCTTGTAGCTGGGCCAAGACGGGTAGAATGTATCGTTCCATGAAAGGTTCCACACGCAGACCATTATGAGGTAGACCATCCCCTTCTGCAAAGGTGGTTTCCAGCTTATTCGGCCGCACATTGGCATCGCCGACGGCCAACAGCAGAACGCGGAAGTTATGTTCATGTTGTAGGCCAGTGCCGGGGGGGGCTGGTAGTACTCACCGCCTTCACCCATTCTTAGCTTGTGTTCAGTACTCGATCGTTGCCAGTCAACCGGGCTATAGCTGCGTATACCAACAACCTCCAGGTTCAAATTTTCAAACGCCTCGGCCAGCATCAGTCGATCCTGGCCTGTGGAGGTGAGAAGCTGCAGCTTGGTATCTTCCTTCCAATGCCATGATAGAGCCCGACTGGTCTCGTCCTCCCTCATGCCGACACCTAGTAGCACACGCCTAACGAAAGGACCGAGTCGAGACTTCGATATATCGACTAATCTCTGGAGGCTGTTTTCGGTCTGGAACACCCGGGTCTCGCGGAAGTATTGCGTGGTGAAAGTATCGAAAAGGACATTCACGATATGCTTGCAGCTCAGTCGGAGGGCTCTGTGGCCATTCGTGTCAAGGTAGGACGCGACGTCGAGCAGAAGCTGAGAGCGTGTCAGTATCTTAGGAACCCATCATATTTTTGTGGGAACGGTGGTGCTCTGTACCTCGGCTGGCATTGCCAGCAGCCCTACTGACGCCATTTGGAAATGGTGATGGGAGCTTGGGTAGAAGTGAGGAGACACGCAGTATCTTGGCATGTGAGGTGCGTGGTGCGTGGAAGTGCCCAGGGGGACGAATGTGGAGGAAGAGAGGTCCAGTATTGTTTTCATGTCGTGGCTTCAGTAGGTGTTGTTGCGCTGGGCAGATATCTGCAGGGAGAGATTTGGTTATTGTAGAGCACCTGGCAAGAGGTGACCTCGCTCACTCATCTGGCGCTCCTTCCGTACGTGTGTAAGTTTACCTAGTAGGCACTTGCACGTTTGAGCGAAACGTTCCTTCCTCCCTGCCTCCTGCCTCCTACCTATAGACGGACCTGAAGAGAGCCGCCACTTCCCAACATATTACTGTCTCGGAACCATCATCACGGGCATAAGTTGCGGCCTTTATCGCCGTCGCAGAATTAGCGGTGAATTAAACTGTTGCAGTTCTTAATCAGGATTCCCCTCAAGAGACGGCATCCCCTAAAAGGCACAAACTGCAGCTGGTTGTATTAGGATTTAAGTGCTGGAATTTTTGAACGAGCTACTAGTGAAGAATGGTGATCTCTACATGCTGCATAACCTCCATAGCCTCGTCCTAATAAGCGTAACGAGTTAAAGTCTTGCCGTCGTCAATGGGCTTGCGCTTGTTCATATGAATAATGAAGTACTCATTGATTGACTCACACCGGCTGAGGTTGGTGAGACTCAAGGACTGATGCATCGCGAGCACTCCGGCGAACTGGAGACAACCTAACGCACCTGGCTTCAACAGTCGACCAGCAGGCCACGACGGCCTCTGACCAAAACCTAGAACAAGCCAGATGGTGACGTTCCAGAGACTTCCCATATCGCATGCGCCCTGACCCGACGACTGTCTCGGCTGCCAAGGTCGAACCCCTGGCGAATAAGGGGCAACGCTCGAGCTCACCTGTTCGGCGAGCCACTTTCGGTCACTTGGGGCAGGAAACCTCAACACGGGTGATTCCACGTCCGACAGAACACGGTGGGTAAGGGGCTATACCTGCCGGCATGTAAGCCTTACCAAACCAGTCTGTCCGTGAGTGCATAACCACGACCAACGAGTTTTACAGCTCATCCCAGGACTACTCAACTGGCTCATCCACAACATGCCTCAATATGACGGTTATATCTAGACGGAGTTCGTGGGATATCAAGCAAGACGAAACGAAACCCCTCAGAGCCGCCAATGGAGATGGTACACTGAGCCTCCAAAGTTTCCGTACACCCCTCGTCCAGCAACCAAGAAGTGTATTCGTTAGAAACGGAACCAGCACTCTGGAATAAGCATCTAAGATGGCTTTCAGAATCGAAGCTGCTTATTCCACAGTGATTATCCCATTAAAATGAATATGGCATTAATATCCAAAAATGGATAGAGACGTGCCGGACGGAGACTTATGGGGGGTGATTGTACCTGTGTCTGTCCCCTGGGCGCCTGTAAGCCCTCCCAAACGCGAGGCCCCCTTTCCTTAACCGAGTAGTAGCAGTACACACCCTCCTGACCTGCCCTCCACCAGTCATTCACTCCCTCAAACATCCCACATGTATCTCCATTGCACATATTGGCAATCATAGCTCAGCTTCATAATTACACTCAATACATAACTACTCAAGTGACACAACGCACCCAAACCCCAACTGTGATCTCGTGCGTAAGGGGGGTCGGCCACTTGAGACTCAGCCTTTCAGCGTGTAGCCATACCAACGAAGCTCATTTCGTCTAGATATATGACCACCTGACCATCGTTCCGAAGCAAGCTCAGCCGCTCAAATGCCAACCAGACATAGCATTCGCATCTGATGTGCGCCAAAGCATGACCCCTCTCGTATCACCCGTACCAACCCCTGAGGCTTGCCTCTACCCTCACCGACCTTGGCATCAGACGTATCGGTGAAGTAAGGTAGAGCCTGGCAAATTCATGATTGGAACTTGAAGCAAGTTGAGGGCATGTGCTGCTATGGACAGATAATCCTGGATGATCACGATCATATACGGGAGCTTCAAAGCGCCAGGCTATCATAAGTTGGCGGAAAAGCAAGACAGCACAGCCAATACGAAACACCATCACAGTGGAAGAACAAGTCGGAAACGTATCAGCACCGGTTTTTCATGAGTATCAGAGATATAACTAGTCAAAGACTATCTGCAACGAGAGAGCTATTCAGGGTAGAAGCCTTTGTGCCTAAAGCAACGATGTAGTGATGGTCATCATCGCTGACCAGACTATCTGAGAGAGAGAGTGCAGGCGAGCGTGATGGCTGTCAAGATGCCTGTCAAGATGTCTGTCAAGATGCCTGTCAAGATGTTCTGTGGGAAGAAGATTAAGCCATGTCCCGAGAAGTCCCGCAGGTCATCCGGGTCGGACTGATCCTCGTGGATGAGCCGAGACAGTTTCTCGAGGCCAAAGGTCATCATGTAAGAAGACAGCTTTAATCCCAACCAGACGCACCACCAGTGTCGGCGCCACCCCATCCATTGGTAGCACCACCGTTGGTAGCACCCGCGGCAGTATCCTCAGCGCCATCCTCCGCACCCCAGCCACCAGCGGTGGCAGCAGGCGCACCCCAGGCATCATCAGCACCACCATCCGGGGCATCACCCCAGGCACCACCACCTGCAGCATCGGGGTCCTCTTCGTCTGGTCAAAGTTAGCATGGGTTACTAGAGCAGAGCTCTCGAATGTACTGGAGCAACCCGCAAGCAGAATCTTAATGACAGCTTGGATGTCCAGCAGCACGGTCTGAGACAGGTACAGGAAGGGATGGGGTAAAATGAACAGGAATTGACTCACCGGTATCATACTCAAACTTGAGTTTCTCGTCTTCTTGAGGCTTGTATTGCTCCAAGAAGTCGGGGACCGGCTGGTTGTTCTCGATGAGTGTCATGGTCAAGAGTTTCGCAATGTCCTCGTCGCGGTCGGTGTAGAAGGACGTTGCCAGCCCGTGGTGACCAATTCGTCCAGTACGACCTATGGCCATCTTAGTTGACAAGGACCTCGTACACAGCTTGTAGGTGGTGAACTTACCAATGCGGTGGGTGTACTCGACAATGCCACTGTGCTCCATGCTCGGAAGGTCGAAGTTGATCACATGCATGACATTGCGCACGTCAATTCCTCGAGCACTTACACCAGTGGTGATGAGAAGCGGAGTCTTGCCACTGCGGAATGCGCGCATGGAATCCTCGCGCTCGCGCTGAGTGCGGTCAGAATGCATGGAGGTGCAGGGCAGCTCCTTGTGCCAGAGGAAATCATCAAGCTCATCGGCCATGCGCTTGCTGTTGACGAAAATTATCGTGCGCGCAGGCTTGATTGAGAAAAGTAGGTCTAGAAGGGCCTGCTTTTTCTTCGATGGCTGAACATAGATGATGTTCTGCTTGATGGTGTTGACGGTGCTTCCGACTCTGCCGACTCGGATGCGAACGTGGGACTCCGCAAGATGAGTCTTGGCGAGCTGTCGGACGGCCGTGGGGAAAGTCGCCGAGAAGAGCATATACTTGACGTTGCCCTCCTCTTGTTCTATTAAGGGGATCAGTTAGCAGTGCTTGGAAATACGAGAATTGAAACTCACCTCCACCACACAGGATCTTATTGAACTCTTGCTCCCAGTCCTGGTGCAGCATCTCGTCCGCTTCATCGATGACTATGTACTTGACCCGTCGAAGGCTCAGCACATGGGGGCGCTCCATGATGTCGATGAGTCGACCGGGCGAGGCGATTAGGATGTCACAGCCCTTCTGCAGGTTCTCGATCTGGTCCCGCAGAGGACCACCTCCGTACACGACGGAGGGACGAAGCATGGTGCGGTAACAGAACTTGCGTGCTTCGTTGAAGATTTGTATCGCCAGCTCGCGAGCGGGGCAGACAATAACGACAAGCGGCTCTGCTCGCACGGGACCAGCTTCGCCGGACGCGATCGCAGCAGGGGGCGGACGGGGAGCGGCAAGCTTCTTGGCCTTCCCCATGAGGTGGTTGATGATGGGGACCAAGTACGCCGCAGTCTTTCCAGAGCCTGTTCAGGTCGCTGTCAGTAACATGGAACGATCACTCTGACAGACCAAAAAAATGGAACTTACCAGTCTGAGCGATGGCAATCAGGTCATGACCCATCTTGATGGCAGGGATCGAGTACTGCTGGATGGGGGTGGGCACATGATATCCAGCAAGCTTAACGTTCTTAAGCATGACCGGGTGCAGACCGGCATCCTCGAACGTGTCGACCTTCTGGATGCGCTTGATGCCCTCCTGGGTAACCGCGATCTCGGCGACCCTACGCGCGTTAGTATGATGGGTCTGTGTGGTACTCAGAGTAGGAGGGGCCTTACTTGGAGAAGTCAATGCCTTGGGGCTCTCTGTCGTGCGGCTCACCGAAGAGGATGCGCTCAAGCTCCTCGTGCTCCGGGCCGAGGTCTCCCTCCTCGCCATCCCACTCGTAGACTCGAGCAGCGCTCTCCCACGTGACGCCTTCGGCATCCTTGTTCGCGAGATCCTCGTAGTCGTAGGCGGTTTGCTCAACCCATCCCGCCTGCTTCGTGGGGTGCTCAGTAGCGGGGGCGGCGGGGGCTGCGTCGACCTTGGGAAGGGAACCCTTCACTTCTTCCTCCCAGCCTGACATCTTGAGCGTATATCGGTTCCTGGGAAATGACGATGTTAGCGGCTGTGTGGGGACGGTTGGATGTCAATCGTGCGGTGCCATGCGCTGCGGCGGCTGGGTTGTGGATAGGATTGCTGGATTTGTGCGGAAGTTCGCATCCGATCAATATGAGAAATCCAAATGCGAACAGTGGCAGGGGGAGACCGATATTGCTCGTAGCCGGATAGATAAGAGAGCTGGAGAGGTATGCTGGGCAGGCAGTGTGGAAAGATACTCGATGCCCAATGGAGGGAGAATGGGCTTGCAGGTGGTGGTGATGTCCGGAAGCGAAAGACGGGGATGGGGAGAGTTACTTACGGTTCGGAGTGTGTCGACACAAAGTTGTGGTCCTGGCAGACGATTCTGGCAGGTGCAGGTGCAGGTCGCAGGAGCCTGAGTTCAATAGGTCAGCTGTACCGTGCTGACCGAGAGCGGTGCGTGCAGCGAGAAGAAAGAGACAGGTCAGGAAAAGTTAGCAAGGAACCGGGGTAACTTGCAGGTGAACCGATATGTCTGATGACAACGCTTGGACGGTGCAGGAAGGGCACGAGATCCTGAACCAGGCAAGTCAGACACAAGTATTGATTGGAACGGATGTAGGTTGGGAGACGGGAGGAGGGGGAGGTGGAGATGTGAAGAGAAGTGGAGTGAGATATATGTGTGTGCCTGCAGGTTAGAAGAGGAGGGGTGGATGAAAAAGTAGGTAGGTGCATGGGCAACAAAATTCTCTGTTCGGCTACAGGTGTGCTTACCTGTATGCTGTCAGTTCTGAGCCAAGGGACAGTGATGAAAGATGTGAAGATGGAAGACCAACGTCTTTGGTGTGAAGAGGTGGTAGAGAATTGGCAAGGTAAGGTGGAAAGGCGCGTGGAGGAGTTGGGGAACGCGGTACCTGAAGAGGGTGGGTGTGGTTGCTGGGGAAGAATGGAGAGAGGATTACGCAACAACAGATTGCATGCAGTAGCAGGTCTGAGACGCGTATGTAGAAGAATCATGCAGATGCAGGATCGTGTTGCGAAGTGCAGGAAAGGGCAGTGGGATGCAGGATGCAGGTCGCTCGTGATGAAGGGGAACGTACAGATTGACGGACAAGCTGGCGTTGGGTGTCGGCGTGGGCAAATGCTGCTTACTCCACACAGGAAATGCAGCGGGCAGGTTGTGTTGACGTGTGGGCCGTCGTTGATGGATGGGGGAGGAGGAGGAGGAGGTATGAGTAGGAAGGGACTGGAGGTGGAGGAGACTTACTTGCTGTGGACTTGCAGACAACTGAGATAGTGATGCTATCCTCAAAAGGTCTTCCAGAAGCGGTGGACCTTGAGAACGTTGCTTCACGAGAAAGGGTGCAGGTGAAAGCTGGTTGTAGAGGAGAGAGAGAAGGGGCAGGTTGTTTGGGTGTGGAGTGCTTCTTGTATCCGTTTGGGAAGCTGCGGCCTGTTGGTTGCCTAGGAAGGTGCTCAGAGCTGGAGTACGCGGCAACTGCAGTACGGGGCAACCTGCGTACCTGCCTGAGGACGACGAGTGGTGGGTGCAGGTGGTCAATATCAACAAGGTGCACTTGAGAACTGGTGATGGTTGCCCCGGGCAGCTACCTAGCTGTTGGAGGGATTTGGCTTGGGGATACCTTTGTTTGCAAGGCAGACAAGAAGATTGTTCAACCAACGGAGGTGCAGGGCAACCACACTCAGTGCATATAGATGGTACCTCGATCTGAGTTGATGTATGCACGCATGTAATCACCCGCGCCTGGATGCACCGACCCAATGCAATGATGGGCACCACAGGCTGTTATTCTTTCAACCTGTGAGAACTACCTGATCATCTGCACGCCTCCCTTTTGCTTGGATATGGATTTTTGGCGGAGGCAACTTCGAGGCCCGGTCAGTCGATGAGGGAGGGCATCACTTCGCAGCTCCTGATATGGCACGTGTCTATTTCGGACCATATATGAATAGGTCTAAGGTCAGCTGTAAACATTGCTAATATGCGGTTCAACATTTGAGTGTAACATGTTCATTGAAGAAAGAAGACCACCAATTTCGCACTTGGCAAGGACAGAGAAATCAGGTTGGATTCTTTATAGATACATACCTGCAAGCCCATAGACCTACATGATGTATCCAACCCATAAGCCCTCGTCATCGTCAAATCGTGAAGTCCGTTCGTAATCGCCCATGCCATCCTTCAGTGTTTGGTCAAGGATTGCTGCAGCCCTTCCGGCAGTGCCTCCCTCCTTCTTCGCCATGTCAACCCCTATCTCCACCGCATCCATGAACCGCCTCTGGAAAACATCCTGTCTGTCTTCACGATTACGGTACAGTTCGCCGTCCTCGTCTCGAGGCGGCTTGAAGAGCCCAAGATACCCGAACGGGTCAGGGGTCCATGGCACTGAGTTGATGTTGCTGAACCAATCATTGGCAGTCCAAGCATTCGGTGCCTCGGGTTTGAAACCGCATTCCAAGAACTTTGCCAGTACAGTCATCTGTCGGGGAAATGACTGGCCATGCTTCTTGGCCCCAAAAGTAGTCCTCGGAGCAGACGTCCATCCATTCTTCGAGGCGAGGGTAGGTGCCGACCGTATAGTCCACCCCAGCACCGACATGAAGTCTTTCAGGGGCTTGATCCAACAGCCAGCGCTCGAGACAACATCTTCGCCGGCAACGTCGAGTAGCCACTCCATATAGTTCAGCCCGTCGTCCTTGATTTCCTGCGAAATGTGTGTCATGGTCCCTCGAATGTAGAGCATGATCTTCTCAACGTGAGATCGAACCTCGTCCGCTGGCAAAAGCCGTAGTAACTTCAGCAGTTGGCGGCGCGCAGGACCATATGAATCGGACATCAGCGGAAGCAGCTTCTGTAGCAGATTCGACGTGCCAACCGGGTTTGTCGGGGGACTCATCGATAGCTGCCCTGTTAAGTATGATAGTGCATCTCGGCGTTGGGAGTCGGAGCGAGAGCTCGTCAAGGATAAATTGTGCCGGAATCTCTCCACCACATCTGGCGCCTGCTCAGAGAGTTGCTGCTGTAGGACAATAGCTGTGAAGGCATCAGTGAAAAGAACCCATGGGTATCCCAACCAAGATTACAGCTACCTTACCTTTGGATTTGAAGCTCGTGTCTGTGAAATTGGCGGCTTTGGGCTTGGCCTTGCCAACTTTCAGCTTGGGCTTCTGGAAGTCCTTCTTCTTTTCCTTCTTCTTCTTGGTGCTGGACCCCATCTTGACTCGATCATGTGGGCGACAGAGTAGCGAGACGGAAGGAGCCTCGCGGAGTGAAGCGTTCGCAGCACCTCGAGAGCGAACGTCCGGCCATAATTGGCGATTGACGATTGACGTTGGGTTTGCGACAACCCACTTGGACTTTTTGGCGGTGCTTCAGGGCAGAAAGCCAGAAAGCCCACCTGCAATGACGCCCCTCCCTGTGGCTGTAGCTGCATGTGGCATCCCCACTCAACTGCAGTGGCTGCCCCTGAATGAGTACTTCAATACAAGTACCTTGTGGCTCAAGCACGAGCTCTCCTCCAACGAGCCCCACGAAACAGCAAGTGGTTCACCTGCACAGAGCCCTTACATGCAAGTGGTTGTCATTATCTGTTCGATTGAGGGCACACGAAAATGGCAGAGAATGGCATGGTATGTGTCTCGAATCCGACAGCCAATCCAATGCGCTGTACTGACTGAGATACCACAGAACTCCGTCAACGTCGACTCTATGGAGGAAGCCCTACACCGGCTCTCCAAGAAGCCCGGCGTCAAGGCCTGGCTCATGCTCGACCGAACCAACGGAGCCGTGCTCAAGACCAACGGACAGATCGCCGCCGTCCGACCCGTACGATCCATCAAGCCCGAAACCGCGTTGCCTATGCCCACCAGCGGGTCCTTTTCGACAGACGTCAATGTCAACACGAACAACGAGACACAGGCCGCCCAGGAGCTTGCCAGCATGGTATGGAGCTTTCTCAGCACAGCAGGGAGCTTGGTAGACGAGATGGACAGCGAGGTATACAACCGTCCCTGGTCTGAAGATGCTGGGGTGCGAGGCTGATTACTTGTGTACAGGACGAGCTGAAGCTGCTGCGCTTACGGACGAAGAAGCAAGAGTTCGTCATTGTGCCCGAGCCGAAATACCTGCTGGTCGTCATCCATGACACGCCTCCAGCATGAACACACGTCGAACCACGATATGAATATGATAGACGCGCCGTATGCTCTGCTTTAGACTGTGATGAGGGTGGCAGGCGTTTCGGAAATGATGATACCCAAGGCTGTTTATCGGAATAAGCATAGTAGAATAAGCATTGAAAAAGGCGTATCAAACCAGAGCTGCTTATTCCTGTCTGCTTATTCTAGTATTTCCGGATGTCTACGTGTGATCTGAAATCCTCTCAACATGGCGCGTACGGAGACTTATGAGGCTGAGTGTAGCTAGGATAGTTCTCCCACGGAACAAGGAGCACAGGGTCTCAACAGCCGGTTGGTGCATGAGGTGTCTTCAGTAAGCTCTCATATGCACCCGCCGCCTGGGTGACGATGCCGCCAGATCGATCGAATGGTGTGTACTCACAGTGGCGTGGAACTCACGTGTTTCGTTCTGGGCGTCTCGCGGTCAATATCAAGGTGAGATCTTGCGTGGCACAGCTTATTATAGATACCATTGCATAGGATCGTAGACTCTACGGCGAGGGTTCGGCAAGCCTTTGCAAAGGTAAGGCAGATACACAGCGATTGTTTGTACGGTTATGTGTCAACCCCGAAGTGATGTGCAATAATCCGTCCCATTTTACTACTTCGCTAGGTTTTTATCAAACCAGCTTGAAGTCAAAGAGAGGTGTAAGTCCGAATCACAACATCATCGCGTCGAAGCGTCGGAATACGTTGTCGCCCGTTTGGTTCCTCATACATCACACCTGCTCCGCGTAGCCCGTCGTCCACGCAGCATAGTCACGAGACCGAATATGCTCAGCAAAACAAGGATCACGGGAAAATGTCGATCTGTGGCCGGCAGGATCTTGCCCCGGAGCACGGATTTGTCAAATTGGCTACCTTCGATACCCAGAGTATTATCAGTCCTTTCAGTGAGCTACTTACCTCGCAGTATCTCGCTATCTGTTCTTCGCTCGGAAGGAACACAGATCAGGCTGTAGTGGCTGCATGCATTCGAATGTATATGACACAACATCTCCAACTCCGTCTTTCGCCGGCCAGGGTCATCGGCCGCTTACTGTACGCATCCTCTCCGACAACGGTCTCCCCCAACGCCGACGGTTGCACTTTCCGTCCTGAGACTATCCCGGCCCATTGGGACCGGCCGGGGAACCGCTTGCGCCGACCTGCCGTCTCCTGTCTGTCTGCCACCGGCATCCCTCTCTCGAGGCCCGAGGGGTGGCGGTGTGATAGGATTGTGCATGCTGGGTGATGCATGATGCAATCGCCAGGGCCTGAGTTCGTGAATTGTTACCCAGCATGGAACATGTCACGTTCCCGAATCCTTCTTGCCACGAGGCTGGCCCTACGTGGCTTGCAGATCGGGGCGTCGAGGCAGCGTCGTATTCCTTGTGATGGCCGTGTGACTCTGAACAGCAACGCGAGACCCTGTGCCATCCTCACGTGCTGCGTATCTTGTTGTCTGAAGGCACTGACTCATGAGTTGGGTTGAGCCTCCAGGGCGTGTCTGTCGTCGCTTATTGTGCTTTGCCGTCTGTACAATGAAACTCACTTATACGCCCCCCGTCTCTGTGTGAAGCCTGATGCCACGGTGGGCGTCTTGTGAAGCTAACCTCGACGGCTCGGTCCCGGTGCGATGGGATGGGATGCGCTAGAGGCGCATAAAACTGACCTGACAAAAGTCCCGCCCGAGCCCGCATATAAACCAAGACACCTCATGTTCAAAGTATTATAGTAAAATAACCTTGAGGTCTATGAACAGGCTATCTTAAATATGTTATTTACAGGCAAATTTAACCATAGTCTACTAATACCGTTAATGCGATACTATTTTGCTTTATTCTATTATTTAAAGCTAAAGGTAGGGTGTTTTAATGTAAATCTAGGGTCGGGCGGAGACTTTTGTCACCTTAGTGTACCATCGTGTCGGGGTCAGCCTTCGACTTCCGCGCCAAAGTAGGTATGTGCTCGCTCATGAAACTCGCGAGCCTGCCCAATGCATCGTCGAAATAGTAAGCTCGCAAGGCAGTACTGTAATAATAAGTGTAGATCGTCACATCGTGATGCGATCTCTCTTCGGATGTTCAGGCCCCACGGGCAAGGAGCACGAATGTTCCCACAATGAAACCCGCGCGTACTAGTAATGTGGGCATGGTTGTTTATTTTCCGAGAAGCCTGGCGTGTTTCAGCAGATTTCATGGGCCGCGGCAATTAATAATAAATTGTTCAGCCTTCAGCCTATCGCCACGTAAATTGAGGGCGTCAAGAGCCGTCACACAACATGCAGATACGCGAGCTTGGTATCAGAGGTTAGCTTAACAGTGGGAAGCCCGTTCGTTCGGCTCGATGCAACCTCGGCTCCGCTCATCCTGTTCATCAGTGACTCGGCCGAGTCTAGCCAGGGATCAGAACTGCAATCTAGCACCTTGCTCCAAGGTGAGATGGAAAAGGCATCTGTCGCGAGAAAGAGATTCGTGAGAGCTAGGGAGTCCCGGCTGGATGGACGGCGCGGACAGCTGCGTCAAGTACCGTCAAGTGCGGACGGGCCCGGGAACTAGAAACGGCAGTAGTAAAAAGAAGAAGGAGGATCTCCCGACTGTCCGATTCTCGAGTGGACATTGACATTGTTCGATCGGAGTGTGGCCCTTGTACCCTGCCAGCAGCCAAAGCATGCATGATATGACCCAGGTCCTAGGAGCGCTTGAAGTTTGAACTCCAGCGCACACACGAGACTCAAGGCTTGAAGCTTGTGACGCAACTATTGTAAGTGACCGTTTCGAGTTGCAGCCGGAACGCTGACGTGGTGGGCGTCCGTTGAACCACGCTCTGGAATGGCTTATCTTTAGCGGCTGAAGAACAGGTTTCCTCCTACACCATGCCTTCAGAGCTACCGAACTTGATCTCGTCCTGGGTCTGATAGGGGTTTGATTGAAGTTGCCATGCAGCAACTTGACTCAACGTCGACAACCCGTCGAGCATGGATGCTATTCGAAACAAAACAAGCCGTATGTTTGCCGGCATCTCCCCTCTCCTCATTACCTAGGCATGCAGATTGCCGCTGTGATCCCCGGCAGCTGCCAGGCTTGCAGGCACCGGTGTGGTTGTCATCTGGCGATCTTGTTCATCCTATGGTTGCTACTGGCATGCCCATGGGTGCTTGCATTGATGAACCCAGGCAATCGGCAAATCCCCTGTAGCCTGTAGCCTGTAGTCGATCGAGATACACAGCTTACTCCACGCGAACTTCAGCTTTGTTATCTCGCTTCTGAGATCGTGAGGAGATCGCGCTATCTCTTGGGTCTTGGCTGGGCTGTGGTGAAGACTGGCCGCATAGAAACCTGATTTTTATATCATGGCATTCCCTGCCCCGACTGGACGGTCTCCCCATGACATGGCACGTGCTTGCATGCGCGATCTGGGTTCACACTGCAGCAGACTGCTGGCATCCGTTGTCATCTTGGGTATATCGGGATTGATGATCTGATTGATGAACTTGTCTCAGACCTCCATGGTTTTGGGACAGAAATGCCGTGCCGCCTCACTTGGGCCAGCCCGTCACTCGCAATTTCATATCATTTCCACAGCTGGCTGTCGTTTAAATACCATCTCCTCGCCTGCCATCCCGCCCGGCGCTGCTTGACGGGCGTTCCGCCTTCTACAAAAGCACGACTCACTGCTCTGCAATCCCGATGCAAGTCTCGCGTGGCGTTCAAATTGACCCCTTGGGAGGGCGACGAAGAGACAGGGGCGCGACGATGCCCTCATTGTCTTCGCTAAAACGCTCGGCGCGGGAGCTGATCAGCGACGTGAAGGAAGCCGGAGGACGGGGATCACCAAGAAACGACAGGTCGGATGCGCAGGACAACTCTCGCCAACACCCGTCCAAGCGAGGAGGATTCATTCGAGATCTCATCACAGGACCGAGGGAAAAGACGCTCACGCGTAATAAGACCCTACGGAAAGGCAAGCATGGTGCCGAGAAGGCGACGCCCATGCCGACGACGACGACGACGACGACGACGACGACGACGACGACGACGAACAGCACGGTAGGGAATCCCAGAATCCCAGAATCCCATCATTACCCCCTGTGCCCCTACCCCGTACCCCAATTCGCCCGCCACCTGGCCACCAGCTGAGAGTTTCCGCATTGACTGGCCGGCACCTGCCACGGCTCCTCACCTCGAATGAGGGGAGAGGGGAGACGAGTCGCATGGATCTCACGACCTCAGCTGATCTTTGTTTATCGTTCCCGCATGAGCCATTTACAGGATCTATTGACGAGTGTCGATTTAATTCTGACGAATGTCGATTCAATGTTTGGTTCATGTTAGATAGGCTCGTGTATCTTTTACACATTCGAAGCTGCAGATTGTCTCAACTGGTACACTGACTAACAAGACCTCACCCAAGCAGTTCTCACACACTCCATCGTCTGAGACACCCTTATCCCCGCACTCCACCATCAACTCTAACAAGCCGCTGCCCTCTCCGCCTCCCTCTGAGACGACAGGCAAGGTTGATGGCAGGCCTGGTAAGCCGGTCCTCAGGCTCAACAAGATTATGGCGACACTGAGCGACACCGAGATCGAGAAGCTGTTCTCCGGAGCTCCGCAATTCTTCGCCCGTTCCCAAGGCCATGGCAGCGGAGCGCCTTACCCGTCCGTGGCCTTCCCCTGGAATGAGGAGCTCGCCATCAGAGACCTCACAGACCACACTCAGATAGAGGATGATGCTTGGGGGTGTGTGACAGAGAGCCCCCGTCTCATCAAACGGGATCCTTTGGCTACAACACCCCCGTCCGGCAAGAGACGGCCCCACTTCAACTCTAGATGCCGAGAGAGGCCCAACATGCTGAGCATGCAAGGGCTTGAGAAGGGCACCATGGGCTACCAGGCTGCTCTGGAGATCTCAGTGGCCGACGCCTTACAAGAAGAACAGTATGGCTTCGACAGTTTGGGGTCCAAGTCTCATGTCGTCGTAGAGCAGAGGCAAAGGTTGATCACTTCCAAGGACGGTCTGCGGCACCTGGACGATGCGAGCATCATGGAGCAGATGCTCGTGGTTGAGGAAAGGTCGCGCGCGCATCATGCAGAACAGAGTGCGGCACGGACCAAGACCCATGAACTCTACAATGACCTCTTTCGGAAAGTTCTTCACCCGCCAACAAGGGTCATCGATCACCAGGATCCCTACAGCCTAGCGGTGCAGATAAACGCTCTCGTCAAGGTACTGGCCGCGCCGAACGCTTGGGTCGACTTTTCGCGAGTAGAGTGGCGGATTCGGCTAGGCCAGATCCTCTGGGGATTTCCTTTGGACGACGAGCTTGCGGACGGATCTTCGATAAACGAAGGGAGCGATGCACAAGACAGGAGTGAGGAGCGGTATTGGCTACTTCTCCAGGTTCTGCTCTCCTGTGAGCTTCTGGTCCGGTTGGATGCCATAACAGAGGGTGACGAGTACGCCACAGAGAATCTCAAAGCATCCGAAGTACACCGATTTGTAAGAGAGGCCAATACTTCAGTCAGATGGTCATTGATCCTCGCTCGTGCTTGGCTCGAGAACATCACAATCATAAAAGCCAACCCAGCTCCCCTTGAAGAGCACTCGCCGCAGAAAGGCTGGCTCACGAGTCTCACGAGCAAGATGTCCCTGAAGCACGAGCATATGCACGGCGCGCAGGACACTGACCACACTCAACATCGCCACATCACCGAAGCTGAGCACGTATACTCCATCCAAGGGAGACATCCTGAGAGACAGGTTTCCGGGCTGATGCACTTTGCGAAAAAGTTGCGTTGGCCAGATATCGAGACTACTGTTACACGCGTATCCGAAAAGGCTACATTATTGGGTGAAGCGACTCCTATTAATAGTCCACTACTCACAAGCGACACACGACGCTCGTCTTACTTTGGCGGCGATAAGGGGTCTGTGGAACTCAGGAGGAAACCGTCCAGAAGACGGAAAGTCGAGGCAGCGTTGCATGCGTCCGGCTGGCTTTCAAAATCATATGTCTCCGGGCTTGTGCTGCCCGGAGAGGTTCTGTCACACTTTCTCATGTCTACTCTGTTAGAGAACGACGATGAGGCCATGGCACGTTTGGGGCCGATGGCCAACCTGTGCGGTGGATTCGTTTACAATGGGAAAAGCTTCTGGAGCACAGCCTGCGTTGTTGGTCGTGTTCTCGCTGCTGGGAAAGGATCAGCCGAGTGTATGGGATGGATATCAAGCGACATTACTCCTCAGCGACTCGAAGACGGCTGGGTAGACATCACGGTCGCCGACATACATGGTAGGTCTAATGTTCCACAGTGCTATCAGTGGATCGAAGACTGACATTGCTAGACGATGTCTCCAAAACTGGGAAGAAGGCTCGATTGTGGGGCAAGACCGCCATCGAACGAGAGTCAGATGTGTTAGGCGATGCTGACTCTTCAGGCGTATTTCCCGCCGACTTCATTGTCCCACACGAGTCTACCTATGCCAGCCGACCGCCCTCCAATATCAGGATCGAGTTACGGGCGCTGGATCTCTTGGCGCCGGGCGATAGTGTCCACACGACGCCTACCGTAGAGAAACAATTCACCCCTTCCTCCAACTACAGCAGCAAGTCCTCCTCCGATATCCATACATACCCTGCCTCGGTAGCCTTCACGATGTCCCACGATGGCGTCGACCAGGATGTGGATATCAATCTTGCGCTCTCCAAGGACGTCTACTTCGTCACGGCCCACCCTTGCGTCGCATCAAGTCATGTCAAATACTTGAAATCCCCGTCAAGCCCAACGATCCAGCAGATCGATGTGGGTGGGCACGACTTCAAGGACAAGCCTACCAGCGCAGCGCACATTACTGGTGAGCTTCTATCTCCTCCGCATACGTATGACATTGCCCTCGACTGACAAATATCTGCCAGGTCATCCACTCCACAGGTTTTACACATACACCGCGGTTCACCTCACCAATATCCTCAATCAGCCCACAGCAACCCTGGAAGGGCTCCTGAACAAGAGCACCTCCAACCCCCGCTCGAGCAGCAACGATTCAGCCTCTTCGATCCCGAACCGCACCCCGCGCGTCCTGGTCATCGACTGCGTGACGGGCTTCGCGCCACCCCGGGAGAACTCGCCCGGGATGCCGGCGCTCTCCCGCGAGTCCTCGCTCTCGTCATCCTTCGGTCTCGAGCCCGTCAACACGGCGCCCCAGACCCACATCGCCAGCTGTGGTCCGCCCGTCAGTTCGCCGGAGCCGGTGGAACGGCGGCCGAGCATGGCGGCTTCGATCGGCACGAGGGCCGAGTACCAGATGAAGCTGGGCACGCGCAAGCGGCAGTTCGGGTCCGACCTCGAGATCCTCGTGCGCGCCCTTTGTGCGGAGCGTGGTTGGAACGCCGTTATTAGCCGTCGGAGGAGGGGCTGTCTATCGTGCGCGATACGCGAGGCTGGCGCTCTGGGGTGGAGGGTTGTTGTTCGTGTCGAGTGAGTACCTAGGAAAGTCGACGTGCTGGCGGACTAACTTATAGTCGATGGAATTCTGATGGGAGAAATCACGAGATTGGATGATGAAAATATTCATCCCGATATTTCATTTGTACGGAAGGTAAGGTGCTCGAGGACACGTCCAGTACATATGCCGAGACGGCACTCACGGGAAAGGGGGGTACGGAACCGGGTAATGGTTTGTATACGGTTTGTATACGGGAGACTGACATTGATGAGACACGACACGGACGGACTGGTGCAAAACTGCAAAACTGCAAAACTGTTGCCCATGCAAAGGTGTTGGTTGGGAGGCTCTGATGGACGTATATAGGCAGGCGGACAGGACAAGAAGGAATCTTGCTCTTTTTATGCTGCACATGCATTATGCGAGATACCCAGCTCTATCCAGGCTCTGGAGCTACGTAGTAAATTACCATTTACTTCCAAGCCGTGCTCTTTCCCTACCCCATCTCTGATGTCTTGTCTTCGATCGAAGTCTAAGTGGAAGGGTGAAGCTGATGATATCGAGGAAGTAAGTGCGTAGAGCACTGGCGTTACGGCTGGCTCGTACTTTGCACTTCATTACTTGCTTTCTACGCTCTGCCCTCTAGATCACACCCTAGTTACTGTAAACACTGCCGGGCGAGGTGGTTGGTACATCTCACCACCCAAGTCAAGCCAAGGCAAAGCCCGACTTCAAACCAAGGTAAGGCAAGACCTGATCCCAGCGTGTACCTACCTACTTCCAACTAATTCCCCAAATAGTGTCTTTCCATGGCGACGGACACCTCCGCGAGTGGGCGGCGGGCGGTTCCGGTTAGGCGGCGGCGGTTCTAGCTGGCTGGGTCCTGGAGATGTTTCGGGGAGGAGCTAGCTGGGTGAAAATGTGCTTGGATATTTAGTAGGGGTACGTAGAGTTATATGGATGTTGTACCTCCCTAGGAAAATATGCGGTCTCTGCTTTGCTTTGACGGGTTAGGTACCGGTAAGTGGTGGGTGATGATTGAGTGGTTGATAGGACACTTCCACAAGAGGCAGGATTGCCCCTTGGAGCCACTCGCCCTCTGGGGAGGTGTTGTACATCAAAGGAGTCCTATAAAGTGGCTTAGATTGAATATTGAATTTGAAGTTCACAACACCGGGACCGCCTCCCTCATTGGCAGTCCGCCACGCCAGGATTTGCGCTCGCTGCCAGATCCCCTTTTCTCTTTTTCGATATATGCTCTAACGTTACAACCTTGGAGCTACTGACCCGGTCCCTAAGTGTGCATCGCTCGGGGAGGCTTCAGTCTGGCCAGCCTGCCATGATGGTGGTGTGTCTACGGTACCATGTCCAGAAATCATTGGTAGGTATGGAAAGAGGAGAGCCCACGCCGCTGATCCTAAACTGCCGGTGTTCAGGGGCGGACGTACCGGTACGAGACTGCGGGAATGACATACCTACCATCCATGTTGCTTATGCCTAGGTGTCGAGGCATCTCTGTCTGTGACGCGGCGACACGTCGAGGGGTGTCAGTTTTTCTCCAAACCTCTGCCTAGAGGTCGCGATCTACTCTGCCGACCCCGGTCTGTCTGGCGAAGCCGGTCTTACATGCGAGGATACTGACGGCCTCGGGAATTCCTACGAACTTGATCTATAAGTACCTAATCCACCTAACAGCCGCAGCGGCCGAGATCATCAAATCGTTCATCCCAGCCGCCACTACGAGTCTGTCAGCTTCCATCAAACAGGGTTGCGGGCCTGCTGTAGTCCTTGGTTAGGTCTGATTGACATGATCATCCACCGTCTAAAACTCTCATACAGGCTGTTCATCATAGATATCAAATGCCGACTGCAGAATGACCCGTCCCTGCGCCATCTCCGTGTATGTACGCCAGCCCGACACTGCCACACCCGCTGACGCGACGCAAGCCTCTCCTTCGCTGCTCCACGGGCAGTCCTTCCATCGGCATGAATAAGTAACTTATGAGCGGACGGATCGGTTCCAGTGTAAGTAAGTAGATACCACAAAAAAATTGCAGCTTGCCCGGAGAGTCATTTAACCTAGCAGTCACAATACGAAGCGACCATCTCTGGCCCGTAGGGATAGGTAGGACGGGACAAGTCGTCGACTACTCTCATACATCTGGGATCCAGCTCGGATATGACGGACATATTTCGAGTTCGCGCCTGCGCAGCTTACTTACTACCATTACTTGTACCCTAATAGCATCAATGGCGTATAAACGGAAGCATCCCAGGACTGATCACCAGCTTACCGGTCTGACCGGGTGCTTGACAGGGGGTACTTCCTTAAGTGAGTACCTTAGTGTCGGATAGGTGTCCTTCACTGGATCTCGTCAGCCCCCTTTGCGTGCGGCACTGACAGAAACGCATGATCGGCAGAGCGAAGTTCGGGCTGGTGCGGCGGCGTGACAGTTTACTCTTAAGGTACAATGACTCAGGGGCAGGCAGATGGCCCTCGATCGGCCGTGTAGTATGATCCGCAAGTCTGGCAGTCAGTCAAATGCCCCTTGCGCGATACCAACTCAGCCTTCCTCTTCAACTGCCGTGCGTGGCCGCGGCATTTATGTCATTCACTATCCTGGATACGCTAAAAGGCTCTCCAGGCTTCTGACTCCCCTATCGTCTTCCACGGACACCGCTGATGCATCGTTGGTAGGGCAGCAAGCCGCACTGCCACACGGAGGATAAGTCGAAAAGGGGGTACCTACCTACCGAACAACCCCAACGACATGGAAACCTGACCAGGCAATCTGGGCGAGTCGAAGGCACCCCTACCTAGGCAAGTACCAACCAAGACCGGCCCGAGATTATCAGCCTTATGGGGAGAAAAAAAGTTCCCAGCAAAGCACCACCGCGGCGTAGGTAGCTCCAGGCCCTGAAACGAGACTTCCCCCGTTCTCGGCAGCGGAGCTCATGCCCATGCCACGCCGAGCAGCAAGTGAGAACTGCAGCCTCAGCCGCGGCATGCTCCACGCATGCCCTTCGTCCATAGGTCGTGAGTCAGAGGCCTCGGTAGGACTTTACTAGAAGGGGTTAGGTAGGTAGGGGCTGGTGCGGCACATCAGATCATATACGCAGTTCGCTGCTCTTCTGGGAGCCAGGCTGACATGGGTTTGGCCTACCAGGTATGTCACGTTATGAGCGAGGCGGCCTTGCGTACCGATCTGGCTCGCCTCCGTCTGCTGGCCGCCAACCAGGTGTACGGATGCGGATAAACATGTCATGTGTGTGCCTATGCGTGCGTGCGTGCGTGTGTGAGTGCGTGAGTGTGTATGCCTGATAAGAATTCTTGAAACGCCCGGCTCAGATTCGGTCAGCGGTCAGGAGACATAAAAGTTCCGAGGTGTGTAAGCGCACTTGCGCAGTCCGCTCACCTAGGTTAGGGAGGCAGTCACCGCACCAACAGCCTTCCTCGCTGCTCTTGGTTTAATACCCAGGCAGGCTGCTGAAACGTCACGCGGACATCGCATATCAAGACGACTGTGGCCGTCTCCAAGGCAAACCACCACCTGACTCTTCTGAGTATTTATTTCCCCCTGCTTTATGTGAGAGTGAGAGTGAGAGTGAGCGGCAGCAGCAGCCCTATACGACGGACACGGACGTCGCACGTCGGACTTCACAGACCCGTCTTACCGGGTTGCGCGCTATGATCCGCAGCGGCCTATACTCGATTCTGCATAGCACGATCAGCATACCAAGCCGATACGGTACGCGCAGCCGATGGTGCAGCAAGGATAGGTAGGTATACACAAGGGGTTAAGCCGATACTATACTTGTGACAAGGTAGTATGCCGCGCTACTTGTCTAGGGGCTAGAGTAGTAAGCCCAACGGCTGATGAGCCAGGGTTCAGGGTTTAGACTTCAGGGGAACAGGGATAGCCACAGGCACAAGGGCATCGCGCACGTCGGCGGGACCGGAAGGGCGGTCGTGAGGCTGGCCTCGTTCGGCCTTTCTGTCTGTCTGTCTCGGGCGGGTAGGAGGGCAGGTAGGCACTGACCTGTACTGTTCTTTTTCCTGCACGGCACTTCAGGGATGATATAAGAACCAACACAACGCACATCCCGGTCGGTTCCCTTGGTCCTTTCTCGAACAGGGAGGCAGTATGTCGTAGGCACTAGTACGAGTACAGTAGGAGGGAGGAAGAGCACTACCAGGTAGGCAGACGGGGATGGAGATAAAAACAGTATATGGGCTATTGGGGATGCCGAGAATGGGATGACGGATTCGCGATGGGAGATTAGAGAAATCCATAACTGCCTTGACTGCGTCTGTACATGCCCAGCAGGTATCTCGATCCGCAACTGCGCGTGTACATCTGCCGGGGCGCGACCGGACGGCCTTCTTCCTCTTGCATCCGCGGATGGATGCTGCGTGCCTTAATGTTAATAAAAGTCCCCGCGACCCGCTGCCGAATCCATAGAAACCCCATAACCCCATAATCCAGAGATGTAAATAGTAATAAATAGTAACAATATGCCGGCAGCTCCTACCTCTCCTACCTCTCCTCCCCAGGCTCGGTAAGAGCCGTAGGTAATTCGGTCGGCAGGTGGGACGACCTTGATGCGCTATCATGATGAGCAGATGAGGATGACGATGGGCCGTGGGCGCCTTGTTGGAGGTTGGCACGCGACTCGAGTCCCGATCCGCCACCTGCAAGCCGAGGACTGGACTGGTCTGAACCAGTGGACCGGACGTCCTGCAGAGAAGACTTCTGGAATGCAGGAGGCGCACAGAAAGGCTGAAGCGAGATTCAGGGTTGGGATGAGAATAGAAAGAGGAATGCCCCGACCCGGTGTACAGGTACGAACGGCGTGTACTTACCTTAGCTGTACCGTACCATGATTGATGTGTGAGTGCTGCAATGCGCCTCAACGGCGTGTGGTTCAGCAACTACCAACATCATCAGCCATCAGCCCTCAGCCGTCGTCATCTTTCATCTGTCATTGTTGTCGAAGCCTGCACGCCGCCCTTCCTTGCAGCTGCCCCAAAGGGA